ATAGCCATCTGTTTATGCTTTATCTCCATTATCTATTCGGTGTCTTGATAACCACTGGAATGCCCGTCTCTGACTCATCCGGGGTTTCATCGGCCCGATAAGCGAAATGGGAACTGATAAGCATCGCAGCCCCTCTGTAAAATTGTTGTCTTTTTACCCCACCAATTGCTCGCGCGCCACGACTCGTCTCTTGGTTCATTCACCGATCATGGACCCCGCTAAGCCTGTCGAGCTCCCTGAGCGCCCCAAGGAGGCTGCGGCCCCGGCTGAACCTCAGGCGGAGCCGAAGATATCCAAGGCCGCGGCCAAGAAAGAGGCTAAGAAGGCCGCAAAGAAAGCAGCTCAGATGGAGAACAGCTCCCGCCCCAAGGAGAGCAAGCCTAAGCCCGCCAAAGCACCCAAGGAAGCTGCTGAGGCCCGTGACCCCGATGCGATGTTCAAAGTCGGCTTCCTTCACGACGTTTACAACGAACGACCAATCTCCGAATCCTTCCCTAAGATCCGTACCCGTTTCCCGCCCGAGCCCAATGGGTTCCTCCACATCGGACACAGCAAGGCCATCGCGATCAACTTTGGTTTCGCAAAGTACCACGGTGGCGAGTGTATTCTGCGCTTCGACGATACCAACCCGGAGGGTGAGGAGGATAGATACTATAATGCAATTCGTGACATCGTCAACTGGTTGGGATTCAAGCCAGTGCGGGAAACTTGTGCGAGCGACAACTTCGACAAACTCTACGAGCTTGCGGAGGAACTGATCAAGCGTGACGGAGCTTACATGTGCTACTGCACGAAAGCAGAAATCAAGGCAGGACGTGGAGAGTCGGAGAGCGGACAGCGTGGCGGAGAACGTTTCGCTTGCGTGCATCGCGACCAGGATCCCGAAAAGTCGCTTGCTGAGTTCCGGGCAATGCGCGATGGCAAGTACAAGGCCGGTGAGGCTTGTCTCCGGATGAAGCAGGCTCTGCTGGAAGACCCGCGGGCCCAAATGTGGGATTTGGTTGCTTGGCGCATTACAGAGAATGAAGAGAAGGCGCAGCACCACCGTAGTGGTGGTACATGGAAGATCTACCCGACATATGACTTTGCCCACTGCTTGTGCGATAGCATTGAGGGCATTACGCACTCCCTGTGTACGACTGAATTCGAGCTGTCCCGTGTCTCTTACGATTGGCTCAATGAGAAGCTGGATGTCTACCGCCCTATGCAGCGCGAGTACGGCCGTCTCAACATTACCGGCACCGTTCTTTCTAAGCGCAAGATTATCAAGTTGGTCAAGGAAGGTCATGTTCGTGACTGGGATGATCCGCGTCTCTATACCCTCATTGCTCTTCGCCGCCGTGGTGTTCCCCCAGGTGCTATTCTCTCCTTCGTCAACGAACTTGGTGTGACAAAGGCCGTTACCAACGTGCAGATGCACAGATTCGACCAGAGCGTGCGCGTCTTCCTCGAGACTACCGTCCCCCGTCTGATGGTCGTCACCGAGCCCTTGAAGGTTGTCATTGACGATCTCCCCGATGACCACGAGGAACTCCTTGAGGTTCCCTTCGGCAAGGACGCCTCTTTCGGCACCCACACTGTCCCCTTCACCAAGACTGTCTACATTGAGCGCTCCGACTTCCGCGAAGTCGACTCCCCTGATTACTTCCGCCTAGCCCCCGGCAAGACCGTCGGCCTCCTCAAGGTCCCCTACCCCATCACCGCCACATCCTTCGAGAAAGACCCGACAACCGGTGCTGTCACCGTCGTGCACGCCAAATACGAGAAGCCCGCTGAGGGAGAGACTGCCCCTCGTCCGAAGACTTTCATCCACTGGGTCGGCGAGTCTGCCAAACACAACAGCCCTATCCGCGCCGAGATCCGCGCCTTCAACTCCCTCTTCAAGTCTGAGGACCCCTCCGCCCACCCGGATGGCTTCCTGGCCGATATCAACCCGGACTCGGAGGAGATCTACAAGGACGCGATGGTTGAGACTGGTTTCAATGAGATTCGTCGTACGGCGCCTTGGCCCAAGGCGGCTGGAGAGACTGATGTCGAGTCTAACCAGCACTGCGTGCGTTTCCAGGGTATGCGTATTGCGTACTTTGCTGTTGACCGTGAGTCGACGGCTGATAAGGTTATTCTGAACCGGATCGTCACTCTGAAGGATACTCAGGGAAAGAACTGAGTTGTTTCTGAGTAATTAAAGCTTTCGATGTGTCGAGTCTGGACTTGAAAGAGGTGTCTGGCTGGGGGTGTTGACGGCAGCGTATTTGACATGGATTTATGATAATTGCATTAGTATGCGTGATTAAAGCTTGGGAGTGGAGAAATTAATATCCTTAGAAATTCAAAAGGGAATCTATGCATCTGGTATGAACCCCCGACCAAACTTCAAAAATATCTCATCAGTTATGCTTTCGAAGTCAAATCGAAAGCTATCGCCTGGGCTATGTGGAAAGACGATTTAGAGGAGAAAGCAGAGAATGAAGCGTATCCGGCTAGGCCTTTTCCTGCATTTCCTGATTCAAGCTTGGAATTGCTACGGTGCTTATTTACGGAGATGGTAGCGTAAGTTTCAAGTTTCATTACTGCATTCAATAAGATGATATCGAATATGTTGCCAGGTCATAGAGCCCCTTTAAGAGGAGCCTGTAAAATGCCATGAAAGCTGTCGTGATCTTTTTGTTGCCTCATATAAGAGGCTCCTGCCATTCTTCCGCCGCCGCCCATATTTACTGGGTCTCGGTGCCAGCCTCGCGCACAGCGTTAGCCACGCGAGTAGCGAGATCATCGGCCTCAGATCGGCTAGCAGCCTCGGCGTAAACGCGAACAGCGTCCTCGGTACCGCTAGCGCGAGCGAAACTACGGCCCTTGTTGTAGCGAGACTGCAGAGACTCGATCTTGCCTTGGAGGCCGACTGGAGACTCCAACTTACGCTCGGCATCGTAGGCCTTGAAGATAGAGCGGTCGTGGACCTCGACACGAACAAGACGAGAGGGCAGGTCGGTGTAGGTTCCGAGCCACTCCTTGGGGGACCAGCCTTTGTGAGCGAGAATAGCCTCAACGAGGAGCATATCAGAGAGAGCATCACCAACAGCCTGGTTGATAAGGTCGGTAAGAGCCTGGAGGCACTCCAGAGAGTGCTGCTGAGCTGGAGACTGGGGCTCGGTGTTCTTGATGACTTTCAGAGCGGTCTCCGAGAACGTGACGGTGCCGTGACCGTTGGCCTCGAAGTAGACACCGACGTCGAACCGCAGGGCGGCGTGGTGGAGATGCTTCACACCAGTGTTGGTGCAAATGATGGGAAGCTTGAGGACCTTCTCGATGTAGTCGGTGCTGGCACCATTGGCATAGGCGGTTTGAACGACACCAATCTTCAGCTTCTGCGCAATACCAGCATTGCGAGCGAGATCGCCGATGAAAGAGGCCGCAAGAGTGGCGATGCGGTCGCCATCCAGGAGGCGAAAAACGTTGCTCTCGTCAACGAAGTAGTAGACTAGGCGGTCAGCATCGCCGTCCAGGGAGGCGCATCGATCGAGGGGAGCGGCCTTGGAGGAAGGAGGAGCACGCTGCTTCGTCTTGACATAGTCCGCACCGCACTAGAGAGGTCAGAAAGAGGCCCACGGACCAAGTCTGTCTGTAATGCAACTTACGTCAAAGTTCAGGCTGTCAGGGTTGATCACGTCGTCATTGACCACCTTGATTTCAAGCCCAGAGTCTAGGTACTTCATCAGGTCACGCAGCTTGGGACCTCCGACACCATTGGCGCAGTCAACGGTCAGAGAACCCTGAGCCTTGACACCCTTCATAACCTTCTTGAAGGAGGCGGCAAGCTTCTCATAGTAGCCCTGTTCCGTCGGCTCGCCGTACTCGTACTGTGTACCAAGAGTGTTCTTGCAGCGCACGACATAGTGGAGCTGGGGAGTAGTCATGTACTTGAAGTCGATGAACTCGACCTCAGTGGCGGTTAAGGCAGCGTTGAGAACGCCCACCAGACGGGATCCAGAGGCACGGGTGTCGCGGGCGAAGACCACGCGGGCAGGGTTGGTCATCTTAACGTCGATTTCCTTCACGAGTTCGTCGTAGACATCGGCGATCTGGTCAAGCGGGGCATTCGCCAGCCTGGTTGCATATTGTTCCCACTCGGCCTAGAATATGATGGTGAGTTCGGCCAATTCAAGGTCACGATCGAAGGACAGTGGCTTTCTTACTTCGAGCATCTCACCCTGTTTCGAATAGATGGGTTAGATGTGTTCATCCGCTGGAGTAGCATTATTCCGGGATTGTTTACTTACCATAGGGTCAATCAGCTTGACACCGTTGTCCTCCGCGGGGTTGTGGCTGGCAGTCACCATAACACCAATCCATTGCCCACTAAGCTTCTTCGAACGGAGGCCAGCAAGGAGACCCACAGCGAAAACGACGGTGTTGAGGAGATCACTGCGTCACGGTTTCGGTCAGCAAGCTTCGACGTCAACAAACGGACGATCGCGGGGGGGTTCTGTGTGGAGGCGGGGTAGATCGATCCTGAGCAAAACTTACGCCTTCATGCGGAACTATAAGAGCGATATAACTCAGTTAGCGGGCGATCGTCGAGAAAAGTCCTGCGTGCTGCTCGACATACCCCTGCGGTGCCATATTCGAAGACCTTGCCCTCGGGCTTCGAGTACTGCAGAGCGGCCTCGCTGATCGCTTTCTTGACAGCCGGGGAGGCCATTGTTGCGCGACAAGCTGCAATCAAGGTGGAAATCGGGGAAATAGGGAGTATATCAAGGTGACAGGCGACGAATGTTCACAGAGGAACGTTGGAGGGGCAGAGGGAGGGAGGAAGTACTTTGAAACAAAAAAGGAACGAGGGGGCTTGGGGTGAGACACGGTCTTAATGCGACGCCCCTGTCCTCTTTAGCGGTGAGCCAATGGCCGGGAGGACCACCCCCACGCCTCGTTCCTGGTTGTGGCAATAATAAATTACCCGCGACCAGCGTCGTGGAAATTACGGGAAGCCTCACGAAGCCTTACGATTGAGTGCGTGGGGAGCCAAGTTCGACAATAATTATTATTAGCAACGGGTCACCGGGACTGTAGTCTGCTATTGTACATGAGAGGAAGTACCTCGTGCGAATTTGCCCACAATATCTTAAAAGAAAGTATATAGGGCACCAAAATTTTCTTTGCTTTTACGCCTTCAATCGGTGTCCCGCAATATCGTCCTGTGCATCCTTGATGAGGAACCTGTCGGAGATAGCCGATACATTAGTCATGGAAGAGATCACGAAGAGGACCAGGCAAGAAATACTTACGAATACCACCATGCAGTGGGAACCACGGTGCCCAAATGCCACAGACTGTGGGCATCGATCAGGCCATGCCATGGCGGGAAGTCGAACAATTCCAAACTCATGGCGAGGATAATCCACGCGACAATCATACCAGGCCAGGCTGTCCAGGACTTCATGTACTTCTGATAACGGAATATACTGAATCCGGTCCATAACAGGTTCCCGATGATACCGACTGCTACGTTCGCTGCCATGTTGTACGTATAATCCCACTTCCAGAAGCTGAGGTAGCAGACGTGCATGGTGTAGAGTAGAATGCAGATCGCCGTCCAAAGGCGACGCAGTGTCGGGCGATACTGGGGGCTCTCCAAATCCAGGCGCAAAAGTCGAACCACGGCCAGGTAAAGACCGTACAAAACGTTGGCACCAGCCGCCCAGTAATCCAGCTTCTCCGTGATGTCAAAGTCGCGGGTGTGGAAAATCATGCTAAATGTCCAACTGGCTAACCCAATGTATCCAAACATCATGTAGTATTTGCGCATCGAATGCCAGGCTGGGATCGATTCTTGCACTCGGGACATGCCGTGCCAATGGGCCGCGAAGTTGAAGAAGGAAAACAGCACAGAGAAGGGCTCTTGCATTCCCAGGATTCTCCGGAACGGCCATTTGCCATGGAACTGAACCACTGGGTTCAGCATCGGGGGGTCGCGTGAGACTCGACGATCGGTAATGACATGTTGGCAGGTATAGTCGCATTCAGCCGGGCAGGTCCAGAATAACAGGCGGTGGTGCAGAGCTGGCAAGGTAGCAAGGTCAGAACGAGGGGAAGCAGGAGAACAGCCGTGATTGGTAGCGGGTAGACTTACGTAGCACCGAATTGCCATTCTGGCAGTTCTCGGTTTTACAGACCTGTGTTCGTTAGCCGTGTACAAGGGTGCAGGTCGCTCGAGTCAGGGCAAGGACGGTACCTTGACGCATTCTTTGAAATCGGGGAGGTGATCTCCCAAAGAGCCAGAAGATGGGCGGACCAGAAGGGCCAACAGAGTCAAAGTGACAAGCGTGGAAGGAACCACTCGTCCAGCGCCCAGATGCATGGTGATCTGACAGAGGTCTCAGGCCGGGAAACGCGTAAGCTTTGGAGAGAAATGGCGAGTTTGCGGAGCTCGGGGACGGCATCCAAGCAGAGCCTCGCGCAGGTCTTGGCAGAGGATAAGGTTGTTGACAGGCTGGCCAAGGTGACCTGCCCCAGAGTTTGACAATTCAATAATATCTAGCAGCTTCCTTGCAGTATTTCAATCTCTGGGGAGAAATTTTCCGAGGGTTTTACTAGATTGGTACTATTCTTGTGAATGGCTCTCCAAAAGTCGTGATGATATATATCGCGTCAACGTTCAACCGCCTATCAGCAACTTATTCGAGCCAGAATCTCAAGGCTACTCGGCATGCCACAACTACTTGAGGGAAAAAGAGGTAATACAACTAGATAAAATATTTCTGAAACATTGTATCTCTAACCTACACACTTTCAAGATATACAAAGACATAATGCGGCTGGTAGGTCATACACTGCTGTTTGTATACAGAAGGAGCAAGCCCTACTAAAATTAGGGCTGTCTAATCACATGACGTAACCAAAAGTGGTTTAGTGTGAGCGGGGACTTTGGAGTTTAAGCTTGGCGCTGGGAAGTGCTCGAAAAAAAAGTTTGAGAGGCGAGGGCAACTTCTGTTATCTCTTGCGTCCGAGAAACTTATTTCTTCGCCGCAACTCCCTTCATTTGTTATTTCTTCATTTCCATACATACCTCTATCACTCCCAATATGAGTGGAACCGAGGTCGCCAACGCTTCTGGCGTCATTACCAGCAGCGCCGAACGTATGGTTGGCGCTGAGCACGCTGAGGTGCGCTACTTCACCAGGTATGACTTTGAAGATATCCTTCTGGCTCTTGAATATTCGCAAGATACTGACTGGGCTTAGCTATGATCACCACGGTAAATACCCATTGAATTTCCGATGGCTCTGCGAAGAATGTCTTGAAAAGAGGGGTTGACTAATGTTGGGTTCTTAAATTTGCCTAGGTATTCACGAGGAGATGCTGGTGAGTGGCCTAGTTTTGTTCGCTTTTGAATCTGCTGGAATCAGCTTGCTAATCCGTGTTCTTCCATACCTATAGAAAGATGATGTCCGTACACGATCCTACCGTGATTCTATCTACCAGAACCGCCACATCTTCAAGGACAAGGTCGTCCTCGATGTCGGCTGCGGTACCGGCATTCTTAGCATGTATGTTCACACTCAATTCGCAATCAACCCTCAGCAACTGACCAGGTCTACAGGTTCGCTGCCCGTGCCGGTGCCAAGCATGTGATCGGTGTCGACATGTCTTCGATTATTGAGAAGGCCAAGGAGATCGTTGCAGTCAACGGTCTCAGCGACAAGGTCACTCTCCTGCAGGGCAAGATGGAGGAGGTCAAGCTTCCCTTCCCCAAGGTTGACATTATCATCTCCGAGTGGATGGGTTACTTCCTTCTCTACGAGTCCATGTTGGACACCGTTCTGTATGCCCGTGACACCTATCTCGTCGAAGGCGGAAAGATCTTCCCCGATAAGGCCACCATGTACGTGGCTGCTATCGAGGATGGCGAGTACAAGGACGACAAGATCGGATGTGAGTAACGGTCTCGTGATCTCTTCTTATATGCTTTGCTAACAAGATATCAAAGTCTGGGACAACGTCTATGGCTTCAACTACAGCCCCATGAAGGAGATTGCTCTGACTGAGCCCCTGGTCGACACCGTCGAGATGAAGGCTCTGGTCACCGAGCCTTGTGAGATTATCACCTTCGACCTCAACACGGTCACTACCGCCGACCTTGCCTTCAAGGTGCCGTACAAGGTCACCGCCACGCGTCCCGACTTCATCCACGCTCTCATTGCCTGGTTCGACATCGACTTCAGCGCCTGCCACAAGCCCATTCACTTCTCCACTGGCCCTCACGCCAAGTACACACACTGGAAGCAGACCGTCTTCTACCTGCGCGATGTTCTCACCGTGGAGGAGGGTGAGACCGTCTCCGGTGTTTTGGAGAACCGCCCCAACGACAAGAACAAGCGTGATCTGGATATCAACATCTCCTATAAGTTCGATGTTGAAGACCCTACTCGCTCTGCCGAGGGCAGCTGCTTCTACCGGATGTAGGTCTTTTCTGCCTCCGGGCCAATATGCTCGTTGACTGCGCGGTCGCTAACTTTATCGCCAGGTGCTAATTTTCCTTTGAATTTTCTGTCTTGTTCAACAACGATCTCTTCGACAATTTATGCACGTAATTTCGGGGACATCATTCGGCACCAAATGCACCGCAGCATAGCATGGGCAACTCAGGATTTGCACAGAGCGATTCGACATGGTTCCGATCTCGCTTTCAGTTTTCTATCTTATCGGCGTTAGATATTTTGGATGTTTTTGGGTGGCAGGTAAAAGGCATTACTACATGGCGCGATACGGAGAGGTGATTATGAAGCTCCTCGAATTTCTAAGTAGATACCCCGAGTCGATGCTTAGTCTAGCAACTCCGACGCTCTTTCTCATGTCCATTTTCAAATTTTTTCGTAGTAATTTATCCTAAATTACGTGATTCTGTTCTCTTTAAGGAACGCTCTTTGCAATGAAGCCCCCAAATTTCCAAGGGAGCGGAGGTGTCGCGCCCTCGGCTACGACGATGAATGATCATTATCAGATCCTCGGCTCAACGCCTCCCCGCAATTGCTGGACGCATAATTAACATGCCTCTGCTCCGCACTCCGCACTCCGCTCTTTCTCCCCTTTTCTCGTTCGATTCGTTACTTTCTCCTCCTATTTCCCCTTTTTTTCAGACCCCGTTGACGTATTCAATATGTCTGCTCCCGGAGCCGGTCACGAATATCCTCCCCAAGAGGTTTCTTGGCAGAAGCGCGATGTTCTGCTGTTCGCAAACAGCATCGGGGCCAAGGCCGACGAGCTGCATTTCCTCTACGTATGTTCATGCGATTAATTGAGATCAGGATCCACCCGTTTCTGACATTGACTAGGAACTTCACCCGAACTTCTCTGTGTTCCCGACCTACCCGCTGATTCTGCGTATGAGAAGCCTCGGCACGCTTCACTCGATCCATTGCTGACTTGTTGCCAATTGCCTAGCCTTCAAGCTCACTGACCAAGAGGTGACCGATTTCTACGCGCGGCAGAAGACCGTCAAGATCCCTGGTGTTCCTGATTTGGACCACCGCCACGGCGTCGATGGCCAGCGCAAGATCACAGTATTGAAGCCCCTGCCCCCTACGAGTGCCGGAAGGAAGTTCCAGCTGCGCAATAAGGTCGTTGGTGTCTATGACAAGGGCAAGCCCGGTACCGTCATGGAGACTGAGCAATCGATCGTTGACGCCGAGAGCGGCGAGGTGTACTCCAAGGTCCTGAGCAGCGGCTTTTTGGTAGGCCAAGGTGGCTGGGGCGGTCCCAAGGGTATGATCCGGAACGTCTTGCAGACATGAGCAGCTATTCTGACTTGCAATTCCACCTAGGTCCCGCTACGGTTAACTACCCCCCTCCCGAGGGCAAGAAGCCTGATGCCGTTCATGTCGTACAGACCGTCATGGAGACGGCCCACCTGTATCGGTACGTCCCATGAGATGTCTCTTAAATGGCTATAAATCCAACTAATCAACCAACAGTCTGAACGGTGACTATAACCCTCTGCACGCCGACCCCAAGCCCGGCCAAAAGATGGGCTTTGGCGGCACTATCATTCACGGCCTCTTCAGCTGGAACTCCACTGCCCACGGCATCCTGCGGGAACTTGGTGGTAGCAACCCGGAGAACCTCAAGGAATTTCAAGCTCGCTTTGCGTCGCCCGTTCGCCCGGGTGACAAGCTCACCACTGAGATCTGGCGCACGGGCGATGTGCAGGCCGGCGGTTTCGAGGAGATCCGGTTCGTTACCAAGAATCAGAACGACAAGATTGTCTTGAGCAACGGTCGGGCGCTGGTGAAGGTGACTGGCGTGAGGAGCAAGCTGTAAATTCAAGGAATGGGGGAAATATGCGACTAAAGAGTGCTTTCACGTTCAAATACAATGTGTGGTGATCGTGCCCCATGGCGGTAACCACCCGTCTGCTTCAAGCTTACATCGTCCCTATGTGTAATTCTGCCTTTAAAATGTAAATCCCATGAGAAAGTATATCTTTCTCCGAGCCTATTGCTATTGGGAATTATGCTCTAGACATCCAATTGACCATCTCTGGAGACACGTGACCTGCCTCGGCCGTTGCTTTCCCCGCGCTCGGACCGTTTCCCCAGACCACAACAACTGCACGATCCCCACGTTGCATCACTCAAGAAACGTACGAGAGTATTCTCCAAAAATGAGTGCGAGTCGTCTTGCATCTCTCAGAGCAACAGCTCTGTGGAGCAGCTATAGGTAATCGCACAAATAATTGTGGGAGATCGCTTGAGACTAACATACTCGGACAGGCCTCACATCACGCCATTGCATGTTTTCAAGAGTGGTGCCTTGGTACGCAGTAGATGCAATGGAAATACCGAGAGATTTCTGACTATCGCCACTAACGGTGTTTGATAGGCTAATGGGTCCCGAAACTTAGCTCCCCTCGCTCGAAGCGCTAGCTCGCCATATAACGTGAGCAAGCGTCTTCTGTCGGATGCTACTCCGCTGGAAGGCACTCCTCAAGATACGAATGCTAAAAGTGATCCATTTGAGGCCAAGAACACCCAATTGGCTTATCACGCAGCTTTGAGGAACGGCAATGTCGTTGTCAGAACTGATGGTAAGAATGAGGCGGCGCCCTTCTGGCAATTGTAAGCTTAGTCTCATTATTGTGAACTTCTATTGCAATTGTTACCTAACATTGGCTCGCAGTGGATCTCTATATCTCAGGTAAATTGCATAAGGGATTTTGAAAAAAAATACTTCCCTGACACATTGGGAATTTTAGAGAAAATTGCCAGTGCCCAAAGTGCATTCATCCGGACACAAGGCAACGGATTGTCAACACATTCTCGGTATGTATCGATTGAGGATATTCTTTGTCCTTCTATGACTTATAGTCATATCTTCATAGCTCCCGCCCCGTGTCAAACCCGAGGAGGTTCAGAGAACGGATAGTAATGACGTCCACATCAAATGTGAGAGATCATCCACGTACTGTGCTGTTTAATATCCAACACTCACTCTTCCACAGGGAGCGATGGACATGAGAGCACCTACTCCTGGAAGTGGCTTTCGGCGCACAGGGGCAATAATAAACCAACAATTCAATCACGGACAGTACAGCCAAACAGACTCCCTCGGTAATTTGAGAGCTTCTTACATCCCTTACATTCTTTGCATTGCTGATGCTATTGGCCAGGTCTTTCAAGGTGTATGATCCTCAAAAGGGTGATCCGTATCCCGAGGTAGTGTATGAAGACGTGATGTCTAAGGATACGGCAGTGTTGGAATGGTTGGATAACATCGTTAGTCTTCCTCAAAGATTCACGCACTCCGATCCCCTCGGCAACGTTAGTGGCTTACTTTCAAATAGTGGACATGGGGCTTTTGCTTCGTGAAAGGTGTTCCTGTCAACCCTGAATCAACGAAAACTTTGATCGAGAGAATCGCCTTCATCCGACACACGCATTACGGTACATCATCTTCCGAAATTGGAAAGAAATACTTGCTGGCTGACATTTCTTTAGGTGGTTTCTGGGATTTCACTGCGGACCTTACCTACAAGGATACAGCATATACGAACGAGTGGCTCGGCGCGCACACGGATAACACCTACTTCACCGATCCCGCAAGGCTACAGCTTTTCCATCTGCTCTCTCATACAGATGGAGACGGTGGAAAGAGCTTACTCGTGGATGGCTTTGCGGCTGCCAAAACGCTAGCCAAACAGAACCCAGGCTTTTACAATACCTTGACTAACTCTCGGCACCCATGGCATGCAAGCGGCAATGAGGATGTCTGCATTCAACCGTCTGCCATGGAACCTGTCCTCAACGTTCATCCCGATACCAAGGCCGTTTACCAAGTTCGTTGGAACAACTATGACCGTGCACCAAAGACCAACTGGCACACATCGGAGCAAAGGGAGTGGTACGTGGCAGCACGAGCCTACAACAACCTGTTGACCAAGTCATCACATGAGATTTGGACACAATTACAGCCAGGAACAGCACTGAGTAAGGAAAATAACACGAGTAGTATTATGATATTGACTAATGTCAACGGCTTCTAGTCTTTGATAATTGGCGAATGTTGCACGGCCGCTCCGAGTTCACTGGCAAACGCCGCATGTGCGGCGGCTACGGTATGCTCGAAATTGATACCCAAGTCTCCTTCCTGATGTATCCTCGATGCTAACAGTACTGGATAGTCAACAATGATGATTTCGTCTCACGCTTACGTCTTTTGAAATTTGGCCGCCAGAGTGTCTTAGACAACCTTGGAAACACTGACGGCTGGAGGAGTCCTGATAACCCTTACTCTATTTATTAGATCGAAAGCTGAAGGCTCTAAAGTGCTTCTGTTCTATATTGTACAGACACACTGTTCACTCCTGCTTTCACAGTCCTGAGATAATCTCAGTTGGTCTACTGTACCTGTCCTTAGATATAGCGCTCTGAAAGGTGACATAAAGTTTCTTTATAATAAGTTTTCCAAATATTTTTGCACGTTCCTGGATTAAACCAAACGACTCGTGGTTCTTTCTAACGCTTCCAGAGCCAAGTGCGCGGGACCGTTGATAGTCTCACGTGACCTGGCTGACGTTGTTGGAGCTCCGGCAGTCGACAGCTCTTCTCCAACCTTCTACGTTCACTTCCAACATCCACCTAACCTTACCCCAACCGCCATCGAACTGCTGTCTGGGTTAATTTCATCAGATCCGACCTTTTAGTATCACTCCGCCACTTTCCAATATGTCGACTCTTGAAGACCTCGACGACCTCGAGCGCGAGACCAGAGACAAGAAGCAAGATCAGGGTGATGACGATGGCAAGAAGCCCAGTGGCGATGGTGATGCTGAAATGGAAGATTCCGAGAAGAAGGAGGATGAGGAGGAGCTCCTTGATGAAGAGATCCTGCATTCAAGCACGGCGGACATTGTCAAGAGGCGGCGGATGCTGGAGAACGAGATGCGCATCATGAAGAGCGAGTTCCAACGGTTAACACACGAGCAAAGCACAATGCGAGAGAAGGTCAAGGATAATCAAGAAAAGATTGAGAACAACAGGTATGGCGCTGGATGAATCCGTGGATGACTGCCCTGTGGAGCTACCCACCCTTGGCCCGCGGAGGTTTTGAAAATATGCAACAAAGCAGGAAATCGATTCCAAGAAGCTGACTGTGATTTCCTCGCTAACAGACAACTACCCTACCTCGTCGGAAACGTGGTCGAGCTGCTGGATCTCGACGTGGAGGCCGAGGCCGCCGAGGAAGGGGCCAACATCGACCTGGATGCTACCCGCGTTGGCAAATCCGCCGTCATCAAGACCTCGACTAGACAGACTATCTTCCTTCCGCTCATTGGTCTGGTCGATCACGAGAAATTGAAGCCTGCTGATCTTATTGGTGTCAACAAGGATTCATATCTCATCCTCGACACACTACCAGCCGAGTATGACAACCGTGTGAAGGCGATGGAGGTCGATGAGAAGCCTACGGAGAAGTACACGGATATTGGTGGTCTGGACAAGCAGATTGAAGAGATCGTCGAGGCTATTGTATGGCCGATGAAGGAGGCTGAGCGTTTCAAGAAAATCGGCATCAAGGCGCCAAAGGGTGAGTCTTTCCCAATTACTAAGCTCCTTGAATTATCCGGAGGTGCTAACTTCTTGCCTGAATCGTAGGTGCCCTGATGTACGGACCTCCTGGAACCGGTAAAACCCTCCTGGCACGAGCCTGTGCCGCCGAGACGAACGCCACTTTCCTTAAGCTCGCCGGTCCCCAACTTGTGCAGATGTTCATTGGTGACGGTGCCAAGCTCGTCCGTGACTGCTTCGCCCTCGCCAAGGAGAAGGCTCCCTCAATTATCTTCATTGATGAGCTGGATGCTGTCGGCACCAAGCGTTTCGATTCAGAGAAGTCCGGTGATCGTGAAGTGCAGCGTACCATGCTGGAGCTTCTGAACCAGCTGGACGGTTTCGCATCTGACGACCGTATTAAGGTCCTGGCCGCGACCAACCGTGTCGATGTTCTGGACCCTGCCCTGCTCCGTTCGGGCCGTTTAGACCGCAAGATCGAGTTCCCACTGCCTAACGAAGAGGCTCGTGCCAATATTTTGCAGATTCACTCTCGTAAGATGTCCGTTGAGGACACCGTGAACTGGGCCGAGTTGGCACGCAGCACGGACGAGTTTGGCGGTGCCCAGCTGAAGGCTGTCTGTGTTGAGGCTGGTATGATTGCGCTGCGGAAGGGAATGAGCAAGGTTGGACACGAGAACTATGTTGATGCCATCGCTGAGGTCCAGGCCAAGAAGAAAGATACCAACATGGGCATTTATGTCTAATGTAGCTATTTTACTGGTCTTGCATCTCTCGGTATTCTTGTCTCCGTTCTCATCTCTATTACCAACTTATTTTTTCCCTCCCATGTCTCGTCATGTCATGTGTGTACGTTGTGCGGCTCAAATGGTTCCGAGCCGGTAATTCGCTCTGCATGCGAGCGGTTTCCTCTAAATCAAATAACATGATGATCCTAGATCCTAAACTGGTCACTATCTGAGCTCTTGGCGTGTTAAGTGGAAAAGCCGTATGATAATGCTAGCAACAACGTCTTCTAGTCGTAGCTTCCGTCGACCTCGGTCTTGTTCTAGCATACCGTGAAAGTAGGTTGAGTCCACTAGGTACTTGAGAGATCCTATCCTGTTGGTCGGCAAGTCATGGCTTTATACAGTAGAAAACTTTTAATTATCCTATTACAGATGGGCATTGAATTCACAACCAAAGAAATTGCTGACTTAAGTGGGTTAGCCATACTATCCTATCTCCTGATCCATCTCATCACGAAAGAGCACTTGCCCTTGCCAGACTTTTTGTCTCTGGTCACATTCTTCAATCCGGTATCCACGCCTTAGTGCAAGAACTACGTCGAAAACCACCCCTGTTGTACTCACCAGCACCTGCAAAAGGGAATCGCAAGAGCTGCATTGTTTCTGGGCTAGTTCCGCAAGGCCGGTAGAATTCTGATACCCTAGATCCAAGGTAAATTCCTCTGCTTGAATTGCCGCCTAAAATATGTATTTAAGTTGGCGCACGCTTCACGGATATAGTTAATTACGTCTCCAAGTAGTTAAGTACAGCAAGTACTAGTGCTGTAGCTCTTCGACGGCTTGATAAGTTAGGTGGGTCCGCAACATCGTTGATCCGCGCTGGCTCCGCTTGGATTTTTTGGAGACAGAAAATCTTCGGGCTGGCAGCCAACTTCAACGAGCTCACCAATTTCAGTCTTTGCCGCTCGGTGCTTAAATTTTCACCGAATTCACAATGGCTAAGGCACGTGTCAAGAAGCGCACCCATCTCCGGGCTCAGAATGCCTCGGCAGCAGCATCTGGCAAAGGCTCCGCGTCTTCAATGACCAAGGCCCCAAAGTCCATGGTCATTCGAGTTGGCGCTTCTCAAGTCGGTACTAGTGTTACCCAGCTGGTCAAGGATGTTCGCCAGATGATGGAGCCCGATACCGCTGTGCGATTGAAGGTATGGCGAAAAATGCCTCTTGTTCTCAAATCATTTCTAATGGACATATACAGGAACGCAAATCCAACCGACTCCGTGATTACACCGTTATGGCCGGCCCCCTCGGCGTTACCCATTTGATGCTCTTCTCCAAGTCCAAGACAGGCAACACAAACATGCGTCTCGCTGTTACTCCCCGAGGACCGACCCTCCACTTCCAAGTCGAGAACTATTCGCTCTGCAAGGACGTTGAGCGATCATTGAAGCGCCCACGCAGCGGTGGACAAGATCACAAGACTCCACCATTGCTCGTCATGAACAATTTCAATTCGCCCAATGCGACTGAGGACTCCAAAGTGCCGAAGCGCCTCGAAACCCTGACCACCACCATCTTCCAATCTCTCTTCCCTCCGATCAATCCCCAAGCCCAACCTCTTTCCTCTATCCGCCGCGTCATGCTTTTGAACAGAGAGCCCTCCGAGTCCGATGATGGCTCGTACATCCTCAGCCTACGTCACTACGCCATTGCCACCAAGAAGACCGGAGTGTCAAAACGCATCCGTCGTTTGGATCCTAAGGAAATTCGCAACAGAGATAAGAAGAAGACGGCCGTGCCCAATCTCGGAAAGCTCGAAGATGCCGCCGATTATCTGCTCGACCCTTCTGCCGCTGGGTATACATCTGCCAGTGAGACCGAGCTTGATACTGACGCCGAGGTCGAAGTCGCGGAAAGCACGACCCGTAAGATTCTCAACAAGCGGGAGGCGCAGCGTCAGAGGGCTGGAGATAAGGCCGAGAAGAAGGCTACTGCCACTCCCGGTGTTGAAAAGCGTGCCGTTAAGCTGGTTGAGTTGGGTCCCCGCATGAGGCTCCGCCTGATGAAGGTCGAGGAGGGTGTCTGCGAGGGCAGAATTATGTGGCACGACTTTATCACAAAGTCCGCGCATGAGGTGAAGTCTCTTGACAAGAGTTGGGAGACTCGCCGCAAGCAGAAGGAGCAGCGAAAGAAGCAGCAGAAGGAAAATATCGAGAAAAAGAAGAAGGACAAGGCCAAGGCCAAGGCTAACGGGGAGGAAGTCGATGAGGACGAGGACGAGGATGAGGATATGGATGATGGTGAATGGCTCAGCGACTTTGACGACGATGAGGATGGTGAGCCCGAGGAGGATTCGGACGACTCTATGGAGGAGTAAGGGACATAAGTTACTTTCGTCCCTCTCTTTACCAGAAGCTTTGAAGTCTAAGCATCTCTCTCTACAGGATCAGGGATCCTCATTTTATACCCACGAGTTTTATGGTGGTTCTGTACATTCACACGGCGCATGCAATAAAAGTTTTAGAACAGGCATATCAGGACGCTTTTGTCTTTAATTCAGATGCTCGTTAGTTGGACATAACTTGTATCGTGGCTTTCCGTAAGCTTTGAACAGCTCCAGACCCCTCATCAGTCGCGTTTGGAAAGTTGGACTGAGAGATATTGCCCAAGCTATGTAAGAAGACGATTTAAAAAGGAGGAAGCTGAAGCAGTTCTAGCTAATCCTTCTCTCCCTCCTCAAGATTCAGGCTTTGGAGCTGCCACTGTATCTCTCGTGACTTATTTCTTCAGCTTCTCGTCGACGATACGAGACACCATCTTCTCTAAAATGGCAAAGTCACCTCCCGAAGTACCAGCAAAGTACCCCTGGACACTCTTCTCGACGTATTTGCCCACAATGTCGATCTCGACATTCACCTCCTCACCAGGCTTCTTGCCCGCCGTAACGACCTTCTCCTGCGTGTAAGCAATGAGCATGACCTCCCAGTATCCATCTTCTCCATCGACAACCTTCGTGACCGTCAAGCTGGCGCCGTCCAGGGTCACATAGCCTTTCTCGACGATGTAGCGCAGCACATCCTTGTCGCGCGGCTGCAGCCGGAACACGAGGGAGTTGCCGTCGGGCGTCACGGACAAAATCTTCGCGACGGTGTCAACATGGCCTTGCACGAAGTGACCGCCCATTCGAGTATCCGCCGAGACGGCACGCTCGAGGTTCACGCTCGAGCCGGTCTGTAGGGATCCAAGGTTGGTGCGTCGCAGGGTCTCCGGCGCGACGCCCACCTTGAACCAGGTCTTGTCGAAGGCAGTGACGGTGAGGCAGGTTCCTAGGTAAGAAGGGATCATTTTAGGAACGTGGTTCTTCAGTGTCAAGCAAGTTGTATGCGATGATATGTACCATTGACAGCGATACTGTCGCCCAAGTGCGCATCAGTGAGAATCTCCTCGCAATCGGAGATGGTCAGCGACGTGCCCCCGCCCCCGCTGGACGAGGTATCGAGGGGCTCCAGAGCCGTGACGGCTAGAGAAGAGGGACTATTAGTCTCGGCGCGAGTCCGTTCGAGAAGGGAATGATCTCACTTCCGATCGTCTCAACCAGACCAGTAAACATTGTTGCGGGCGTGACTGTACTGATCTGCAAGGGAAAAGACAAGAGGTTGGGGTCGGTCGACCTCGGCTTCGGGGCCCGCCCCGAGCGGTGTCGTCGGCGTTTTGGCGGAGTTTCGATCTATCCCAATGCCCCATTTAACCTGCCTGGACCTCGCTGTGGGGGAGTTTTGACCATAGTTCGTTTGTTTTGCAAACAGTCTGGTACTTTTTCTTGAAAAATGTCGGTTGCGCTCAGGTTGAATGTGTTGACCCGGCGGTTGAACCCCTCCTGGACCAGCCATGCCTTGAGGCGCATCTCGCCGTTGAGGAGCTATTCCAACGCCGCTTCTCCGGTAGATGGTAAGCTGCCTTTGGCAGGGATTCGTGTCCTTGATATGACGCGGGTTTTGGCAGGGGTGAGTTCACATGCTGCAATTATTACTATGCTTTTTGTGGCCTTGTGCTGACGGAGTGATACACTATAGCCTTATTGTACTCAGATTCTCGGTGACTTGGGGTATGTGTTGCAATTGGGCTTGTTATTGGGCGCTTTAATTGTCCGTTCTTTTCCAGAGTGTGTGAATTGACCTTGGAAAATGCAGTGCGGACGTTATTAAGGTCGAACACCCTGTGCGAGGCGACGATACTCGAGCCTGGGGCCCTCCATATGCTATATACGAAGATACGTCAAGGGAGGGGCCCGGAGAGAGTGCTTACTACTTGGCGGTATGCGTACATAATGCATAATGCTGAAATTGGAGAGGTACTGAACTGTTGCATAGGTCAATCGCAACAAGAAATCCCTAGGTCTCTCGTTCCAACACAAGTCGGGTGTCGAGATCCTCCACAAGCTTGCAAAGGAGTGCGACGTCCTCGTGGAGAATTACCTTCCAGGAGCTCTTAAGAAATACGGAATGGATTACGAGACTCTTCGAGAGATCAACCCCAAATTGATCTATGCCAGTATCACCGGCTACGGTCAGACGGGACCGTACAGTAACCGGGCTGGTTACGATGTCATGGTTGAGGCGGAGATGGGATTGATGCACATTACTGGATCACGAGATGGCCCTCCCGTGAAGGTTGGGGTGGCTGTCACCGATCTGACTACCGGACTCTACACCTCCAATGCCATCATGGCTGCCTTGCTTGCCCGAGTTCGGACGGGCAAGGGCCAGCATATCGATGCTTGCTTGAGTGACTGCCAAGTCGCTACTCTGGCCAACCTGGCTAGCTCTGCTCTAATCAGCGGCCAGAAAGATTCGGGTCGCTGGGGTACTGCTCATCGTAAGTCAAAAGCTAACGAGTGCCCATGGTCAATACAAACTAAAAGTCCTTCGTAGCATCCATTGTACCATACCGGAGTTACAAGACCCTCGATGGTGACATTCTTTTCGGCGGCGGCAACGATCGACTCTTTGGTGTGCTCTGCGATCGCCTAGGATACCCGGAGTGGAAGAACGACGCTCGGTTTGTCACGAATAGCGACCGCGTGAAACACCGGGCAGATATCGACGGCTTGATTGAGACTACCACCCAGCAGAAAACGACCAAAGAATGGCTGGATATTTTCGAAGGTAGCGGCATGCCATATGCAGCAGTCAATGACATCCAGGGAACCTTGAACCATGAGCATGGTGTGTCTGCCTAAAAAGGCTATTCTTCTTTCTTGAATATACAACCGCTAATCCGTGTTACAGTTCTTGCACGAGGCATGGTCACTGAGGTCGATCACCCTGCCTGCGGCCCTATCAAACTTGTCAACACGCCGATCAAGTACTCCGACGCTACACCGGGCGTACGCACGCCGCCTCCAACCCTTGGTCAACACACCGACGAGATTCTGGGAAGCGTGCTTAACTATGAAGAAGCAGACATTGCCCGATTGAAGGCTGAAGGCGCAGTGTCATGAAATCAGTCAATCTATATAGATGGGTGGGTCTCTTCGAGGATAGAGATGACTAGTTACACTTGTACATAGAGTAATTCATTGCAATAAAAAAGTACCAAACAAAAAATTACAGATGAATCAATTCCCTGCCAGGATACTGGCTTGCAGAAATGGGGTTGCGAGGGAAAAGTACCGCGAAGTACTGGAAGGGCTTTGCGTTGGAGGCTGTCACGTGAGGCTATACAGATCTTGGGTTGCCGCAATTGTCACTTCCGAAGCGAGCAATTCTTAAGGCTTCAATGCGCTGTCGTTGGCGATTGCCTATTTACTTAATGAGGCAGGGAGATAGGCAGAAATTTTCCCAAGGCTACCACCGCTGCTACCTGGATCCGGTTGAACATAAATATCTCTTCCTCTCTGGCCTTGGACCTCTCCTTCTTCTCCAACCCTCTCCACCTCTTTTCTCATCTATCAAATTAATATTTCTCAACTCACAAAATGAAGCCAAACACTGCCGCCAAGGCTGTAACCAGCGCCGATCTGGCTTCTTCTTCAGTCACCAAGAGAGAAGTCCTCCAAGACCAACCCCTCTCTGGGCTGCCGGCAGCACAGATCAGCATGAAGAAACCCGCGGGTCACGACACTTGGACCAGCCGGTCTGGACGAGTCATCAAGCCGCCCACGGCTTTCGTTCCGCCACCAGCCCCCATTGCTTCTGGAAAGCGTAAGGGTGGTTCTCGGAAAAAGGAAGCCAATGTCACCTGCAAACATTGCAATCGAGGCCATAGCCCGTCCAACAACGCCATCGTCTTTTGCGATGGATGCAATGACACATGGCATCAGAAGTGTCATGACCCTCCAATTGACAAGCAAGTCATCCTAGTGAAGGATATGGAGTGGTTCTGTCGAAAGTGCAGGCCCCCACGTCGCCCACCACCGGCAAAGGCTAAGCCCGCCAAAGTCAAGAAGGCCGGTCGAACTGTGCACCCCAGACTGCAGGCAGGACCGCGCCTTGAGGTTGGTGGTAATCAATTTACCGCCGATGAGAGACGTGCATACTTCTCTTGCCTTTCGCATGCACAGCTCGTGGAATTGCTGGTCAACATCTCCAGCAAGAACCCATCGGTGCCCATGTTGCCCGCCAACATAAAGGATCTGCCGGCATCGCAGTTTGTTTTCAAACCAAAGGGCAATGACGGTTTACAGTCGGATACTGGCGATGCACCCGAAGCGAGTTCAAACAAGAGGACTCGCGCGGAGCAAGATCCATCCGATGCCGATCTCACCACCAATCCTCGCAAGAGACCTCGCACAACTTCAGCTGCGGCAATTGCGCCTATCAAAAACCCTTCACCCCAACCTGATGCTGAGCCCTCGACTCGCTCACCCGCTTCCACTACTGCCACACCAGACCTCGTTCCCCCATCCGCTCCCATTCAATCCAAAATTGACCCCAACACCACGATCTCCCAGCGGCCACAAGGAGATCGCCCATCAGTTGTCTCTCGGAACACTACAGTTGAGGACTCGGACACACCAACATCCGATGATGAGTCTTTTGATACCGTTGAAGACCATCGCATGTACCCAAGAACTGGCAGGGGCTTCTCACCTTCTCGTGACCCCGAGGACCTTAAGATTCTCGACGAGAATCCCGACTCCAAGACCTTCAGCCACAGTATGCATGGCCCAGCAAAGAAGGCACAAGAGATGGGTGTTCCTCCTCGCGTTTGGGAGAGCTAGATGAAGAGACCCGTGGGCTTTTCATCACAATCTTGTGATTATGAACGTCACTCATGTCTAACCCGTCCTTGTTCCGCTCGAACATTCTACACAACATGATCATACTACAGACTATGACGATACTACAGAATCTAAATCAATTTAACAAGCGAATTCATGGAAATTGCATAAACTATACATGTAGCTCATGTCATCTCGTAAATCGCAGGTAAAGTAAGCCGCGTAGTATAGAGTTGCTTGGCTGAATATGCCCTTTTGACGCTATCTTATCAGCCCCACCTTTACGCGCTTGCATGTCTTCAAACATCCTCGGCTTGTATCTCCTCCGCCATTGTGAATGACCAAACATCGGATGTTACTCTACAGCATATCGGTGTGTTGAATATACCCAGCAGCCGTCAGCCGAATTCAGGGGGCCAAAATAGTATCGACAAGACCGCTCGTACATCCCTCGAACACGCAAGTCACGTTCCAAATTTCATCACATCATCAAACACAAATCAGACATCCACCCCAGCAAGACAGCGAGGCAGCTACAAATCCCAAACTCACCATGTCATCTCCCCCAAAAATCACTTCAAAAAGTACCCTCCCGACACCCTCACCCCGGAAGCCATGGTCCCACCACCTCACGTTAGACACCCTTCTCCGTGTACTAAGAAACACCCTCCTCAGCCCATTCATCGCCTGGATAATAGTCCTCTGCCTCCGCGCCCAAGTTACTCCCCCGACAGACCCAGCCTTCATAATCGCAGTCGCATATGCCACGGCTCTGACACTACTCTTCGTTGCGGGGGTCATCAATCATCGTGTCGCGCATGGTATCCCGCGGGCGGTGGACTCTGCGAATGAAGTTGTTTTGGTTACGGGTGGTGCGAGTGGGCTGGGACTCTTGGTGGCGCAGATGTATGCTATGAAAGGGGCGAGTGTGGCTGTTTTGGATATTAGGGATATTGCGGCGAAAGAGCTGGATGAGGTGTTTGGAGAGGACGTGCGATATTTCCAGTGTGATGTTGGAGATCGTCGGGCGCTGGAGGATGTCAAAGGAAAGATTGAAAACGAGGTATGTTTACATTTAAGTCTACTTGAATACGTGGTTACATGAGCCATCAGTCTTTGAATAATATCTGCTTTTTTGGGATCTATGATTGCTAATGTATGCTGCAGCTGGGCACCCCAACCATCGTTATCAACTGTGCCGCGGCTCGAATCAACGGTCGTCCACTCCTGGACTTGCCAGCAGAAGCATTTGAGAAGACGGTGCGCACCAATCTAATGGCCGCATTCCATCTCTACCAGGTTTTCCTGCCGGGCATCGTCGCAGAAGCGGAAAATGGAGGCACCATTGTCACTGTCAGCTCGGTACTGGGTCAATTGTCTCCAGCAGGGCTGTCAGACTACTCAGCAAGCAAAGCAGGACTAAGCGCACTACATCGAACCATGGAGGCTGAGTTCCGCAGCGATGGGCGGATAAAAATGTTGCTGGTGGAAACGGGGCAGATGGCGACACCATTATTTGATTGGGTCCGCGCCCCGAGTCAATTCTTCGCTCCCGTTCTGGAGCCGGTCGAGGTCGCCCGTGAAATTGTGGCTGCTGTAGACAGCGGCCGTGGCGGCGTGCTGAGGTTGCCCGCGTTTGCGAGGCTCGTCAATTGGTATGCTGTGCTGCCGGGTGCGGTGCAGCTTGCATCACGATATTTCAGTGGAATCGATAATGCCGTCTCTTCAAGCATCCAAAAACGTGATGGAGACAGCGAGCGCAGGTATCCACTGAGGTCCAATAAGAAAGCGAACTGAGATAGCGTGGGCAGATGAGACAGCCAATTCACCCCGTATATAGATACAAGATGAATCTCCCTTATCTGCCTTGTATGTGTACGAGCAGCTTGCCGAATCTAGAATGGGTATCGCAAGGGGCATGAATCAAGCAAGCTGTAAGTGGGTGAAGTCATGGATGAACAATTCTATTGCTCGCGAGCCAGAATCATCTTCTCACGCTCACTCTTTCTTGACTTGAGGTTGGCCTTAGCAGTATGCTTCCGCACATTCTCCTCACGTCTCTTAATTGCACCAAGCTCGTCACGCTTGATCTCACCAGCCTTCTTGATAGGCTTGGGCAGGTGACGCTGGCGCTTGATACGGCGGATCTCGGGCATATGTCCGTACCGCTTAATCAAAGCTTGGTCATACTCCAACTTGGTTCTTTGGCGGGCGCTCTGAACTCCACTGCGGTCGGAGGCATTGGCACGCCACAGACGAATGTTGCCATCGTCAGATCCAGACAAGACATACTTGCTGTCGGGGGTGAAATTGACGGAGAAGACACTGCTCAAAATGTTAGTGATGACTCCTTGCATAATGACGAAGGTGTTGACGTACCGTTGCATCCGCTTGGTGTGGTAAATATCACGAGAGTGACCGCGGTTCCTCTTCCACAGGCGGACTGTGCGGTCGTAGGACGCAGTCACAAGATCCTCACCAGTAGGGCTGAACTCGATGTCCATAACAGCTGCGACATGGTCCTTCAGAACGTTGAGGGCACGGTCCATCTTTCTCATATCGAAAATGTAGGCGTTATGATCTTCGTTGGCTACAGCAAAGTTGAAGGCTTCCATAGGGTTCCAAGCAATGGCATTGGACGCCAAGTTTAGAACTAGCTTTTGCACCGGCGAAGAAGTGCGCAGATCATACATAATGATCGACCGATCGATAGCGGTCGAACCAAGGATCGATGTTTCCGTCTGGTTGAAGGCAATCGACGTAATGGTATCAACGCTGGTCGGCCAATGCAGAGTTTGCGTGGGTGTGGAGGAAGGTCGGGATAGGTCATAAATGGAGATGACCGACGAAGATGCAGCAAAGGACGGGAGGTTACGATGGTGCGAAACACCAGTGAAGGCGCCGGAACCAAGGTAACTTGCCATGGGAGGCGCTTCGGGAGTTGAGTTGTAGGGATCCCAGAGTTTGATGGTCTTGTCGCTTGCGCACGACAAAAGCTTCCGTTCTGGAGTCCAGCAGAGACCTTTGACGATGTTCTCATGTCCTTGGGTATTCCAAATCTCTTCACGGGTCGTCAGATCCCACACCTTCACTACACCATCACCGCTACCACTTGCAAATCGTTCAAGGGAGCCAGGGTCCTTGGCCATGCTGTAGACACCATCGACGTGGCCATCGCCCATCTGGCCCAAAAATGGAGCAGCAAACATGCGCTCCATTTTGACGGCATTGAGAGCACGGGTGTACTCGCGGGCTCGCTCAAATGGATGCTGGGACGGGTCGAGATTTCGCGCCTGGCGAACGGTGGCAGACCCAGGCGCCTGCTGCGACGCCGTTGGGCGAGAAAGGGCTTTAATTTTCTGTCATGAGTTAGTATGACTTTCATTTAGACCAAAAAATGGACTCTAAGCTCACCATCTTGGGAATTTATGAGGTTACGCAAAAAAGAGAAGAAGGCGGCAACTCGAACTTTTTTTTCTGTTGACGGGCAGATTTGCTAAGCGGGCGGTGAGCGCCAGAGCTGGCCCAGCTCCAAGCTCCCCGACTCACGTCCGGCCGACCTATCAACCGCTCTGTCATCAATCACCTTCCAAGCCTCTTTGTATTCGAACCACCTCTATCCTAATCTCCAATCTTACCCCATACCATAACTCGTCTTCAACCATGGCCGCCGCCCTGCAGGTCTCGCCTCGGATACAGGAAGTCCGCGACCTGGCCAAGCAGGACCCTTCCAAAGCCGCCAACAGTTACCAGACAATCCTCTCAGAGGGCCCAGGGTCGACAGAGGCTTCATCGCGGGACTATGAGCAGGCATTGATCGGACTGGGAGAGTTGTATCGGGATGCAAAGAAGCCACAGGACATTGCAGACCTCATCAAGACCAGCCGGGACACCTTTTCGTCATTCGCCAAAGCAAAGACAGCCAAGCTAGGTACGCTGAACCCACCGGATACGTCAGCAGCCATACTAACAGTTGGAGTATAGTCCGCCAACTCTTGGACCTCATCAGCGAAATCCCCAACACCCTCGACCTCCAGGTTGCCGTCATCCAATCATGCATAGAGTGGGCCATCGTTGAGCGGCGGTCGTTCCTTCGACAGAACCTCCAAGCGCGACTGGTCGCAATCTATATGCAGAAGCAAAGTTACTACGACGCCCTCACCCTCATCAACTCCTTGCTCCGCGAACTCAAGCGTCTGGATGATAAACTCATGCTGGTGGAAGTGCAGCTGCTCGAGTCTCGGACCTACCATGCTTTGGGCAACCAGGCTAAAGGCCGAGCCGCCCTGACAGCTGCACGGACGTCTGCTGCTTCTGTCTACACTCCCCCGAACTTGCAAGCTGGTCTGGACATGCAGAGCGGTATGCTGCACGCCGAGGACAAGGACTTCACCACCGCATTCTCATACTTCATTGAGGCTCTGGAGGGATACAGTTCTCTCGATGAAGGGGAGCTAGCCACCGCAGCCCTTCAGTACATGTTGCTGTGCAAGATTATGCTGAATCTGGTCGATGATGTCACTCAGCTGTTGGGCTCCAAGCAAGCCCAGAAGTACGCCAGTCCCCGCTTGGAGGCTATGAAGGCAGTTGCGCGAGCTCATGCCAATCGCTCCTTGGAAGAATATGAAAAGGCGCTCTCTGACTACCGGTACGAGCTCGGCAGCGACACATTTATCCGAAATCACCTTCGCCGTCTCTATGATGCCATGTTGGAGCAGAACCTCATCAAGGTTATCGAGCCGTTCAGCCGTGTGGAGCTGGACCACATTGCCAAGATGGTCGGCTTGGATACTCAGCAGGTGGAGCGGAAACTCTCCCAAATGATCCTGGACAAGGTGATCATTGGTGTGTTGGACCAGGGATCGGGATGTCTGATTGTGTACGATGAGACGGAACGTGACCAGGCTTATGATGCTGCGCTTGACACGATCGAGAAGCTCAGTAATGTGGTGGAAGGACTGTATACTAACCAGGCATCGCTTCTGGAGTAGAACGGAAGAGGGCAAATGGATTCATGGCAATGCGATTATGTTGGTTAATAGGAAATAACCAAAGACTATGCATGGCCATTGCATAAGTAGATCTTTTTCATCTCTTGACTGAGTCTAGACCTATCCATCATTAATCTCATCAGGCCAAGTTGAGGTAGCTAAATTGAAGTTGCCTTTGGCCGTGTTGATCGCGACTTACCGAATCGGGTTAGGCTGAGCGGCAGAAGAATCGCGACTTCTCGTCCGCCTCCGCCTCGTCCTGTATCCTCCACTCAGGCACTCACTCCATCCCGTGGGGCACCTGCTTGCTTAATTGTCAATGAACGCTCCAATGCAGCCCAATTATGCTCGGGGTTATCCCCAGGCCGCCCAACGGTCTCCAGCCACGGCCCGTCGAGCCCAAGGACCAGGTTTGTCCCCCGACCAACCTCCCCGTTCGCGCTTCTCTAACCTCAAGGTAGCCGGCGCGATGCCCGTTCCAATGCCTCAGCATGCGGTGAACCCCCAATATATGGCCGCACAGCGCGCGATGCCTCACCCTAATGATGCGGCTCTTCGGCGTAGCCGCAAGCCGACCGACAAGAACATCCCCGAAGGCATTGAAGAGGTTATCATCGGCGAGGGCGTCGAACAATACAAGAACCTTCGCGACCTGGAGAAGCGACTCGACGCCGCCATCGTTCGCAAGCGCCTGGACATCCAAGACTCTATCAGCAAGACTGTGAAGAAGTATCGCACCCTCCGCATCTGGATTACCAACACCGTCGAGAATCAACCCTGGCAAGGAGCCGGCAGCAACCCCGGTTCTGGTCGGTATAAGGTACGCATTGAGGGCCGGTTGCTGGATGACGATAATGACCCTACTGTCCCTGAGGACGACGATGAGGGTGACAAGGACGATGCGATGGACCAAGACAAGGATGGGGCAGATGGTTCGAAGAAGGCAGAGCCCAAAAAGCCTTCTCAGAGGCTCTCGCATTTCTTCAAGACCATCACTGTCGATTTCGACAAGCCAGCCAGCAACGTAATCGATGAAGTCAAACCCGTGACCTGGACCAAGCCTCAGGTTCCCCCGAATGCGACGTCAGCACCACCAAATGCCGAGTTCGATAGCATACAGTTCACTCGCAGCTCGCAGGAAAACGTGAACGTTACCATCAGCTTGGTGAGGGATGAGACACCCGAGCGGTACAAGCTGAGCAAGGAGCTTGCTGAGGTGTTGGACGTTGAGGAGGAGACTCGGAGCGGAATTGTGCTCGGAATTTGGGACTACATTCGTGCCATGGAACTGCAAGAAGACGAGGAGAAGCGACAAGTTCGCTGTGATCATCGCCTGCGCTCGGTATGTAACACCATTCCTCAGGAAGCTCTCATCCTCCCAATTGTTAATCAATGACCGGGCTAACTGAAAAACTTCAGATCTTCGGCCGCGACCAAATGTTCTTCCCTCAGATTCCAGAGAGCATTGGGCCCCACACCAGCCCTATGGATCCGATCAAGCTTCCTTACACTATCCGTGTCGACGAGGACTTCCACAAGGATCCCACTCCCACTATCTACGACATCCAGGTTGCCGTGGAAGATCCTTTGCGCCAAAAGATGATGGCTCTTACTCAAAATCCCCAATACACAGCCGGCTTGCGCCAGATCGCTTCGCTGGACGACCAGGTCGCGCTCATCGTCCAGGCTCTCACCCACTCCCGAGCCCGCCACTCCTTCTACACTGCCCTGAGCAAAGATCCCGCCACCTTCCTGCGCCGCTGGGTCAACTCCCAGCGTCGGGATCTTGAGACTATTCTCGGCGACGCCAATGGGGTTGGCGATGGTAGTGGACCCGAGTTCCGCCGTGGTGGCCCCGAGAGTGCCTGGGAGACCCCCGTGGCGAAGGAGGCAGTACGCTATATGCTGGCAAAGCCCGAGGCGGCAGCACCTCGGTAAATGGCTTGATATCTGGGATTTTTGTCGCCATGGCGGCTTCTTATGTACTTTGATTCTCTGATTGTGGCGCTTATGCGGTGTTGGGTCTGGTGTAGCTAGGTTATGTATGGCAGGGCTAATCATTTATTTTAAAATCTTGATGTTCATGACACTGTCATCCAATTGTCAAACCTTCGAACAACTCGGCCGTAATACATAAATTTAGGGTAGTCCCAGGCATGCAATGTGCTACACCATGAAACCTCTTCTAAGCCACCATCTTGGATTTATCCATACTAGGCTACAGATGGTGCGCGAGGCAATTTCGAGAACAATTAAGAAAACTATACACATTCAGCATGAGTTTAAACAACCAAGTAGAACAAAGCAGAACCCCCGAACGCTATTGCGTTGATGCACGAGATAATATAAAGCAAGGTCGTCATAAAACCCAGCTCCTAGGGCTGGCCGGATTCGAAACGATCATCCCCAAAACATCATACTGAGAACCAAGGATAATATCCGCTCAATTCTCTATACAATTGACTCTGAATCAAGTGGGTCATGACCCTTGAAGAGATACTTTAGCAAGCAGCTCTCCCCGACGTCGTCGCAACTCCTCGGGGAGATGAGCATCGATGGCCGACGAGATTTGCTCAACCGTCAGAGGCAATTCACCCCGCAGGACCGCCCCCTCCTCCTCTTCCAGCTTTGCTGCAGCCTCGAGAACAACATCGCGGGCGAGATCCTCCAGGTTCACAGGCTTCTCCTCGGCATTCTTCTTCTCACCGACTTTCTTCTCCCCTGCACCGCCAGGGGGCCCACGGAAGCGCTTGAGAACGGTCTCCACCATCTTCGAGAACCAGAAATAGTTCAGGAAGTTGAGGATCAGATTGGACGTGACGTACGTTACGACTAACCAAGTAGGTACGCCACCGGCTGTGAAGTCCTTGAATCGGGCAATTTCGGCGTTGGCACGAGCACAAGTTTCGTCGACACACATGCCGCCATCCCGTAGCTTGAAAACATTGGCGTTGATATCCACGGGGGCTTGGAGCGGCGAAGACGAGGATAAAGACCAGGTCTGCTGGAGCGCATACCACATGTCCTTGTAGACCACGATAGATTGCCAGGTTCCCCAGACCAGGCGGCAGCAGAAGAAGACAGCGAGGAGCATCATGCCGTTGTACCACTGGGCACGGCTACCAGTCATGTTGACCTTGTCGAGGAACCAGTGGATATTGAGGAATGGGCTGGAGAGCTCATAGAGAATGAAGACGGGAGCGTAGTAGTTGAGAAAGGGTCTCTATAGATGATCAGGGGTCATATCAGCAAAGGCTTCCTCAAACCAATGATAGGCGGGAAGGAGAGACGTGTAGACTTACGAATCCAAGGCTAAATACCCAGAGTGCGCTGACGGCATGGAAAAGCATACCAATGCCAAACATCTGTAGATGCTGAGCGCTCACAATCAGATCATATATGAAGTATCCCACGGCCAGGGCCTGAATCAAGCCACAGCCACCAGTATATCCGAAGACACGCTCACCAGCCGACATAGACCGGCGTTCGTTGTCGACGAATATCTCCCACAATGCAAGGGCATTGATGAGCACACTCTGAATGAATGAGACGACATGAATATCCCAGTTCAATTTGGTGCGGGCATTAAGCGCCGGGTATGAGCGGGGAAAGAGGATCGGCGACAACCACGGCGAGACCACCGAGTGAATGAACTGATAGAACAAGAAGGCGCCGATCACTTCATGGATATGCTCGGTGAGAGTTGGACTGTTCCAAGCTAGGGCGTAGGGTTCGATGAAATTCCGCAGCCAGGTGGGCGGGGCGCCCAGGGGGTCCAGCATAGTCGCTGTCGGAAGAGTCCCTGACGGATCAGCTCTTATCGATGTGGGGAGCTTGGGGTCGGGAGATGAGGCCAGAGAAGGGTATCTGTGGTGGAGATACCAGGAATGATTCCCGGTGTACCATCCAACAGTCGAGGGCACTGGCAGACCTCTGGATTATGCAAAAGAGGACCTCAGGCACAGGATAGACTGAAGAAAAGGCAAGAGAAGAAGCGGAGTGAGCTTCGGAGCACGAGGCCTCGGCTCAGCCTCAGGCTGCAAGATTCGTTGGGACATCACCTGACCTCTTGCCTATCGTGGCAGGTGACGGTTGCTCAATTAGGGCGGCTCACAAGGACGACAACGAATGAAGTCAAGACTAATCTGAAGGACCTTGATGAATATACTGACTACTACGGGATACTCAGCTACATGACTACGGCACGAGATCAGTGAGGTATCAGAAGATAATAATAATTCATGACTAAACACATAAGGAATTAATACAACGATTCATACAAGCCCATCAGAAAATAAACAACCAAGCACAGAAGTGGTATATGAAACAAGGAATAACAAATGAAACCCGAAAACTCCTCGTCACCATGAAACAAAGGAAACTCAAGCAGCACTGACCACTGACTCGGTACCGAGTGCACTGTCACCAGCAGGTTCCAGCATCTTCAATACTTCGGCCTCCATGGCAGAAGCAGTATCAGAGATTGGTCGGTCGGCGTCATCTTTTACAAAAGACTCATCCTCAGTCTCGGGATCTTTTGCTTCCTCCTCATCATTTTCATCGTCGTCCTCCCGGGCAGTCCTAGCATCATAATCATCATCGTCTGACTCGGACTCCCTGCCAGATACATAGCTCTGGTCATCATCAGCAATGGTACTGGCGGCGACACCCTCGTGCCCGTCAACGGTACTCATTTCAACGGTGCCGGTACTCATGACACTGGTGCGTCGATCTGTTGAAGCCACGCTCTCGGTGACACCGCTGCACATGCTGTCCGTGCAAGTTTCGGCGTAAGAAGTCTTGCGATCGGTGGGTGCATAGCTCGACCGGCGATCAAGTCCAGCGTGGCTCTCCACCTCACTTTCGGGCTCTTCCTCCTCGGGGAAAGCCTCATTTTCTTTGTTCGCAATAGAGGTTCGAGTAGGCAAGGAAGTCTTGCGGAGGGAAAAGTTGGACTTGACAGAGTGGCTGCGCTTCAGGCTGGTGATCCCGCTGTTGGCGCTGACCTGACGATCAGCACCCCGATTACCCGTCACATGGTTCAAGCTGAGAATGCGGCGCTCTTTGCCAATGTTAGGCTGAATTGGGATGGGGCCAGCTTGGAGGCTGGCGGGCGTTCGGCGCTTCAAAGCCATGCCAACTCCATTCCCGAGAAGGCTTCGGGCATCCTTGGAATCGCGGGCGGTGCTAGCTGTGCTCATCACGCTCGGACTGCGGGCACGAGCCCGAGAAGAGCGTGTACTGCGGTTGCGCTTCAAGTTCATAGCGTGGACGCTGCCTGAACGACTGAGCAAGACTGAACGGGCATGGTCGAGGACACCCTCCAGGATACGCTTCTCTAAGCCGTCGGCACGCTCCTCCATCTGTTGCATCTCCTCGTGGCGAATTTCCAGGGCTGTCTCGAGACCGGAAACCTCCTTGCTGAGCTTGGTGTTTTGCTTGACAAGTTCGTCCTTCTCGTTCTTCAAGGTGTGGATCATCTTGAGAAGGGAGTCCTTCTCCTCGTGAAGTCCAACAATTTCAGCTTCAACCTGCTCACGCTGAGCAACACGACGCTCCAATGCAATAGCGGCATCCTCTGCCTCGCGGCGCTTGCGCTCAGTGTCCTCGGCAACAATGGCGGACTGAGCAGCAAACATCTCGTTCATCCGACGGGTATTCTCCATAATGTCCTTGTGCATCTCGTCAAGCTTCATCATCTGTGTAACAGAGTGCTCAGAGTCTGATGCAGGGGCAGGGCGATCGAGGAGGGCATCAAGTTTCTCATGAACGGAACTGCTCCCACTACTGGCGTGGTCGAAGATTTGGTTGAGCTTTTCATAAATTTCCTCGTTACCAGAGCCTCGGTCTAGAAGACGATCAAGCTTGGCATGAAGTTGGTCGTTCTTCGAGTGGTCCAGAAGCGTAGTGAGGACCTCCTGGACTTGATTGTTCTTGGCATGCTCCAGGAGATCGTTGAGCTTGGTGTGAACTGGATCATCGAGTTCCCGAGACGACTCTGGTGGAGGCAAAGCGGGCAGCATAGTCGGAATGGTGCTTGGCAGAGCAGAGAGCTCGGACTTGACTTCCTCGCTGGACTTCTGAGAGTGATCGTAATGCTGGTTTACAACGTCCAGGATTTGCTGCACCCTCTCCAAAATCTGCGGGTGGAACTCAAGCAGCTTGCTCTCGACACGTTCAGTGGCAGCGGCTGCTCGCTCCGTCTCGCCTCGAGACCGCTCTTGCTGTGTTTTGACTTCATTCTGCATTTCCTCCATGCGGTTGTAGGATTCATCAACCTTCTCGAAGAGAGTTTTTGTCTCAACACCAATCCGCTCGCATGTCTCATTGACACTAGTGCCCATCTCACCAATGACAAGCTTGATTTCCTCGGCAAGTGCCTTGGTACTGGCAACGGCCTCGGTATGCGCCAAGTCACGCTCCTCGCACTCCGAGAACTTGGAATGGAGCGAAGCATGGGCGTCTTCATACCTCGCCATGACATCACCAAGCTTCTCGTCAATCTTGACACCAAGTTCAACGATGATGGCAGCCCGCGTCTCGTCGTGCTTGACCATGACGGCGGCATCTCGCTCCTCCTTGTCGAGCTTACTAGCATCTTCTTCGCCACGAGCACGCTCGAACTCTCGGTTGATGAGATCGGTCAGCTCCTTGATGCTCTCGACGGTGCTGAAGTTCTCGGCAGTGAGCGCAAGGCCCTCCAGGAGCGTCTTGAGCTCGGTTAGCCCCTCCGTGCTACCATCCAGCTTGCTCTTCAGCTCGTCACCCAATTCGCCAACGACGAACTTGGCCTCCTCAATCTTTTCGGCGAGACCACCATGTTCGACTTTGCGGGCCTCGAAGCCTTGAGCAGTCATCTCGTTGTTGGCTTCCATTTTCTCGCGGAAGTCGGTGACGAGCGCCGATAGCTCCTGGATTTCCTCTTTGGTGGGAAGGGTTTCCACGTCGGGTAGCTTCAGCTCATCTACCTGGGTCTTCACTTCGAAGATCATGGCCTCCACGGTCTGTAGGTCGGACTTCATGAGTTTGTCGGTATCCGCTTCCGCATCGACTTCCTCGCCTTCCTTCGTCTTGGTCTTCAATTCGTCAAGCGCAATCCAGACATCCTTGATAAGGCCTTCCAGGGCACCAATGTCAGCCTTGGTAGGGGCATCGGCTTCGAGGCGAGTCGATAGATTGGCGATACTGTCCTTGGCCTCGCCGATCATGGTTTCAAGGGCAGAAATATGCTGTGAGGTAGCGATTTCATCCGGAGACGGGAAGACGATGTCATCAATCTGGGCCTTGGTGCTCATGAGAATTTCCTGGATCGCATCGGTATCCTCTTTGCGGGCTGCGGCCTCATGTAACTCCTGGCTAGCACCCATGTCACCGATAGCACCCATGGCGACCTGGATCTCCTGGACGGCCATGAGAACCTCATCAAGATGACTGCGCTTGAGTGCATCTTCGTCTGGCTCAGCTGCGCGAGGAGTAGAGTCGATGGACTCAACCTTGGTGTGAAGTTCAGTGATCAGAGTCTTTAAACTGTCGATGTCGTTTCCGAAAGCAGCTTCCTTAGCAAGCATGACCTCATCACCGCGAGTGGTTTCAGCAACATCGAGCTCCTCCCGAGACTGACGAATGGAGTCAATATCAAGCTTCAAGTCAGCGAGGCCATGTTTAATGGTGTCCAGGATCTCGGAGGTGTCAAAGTCGGTGGGCTTTTCCATGAGCCTCTTGAGATCGTCACGGATGGCATCCATGTTATCGTGGAATGCGTCTAGCAGCTCGCTAGTGGCAGAGAAGGTGCTTTCTGCACCATCTTTCTTCGACAAGTTTTCCTCACGGAGATTGTCGAAATGCTCTCGAAGAGCGGCGATGATCTCAACCTTGTCAGATCGAGGCTCGGCACGAACAACGCTCATGTCCATGCGCTCGCGCAAGTTCTCGAACTCTGATCGAATGGTGTTAAGAACTTCATCATCTCCACCGTTGGTCTTCTGTTGCTCGGAAACATCTCGGATGGCATCCAGTATCTCATCCTTGTCGCTTGTGGCATTGTCGCGAAGGAGCAGAGTGCTGATAGTTCCCCGCAGGTGCTCAAACTCCTTCTCCATGGCGTCCAGAAGCTCAGTAGTATCAGGATTTCCACGAGCCGCATTGCTAAGAGAGGCATCATTGATGGTCTTCTCCATATCGGCTTGGAGCAAGCGGAATCCCTCCTTGACAGTGTCGATGATCTCACTTTTCCCGGAGACTTCAGACGCCGTGGCTACATAGGACTCAATCTCCCGTCGAACAACTTCGAGGCCATCCTTAACCGCATCAAGTACCTGTTCGGTGTCCTTGCCATTGGCTGCAGAGTACTGCTTGAATTCTTCTTTCATGCCATCAACAACTTCTTGAAGGCGCGTCATTACTTGGTCACCAACGTTCAGATTGGCAGAACTGCTGGCATCTTGGAGACCCGCGCTGATGGCTTCCATCAGATCATCCTTGTTCAACTCGATCTCGCGAGTCATGGTGTTGGCGCTCTCGATGCCATCTACTACAGCGTTGAACAGTTCCTCGCGAGTGATACTTGGTTGCTGCACGGCGGTGCTGAGGGCGGACATCTGGGACTCTTGCGACTTCTCGAGCGCTTCAGAGACAGCCTCCACTATCTCCTCCCGGGAGAGCGAAGGTTGAACACTCGGTACAAGAGCTGACTCCTCGGACTTTTGCGACATTTCAATGCCGTCGGCGATGGCTGCCATTATCTCTTCACGTGAGATGCTGGGTTCCTGGGGCTTTTGTGACATCTCGATTCCATCGGCAATTGCTGCCATGATCTCCTCGCGGGTGATGGGTGAGTCGTTGCCAATACTCAGCGCAGTATGCTGGGCGCTGAACGCATCGTTGACAGCATTCATGACGTCTGCCCGGGAGATACGTGGCTCTTCCATCTCCTTTGCAGTAGTGAAGTGTGCCTCCAGGCCATCGGAGACAGCGCTGACAATCTCGTCTCGGCCAAGGCCAGAGTCGTAGGACTCCTTGCTGAGCATACTTTGCGTAGCCATTGGCCCGCTAAGGGCATTGAGAATCTCATCGCGAATTTCATTGAGATGGTGGACGTGCTCCTCATTGAGACCCCTTGAAGATTGATCGGGTACCGCACGCTCTGTGATAGCGTGGATAATTTCATCACGGATGGAGTGGAGATGACTGATGTGCTCCTCATCCAATCCTCTGGAAGAAGCGTCCGGAGCTGCACGCTCGGAGATTGCATGAAGAATCTCTTCACGCATAGAGTGAAGGTGTTGAATATCCTCCTCGTCCAGGCCTCTTGAGATCTCAGGGATCGCACGCTCTGAAATTGCGTGAAGAATCTCTTCTCGCATGGCGTGAAGGTGATTCATGTGCTCCTCATCCAGGCCTCTTGAGCTTTCGGGAACTGCACGCTCTGCGATTGCTTGAAGGAGCTCCTCGCGCATAGAGTTGAGATGCTGAACATGCTCTTCATCCAGACCTCGCGGTGCGGGCTCTGGTCTCTCAAGGCACTCGCGGATAGTAAGAATGATTTCATCTCTAGTAATCATCGGCGGGTGGTCAACTGGAGGAGGCACAAAGTTTTGCAATCCCGTTTGGACGGCAGCAAGAACCTCTTCGTAGGTAACAGATTGCTCGTGCTTTGGCTGGTAGTCCTTGAGACCTTCCGAGAGGCAGTCAAGAATTTCGTCGCGCTCGAGACCAAAATTTTGTAGTTCAATCTCGGGCTTGTAGGTCTCCCATGCCTCGCGGACTGTCTCCAGAATGTCCTCCTTCTCCATAATTGGGCCATGTGGCTCCGCAGGTTGGGGCTGGGGGATCTCAAACTCATCGAGGGCTTTCTTCACTGCAGCGTAAATCTCGGCGCTGTTCATGGCCGCTCGAATCTGTGTCAAGTCGGAAGAATGCTGCCGACTTTCGTTGATGGTCGCAGCCAGTTGATCACGAAGGTCGTGCAGACTGTCATTCACCACAGAGGCAATCTCTTCAGGGGTGGCAGTCTGGGGCTGCTCTTGGGGCTCGTCGTTTGCTTGATTCGACTCGATAGCCTCCAGCTTGCGGGCGATGTCGCGACCCATACCCAGAACCTCTCCTCGCAACTCTCGCACCAATGCCTTGACGCTGTTCGTCATTCCGCCGCTTTCCATGACGCTATTCTTTACGCTCTGGAGAAGGAGCATCATGTTGTCATTTCCAGCAAGAGCCCTGTCACCTTTCGGCACATCGAGAGCCCGTACTGTGGCGGTTGGATCGATGATGGAACCAACCGAGGCTGATCGGGTAGCCTCGGTGTTGGAGTCATTGGCTGAAACGGTTTCACGAGGTCTTAAAGAGCGCACCAAGGCATTCTGGGAGGGGTCTTGCTTGACGAGGTTCAGGATCTCCTCAAGCATTGTGGTGATCTTAGTGTCGGTATCCTTGTCCGAAGTGGTCGTGCCTGGACGTGATTTGATCTCATCGACCAATTCCAACAGTCGTTCCTCACCTTCTTTTGTAGCCATCTCGCGTAATACTTTTTCGAGCAAAGCAATACTGGCTGAGCCGTCGCTAATTGGTGCGGGTGAACCACAGACATCACGATCGAAGGCGAAAGGATTAGGGCTCGGCATGCGAGGGACTGAGTAGCTTCTCTTAGAGTTGGGAGAACTATCCGGTTCACTGTGGTTAGGGCCGTCTACAGGCTTCAACAGAGCACTGAGATCTAACCTTGTAAGATCACCATCCAGCAATTTACTCGTCAAATTGGACGAGAGGTCCTTCAGACTCTTTCGAATATCTTCATCTCGCGCATTCGTTGCGGCCTTCAGACTGATGAGGTCGGTAGCGTTGTCCTTGCTTCGTCGGCTGAGATTGGCCATCTCGCGCTGCAGATTGCTAGCAATATCAGTCAGGCTATGGATTTGTGTTGCTAGCGTATCCATAGTGTGCCCCTGAGGTTCAGCGGCGGGGCGATCGGCGATCATTTTGGGAGGTTTCGAGGGTGATGGAGGGTCGGATTCGGCGGGGAGCTGCATGTTCTGGATGGCTAACATGGTTGCGGAGGGAGGAGTACTCTCCCCCAGAATGGGTTTCGAGAGGTAGCGGCTTGACAGGAAGCTAGGAAGCTCTCGGTCTGCGGTCTTGGGCCTGGAAGGATCAGACGGCTTGCTCGTTTCTGGCGACTTGGATGTTGGGTCGACAATAGTAGCACGAAGAGGTCGCTCTGGTGACCGACTCTCAAGATAATTGAGAAACTCGGAGCGAGCATCGCCTTTGGTGTCTGCAGGCTGTAGCGACTGCATACGCTTGTGATAATGGCCTTTTACTAGGGATCGCTCTGGGGAGGAAGATTTGTTGGGCATCGGGTTTATCGTATATGTGCTGGGGGCGATCTCGCTCGCCTTGTCGGCGAACTTGGCCGCAACAGCTTGAATTCCGGGCGACACATTGGATCTGGTCGCGGGGCTCATGGAGCGAGGGTTCAATGGCAGCGGCGGAGGCGCACGCTCAGGATCAGAGCTGTCCCACCTGCGTTTACGGCGCTTTAGCGACAGTCTCAGGTCACTCATGGAAGGCATGACGATGACTGCTCAATCAAGGATCAAGAGTTGATAAATCAATACGAAGAACATACATTGGGATAGAAGGTCGGCTGGACTCGGTGTGAATGCCCGTGTGCCGGACCAGTTCCCGATCGCGGGAAGAATTGTCCCGTTCTTGGGACGGCATGTTGTGAGTTTGGTTTCGTAAATCGTAGAGGTAATCAAGTTGTCACGGTGAGGTGTATTGACAATAATCAAGAATGGAATGTGCTGGTGTACGGATCAAAACAAGGGTCGTCAAGGCATATCAACACCAAAAGGTTCGCTAAGAAAAACAAGAAGTGATGTTGAGGAGAAAAAGACGGTGAAAGGCAGGTATCAATCACCGGGAGATCTGCTTTTGATAACAGGAAGAGCGGAGGTGGAGCGAGGAACCACTACGCGGCCACCACATCATCAAGCCATCGAAGCTCCATAGCAACAGAGCAACTGGAGGGGGCAACGGGCAAGTGCCCCGTCGTCATGTAAACAAAGCGGCTTTCTGCCCAAAGTACCCACTTCGCGGTCTGAGGGGCGGTGAGGCCCAGAGATCCCGGAATATCATTCAGTCCGAAAACCCCAGCATTTCTTCCAAAAGGAGAAACTGTCCCAAACAGGCCTAGACGACAGCGGTCGGTAAGAGACCCAATCACCGATCGGCACACAAATCACGCTTGCCCTGAACCCTCTGCCCGCCCAAGCGAAAAAACGAACACTTCGATCTCGACTGTTCCGTACCTCGACAAACCACCCGCCAAACCTCGCCGCCACCGGGACCTTCACAATGAAGTGTACGTATTCGATCTCTACGACCTCTATGACCGAATCCATACTGACGAGAATGCTGCGACAGTCATGAAAGTTGGCCGTGTGGCCATCATTACCCGTGGCCGCTACGCCGGTAAGAAGGTACGACAATCCGACTCTTTCTCCCTCCCCCCGAGCACCGAGATATTGGAAAAAGGAAACGCGAGTACAGGAACATCAAGAGGAGGGATTTTCTACTGCAATGAGAGCACACGAGATCTGGAAGAAAGAAATCTTCAAATGGCAATGGGGAAATTTCGAGAGTTTGGAATAAAATTGGCTGACCAGTGCATTTGTCTCGACTCAGGTCGTCATTGTCCAGCCCAACGACTCTGGCTCCAAGGCGCACCCCTTCCCCTTCGCCATCGTCGCCGGTATCGAGCGCTACCCCCTGAAGGTCACCCGCCGCATGGGTAAGAAGCTCGTCGACCGCCGCAGCCGCATCAAGCCCTTCATCAAGGTCGTCAACTACAACCACCTGATGCCCACCCGCTACACTCTGGAGCTCGAGGGCCTCAAGGGTGCCGTCTCCAACGACACCTTCAAGGAGGTTTCCCAGCGCGAGGACGCCAAGAAGACCGTCAAGAAGGCTCTGGAGGACCGCTACACCTCCGGCAAGAACCGCTGGTTCTTCACTCCTCTGCGTACGTTCATCCGCCCGTCCGATCGAAGCGAGTCGACTTGCCCATTACTCGACTTGATTCGATCTCATCCTCGATATTCCCATTCACTAACATTTTAACGATATAGGTTTCTAAACGGTTGTACTCGGGCGTTTTGTCGTTTTGAGCGCGCAGGGGCCTAGGGGATGGCGAGGGGAAAAAAGCATCGAGCACATTCGGTCCCTGCAACGGATTGGAAGACATATACCATAGCTGGAAACAGAACTCGGGAATGTATCGATGAACTCCAGTTTGCACGGCGGCGCCGCAAAGAACTGGCGTCCGTCTAAATGAAATGGAAAACATGAACAATTACTTTTTTTTCATCTGCTTCAATTTGATTCTCCAGTGCCTACTACCTAACATGTACCGTTATGGTGTCCGCCAACTCTTTTTCCCCACCATTTTTTGCAACTGCGAGATTCTCGCACGGCCTTCCAGACTCGGCTCGCACTTTGTTCCAGATACCTCGGGTGGGCCTTGATCTATCCTCCTTATGCGCCAACATCCTTATCAACAACGTCCAGTACACTTCACCTCCCCACCCGTTCTCGTAGGTAGATCCACGGTCAACTTTAGACTACAAGTTAAGAACGCCCAGGTGACCCGTGGCTTCTCACCCATGTGATCCTATGCAAAATCTTATCCCAACCACATCGAGTGCATTCACACTAAATTCACAGTTACAGCCGGCCCCCGGGTCCCACGTCGTCGGCCCTTTCTTGCAGCATCGCATGTGAAATGGCTCGTCCCCCGACGCAGACGCAATGCTATTATCATGAGCTTCCGCGGTTAAACAGTTGACAGCGGCAACCCATGCAGCATGGTTACACCGAGAAGCGCATTTTCAGGAAATTATTGCGAGCGATCCGCCACCTGCAAATGTTCTCTGGTCTTCCGATAGGGTTATCGGTTTATCATATGTACAAGGGCGGTTTTGATCTACCGTTCGTGTTGACGATTTGAGCAGGTCGTATTGCACTCGGTGGCTGCATATTCGGTACACATGTATGAGAAATGAATAGGCAAATGAAGACCAGTCCCCCAAAAAGGTACAGAGGTGCAAAACATGCCGCGGAGTGGCGCAACTTGCCACGGCGGCCGGTTCGAGAAAGGATTGTCGGCCTCAAAAAACTAAAATCAAACAACAGAACGTACGATGCTAGGCGAAAATTTGAACGAGAGCAAATGTCAATGCAGAAACAAAAGTACGCACAGAAAATACAAAAAGCATAATTTGTCGAGGGCATAAGACATGAGACATGCACAAAAGTCCTCGCTATACTCGCAACTCCCCTCAAACATGACTAGTGAAGCAACTAATGCAGAACATCCCGTCCCATCCCACACACCAGGGACTTTTTTTTTGTTTGTGACAACTCAAGTAATCGCTATCTTCCTAACAACGATTTGTTCGGGACCCAAAGAATTCGTAGCCCGCTGTTGGAGAACTGTATATAGCCATGCTTTTGGGCAAGACAGGCGGATATCTGCGAACTAGCCCTGTTGGAAGAAGAGACGAAGATACCTAAGATCTATTCTCGGACTGGACAGGCTTTTCCCCTGGAGGAAGCAAGTTGGCAACGAATTCTATCTCAGCCACCCTCTCATTCATATATTGGGATTATAGAGAAAGATGGGGGAATCTCAGAGAGGCTCTTTACGAATAGGAAACATGGTGACTCCTCATGATTATCCTACTGGGTTAAAATCGCACCCACTGTTAGAAGAGGGAATTCTCCGATACAAAGATGGTGATAGAGCCACCCCACGTGAAGCTAATGATTTAGACAAGTCAAGTCGTTCACAGGTGGAAGACATTGAAAATCATGCACCAGTCCAGAGGAATCAGATGGATTACACTAACTTAGTATATCTGTAGGACTGCGAACTTGGGGGTTTCACTCTGGAATGTGCGTGCCTTCCAGGGGATCGTACCTGCCACCGTATAGATATGGGTTTTAATTTATAGATCAGGAGTCTTGGGAGGAACTTGGTACGTGGGCACATTTCCGTCCCGGTGCCAGTAGCCAGCTCTCTGATTGGGAATGAATAGACATGGTGATGAATAGAGGGAATGAACATTTGGGGGCATACTTGGATCGTCTGCAATATCCACTGTTTAGCTCGTCATCGTATGAGGATTCGTCGACCTCTATGAGCTGAGCTTGAATTTACTCTAGTATCTTGGTTGATCAAACTTTTAATTTGTGTAGTAATAGTATCTTTAAAGATGACTTTGATCATTCAAGTCTTATATGTAGGATCCGGTTACCGGCACGACAAGTGTAACCCATTCGGTCGAGTTCTTCTTTGTCCAAAAAACGGACTTCAACTACCGCTCTTTCAAAAGATCTCTCTAGTGGTATTTTGGACCGTCTCCCTGAACAGCTTCAGTATCATCTCCTGGGCTATCTTTCAGGTGATGATCAACGGATGTCTTCTGAACAGGAGCTATCCTAATCAGGGCCTAGTTTCCCGGGCGAGTAACAAGAACATATTGTTGTACTGATATTTTTGCCCCATGGTTCACACGGTAGGATGCCTTGGGTAAACACATAAATTGTACCAAGTCATGCCAAGCCCAAATTTAGATACCTTCGCCACGATTCTCCCACCAAAACCCACGCATGCACGATCGTGGCCTTTTTCCCGATTTACTCCGGCCAAGTACGTGCTCCCGTACCTCGCGGCTTGCCACCCAGATCGACCATCCATTGCCTAGTCCCGACCTAGCATGGGCTCACTTCTAGAGAGATGTTTCAAATTCAAAAAAATTCGGTAGCCTCCGTGCTACTACTACCTCAGCACATAACCTGTAGGACATTTACTTATCAGGCCTTGAATGGACGAATAGGGCAAAGCCAGCTCTGCGAATCAGTGGCCAGCGAGGCACGGCGAGGCATGTGCTTTGCACAAGGAGGAGAATTTCCAGGTTATCGATGTCTAGTGTTCCCCAGTTATGCATCCGGCGATACATTGGTACTTTGTGTTCCCGTCTTTTGTACGAGTTTGTCCATTGTCAGTGTCTATACTCGCTCGACAAACCAGGTCGGCAACCGCCGCTCGTTAATTGGGGCATGGCGCAGAAGAGATTCCAGGAAAGATCACGACATGACAACGAGTTCTTGGGTCCTCTACTTGATTACTACCCGTTGACCAACCGGATGGGCCGCGCATGGAGAATGAATCCCGCAACCGCCCTTGAAAGTGATGACCTCAACGGTTTTCTCATTGTGCAGGGCAGACGGTCCAATCGCCGGCAATCGGATGATTTTAGGACGAATCACCCGGCTCGCCAGTTGCACGCCCGGCGGACAGCGTCCCGGGAGGCCGATCGAGAACCTGGCCAGACCTGGAACCTAGAGTAGGGATGAAGTAAAAACCTTGTGCGGGTGCTTGGCATGATACAAAAACATAAAAGCACGGAACTTATTGGGGCGGAGATCGGAGAGGGAAGAGAGACAGAGAGAGAGAGAGGGAGAGGGAAAATAAGTACGGAGGTATCTTCTGGGTCGATCCGGTAGGAAGAGGCTTTTGAATTGTGGGAAAATCCCCAGGTCAAAGTTTCGACGGATGCCAATTTCTCGCGATCGCGTTCAAGGGCTTTGCTGCGAATGGCTGGAGGTGAGGGTGTTAGGTTCGAACAGACGCTCAGGCCAGCGGGAGTGGATCACTCGTGACGGGGCGAGGCTAGACCTGGCGGGAGAGGAGGGTAAGTGAACCCGGGCTCTGCAGGTGTCACGGTCGTCTAGGCGCTGGTGGGAATGAGACTAAGGCATGCGGGTTGACAACATGGCTGATAAGAGAGGAGTTTTGGGTCTTCCGGATTAGGTACATAGAAAGAGAGAAGGGGGAGTTTACACTACAGTATCTACCGTGAAGAAGGTATACATCGTACAAATCCAAGTGTGGCGGGGGACTAGTCCAGCTCGTGTTATTTTTTATTTTTTATGTTTTCTGATTTTTGCAGAATTGGGGTGGCCATTGGAAGAGGCCGAGTATAGATTGAAAACAGAGCTGTGCTCAACGATGGGGAGAGCCTCTGGGAGCAAGACGACCTCTGGTGGAGCCCGAATGCGTCGACGTTGGACCCGCTATCACATGGGAATTCCAGCTTATCAGAAGCTGTGTCGCAAACTCGACGCGAGCGGCAATTGCGCAAACTTGTTGCGCTGGGCGAATAATGAACGGGCAGATAAGCAGGTAGTAAATAAACGTTGCTATCAAGAAATAGGGTTGTCATGCCTTGGAAAGTTGTGGGATAACGAAGTTAAGCCTAAGTTTTTTGGAGGGGGAAAGGGTCCAAGAACCACGGGAGGCGCCCAAATTCAATTCCAGATCAAACCCAGGAAAGCTGCAAAGTCTAGAGTCCTGTTTCTCTTTCGGAAGAAATGACAAGACTCTCCTGCATGAAGGCACTGAGGTCCAAACCAGGGGCGAGGGAAAAGGTGTGTGCACAGATGATGCGATTGCGCTGGGGCCCTCGAGGAGGCCAATTGCATAATGAAAGCGCAATCGAGCAATCACATGTGAAAACGTCCGTATTTACTTCGAGACTGCCCACCTCTTTTTTTTTTCCCTCTCTCTTGTCCCACTATACTCCAATCTCGTCCTACTACTTATCTTGCCTACTATCTCCTCTCAGCATATATTCTCCTCTTCTTCTTTTACATTATTTTATTTTCCCCCCCCCCCCTCCCCCTTCTTATCCTATTCTCACATCTTCATGCCCCACGCCCACTCTGACGTGATGGGTCAACCAATCGTGAACGGCGAGCAGGTCCATTCTCAGTTCCTCGACGTAAGATAATCCCTGCTCATCTCAAATTTTCTCGATCCTTATTCTAATTGAATTTCCCCTTCCTCCAGCATCTCACCTCCTACCCCGTCGTCTCCGACTCCATCTCCCTCTTCAAGAGCAACCCCTACGGTGCCAAGTCCCTCGAGCTCAGCGACCACGCCTACGCCCGCATCGCCAAGCCCGTCCTGCCTTACTTCTCCACCCCGTACAGCTATGTCGCACCTTACCTGGCCCGCGCCGATGCTCTGGGTGACAAGGGTCTGACCCAGATCGACTCGCGCTTCCCCATCATCCGCGAAGATACCCAGAAGATCCGCGGCACTATCTACAACACCGCCGGATTGCCGGTCCGTGTGGCCGGCGACGTCAAGCAACACCTCTTCGATGTCTATGGCTCTGAATACAAAAAGTGCGGTGGTGATGGCGTCGTCGCTTCGGGCAAGGCTATCATCACGACGAGCCTGGTGCTCTCGACCGAGTCTTTGACTTATCTGACGACTTGGTTCCAGAAGGCCAAGGAGGAGGCTAAGGAGGTGGTGAATGAGAAGACCAACAGCCACTGATTAAAGAATGTGCTTGTCCCTTCCTTGAGCGTTTGATTTTCTTTCTTTCTTTCTTGTGTGGTCCTTTTTTTTTTTAGAGAAAATTATACCTGTCCTCGCGATTCTTCCTACTGGTTTCTGTTTCCGTGTTGGTTGTTTTCGATCTCTGTGCTTGTCATTTATTGGAGATATACAGTGCTACTGTCGCTGCGGATATATGTTGCCATATCGTCCTGTAATTGCTCAGCGTGACGTCATGCGAAAGATTGCCTGTCCTAATCCCGAATATGAACACAATTCAACTACTGTGCAATACTCTACCTTCAATTTGAATTTCTATCCGAATGACTCTTGATGTAAATTGCCAAAACACTCGAGAGACATACATTGTCCATCTCAATTTCACAAGCTCAAAGATAAGAATCGTGCACGGACCATCTGGTCGAATCCGGCCAGATCAAGTGCCGATCGTCGCGTCGCGTCAAACAATTCCCTCGACCGCGAACAAAGAAACTCATCCCCCACCTTCATCCTGACACGGACCAGTCAAGAAACATGTCTCAAGTTCGCAAACGCCGGGCAGTAAGCAAATCTATCTTCAATCCTCCCTCATTCTCCATCCTCCTCGTCAAAAACAAACTCTAACACAACCCCAGACCAACGCCGATCCCTCCTCATCTCGACGCCAACGTCCACGCAGCGCCTCCGCCTCCCCAGCCGCAGACATGTCCGACAGCGAAGCCGAGCACGGCGCGCCATCCAGCCTAGATGCCATGGTGAAGAAGATGGTGCGACTCGCGCTGGCAAGCGAGTACTCGCGCCTGCCCATCCGGCGCACTGATATCAGCGCCAAAGTATTGGGAGAACAAGGTTCGAGGCAGTTCAAGACGGTATTCGAGACGGCGCAGCAGCATCTGCGAAGTAAATTTGGGATGGAGATGGTGGAGTTGCCGGCTAGGGAGAAGGTGACTGTTTTGCAGCGGCGGGGTGAGTTCAAATCTCCAACTACCAGGTTCTATGCCTGTTATGCCTACGTCCGATTCCGGGCAAGAAGTGGCTCGCATTCGAGTCCGCACAGAAGAATCACAGAACTAATCCTCATTTTCGCGCCCTGCAGCCGCCCAGAAAACCGAAAAACCATCCGCCAGCACCAAATCCTGGATCCTCACCAGCACCTTACCCGCCGCATACCGCACACCCGCCATCATCCCGCCCACACGAGCCCCCTCCACCACCACCGAAAGTACCTATACCGCACTATACAGTTTTATCATCGCCGTCATCTTACTGAACGGCGGAAGCCTAGGCGAGCAGAAGCTGAGCCGATATCTGCGTCGCATGAACGCGGAGGACTATACGCCCATTGACAAGACGGATAAATTGCTCGCGCGACTGTGTCGTGAGGGGTATCTCGTGCGGACGAGGGAGATGGACGGTGGAGAGGAAGTCATTGAGTTTATGGTTGGACCGAGGGGAAAGGTTGAGGTTGGAAGTTCGGGGGTAGCGGGTCTTGTGCGGGAGGTTTATGGGCGTGGACGAGATTCCGGTGCAAATGGGGAGGATGATTCTACACAAATCGATCGTGAGATGAGGGCCGATTTTGAAGCGAGACTGAGACGGAGTTTGGGTATTGTTGGTGTACAGGAGGAGGAGGAGGGAGGAGAAGACGATGAGCGACGAGAGGAGCTGCGGGTGGCTAATCGCCATGGTGCTGGGGATGCAGCGAGAACAGCGGCACCAATTCAAGAACCCAGACGGTCTTCGAGGAGGGCTACTACTGCACACGAGTCGGAGGAGGAGGATGAATCTAGCGGGGCATCTGGGACGGACTCGGTGAAAGATGAGAGTGAGGAGGAGAGTGATTGATTTTGTGCTTGATCAAGGCGAATATGTGTTGTTGATTGATACCCAGAGATTGAATCTTTTTTCCTTCAAAGTGTTCTAGGCTACTTGTAGTTGAAGTGCAGGTTATATACTAGCTCATGCATATAAATGCTGTAAGTTATCAGATAAGGAGTAGGTAAGCTAGAGACTTTATACATTAGATAGTACCCATGTGTACTATATCCCGTACTTCACGACCCCTGGACATGATGGTATGGCTAGTTCATTACACATCGGTTGGACGATTACATCCTTCGAGCTACACGTAGTCAATCAATCATGCCTTGCTTGGCTCACGCTCTTCTCCAGCACTAGACCCAGAGATAAGCTTCTCTGGCTAACCGGGCTGATTGAAAACCGGCATCGCGGACATAATGAATGTACGGGAAATCTAAATCGATTCTCTAGGGGACAGGGGGCGTCACGACCGAGATGTGTTCGAGAAGGAGTATGACACTTATCACTACGGAGGGCACTGGAAGTTTCCGAAATTACCAATATCTCCATTGATGCCAGGGTTTGTTTCACGGATCCATAAATGGAGAAATAAGTTGTGTAAACCCAAGTAATCCAGCCAATAAAGCCGAGTCGATCTTCGATGAGAGGCCGCTACGAGTTCTAGAATTCCATTCCAAGTCAATGGAAATAAGATCCGGCCAGAACCGAGCTACATAGTAACAAAATTCCCATAGTTTCTTGCAACCAAGAAGTTTGGGCGCATCTTCGGTCGTCAATCTGGGTGCAGCCTGGCAGTGCCAAACCCCGTCCTGCACGAGCTCTTCGTGGACAGCGGTAGTCTTGACGATGCATAGATTTTGAACTTCGAATGGACACAGCATACAGTTCGGACAGGGCAGCAGTGAAACAAATGAGAGGAGCCAAGAGCAACATTGTGGATGGATGGATTTGATGGACATTGTTGCAGAAGGATCTTGTAGGTCTTGTACTTTTGGATCTACGATTATTGACTGATACTGTACATATTTACCCTGCATAATATTACATTTTTACCGCTTCAATTTGGCGAATCAACCAAAGCAGCGTACATGCTTTCTGACACCTTCATTCTGCACTGTGTTGCGTCCAAGACACACACGTTCTCCCTTACATTCAGCACTACAGATGACGCCAAACCTTATGTACTCCAATTCCTCTATTTGACCCACCATAGGCTACATATTTGACAGCGATCGACAGTGGACCCGGGAAAGAGAAATATAGTCAAAGCGAATGATAATAAGCCTTGTCAAATGCATACATACTAAGCTCCAGTTCTGATAAGCATGAATGCATTGGGCGCAGGGGAGGCATTGACACTGTACATTTTCTGTATGAATACGTGCCCTTGGGCTGGCAGTTCACCGTCGTAAGTGTCTCATCCCTAAAAAGAATGGATATGACAAACTATAGTGAGATATTAAGATTGAAAATACCAAGTCTAGACATACTTTTGTATGGAGTGATAGTGCTGACAACAGTATGTAGATCTGGGCCCTAGCGCCAAGCACGGTCCTTTGCGATGGTGGGGGTCCACCAGACCACACAATCATCATCACCACATGGGCAGTGAAAAGCAAAATTATTTCCTTGGACAGATGGCAATAAATGTGGCTGGAGGAAGCGTGTACTATGTCTCTCTACAGGTCATCTACAATAACATCTACAAAGAAAAATGTCTACAAGGAAGAAAATGTTTGACATGAGTCACGAATCTGTATGTAGTATTTTTCAGACTACACAGCAAAGTCTAGCTCCTATTCCCATCGGAAAGCATTTTTGGTTAAAGAAAAAAAATTCATCACGGCGTCGCTGGTGTTCATCCGCAAATCATTTATTTCTTGCCAGCCTTCTGGGCGGCCTTGGTGACCTTACCGGCACCACCGGCGGACTTGTCGACGGACTTGATGACACCGACGGCAACGGTCTGGCGCATGTCACGGACGGCGAAACGGCCGAGAGGGGGGTAGTCGGTGAAAGCCTCAACACACATGGGCTTGGAGGGAATCATCTTGACGATGGCGGCATCACCGGACTTGATGAACTTGGGGTGGTCCTCAACGGACTTACCGGTACGGCGATCGATCTTCTCAAGGAGCTCAGAGAACTTGCAAGCAATGTGGGCAGTGTGGCAGTCCAGAACGGGAGCGTAACCGGCACCGACCTGACCGGGGTGGTTCAGGACGATAACCTGGGCGTTGAAGGAAGCGGCGGCAGCGGCGGGGTCGTTCTTGGAGTCGGAAGCGACGTTACCACGGCGAACCTCCTTGACGGAGACGTTCTTGACGTTGAAGCCAACGTTGTCACCGGGGACACCCTCCTTGAGCTGCTGGTGGTGCATCTCAACGGACTTCACCTCAGTGGTGACGTTGGCGGGAGCGAAGGTGACGACCATGCCGGGAGAGATGATACCAGTCTCGACACGGCCGACGGGAACTGTGCCAATACCGGAGATCTTGTAGACATCCTGGAGGGGCAGGCGAAGGGGCTTGTTGGAGGGACGGACGGGAGGCTCAATGGCGTCGATGGCCTCCAGGAGGGTCTTACCGGTGGTCTTGCCGGCCTTGGTCTCCTTCTCCCAACCCTTGTACCAGGGGCAGTTGGGGGAGGGCTCGAGCATGTTGTCACCGTTGAAGCCGGAGATGGGGACGAAGGGAACGCTCTTGGGGTTGTAGCCGACCTTCTTGATGAAGTTGGAGGTCTCCTTGACGATCTCGTTGTAGCGGTCCTCGGACCACTTGCAGGTGTCCATCTTGTTGAGGGCAACAATGAGCTGACGGACACCGAGGGTGAAAGCGAGCAGAGCGTGCTCACGAGTCTGGCCATCCTTGGAGATACCAGCCTCGAACTCACCAGTACCGGAGGCAATGATGAGGATAGCGCAATCGGCCTGGGAGGTACCAGTGATCATGTTCTTGATGAAGTCACGGTGACCGGGGGCGTCTGTAGGAGATGATGTTAGAGGGATGGTGCACAACGTGTGGGAGTTGGTTGTGGTTAGTACTTACCAATGACGGTGACCTCATACTTGCCAGTCTGGAACTTCCAGAGAGCGATATCGATGGTGATACCACGCTCACGCTCAGCCTTCAGCTTGTCAAGAACCCAGGCGTACTTGAAGGAACCCTTGCCGAGCTCGGCGGCCTCCTTCTCGAACTTCTCGATGGTACGAGAGTCGATACCACCGCACTTGTAGATCAAGTGACCTGTTGGGCGAAATCAGTATATGGTTATTGTGGAATAGGACCTCGATGAAGTGAGGCCAGAAGTCGATGGAAGGGGGGGTTGCTTACCAGTGGTGGTGGACTTGCCGGAATCGACGTGGCCGATAACGACGATGTTGATGTGGAGACGATCTTCCTTACTGTTGATGCAGAGTCAGTAACCCGTTCGACTTTTTGATGGATCGGGGGATGGAGTGTGGATGGCTCATCGCGATGGAGAAGATGAGGTCAACCAGCCCCGGAGGATGGGAGGGAGGGAGTGAGAGACGACATACCCCATGGTGACGGTTGATCAAGAATGAATTCTTGTAGTTCTTTGTAAGATACTAGAAGGATTCCGAAGAAATTGCTCAGAGACTACGGCGTGCGTAGAGGTACTGAACAAGAGAGAGAGGTTAGAGGAGGAAAAGGAAGAAGAAGGAAGGGAAAAGGGGGGAGGGGAAGTTATACGTACTGATGCGGACGAGGGGGGAAAGGAAAAAAATCTGTGGGAGGGGGAGGAGGGGGAAATCCTTATATGGAGGGGCAAGCGAGCACCAGCCCAGAGGCGAGGTTTGGGTTAGCCCTTTCCGCCCAGTGGAAGTTTCCACTTTTCCTGTGTTTGACCGTCTCTGATTGGCCGTCCTGCTCTCAGTGCGTGTGCCCATTGGGCAGGTGGGGGAAACGACTCCTTCCGCTGGCGGGGCTCAGCAGATTCTTCATCGGCCGCCAGAGGAGTATCCTCTACTTGGTCCGACTATGACTCTCTTACTGCGCTTTCATGTACCCAATACCTTCTTCGTCGATGATTTCCCTGGTTCTGCCCTTCGCGTCTCCACTCAATGCGAATTTTTTTTTTCATCGCCGCTCTCCCAGCCCACTTGATTTGCCCGTGCTGGCCCTTCTATGGGGGGCGGCTGGTCGACTGGGCAGCAACGCATTCGGGCCAATCCCTTGTCTGACAACAGATCTGGTTGACAAGAGCTCATGGTGCTCTATTTTGAGCTTACTTTCATCGAGTGCCTTCTAACTAATTTTCTTTGTTTCTTTGGGTGGGAATTGGTGAACCTCGAAGCAGAGTTTTTTTTTTTTTCTCGCAGCTTATCGAGGGGCCCAAGAACCCCGCGGCCGAGGGGCAGTCCGTCACCGCCAACCCGGACCCACCACGATGACCTCAGCCATGTTGTGCAGTTGTTTTTGCCACATGCCTAGAATCATACTATTGTAGTAAAACGGATACACCGACAAAGAGAATAGTTGAAGGTCGGGCTCTCTATTGAGCTTAGTATCACAAAACACTATGCACTCTAAACGGGAGGATGTCAATGACTCGACCGCGCGTGCGGACCCGTGGTTGTGGCCAACCCAATTTTTCGGAGTCAACTTGGCCGATAATCTGTGCGCGGCTCCCGCTGACGTCGATCACGGCCCATATCATATACATATCACCTACAGCTCTCCGAACAGCTACTACAGTATACAACCCACGTAAATAGAGAAAATAGTAGAAAAAAAAAATTCATATTCGCATGAGCCTGGCTAAAGGAGCCGGGGTATCTCAATTGCTGGCTGCACTCCCAAACGCCCTTTTTGTCGCTGAACCCGGTCGCAAAATGCGCCATTTTTCTGGTGATATCTGAAACAGACCCCCGACGCCCGTGGTATTTCCACATCCAATCCCTTGTCCAAGCAAGATGGAGAGGGAGATCGCAATCATAAAACTCATAGACAGTAGTCAATCTCCAAGAAAACGAGGGCGCAACCAAGTGCAAATACTCGTAGACTTCCCCAAGTCCAAGCAATTCGCTGCTTCCAGCCCCTCAGTTTTCTCTCCACCGAGCACCGCAGCTCGTACACTATTCCCCCGCCTGTCAGCCATGCCCCCATGCGGGAATCGGTGATATGTAAGGGAGTCCTACCTTCAAGAACGTAGTCATCGGCTCGTCGGCGCTACGAATCTGCAGCTGGAAGAAGTATGCACGGTCCCCGTTGCAGTTCTCCGCCGGGCATTGAGCTGCAGGAAGGAAAAAAAAAAGAGCTGTCAGCTGTACATTCCCCTTGCTGGCCCTGAGACGATCCCGGGAAGACCTCGGGACGTATGACTGTAACTTACTAGCAACGCTGTCGGCGTTGGCAAACTCGTTCGCGCCGCCAAAGACGTCTTCCACCTCCTTCTGTTTCATCTCGGTTTTCTCGTAGTAGGATCGGTCTCCGATAATGTCTTCGTAAGGGCAAGTGCGACATTCGAAGCGGTTCACGCCCATCGGGTACTGGGTGGTTGAATCCGCACGAGAGATGGTCAGCACATTGCTGCAGTTGGGGCAGACTAGATCAGGAGAAGAGAGATAATGTCAGTACTGGTTTCAAGTTCCTCAAGTCATCACTGGCCCGGCTTCAAGCTGGACTCGGCGCAGTTGAAGATGGGGGGGAAGGCAATCACGAACAGACGAGCGGCATCTCGACAACTTTCCGGGTTGAACGTCTCGGTCGGCAGTCTCTGTTTGAATGAGCGCAAAAGCGTGCAAGGAAACCAGGAAGAAAAGAGAACGCCAGCCCTCTCTCGGCCGTCTTGAAATTTCGCTGATTGGAATCGCAAACCTCCAATGCGCGGAAAAAGAGCTAGGCGCGCGGCTAAATTGTGCAACATGGCGGGGAGTCCGGAAAATCACATGATCCGGGCATGTGGGATGTCCCTGGGGAAAGCAGCGCCCGGAATTAGCTATTCGTGTCTTGACCAAGAGCTTGGCTTGTTTTGATTTGGAACTTTTTTTACGAGGTGTACATACTATCTGTGCCTGCTACTGTAGCAAGACTTCGTGATCGCTCCAGTCGCCGATCTGCCCGCTGTTTCACTACTCACGGCTGCCTGCGTTTCAGATCACCCACAGGTCTCGTCCCTGATTCCGCGCAACGAGATACCTTACACCTCCTCGAGGAAAGCTTGAAGTTCGACGATTGAAAATAATGGCTGATGACGAGGTAAATTATTTGGCGCTCCTCTACGTGTTTCTTGAACTACTGCTAACAAGACCCATCAATTCCAGGGTGCTTCTCCCCGCGAGCTGGTCGTGGAAGCCTGCCGCCGCGATCAACCACACCTAATTGAGCAAGTCCTGCACGACATGGAAAACCAATCCAATGAAGACGTGGCCAAATTCTTCAACGAAGTCACGGATACCATGGGAAACCACGCTTTGCACATCTGCGCGAGCTACGGCAGCTGTACGTTATAGCCCTCTCGGCCTCCACTTGGATCCGTCCCGTCCCAATCCCTGAGTTGCAAGCTAACGTGATATATTCCTCCCGCTGTATAGACGACGTGATGGACGCGCTTTTTGATATCCAATACTTCGAATGCGATCCTCTCACCCGCATCGACAAGGACACCCCCCTCCACACCGCCGTACGCTTCGCCAACGAGAAGGACGCCGAGTTGGGCGCTGAGATGATCGCTATGATGTGTGAGGCTGGTTGTGACCCACGCGTGCGCAACAAGCACGGGCAAAAACCGGCTGATTTGGTCTATGATAAGCCCGCCATTAAGCAGACCCTCGCATCGGCGGAGTATATCTTGGCGGAGGGCATTCACAACGACGAGGGCAATGGTTCGATTCATGATAGTGCTAGCGACAGCGAATGAACTGGGTAGAAATATCCTGGTAATTTATAGCGGTGGCATGCCTAGGCAGGCTGGGATCGGGTTCTCAGGGCCGTTGGGATGAATTCTCGGGAGATGCTGTCTTTGAGCGTTGGTCTGTATTTATTGTCTGACCATACAATTTTGCACGTTAGACTTGGCCTTTTACAAGTGTCTAGTTTTCTTTCAAGGCTATGATGATTACGAATAAACTCCATTACATTTTTGAAGTGAAAATTGCATGGGTATTGCGTGGCTCCGCATCGGCGGATGTATATATCTCGGGAGCGAACCCTGCCTCCGAAAGTATCTGACGATTACTATTTCCTTGACCCTAGGTTGCATATAACAAAATATCAGGTAGGATTTACGACCGAGATATGAGAATCATATTCAGTCTCTACAAGTCTATTCTTATCACACTGCCCCCCCTCTTCATCCAAGTTATCAAACCCATCCAGCCTGCAGCTTCGCTCTATACTCGGCCATCATCTCAGCCGTGATATTACTGCCCCCACAAACAATAACCACAACCCTCGTCTCCGGTTTCAAATCCGGAATCAATACCTTCAGCTTCTCTCCAACCGCAGCCTCCAAGCTAATTCCACACGCCAACTCCACCTGTAACCGAGTCTCATCTGCTAGCCGTAGCACACCCCTCGCAGCGTCTGCATCCGAGCCCACAACGCTGGTGACATGAATGCCCTTGGGCGGGGACACGGCATTCGAAAGAGTCTTTTCGGCAACACATAATGCACCTAGCGAGGTAGCTTGCGACTCAATGGCAGACAGAGAAGAAAGTTTTCCCTGTCGAAGCGAATGCGCCAACGAGTCTGCGCCACGCGTTTCCACTGCGAGAACGCGTACGTTCTTTGCTGAAGACGACGACGAAACCTTCAGATATTTCTCCAATCCATCAACAACCCCATTAAACAATCCGCCGCCACCAACACTGCACACAATCACATCCGCCGGAAACCCATCATCCTCTCTGGCCGGCAATTGCCTCGCAATCTCACCAACCATACTCCCAGCACCCTCCCAAACCAGCGGATGATCAAATGGCGGTACATAAACATTCACACTCACATTATCCCCTTCGCCCGGATCTTGGTTCTCAATAAACTCCCGTCGCAGAAACGTATCCGCCTCGAACCAACTCGCCCCGTGCTGTATGACCTCCGTGGCACCGGCATCACGTAGTTTGGCTATCATTAGAGGCTTGGTGCTATACGGGACGATCACGGTGCAGGCGCAGCCTAGATCACGGGCTGCGTGGACAGCGGCTAGACCGGCGTTTCCACCGGAGGAGCTGTAGAAGTGGACCTTCTTGGTGTTGTTGGCCTTGGTTTTGATTTCGGAGAGAATCAGGTTGCCGATTCCCCTGGGGAGTGTTAGGGTTTTTTTGCTGCGGGTTTGATATTGTGTCGTGCGGAGTGCAGAGGGGCTGGTTGGGGACGAGAATGACATACCGGGATTTAAAGGATCCGGAGGGTTGGAGGAGTTCTAGTTTGAGGAATATACGACTGATGGGGTGGGTAAGTTAGTTATATCGCTTGTATCTGGGGTTTATCTTGTATGCTGGCGGTCACATTTGGGGGAAAAACGCGTTCTTACCATCCTGCTTGCTTGGAGAAGGTGGCCGATTCAATTAGTGGAGTTTCGATCCAGGGCTTCTTGAGAGAAGTCTCCATCTCGATTTTCTCGAAGTTTGTTTGACAGACAGCGATTCGAGAGCTGGGTGTAGGCAAGTTTATAGACTGATCATCCCCCGCCTTGGAGGGTTACGATAGTGGGCATCTGATTCCCCACTAGAGCGGGATGACAACGAAGGGGCGTGCAGTGTCAACCCAGATTTCTAGAAGACTCGAGCATGAACTTTCTTATTGCATATCCATTATGGGACATGTTCTTATCCTATGGCAGGTTATAGTCGATCATAGAAGGATCAAGATTAAATAGAATACAAATCACATTGGATATCATCTAGTCCACACCAAAAGGCAAAATCGAAGTCTAAGTCTCCTAATACACGAATGCAGGCTGTGCTAGTATATAATAAAAGCAGATGAGACATAAAAAAAAACCACAACAAAGAAGGCAAAAGGATGCATCCCTTAGCCTGTTCGACAACTCCTGACCGATACAGAACTTTTATGTTCAAAATAAGACACATTCCTCCTATTGGGCACCAGCATTGGCCTTCTTGGCCAACAGGTTCAGCGCACTACCAGCCAGAATGAAAGCAGACTGGTCCTTGCTGAGAGTGTGCTGGACAGGGACCATGAACGACTCGCCGGTCTTCTTCTTGGTCACGCGCAGCTGGATCTCGCCCTGGCCACCCGCCTGGAGCACATCGTACAGGCCAACGGTGTCAACGACATCACAGGCATCGATGCGGTCGTAATCCTCGCGGTTAGCAAAAGTCAATGGCACGACACCCTGCTTCTTGAGGTTGGTCTCGTGGATACGGGCGAAGCTCTTGGACACGATGACGCGGCCACCGAGGTAACGGGGCTGCAGAGCAGCGTGCTCACGGGCAGAGCCCTCACCGTAGTTGTCCTCGGCGACGACGAGCCACTCGATGCCACGCTCCTTCCACTGCTCAGCAAGCTCGGGGATAGAGTGCTGGCTGCCGTTCTCGTCGTACGCAACATTGGTCTCGCCGGTGGCGGCGTTGACGGCACCGATCAGGGTGTTAGCCGAGATGTTGGGCAAGTGACCCTTGTACTTGAGCCAGGGACCGGCCGCAGAGATGGTATCCGTGGTGCACTGGCCCTTGACCTTGTACAGAACCTGCAGGCCGCTCAGGTCGCCCTTGGGGAAGGGGGCGAACGGCTCGAGCAGAGCCAGGCGGTCAGAGGTGGGGGAGACAATGACCTCCTGGGAGGCGTCGGGGACGGCAGCACTGGGGAGGAACTTGGGGTTACCCTCCTCGAAACCGGCACTGGGCAGGTCGAAGCCCTTGGGAGGCTGGAACTTGAAGGTCTCGCCGCTGGGGGTGGTCAAGGAATCGGTCATCGGGTTGAAGGTGGTGCTGCCAGAGTAGGCGAGCGCGGTAACGAGCTCGGGAGAAGCCAGGAAGTTCATAGTCCGGCGGTTACCATCGTTACGACCGGGGAAGTTACGGTTGTAGGAGGTAAAGATGGCGTTGTCCTCGCCGTTGGGGACACCATCGGTACGCTTCCACTGGCCAATGCAGGGGCCGCAAGCGTTGGCCAGCACGACACCGCCAGCCTCGGAGAAGGTGTTGAGGGTCTGGTCACGGTCGAGGGTTGCACGGATCTGCTCACTACCGGGAGTGATGAAGAAGTCGGCCTTGGGCTTGAGACCAGCAGCGGAGGCCTGCTTGACCAGATCCTCGGCGCGGGTCATGTCCTCATACGAAGAATTCGTGCAGCTACCAATGAGACCGGCGCCGAAGGTCTCGGGCCACTTCTTCTCACGGACAGTATCGGCGAACTTGGACAGAGGAACCGAGAAATCCGGAGTGAAAGGACCGTTAATGTGCGGCTCCAGCTCAGACAGGTTGATGGTAATCAGCTGGTCATACTCAGCAGTGCTATCAGCCCGCAGGAGGTTGCCAGGGCCAGAAGCAGCGATCTCAGCTGCGGCCTTAGCGACATGACCACGGTGAGTGGCCTCGAGGTAAGGCACCATGCTGGGCGAGAAGGGGAAGAGCGAGGTAGTAGCGCCAACCTCAGCACCCATGTTACAGCAGGTAGCCATACCCGTACAGCTGAGAGTCTCGACACCAGGACCGTGGTATTCGACCACAAATCCAGTACCGCCACGAACGGTCAGCTTGCCAGCTAGGTGCAGGATGATATCCTTGGGCGAGGCCCAGCCGCTCAGCTGGCCCTCAAGGCGGACGCCGAGAATCTTCGGGGCCTTCAGCTCCCAGGGAGCATCGACGAGAGCATCGACGGCATCCGCACCACCAACACCGATGGCAATGGCACCCAGACCACCACCGTTGGGGGTGTGGCTATCGGTACCGAGCATCATCAGACCAGGGGCAGCGTAGTTCTCAAGTACGCTCTGGTGGATAATACCGGCACCCGGCGGCCAGAACTCAATACCATAGCGCTTGGCAGCACTCTCCAGGAAGTCGAACACCTCGGCATTGCCCTGGATCGAAGCCGGCAGATCGGTATCGGCACCGCGCTCACCAACAATCATGTGGTCACAGTGAATACTGGCGGGGACGGCAGTCGAGGGCAGACCGCAAGACATGAACTGGAGCAGAGCCATCTGGGCCGAAGCATCCTGCATGGCGACACGGTCAGGCTTCAACTTCAAGTTGGCCTTGCCCCGGATATCACGACCATTGTTGGTACCGGTGAGCAGCGATTCCTCCGGGTTGTCCAAATGGGCGTAGAGGATCTTCTCAGCGAGGGTCAGGGCACGCTCAGAGCCCAGAACCCTGCGGACCTGCTCGAGATTGCGGACAATCTTGGGGTAGGGTGGCATACGTGACGAGGCGGCTTCGGTGGCCAGGCCACGGGAGAGTCGTTGCGGAGACAGGCGTGCGGCCAGCTATCGCGGAGTCAGTCTTTTACAATTCCACCATGGAACGGGAACACAGTTAGCCAATGTAGCTTGGTACTTACCCTGCGAGAGGCGGCAGCCCGCTGCCATACTAGCTGGCTCACCATTCTCAAGTGTGGAGGGGGTGGAAATTGGGGAAAAAAGGCAAAGTTGAGAAAGATCCAAGGGCTTTTTTCTCGGTCGGCTTTCGTTATTTGCATGATCGCTCATTGGCCCGTCGTTGCGCCGATACCGGGATCGCCACAAGGTGTGGGGAAGGGATTCGGAACGGATATGCGGGCAATCTGGACTTGGATGTATATTCGAAGTGGCTCTCAAAGTACCGCAGAAGATATACTGATGATTCAAGAGATGTTAATAGTCAATGCACTACATCAAATAGTGGCCGAGGTTCTACCTGAGCTCAGTGTATTCAATCCAGATAGAGGTCACAAATCGGAATAGCGTTATCTAGGGCATTGACCAGGAGCTATTGAAGTCAGTAGATTGATAAAGGTCTGCTGGGGATGCTCCGAATTAATCAAACTATATATTGAGATTAAAAAACTGGGAATAGGAACCAGAATCTCATGGCAGGGTATCATATAGTGTCCTGCCGACAAGAATGATGTACATGTATCGCTGACTGATTAGCCCCGGTTCGAAAGGCTAGCAGAAAGTGCTGCAGTGATTTCCTTCCTCAAAATAGCCGAATCCTACCAATCTGCAACCTGGTAGACTTTGTTCTCTATGATTGGGACGGACAGCTCGGCGATACAAGTCACTGTCCATAACAAAGACTTGAAGCCATTCATCTTTATTTCTCATTAATGGTGAAAGGCTTTACATGAGTTACCAAGGGAAAAAAATTGATTCAATATTCAAAGAAATATTGGCTGAGTAGAACCCTCTCCACCCATATCCAATGTCATTGCCCAACTCGAGCTCAAGACTGCCCCGATTGAACGCCCCGCATGTCATCAAAAACCAGGGACTGAAATGGAAAAGAAAATCATTAAGTAGAAACGTAAAAGCACAGGGCATTCGAGGGCATTTCATGAATAATAGGTCCTTCTTGCACGGAAATATGAATGACATCATGTGAGATATTAGGGGAAGGCGTGTTTCTACAAGGAACGGTAGCCTAAGATTGGGGCTCTTCATCGGCAACAGCAGCCCGCAACTCCCAGACTAGGTCGTAGCATTCGGCGAGCAGATTGTTGACACTTCCTTGACCCTCTGGGATATCTGGACCAATATAGAACTTTCCGTCGACCCGCATGTTATCAATCGAATTGAGCTAGTCTCGTTAGTACAGGAATCACTAGTTGCATGAGATGAAAGAAGTGAATGACATACCTTCATACTGTAAGGGTACAGCTCACGTGAGTTAGACACGCCACCTGATTCCTTGACTTCAATGAGACATCTGCGAAGAGTCTGCAGCTGGTTGTAAACGGGTAGCAAAGCCTCGGACACGGGTTCAGAAGAGATCAATAGTGCGTAGATGTATGCATAGCTGCGTCGGATGAGGTATAGCAATGTCTACATAAGATACGGAGTTAGCCCATCTTGGTCAAGGTTATGAGAATTGCGAATGAATTACCCGTTGCGCATGAAGGTCGGCCGGCTGGCCCACAGCGTCGACAAAGTTGCCATTCACTCTCGCCTCGTCGATTCGATCAAGCTTCCGCTGGTATCCAAACAAATCGGTCTCTCGAAGCGACCAAGCCTGGGTAACGGAGAGTCGATCGAGCTGGTTGCGAATTTCAAGGAGGCGGTCGTACTGTTCCTGGAATCGTTCATCGATTTTGCCCTTACTAAAGTCCTATCAGTTGTTGCTTGATGCATGACAGGTAAGGCAAGGGACCTACCGCTCGAGGACAATTTCAGTCCACCGCCAGCAGCGTTCCATGAGTGCCTTCAGGTCATCGGATCCAGCCTGAACGTTGCCGTCGGCGTCCACAAACTTGCCATCTTTGAGATTATTCTCAATCTTCTTCAGCTGCTCTCGCAGGTTGTTCACTTCCGTAGCGGAGAACTAAGAAACGAAAAAAGATTAGTCGGGATATTCAGGGAATATCTGACCAAGGCCAAGCATACCTTAGAGCGCGTGTTAACAGCCGAAGTAGAGCGAAGGATAGACACGAGGGTCTCATGTGTCTGTACAAGGCCCGGCGCAAGCACGGCGAGTCCCTTCTGTAATTTTTCCAATGAGCGTTGGCATTGTTCCATTCGGCTTTCGAGGAGAGTGAGAAGAGCCGGGGAGTAGGTGTTGCGACCGCGGTCAAGGGTCTCGCGCATCGATTCAAGGGTCTTCGTAATGGAGTTCAAATCTTTAGAGCTGTAGAATCCAGCTTCTTCGAGGTGATCGAGAAGGCGCTGACGGGGAAGGAAAATTGTTAAACGGGGATCAGATAGAATTGAAGCTTCATTAAAATACCTGAATTGTAGCTGCAAGCGAATACCTGACGAGGTGTAAGTACGGATGGTAGATTCGCGGGGTACACCAGCAACTTACACGGCGGGGGCCTCATTGTTCCTGCCCACGGTCAAAAAGAGCAATGAGATCAACTGGAAGCAATCATCCAAGACGTAGTCCACTGAGAAGTCATGTGAAGTCAGCCTAGCCTATCAAGAGCGGCGCTTTCGGCACTTACATCGGTTATGTACCACACGTTGATTTTGCTCTTTACGAGCGGCATTGACTTTATCGACTTCTCCAACGACCTCCTCATACAATGGGAGAACATCGCGAGACTTGATGTAAGAGGACTTGTCTTGTTTCAGGAGAAGAAGCGCATCTCGGGTCCGCAGCAAACGCTCAAGGATGGGCTGCTCCCGCGGATCCAGCGGGACTGGTACTGCAGGGGAGTCCATGGCCGGAAGCGCAAAGGAAGCTGGAAGGATAGTTTCTGGTGGGATCTTATGTATTTGAGTTGGCGATCAAGCGTTGAGCTGCGGCTTGAAAGGAGACGGAAGATGATGACTGCAGGGAACCCCACACGTTGTGATGTCAGTTCGGGACTGATATTGATATCGTTCTACGATACGGGCTGATTACTCCGAGATTATGTCATCAAGGACTTTAAGCCGGAATGGGACTAGCGTTTAGGCAGGTATTGAGTCACGGGAAGGGCCTCAACGCTAAACCAGATCTGGCAAAGCCCTAAGCGAGGGCTTTTTCCCACACACCGCTGGGCCCGGTTACCCTGTTCGGATAGGCCTTTGACGATACACTTCTTTCCTTCTCTCCCTTCCCATCTTCATCTTCAAGACACCCAGTCCGGTCAACACCACCCCGTCGACAAAATGTCTACCGCCGAGCTCGCTGTCTCCTACGCCGCTCTGATCCTTGCCGATGATGGCATTGAGATCACCGTACGTGCCCTCGTTTCCTGTGGTTGAGTTCAAGTTTCGTGGAGGATGCCATTCAACGCGCGCAACGGGTTTTTCCTGCTCGCAGAGAACTCGAGCCGCAAGTTGAGGGGATTACGACAGTCGAAATTATGGACTTTACCATGCGCACCATCGAAAACTCCAACAGTTGTGACTAACTGAATATCTTCACACAGGCCGACAAGATCCAGACTCTCCTGACCGCCGCCAAGGTCCAGGAGGTCGAGCCCATCTGGGCCTCCATCTTCGCCAAGGTAAATCCTTGAAATCTGCACCATTACCTTGCGATTCCCCTGCGACGCGCGAACACATCGATATATGCGAAAGTCTTGAATTCTTCAGTGACTTACACTCTTTTCAATCATAGGCTCTCGAGGGCAAGGACGTCAAGGACCTCCTGACCAACGTTGGCTCTGCTGGCCCCGCCACCGCTGGTGCTGGCCCCGCTGCCGCCGGCGGTGCTGCTGCCCCCGCTGAGGCCGCTGCTGAGGAGAAGGAGGAGGGTGAGTTTCACATCGTGGACCTCGTATGCAGAGTAAACCGATTACTAACTCCCACACAGAGAAGGAGGAGTCCGACGAGGACATGGGCTTCGGTCTCTTCGACTAAGCGCCTTCACCGTCCCGAATTTGAAGTCGTTTCCTTTTTGCTCTTTCCCTCATCTCTTATTCCGCCTCCGCCTCATGGCTCCCTCGACGATTCTCTCTTGTACTCGATACTCCACGACCCCTGCTACGAAGATCCAAATCACGGGGAAGAAAAAAAAGAAAATAGCAAAAGATTCAAACGGACATGGACATTCAATGGAGACTGGGTGCTCGGGGTATCCCCGACTCACAAAGTGACGGGGTTAGACTCGGTCGGTTGCCGATGTGATACCGAAACTATTGTTGCTTCCAGGATTTATAGGGGAATTGAAGACAGACGTTTGGCACACCGTTTTTTCTGATTTGTCCATGATTGCGACGCAAGTCCGGTCTGGCGGGTAGAGATGTATGCTCTGATTCCCATGTTGTCCTCCTGCTAGATGACCTAGCTTCGTTCATGTCCTTTTCTCATGCGACCATGAACCAAAAGAATTCTCTTTGTGATTCTGCCCCAAGGTATTTTTGTAGGGCTCCAAGTCTTGGATCGACAATTTGTAGAGACTTTCACCTTGTAATTGGGTGTCAAGGACATTCTTGCCGGTTCCCTTGTGTGTCTAGCAGCAGATGTCAGAGGCAGTAGTAACTCAACACGATATGATGTTATGAGCAGCAGGTGCCGCCTCAACATGCAAGTTACCCCCCCATGGGGGCCAAGGCAGACTGACCCGCTTCCCAAGCTTATCCATCTCTATGTAGACCTCTTCTTGCTCCTCACATTCAAAGCCATTCATCTCAATCCTCTGTCATCGTGATTCATCATGGTATATAGCAGGGTACTTTTCCCGAGCAAAGCGTCTGTCTGGATCCGTAATGCTGACCACCTCCTTTACTGAAGAAGCTTATCTGCGAGGCTGACCCATCTATTCTTAGAGTGGCTCTTTTTCGTGGTAAGTCTTTGAGCAAATCAAATACATCTTATTTTATGTACATTGCATTGCGTATATATCCACGTATTCCAACGGAGAAACTCCATGCTCGCCTTTTCAAATCCATCACATCCAGCCGCCCAAATGACTCGAGATGATACAAAACCATGTAATTAGCAACAGAATTCCCACAATTCTGAGCCTTACCAAGAGACAGCCTCCGGAAAATAGCAACAATTCCACCTTCATAGAAAAACATACTCATCGAACAACTTGGTCATGATTGTAGCGTGGATTGAGCATCTTGGACTGCGTAAAGGCGGAATTGGATGAAGATGGCCACATCTTCCGCCATGGTGCCCAGCGATCCAATCAGCCAGGGCAGGTTGGTAACCACGTAATCATGCTCGGTCGAGTGGCACAGAATCTGTATTTATTGTTAGATGTTTGGACCAATCACATCCACAAGAAAACCACATACCCCGGCACCATAAGTGACATTACCCAAAAGGGAGAGGATGAAGAAAAGGAGCGAGAGACCTGGTCAACCAAGTTAGCTTTGAAACCGGCATCATTAACGTTGGAGCAAACGACGTACCTTCGCAGGACTGGTCGCGGTAGTTCTTGTAAATTTGAGGTAATCTCGCCCTGTTGCCAATATTAGTCCAAGATCTCATTTTCCATGAGTCCGGTGCGAGACTTACCCCAGATAGCACACGGCACTGGCATATCCCAAAACCGCGCCACTAGTAGCCATATCCGCCGGCTTATTGTTCTCCAGTGGTGCGGGTGCCCATATCCCCGTTTGCCAGGCAATCGTCCACCCAGCAATTCCAACCACAAAGATGCCAATCACACTAATCAAATTCTTGATCCATGCCTTGCGACCGTACTCATTCTCCTCGACAATCTTGGCCAATGGATCTTCCACTTGGCTCTCGCGGCGACCTGCACCCTGGAAACGGCGCATTGAACCAGATGACCTCCGTCGGCCCTGTCCTGCCGGGAAAGAATCGCTGAATCGCCGACCGAGGAGCGGGGTGGTTGGGTCGGGGGTCTCGGTCGATGAGCGCCGGCGGCGGTGGATGCTCCCGCGGCGCGAGTTACGCACCTTGTAGTAGAGGCACTGGGCGATTAGAACGCCGTCTGCGAGACAGAAGTATACGGCAATTGCGATAATGACGGGGACTAGGCCTGCTAGGGTACCGCCGAGAAGATTTGTTATGTCACCGATGAACCAGACGAAGATGAATAGGAGGGAGATAGCCTCCGCGTTGCCATTGCGATAGTTCTCGATGAGTTGGGGAACCTGCAGATATTAGAGGTCAGAGAGCTGTACCGATAGGTTCTTTCGATTCTATCTTGAAGATTTTCGCGTTTTGGAGGGGTAAACCGCCCCAATGCCCCGTGCGCCCAGCACGGGTTGACACAATCATGAGAGGCCGTGGCACATACGAGTAGGAAAATCCAGCATGTCATAGACACCGAGCCCAATAACCCAGAAGCCGCTTCACGGGTCGTTAGAGGCACCGTATCCTGCGACGCCATTCTGCTCAGTATCTGGGAGAGCGCCATCATGAGTGTTGCACCAGTGCAATTTCTACACACGGAGCTTCAAAGATAAGGGCGGGCTGAGCTAGGCGGAAAATTGCGATCGGGATCCTCTCGATGACGGAATCGACGCGGGTCACTCCCGAGGCAACGTGGGCGGTAATGTGAGCTGCACCGGGTGCATGAACGACAATGGGACTGAAACGAAGTTGGAATTGAAGTTTTTAAAGATAATAAGAAGATTTATTTAGTGTTGCATCAGCGCGAGCACGGTGCCTCGCGAAATTATGCCCGATGACTCAGCTTGTCAATGATGTCGGGCGCGCACGGATGATAAGCCTCGTGCTGGTGCATGCATCATCGGAGGCTTGCAGCCAATGCGGTGCGTGGTATTTTTGATGGCCTCAACCCTAAATGGTAGAGTATACTGTAGAGCCCAGTAGTCGATGCTGCTGGGTCTGGTTGTAAATTTTCAGTCTAAGATCGATCATACATGAAGAAATTTAGTACCAACGGTGTTCTCCCACGAGCAATAGCAGGTGTATGTTGTCCAAAGAAACCCGAGCGGTGAAAGATAAGCTTTCGGGACAATCATGTCGGCGGTAGAGACTGTGATAAGAATGTATCTCGCACAACTAAAATGACTATCCCACAGCATCGATATCTCCGTATTAACTTGAATAAAATTCTAAACACATCCTCCTTGATACTCTCCAATTGTAAGTATGTCTCTTCGGTGAGTCCCAAGTAAGAGAGGCAGAACGACCAACACATCCGTTGTCGCGAATCAAGTGGCATGGGTAAATTTACAAAAATTGAATGTAATGCGTTCACAGATAAGAAATTCAAGGCTAATCTACAATATATGAGCCTCTAGACGGTAGAATACTCCCACGGACAACCAAGAAAATACATAGATAATGACCAAAAACCTAATGTTATACAATACAAGGTTTGCAACAGCGCCCCACAAGGTAGAGACCAACAAGTGCGGAGGGTAGCCCTACATTATACGCTAGGTAGGCTAAGACTTTTGTTACAACTATTTAGATGGTACATTCAATAACTATCTATAGTTTTCAAAGGGAATAGTCTTAAGGCGAGAAAATAAGGGCTCCCGATCGCTACACCATATTCTTACCCCCGCCAGACACGAGATATTTTCTACTCAACCCGGGGGGGGGGGGGGGGGAAGAAACTGGTTGGAAACCCCCTGTGATCAGGTGTCTCGATGACCCTCTATTCAGGTCAGAAATTGGGTCTGGTCCTAAGTAGTATAATAGTTGGTTGAAAGTCTAAACACTTTAGTCGGAAGCGCAGCGGATTGTGTTCGGAGTAAGATGGCAATGCGGATACGATATGATCTTGTAGCTATCCAAATCATAACTGGCATTACCAGGATCTGCATAGTGCATAGTGCACAAATTTCCCAGCGAGGTGGGAACTGCCCCTGATAAACAATCTAAATGCTGGTATACCCTTTATCATTGGGTCTGAACCCTGCCGGAAGTCGGCCGTCGGTGGGTTCGATCCAAACCATACATAAAGTAAGCGCTTGGTAAAGGGGCTCTCATAAGGATGGAAAAATTTAAGTGTGCGGGGTTCCGCATAAAGAAGATGAAACAATGTCTCATGAGGGCCGGGTTATAAACCCTTTCTGGCAGTGGGCACTATACTTGACTAACTTTAGTGACGAGGAACTGAATAATCCACATTAAGGGTGCCCTTGGCAACACATGAAACACTTACCGTCCCAACACGACTCTTCGACGCTATTTGCGTGAGGCAATGTATCGGTCTCGTCCCTGTATCAGGCCAGTTAGGCGTTTTCGGCTACCGTGGAGGGTTCATTGAGACAGGGTTTAAAAAGAGTGTAGATCCCGGCAGATCTACACGATCCAAATCAGACCCCGAAGCAGTAGCACCGACTTTCCTTTTCCCCCCAACATGCGTGGGACTTTCATTCTTTCTCTGCTTTCTGCGGTGCTGGGCGCCTCAGCTGGTCTGACCACTTCTAACCTTGAAACCCACGTCGATGTGCTGGCACTCGACAGTGCTTTCAACCCCGTCAAGGAATCCTACTGGACTGGCTATCCTCACCATCGTCGCACTCCATTCGCGGTGTCTCCGGACGGCAAGTCTGCCTATATTGCGTATCTGGATTCGAGCGAGACCGATGTCCATGTTCAGGAGTTGGACCCTACAACTTTCGAGGCTACGGGCACTACTGTTACCGTGACTGGCGGTAAAGAAGGTAAGATAGCCTATGTATCTGATCTGATTGAATACGAAAGACTTCATGACTGATGAGACGTATAGCCGGAGGTCTCGTTGCTCACAATGATGGTTTCGCCCTTCTGACCAACGAGGCCCTGCCTTCCGGTACCACCAATGCGCCCCCCAGTGACACTCCCGTTCCCGTTTTGTACCGCTATACCGATGGGAAGCAAACCTGGAAGACCTGGCTGGGTGGCCCTGGAGTTCACGCTTCCGACGGTCTCTCGGCCTCTCCGGACCTGAACGGAGACCTCGTCTACTCAGAGAGCGAAGAGCTTTACGGTGCGTACTTCGTTGTCACGGATTACTCTGGCGATGCTTCTGGTCACTACGGTGACAGCATCCAGTACGTGACCAAGGCCGGCGAGCTGGACACCATTAGCGGTGCCTCCAGCTCCTGGGGATGCAGCCACAACACCGGTATTGCGTTCGAGGCTGCCGATCAGGCTCCTTTCGCCAGTATCTGCGCCGAGGACCAGGGCGCCATCTGGCTGAACACCAAGGGCCAAGGCATGACGAACGACGGCGTCAAGATTTCCAACGAAAACACTACCAACGGCGCTTCTGGTGAGCCTATGGGTGGTATGTCCGGTAGCTACAGCGCGCTGGCTCGCTTCGCCGACACCACCAAGTACATCTTCGCTTGGGTTTCTCGTGGCGCCATTGACGTGACTGAGAACACCTGGATGGGAGATGGTTACACCCACGTCAACAACCGTACTAATGGCCGCAACGTCGCCATCTCCCTATTCACGGATAAATACACCAAGGTCGGCGCTCAGGCTACCTCGGTGGTTGGCACTGAGGATGGAGATAGCCAGGTAAACTGGGTCACGAAGGGATCCAACGATTGCTCTAACGCCCACGCTGCTACCTTCGGCTCCAGCTCGGCCCTGGTTACCTGGGAAGAGATCTCGAACCCGATCTGTGATTATATTGCCATGGGTTGCCGTGGACAGTTTGCTGGCACGTTCTTCCAGGAGGTGAGCTCGGATGGTAGCACCGTTGGCGATGCTTTCACCAGCACTGATGTCTATGTTGCTGGTGATATGGTAACCATGTCTGATGGTCGCATTTGTTGGCCATATGTTAGCATGGAGTGGGATCTGTCGCAGGCGGTTGGGTATGGAACTCCTTCTGCGACTTATAAGAAGATGTCTTTTGCTTGCATGAGCACTGGAGATGCCACCAACACTACCACTGCCGCCGAGACTACATCGACTGCTTCTGCTAAGACCACCTCCGCTGCCGTTGCTGAGACCTCTGTCGCCGCTGAGACTACTGCCGCTGCCGTTGTGGCCGTCACCGCTGCTGAATCCAGCGCTACTTCTGAGATCTCTGCTGCCGTTGAGACTACCATTGCTGCCCAGACAACTGCCGCAGTCGTTGAGACTATCACTGCTGCTCAATCCACTTCTCTCCCCACCGAGCAAGCCGTCCAGGCCGGGACTACCTTTGCCACCCAGGCCCGTCAATCCTCTGAGCCCAGCACCGTTGTGGCCACCCCCAGCAGCGTTGTGAGTGCCCAGGCCATCCCTACCAGCAGTGCCCAGGATACTCTGGACTTTATCCGGACCGTGTGTAGATTCTTGGTCGGCAGCAACTAAGCATTGCGTAATTCTGAGCTGTTACCCGGATACTTGTGCTTGGCCAGGGGCTGTAGGTTAATCGGTTTTCCATGGCTTCGCTTCTTCTCAGATTGCACCTTGGATTGACAAGTTTCTTAGCCTAGAGTGTTTTCGTTGAACAAGAGTCACAAAATTGTACACATTGCAGGCACCCTGTAAATATCATCCGAGCGTACAGGTGGAGTTCAAGGACTCATTGAGTCAATGCAAAGTTTTCCGACAGTATACAGCCCAGTAAACCCAATGAACCTACGGTATCCTGCTGACCACCTCCAGCTTTTTGATCTGGTATGTAGTTGCTATCATCAGCAAATTAGCTTCGCATTCAAAAGAAGAAAAAAGGCATACATACTCCCTTCCATCTGCAAATGAATAATAACTTCCAAAGGCTGCTCAACAAGCCCCGCAGCATACTGCATAATCTTAAGCGTTCCATCTTGACATCACTCCCATTCTCATCACGCAACTCGGCAAGAACCGTATGAAACTCAGTCGAATTCGGATAATCGACATCAAGAGCCTCTACCACACTTGACGTATTAGAGGGGTTGAAACTGATACCTCCAGTCCCTTTCCACTCGGCAATATCAATCCCCAGAGGCCATGGTTTTACACCGGTGTAGGTTGCTTCTAGGCAAGAGTTCCTGCGGTGGCTCTCACTGCGTTGGGGCTTTTCATGATTGCGGCACCGTTGTGGGCCTCGCCCCATGGGTAATTGTAGTTGAAGAGATAGAGTCGAAGCATGATTTGGGAATAAGACTGGTGTCGCGTTTAGTGAATTGATTGTCGGGGTTTAGTAATGCTCATGCCAGGCAAGGCAAAGTAGTAAGGAGAAGGGGGGATTGATACATCATATCTCCAGGTAGGCTGGTTATCCTTTGCTCAGCTTCTTTTTGCTTGTTTAGCAGTTTTATTATATTGAAAAGTAGGCGTGGGCAACTGCGTTTATATCTAACCATCGGATGACTAGCCTGGTCCCTACGAGGCTCTTGAGTGTGGATCCTCCTCAAATCAGATGAAACCCATTTGCAAACCATAACTCCCAGGAGGACTCTACTCTTATGAATCTGATTACGGTAGGTGAGTTCCAGCTTCCCTAGAGTGTTTTGAAACTTACGAGGCGGGCGCAGTAGACACGAGAAATTGATGATGACCTAACATAGTATCACATCCATATCACTGATCTCATTCCATGCACGAGGACTTACTTGATTGAGAATCTAAAGCTTTTTATTGATAGACTTATCTAATTCTCAACAGTCAGACTATACAATGTTAACCGCTATTTTCGGTAGCCAGCTCGTCCTCCATCATCTCCAACTCATCCTCGAGCATCGTGACCGCAAACTCGCCTATCACCTCTTGAATTGGCCCATGTAGGAGGCGTTGTCTAGATGTCTCAGGCTGGATTTCCTGGAGAGCTTCGAGGTAATCAGTCAGCGGACCATAGTCCACCACGTCCCCCCAGTTCCCTCGATCAACTCCATATTCATGCAGGAACATCTGCAAAGATTCTAGCCCATCCTGCAAGAGCCATTGCTCGAGCACTTGTTGGTCTCCAGCCAAAGCGCGTACTCGCCCACCGGCTGGGGCATTCTCGGTATCCTCTTGTGGAGCATCACCGGCATTCTCTTCATCGTCACCTCCTGGAAGTCCCGGGAACCGAATACCAGCACCATTTTGCATTTGATCCAAAAGGTCGCGAAGCCATTGTGGCCGTCCAGCTTCTGGAACTCGGGCAAGGTAAGATGGCGTTGGATCAGCCTGTTGACGGAAAGCTTCGGACTCATACGGGGGGAGAGGATCCGAAGCGGACATCCGACCGGAAACGAAGCGGGTTGGAAGATGGGTTGTGACTTTGGGAATGTCAGAGAGAACCACATGACGCGCGATATCCAACGTAATCTCCGGTGGCTCAATAGCCTGCTGATCGTCGGAGAGTGAATCAGCAACCTCCACAATAAGAGAAACAGCCTCCGGTGTATTCCAGAGATCTTTCGCTCGCGAGATGTATAGTTCGGTAAGAAGTTCATGAGATCCAGTCGGAGGCATCTTACCCCAGATCTGTTTGGGGATGTGTTGGAGGTCCAGCTCTTGAGCGAGTCGATTGAACACCCACGGGTAACGGGACATGGCATGATGAAGCTGCCGGCGGCAGTCCTGGGGCTTGTTTAATCGCAGATACGCCATGACGAGCGAGCATTGAATGTTTGGAAGGTCAGCCCAATCACGACTGAAACGTGTTTGGGTACACAGATCCACGAACTGAGCATACTCTCGGCCACGTAGAGCAAGATGGTCGATCAGAAGCTTCATGCAGTAAGGATCGGAGTCATTCAAGCTCAATAAAAGCTTGGCCCACTCGTACGCAGTTCTCCATGTGCCCTTCATACCCAGGTTTGCTATGTACCTCCAACCGACAAGCCACAACTCACGATTCTCCATATGCAGGAAGTCCAGCCTGGCTTGACCTTCTCTTACCCGTGTGTTGAATGACGAGTGAGCCGAGCGCCCAATGTTGAAGAGTGCTCTCTCCAAAAGATCGGCAGAGACGGCATGATCACTCTGGTGTTTGGCAATCTCAGAGACTTGAAGTAGAGTCGAAATATGATAAGGGTTATATTGGAGGTGGTGAATCAGGCGTTGTGGGTCCATCGACTCGACACAGAGTTCAAACTGTCTCTGTACGTCCTGATAACCTGCATTGTGAACGATCCGGTATCGTGTAACGCCCGAAGCAAGCTTCTCCTCGAGCTCCATGCCAAGCCCTCCACTTGGCGCTCGAGGCCACTCGTCCTTGCCTTGCATCAGGATATTCCGCCGTAGTGTCACACCCGCTAAGCTCTGGCCTCTGCTGGCCGGACTGTACCGTCCGGTCAAGGCTCGACCGAGGTCTACCGTTTCGCGATTGCGATCCCGCCGACGGCCAGTACCTGCATCGGCCGCTTGGTCGAAGTTTTCCAAGACCACATTTCCAAATAACCGCTTCATCTCATTTGTCGCATTCAGAAACTTGGGATCGACTGCAAGCAGTTCGTCGGTCGATTTTGGGAATGAGGCATTTCCATTATCTTTTGTCGTGACGCCTGCACCCACTCCAGCTGGTAGTTGACCGTCCGTGGCCAGGTCCTTCAAAGCTCGATCAATTTCGTCCAGCTCATCATCGGATTGATTGCCTTCTGGCTCAGTCACCACTGCCGCCTTAGTCTTGGCCTTCTTCTTCTTCTTCTTTTTCTTGCTGGCACTCTTGGGCTCCGTGGGCGCAGGTTCGGGTTCCAGTTGCTGGATCGTAGTTTCCTGAACATCTTCCTCCGATTCTGCGTCATTATCGTCGTCGTCGTCGCCGGCGTTCAGAAGATCGAAGGCGTTAAACTTTGGCTTCGTGGGGCGTGGGGGTTCATCATCGCTAGATGCATCTTCCTTTTCTCGCTGTTGCTGTAGCTCCTGCTCGCGCAGCTTCTGCAACTTCCGAATTGCACGCGAAGACATCTTCAGGTCTCGCGCCAGGCGCCACGAACGATTGAAAGAAACACCTGTTCGTCCCAGATGAGAGCAATGACAAGTAAAGATCCCGCGGGGAATGACGAAAGGGGACCCGATGAGGACTAGCGTGATTCTTGTTGCATGCCCACGTGACCCCTTATCTTGACGGTCACGATGCGCGTGCATTCCCCGGTTTTGTTGTCTCTTTCATTCAATCCCTCGGAGTCGTCTTGAAAAGGAGCTCCAAATATTGTCCCAGATTGCAGGGACATACTTTATCATTTCGAAGCCCCGCCGAATCAATGCGTCGGGCGGCTATACAGGCGTTCCGCACTGCTCGGCGTGCTCCAGTATGGAAAGTCACCGGTAAACGGCCGTGCTCGCTCACCTACACCCACAACTCGGTCCGAGGCCTGCGATCATATTCGGGAGGCCGACGCCCATCATTAGCTCCAGTGGCTCTTCAATCCTCCATGCATCTTCGCAGGTTTTCTCTTGCCGTTATCTCAACCGTTGTTGCGTCCGGAGCGTGGTATGCGTATCGAGGAGAAGGCACCGCGCAGTCGCTAGCAACCCAGGTCCGAGGCTTCGCCTCGAGCGTCATCACATCTGCTCACGCCGAGGATCCGTCCGAGTCGACTCGTCGCGCGCTCTTAGTGAGTAACGACCAATTCTACACTGCTGCGCTTTCCGGAGATCAGCCCTTATCGAAGAACACCGACGACTCAGACCGACGTGTCTTGGAAATGTTGACACCGGAGCAAGCCACGGAGAAGCTGCGCAAGAATGAGGAGTCATATTTGGTCAAGAGAGGCAAAGGCGTGGTGCGATACGATATCGTTCAAGTGCCTAGCAACTCCCCCATCGAGGATGACCACGCCGAGAAGATCGTCGAGGTGTCCTCATCGACGGCGGCCAGCGCAAATGGGGAGCCAAATAGCGACTGGATGTTCTGGGCGGTCTTTGATGGTCATTCGTGAGGACTTTCTTGAGGTTGGAAATTGAGATAATTTATGCTAACTTCAAGATAGGGGCTGGACCACGTCCGCCAAGTTGCGCAACGTGCTGATTTCCTACGTTGCGCGAGAGCTTAACGCTACGTATAAGGCTGCTGCGGCTGACCCCACAGTTCTTGTGCCATCTTCCGAGGCAATTGATCAGGCGATCAAGCAGGGATTTGTTCGTCTTGATAATGACATTGTGCACGAGAGTGTGGACAAGGTCCTGAAATCCAAGTCCCGTCGTATGGCGGCTGAGCTTCTCGCACCGGCCTTGTCGGGATCATGTGCTCTCCTGAGCTTCTACGACTCTCAGTCAAAGGATCTCAAAGTTGCCGTTGCTGGCGACTCGCGCGCCGTACTCGGTCGCCGAGGCCCTAACGGAAAATGGACCGCCACCGCTCTGTCTGAAGATCTTACCGGCGGTACCCCATCTGAAATCAAGCGCCTCCAAGAGGAACACCCTGGTGAACCTTATGTTACCCGGAATGGCCGCATTCTAGGTGGCCTGGAGCCTAGTCGTGCTTTCGGCGACGCCTTCTACAAGTGGAGTCGGGAGGTCCAAGACAAGATCAAACAGCAATTTTTCGGCCGCACACCTCACCCCCTTCTGAAGACTCCTCCTTATGTCACTGCTGAGCCCATCATCACTACCACCAAGATTGACCCCTCCCAAGGCGATTTCATTGTGATGGCCACTGACGGTCTCTGGGAGATGCTGAGCAATGAGGAAGTTGTTGGCTTGGTTGGCCAGTGGCTGGAGCAACAACAGTCTGGCAATGGCGGGTCCAAGGCCTGGCTGCAAAGCTGGTTCAGCTTCGACAGCCAAAAGCAATTGCCCGTGGAGCCGGCCAAGGATCAATCCACTGAAGGCCAGCGCCGCCCCATCCGCCAACAGCAATATGATATCTCCGGCGCGGCAAGCCGATTTGTCGTTGAGGACAAGAATGCCGCGACCCACCTCGTCCGCAATGCTATGGGTGGAAAGGACAAGGACATGGTTTGTGCCTTGTTGACCTTGCCAGCCCCGTACTCTCGCCGATACCGGTATGTGACTTTCACCCTCGTCTGTCCTAGATGATCTGCTGACCACTTGTCTTCTTCTAGCGACGATGTCACCGTCGAGGTCATTTTCTTCGGCCAAGGCTCCGACTCCCGTACTGGTACAGTAGAGATTAATAAGGAGGCCAGCGCTTCAGAAGAGCCACCCAAGGCGAAGCTATAAGCCATTCAGGTCTGAATCGAGCGCTTTGCCTCCCAGAGTATGATCCTGGGCCATGGCGGCTGAACGCTGTCTGCCGATTATTTCCTTAAATAATCTAGCTCAAGTACTCGTGCGATACCTTACGGAGTTGATTACCCAAGAGCGAAGGCTAAGCCTTGATATTTACTGATTTACTGCAATTGTCGTATTCTGTTAGAGATTGGGTGGTCTTGTGCCTGTGATCGGGTCACCATTGACATCTGTACAAATCTCTGCCATACTATTATACTCGAATTTACAATTGACCTGCAAATTGCGGCTGACTTAACAGAGACCACAAGCTCAAGATCATGGCGTTGCATGATAGCTCAGCATCAACAGAATGAAGGTGGACAAAGTAGTGGTCTGCTTGATCGAGATTGATCATGAAATGAAAATCTATAAGGAGAGAGGTCACTTCAGTGGTAGGGAATTGAACGTTTATGTCCACTATCATGGTTTGTGATACATATGGAAGTAGTGGGCATGAAGAAAGTATTTTTTTTCTTGGTCCTTGATTGTCCTTTAATGTACATGTATGATGACAAGTAGTCTATAGTACAAAAGCCCACTCCCGGCCCCTCACGATTCGTTGCGTGGCTATTCCATGCGTCCGTAGACTGACGACATTCCGTAAGGAGCTGAGATGCTTTCCTGAAAGCACGAGAAGTTGTCTTTGTATCCAGGTTGGCTCCCTGAGGGTCCATTTCGTGGCTTGTACTTCGGGATGCGGGAAGAGCTTGAAATTGCCGTAGCAGACACTCAAAACCACAAAGGGGTCATTGCGTGTCCCCGACCTGGTCACCCTATGAGGGTATCGGATTGATGTTTGATGAGGTTTGATGAGGTTTTGCAGCATCACTCAGCGAAGTTTCATACGGAACGCATCCGGAGTATCGGGATTACTGTAATCGACATAGCGTCTCGAGGCAACCGGCATTGGCGGCTTCATAAACATCTTCTTTTCCAAGATGTAGGTCTGCAGCGAGGCAATGTTAGAGCTACTGATCCAGTAGATCAACAATGCGGTTGGCATCTCATAGAACCACGCGGACAGGCCCACGTTCAACGCCAGGAGCTGAACGAAGACGCGCAGACCGTTGGAGACAAAAGCTCGGTACATCTGTAATCGGGGCATATCAGCCAGCTCAGTGCGTGGTGTAGCCTTCCAACCCGCTTTCAGATTGAGAATAATGGAAGCTGCGAGGGCTGCTGGCAAGATACCGGTTGAGTCACCCGCAAGTAGATCGGGGAACCATAGCGCGCCCTCGTTCGCAAAGGTAGGCTCAACTGTCAAATGGAGGGAGTTGACGGCAGTATCGGTAGCTTCCTGGTTCCCTTCAATCAAAGACAGTAGCCATGGTATCAGGCCACTCTTGTTCCCGGACATGCCACGAATGCTCTCCATGAGAAGGATCCAGACCGGTAATTGTAGGACGGGCGCGAAGCTGGACATGCGCGAAATATTCCAGCGGTTCCGTAGAACCTTGATCTTCTGGAAATATTCGCGGTTGATTTCCTTCACCTTATTCGTAGAGTCTTGCCCTTGTTTCAGGCCTTTCCTTGCCGAGTCAGCCCAATTTGCCCAGGCCTGCTTGAGGGGCGTAATGTCTCGTTCGCGCCGTATGTTGACTTTGCTGTACATTTGTAACGGCAATGCGACCAGTGTTCGCACTATCAGAGCCGTGAGGGGGATCGAGGCGACCCATGGCAGGCCGGTGATATTGTGAACGCCGTGAATAAGCCCGGCGGAGGCATCGAGAGCTTCGTTGATCCACGGAGCTGGTTTGGTCGGGTGGAAGTGTCGGACCTGCGAGCGTGCCGCCCGCGGCAGCGACCTGCTGAGGGCGTGCAACGCCCTGGAGCGAATCGAGTTCATGACCTACAGGGAGGGCACGAGGGGGATAATGACAGATCACCAGCGTGGAAAATCCCTGTTTCTCCAAGTCGCAGATCAGGTCAAAAGATCGTCCCCAAGCGCTCCGAGCGGAGAAACAATCGATTGGGAAAAACAGCTCCACCCGGTATCATGTGATTGCGGTATTGTAAGTTACGTTCCACGTCAACTGATCTGAATGGCGGGCAGGCCAGGTGTTGATGGTAATCCCGAAACAAGTCCTCTCACTCTTTCTTTTTCCCACCATCCCCCTCTCTCAACCTGCCCCCCTGGATACCACATTTGAATCCCGGGTACTATGCGTGGACACTGGTAAAAACCAGACGCAACCATGGCCATCTTGACCACCGCCATTCTCGCGCTCTTGATCGCCGCGGCGACAGCTGTCCTGCTCCCTCAACTTATAAGCAGCATACTAGGGCTAGTCCTGCGCGGCGCGGGGTGGTTGATCCGCCGACGAACCCGATCTCGGCGTGAATATGTGATCGCGCGGGCGCGATCAGACGAGGAGGAATTATTGAAATCGCTACGCGCAAAGGGATCAAGCTCGGCCGAGGATGAGGATTGGGAGAAGGTTGATAGTACTGCCGGCCTTGGTGGAGTGAAGACAACTGGTAGCAGTGACAGTGGTACCGGTGATGGGGCAAAGCGGCCAGACGACTGGGATGGAATCATCGGATTTTTTCATCCATTCTGGTAAGACTGATCTCTCTATCCACCGTTGTTGTTCCGTGGAACTTGTCACTAAGACTGCCATTTCATAGTAATGCTGGTGGCGGTGGAGAGCGAGTTCTCTGGGAAGCAGTGCGCGCAACACAGAAGCGCTGGCCCAAGGCGATCTGCGCTATCTATACCGGCGATCACGAAGTCAACAAGACTACCATGTTGGAGCGAGTCGAGAATCGGTTCAATATCCACCTACATGCCCCCAGAGTGGTGCTCCTGTACTTGACCACCCGCAAATACGTTGTCGCCAGCTCTTATCCACACATGACGCTGCTGGGCCAGTCGTTGGGGTCACTGGTCGTCGCATACGATGCATTTACGCTGCTGGTCCCGGACATATTTGTTGATACCATGGGTTATGCCTTTACTTTGGCACTGTGCAAGTGGCTCTTCCCAACCGTGCCGATAGGCGCGTATGTGCACTACCCGACTATTTCCACGGATATGCTTGCATCTCTCGATGACCAGAGCGGGATCCAAGGTTTGAATGCAGGTGCAGGCAAGGGGCTCAAGGGAACCGTCAAGCGACGCTACTGGCAGCTGTTCGCCCAATTGTATGGCTGGGTCGGTCGCCACGTCGATGTGGTCATGTGCAATTCTTCTTGGACTGCCGCCCACATCCGCAAACTATGGGGCACTGGCAAAGACAAAGCAAGCAATGATGCCACCGACCCTACTGGCAAGGGTACACCCTCCTCGCCTGCCGTGGTATTCCCTCCTACAGCCGTAGCAGAGCTAGAGTCCAGTATCACCGTGGACGCCGAAAGTGAGAGGACCCGCCACCCCACGCTGCTCTACATTGCACAGTTCCGCCCAGAGAAGAACCACCCGCTCGTCCTCCGCTCCTTTGCGCGGTTCCTGCAAGAGCGTGCCCGCAACCCGGCTTATGCCGACAAACCCCAACCCCGACTGGTACTTATCGGATCCGTCCGCCACGCCAGCCCAGACGAAACTCACATCTACAACCTCCGCCTTCTAGCACACGAACTGCGTATTCGCGACCACACCACATTCCTCTGCGACGCAAGCTGGCCCGCCGTGCTGTCCCACCTGGGCACAGCATCCGTCGGTGTAAACGCCATGTGGAACGAGCACTTCGGTATCTGCGTGGTCGAATACCAAGCTGCAGGCCTAATCTGCGTCACACACGACTCCGGCGGTCCTCGCGAGGATATTGTCGTGGACCTGGGCGATGGAGCGACTGGATTCCGTGCCGAGACCGAGGAACAGTTTGCGGCGGCCTTTGAGGCGGCGCTTGCGCTACCGGAATCAGAGAAAGTTGCTATGCGTTTGCGCGCGAGACGGTCGGCTCAGAGGTTCACTGAGGAAGAGTTCTCGCGGAAGTGGTTGGCACAAGTGCAGAAATTGGTGGAGGCTTCGCGGTAGAGTTGAGTAGATATTCTCTCGTTTTGATATAGATGAATGCTCAGATCCTGCGTTGATGAAGATACTTTGTTTAGTAAACCTATCTCACTCTGTGGAAAGACGTACACCTTGAAAACTAGGCAGGACTTCCTGTTATAGACTATGTAAGAAATATACTCGAGATCACATGATGTTCCATAGCCCTCATTCAGGGACCAACTTCATTCATCTCCAGTACACTATGTGATTTAGCGGCAGCTCGGCTTTCTAAAAAGCATTGGGTACTTGATGTTATATAATCTGATTTCCAAATGGTGCAAATTACTCCGAGCTGGAGATGTCTCCAACAAGATCAAGGGGAAGAGAAAAACAAAACCCAAGAAAAAGTAAACGGGTATGAGAAACTTGAGAAAATCATCCAATGCATCACGATGGCAAGCTCTTGCATTGCCACGAATGAAGTGCAAAAAGGAAGAAACGAAAGAAAAAAAAATATGAGAATCCCAACGCTGAATCTCCATCATGAGGAAATGACAACCAAACGAATGCCAGTGTATATAGATGTTGAACACAGACGTTGAAATCGAGTAGAAATTCATTCCCATTTCTGGCCTTGGCCGAGAAAATCAAAATCAAATCAAATCACCTAGTCTCCCACCTTGTATCAAAACGCCAGTGACCCTTCTCTATAAGGGATAAGCCAGGGAAGAGGAGAAATGCAAACACGCAGACGAGAAACAAAAAAGACTAGATCAAAGATGTTGAGAGAACTAAGACTCGCAGAATGAAAGACATGACAAAGTAATTTCTGCAAAGAGTCGCTTTTCCTTCTTCCAATATCATAAGAAACGCGAGGGGTATAAACGAGTGATGGAAGCATCGCATCCGTCATCAACTCCATTTTTGATCCACATATCCAGGATCACCCGGATTCATTCCGAGCATCTGGCCACCATACATGGCGCCCTGGTTATTGCCATATCCGCCACTTATCCCAGATACACTGCTGATACCAGACTCATCGTCGTCGAACCCGAATTCACCACCCGAGCTAGCGTCAAAGCTACTTCGACCACCGATATCGCTGGGGTCATCACCCGCGGCGAGCTGGTCCCACTGCAGGGTTTGCAAAGCTGGGTATTGCGCAAGCAGGGCCGCGGGAAGAATAAAGTTACCAGAAGACTGACCATCGATGCCAGGGACGCCGGACATAACAAGTGGCTGGGGAACCGGTTGCAAGTGTCCGGCGGGTTGCTGCTGGTGCTGTTGCTGTTCGGCATTGACGCGGTCACGCTCCTGGGATTCTTCGTCGAGAAGTGGCTTGATGCAGACACGACCTGCTTCGGACCTGAAATGGCGGCCGAGCGCGTCTGCACGTGCGAATCGACGGCCACAGCCCCAGTGGCCGCCTCGTGAAAGGTCACCGCGGCAGACGAACTTCTTTTCGCCAGAGTGGAGGCCCTCGTGGCGCTTGCGATCGTGTTGGCGGGCGAAGGCTTTGCCACAGACTGTACACACAAATGGTCGTTCGTCGGTGTGGGTGCGGAGATGCGAGCGCAAGTTGTATGCTCGAGTAAACCGCTTAGGACACAGAGTGCACTGGAAAGTGGCGGGGTGCTTCTGGACACGCTTCGAGTCACCAGGAGCTGCACCCGGGCGCCCTGGGTCAGCCAGATCGAGAATATAGTTACGACTCTCGATAGACGATGTCGAAAGACGTCTATTAGACCTTGACGGAGATGCGTCGCGGGAGCCAGGGTTGCTGCGTGAGTGGGGCGATAGTGATCGTGGGGAAGTAGGGGCGAGCGGTTCGAGACTAGTTGTTGAAGTCGCGGGGGATCTTTGGCGAGAAGCAGGGTGGGCATAGGGATCTGACTTGCTACGTACGCGAGATCCTAGTACGAATATGAGCATTGAGGTGAGAAATCAATAGACGGGTTTGAAAACGTACTCATCGCGGGTGGACTCAAAGAGTCAAAAGCAACTGGTTTGGGTGGCCCGAAACTCGGGCTCCGAGATGGGGGCGCAAATTCCACGTTGATTGATGGAGGCGCCATTTGGGATGCCTGGCCAATGTCGCCTGCGGGATGCGATCCCAGCATGTCATCACCCGACAATCCATGGTACATCTCCGTTGGTGCGGGGGGGAACTGGTTGCCAGTCGAAGTATACTGGATACTAGGAACCATATCAGTGCCCCGTTGAGGCATCAATTGTGGTGAGATATACGGGCTGTGTGCGGGACTGAAGCCCTGCTGATGCTGCTCTGATAGCGTAAATTGTTCAATTGCTAGAGCGTTATCGTATAGAGCTGGGTCATTCTGTGGAGCAAGGGACGGGGACGCATTATTTTCGATACCGTCATACTCATGCTGAGATAGATAGGGCGAGTGGTTGGCCGACGAGACCTCTGAGACCTCTGACGGCGCTCGGCGATGGGTCTGGAAGGCACTATTATTCATGACAGACTGCCAGTCCGCGTTCGCCTGCGCACTGAGATAGGCGGCCGTTGCTGGATCCAGTGAGGTGTGTCGCGAATGCTGCGGGGTATAGTATGTTCCAGGAGTGCCTCCGGGAGGAGACACGGGCCCCGGGGATGACTGCTGTGGGTCTTGCGACGACGGGTGTGAGGATGCAGAGGGATTAGAGATGGGACTGACGAGATCAGCTGGATTGACCGCTTGGTGTATGACCTGCTGGTGCTGATGCATTTGCGGATCCAGCAGCGATGAATCATACTCGGATGCGCTACCGCTGTGAGGACTATGATTCTGGTATGCTGCGAAATCCAGCTCCCCGGAACTGGAATTGAGCAAATTGGAGAAATTGTCGGTGAGCTGTCCCGTTTGCAAGCCCGACATTCCTGGGTCTAACTGTTCCACCATATTCGGGTTGAAAGACTGCGACATCGAGATATTGGTTGTATTCAGCGTTGGAGGGAAAGGCTGACTGGAAGAAGGGACCAGATTTTGTGCTGGCGTAGGCCCCGAAAAGTGGTAAGTCGTCGCGTAACCGTAAGATTCGGTACCGCTGATGCTGGGATCGGCATTGGAGTTGTCAAATGGCGGATTTGTCCCGTATGCGGCTGACATGGAGGGGTCCAGGGCTAGGCCCGCGGTTGGGTCGTGATATTGTTGTTGGGCGTGGGGAGATGGGCTCATGCTACGATGTTTGATATCTGCAGAGATGGAACCTGCACCCTGGGTATGATCGTGGGAAGCCATGGTGGCCGGGGAATTCGCGATACCGTCGATATACCTCTGGAGAGTTATCAGGTGGGACAGGCGAGCGCGCGACACAGGGCGGCCGCGAGCGCCAAATCGGAGAGAATCAAGGAGAGTGGAGCGCGGCAGGTCGCGACCAAAGAAAATAGTAGAGTCGCTGGTGATCGAATGGCATTCGTAGTAGATAGACGGATGCGCGCAAAAAAAAACCACTCGCCAGGGTCAGCGAGACAGCAGCATCATCTAAAGTTGGAAGTCGAAGGTCGAAGGTGGTGGTGATGATGGAGGGACCCGATAAATGGCGACCGCACGTGCGCAAGGCGGTCTGCGAGAATCAGACGGTCGTAGGTTTTCTTTTTTTTATTTTCTTTGGGCCCGAAAGTCAACTTTCCTTCGCGACCTGTTCGATGGCCCACCCAAGATACTACTTTCCCGGCGCCAGGGCCAAAAAGTTCCAGAAAGGTCAAGGTTTGGCCCCTGGGAATCGTGTCTCACACCGTATGGGGAGCATGCAGAATGAACTCAGACTGGGCCACTTACTCCGGACTAGTGTCGGTATGGACTTGATTTCCCACCCCACATCGTGTCCACCACGATAACAGATAGGCACAAGAGCCCCTCCTTTTTTGGGTTGATGGAGAGTGTCCTCGAGATCGCTCTTTCTCTGTTCCCTTGTGATGATTATCGTGATGCTCTCAGGTCCTTCCGCATGTCAGGACCGACCCTCAACGTAGAAACGATCCCCTTCGCAGCGTGACGAATCGACGGTTACCAATCGTTCCCTCGTTTTTATGGTGGAGCATCCACGTCCAGCTAACGCAGCGGGGGACTTTAGCTTATGTTTGCACAGCCACGCAGCTGAGTTCCACGGTCCGTCCTTTCAGTTGGTCTCTTGCGTTTTCCAATTCCAAAGCTCGGACCGTTGGAAAGCGTGATTCGCTGGCATTAGGGCAAGGCGGATTTCCCAAACGACTCTGCCTTACTGACGTATACTTCGTACTTTCAGTCTGTACTTGAAAGATCTTCCGGGGACCTGGTCCGTCCGGGTCCTGACGATGTTGACGCCTGGTAGTTAGCTAAGCCTCAAACTCCAAAAATATCCGATGATTTAAACTTATTTTAATCTGAGGAATGTTGCTGCCTTTGAACTCAAGTGATACATTCCAATCTACCTCGATATGCTTCCATTCTCACAATAGACAGGACAATCTTCAATTCGGTCAGGTGACCAGACCGTAATTTCCAAGCCTATTCACTCGCAGGCCCAATTCTTGGGACTCCCTCATGGTGATATCTCGCATCTAGCCGTAAGATCCAACCTAGACTGTACCCAGCGTCGCCAGACTCGCCCGCTCCACGTCATTGGTGTAACTAAACAACAAATTATCCGCACAACTGCTACCCAACCCAGCATTATTCACCCACGCCGGCTCCCAATAATAAATACCCAACCCCCCCGAAACAGCCTCAACGACAGCCGCCAGATCCTTCAAAAAGGTCTGCTGTCCCGCAACGGAGAACGGAATCGACGAGAGATCCGACGGGAACGCGTAGGCCGGGCTCGGGCACGAATATGGCCAATCGGTCTCGACCACCAGGACGTCCTTGCCATACGTCGAGTGCAGGTTTGTCAAACTGGTCTTCAGGGATGCCAGGGTCGCGCTCGAGCCGTAGAAGGGATAGTAGGAGACGCCGATATAGTCAAAGTCTGTTGAGACAAAGGTCGATCCGCTATTCAGAACGGTATTGTAGAAGTACTGCTGCTCGGACCAGGACCAGCCGTTGTCTAGGTGGATCATAATCTTGGGGGTGGTCGCGAGACTGGAGTCCTTGACGCCCCAGGCGCCGGAGTGCAGGAGTCGGCCGATATTGTAGTAGCTGCTGGTTGTGCCGAGGGGCCAGAGTAAACCGGCGCGGATCTCGTTACCGATCGAGACGATATCGACGGTGAGGCCGTTCTCCGCAAAGGTGTCGCATACCTCCTTGGTGTAGTTGTATAGCTGCCAAGCCAGTGTGTCGATATTGGTCGTGGACCAGCCAGACGGGGTGGTCTATCCAGTGGGAATTCGTTATTAGCAGTTGCCTTCCCTTGGCCACGACAATGACCCTTGAATAATGGAATTATAGCATACCTGATCACTCGGATCCGCCCAGGTATCACTCAAATGCAGGTCCAGATACGTCGTCATCCCCTGCGCCTGCACTCTCTTGGCCAACTTGATATTATAGTCCAGATCGTACGACCCATCACTCGGATTAACCCACACACGCTGGCGCACAGAATTAATCCCCGCATCCGCCAGTATCACCTCCAACGCCTGCTTCGTGCCAGCAGTATTCTTATACGAGATTCCCGCATTTTCCTCTACAATCAGAGACGAGATATCCGCGCCGTGGATACTTAGAGCGGCTGATGCTGGCGAAAGCAGCTGAGCAGCAAGCAAGAAAGCCGTGAGGAGCAACATAGCGTTCGTCGACGCAATGGGATCATATAGCGATTGGTATTATCGAGTCGGGGTTTCAGGTCCACCTCGTCACCAGTCACGGAAAAAAAAGGGAGACAGCAATCGAGAAATGCAGGCTATATAGATAATTCTCTACCTCCTTTTTTTTTCCACATGCTCATCTCGGACAGTCCTCGATTTGAACGTGTGGACCAGGCGGGGAAATTTTCTCCTGTATATGTACAAGACACTCTGCCCGCCGCGAAATTGCGCAGTTTAGGGTGAACAGGGCTACGTGATGGGGGAATTTGTCCGAAGAAATTGGCCTGCTTGGGTCTAGCACGCGCGGTGAAACACCCGGTGTGACGGGGAAAAGAGTGGGGAATCCCTGACAGCGCTGAAGGAGTGGGTGACTAGTAGCGGAGTCGCGAGATCCTAATCGGATCGGAAATAAACACTTCATCCTGCCGGGGATGGAAGCGGGGTGGAATGCTTGTTTTGTGGTGTGTCGTTGGTAGAGGTAGTTGTGTGATGCAGTATCCATGGATGGGGATTGATGGCGTTCCAGTGGAGGGTTTCTCAATGTAGCAGTATAAGCCGAATGTAGTTTAGGAATTGTGTATTACTATGTGCTCAATCAAAGGATATTCGTGCTATTGTTGTCCACAAATACTTGCTCAATCTGAGACGGATGACTTGGCTTAGCGCGCCGATGACGATCTCACTCCATACTCACACTCGACCCCTCGGTGGCCAATATTATTGGTGGAAGAAGAATCAAGATAATCAATCAGAGAATCATAGAACTGACGTATTCACATGGGAGCCACCCCGATATAAAGCCGCCCCCCACCGGAGCAAAGTAGCTTATGTATGTTCAAACTTCATGGAAATGCTAAGCTTCGGTCTAACCTCCGCCTACTCCGCGTTACAAACAAGACAAGCTCATGCAGCCATAATATGTAAAGGAGGGGGAAAGATCTTCCCCGTTATTTCATTTCATCAGGTCATTGCAGCGGGCGGATATGAAGCCCCTCGCCAATCAGTCCCAGCTCCACCCAGCAATCTTGTATCATGCAGACATTCACATCCTCACACAGACAGACAATAACTGAGGAAGCCTTTTGGCAAATCACCACCCAGACAACATTACATACAGGTAAGATGGGAAAAGGGGAAGAAAGAAGAATAACCTTTCGGGCTCCCTGAGAACGGCCCTACAGGCGCATTAGAAGAAAGGAGAGCAACCGGTTGTTGCTCACAGCAGGGAATAAGGCGGGGAGGAACGACAGGGTGGAAGTCGCTGCGGGCACAAACGTATATATGTACAAGACATGTAGAATGTATGTCAAAAAGAAAACACTCTCTAGAATGTGAAAAGTTCCAGAAATGACACGGTGGTGAACAAATTGGGAAGTGGAAATAACAGAGGGTGATATACAACGACCTCACAGTATACAGGAAGTGTCGAAGCGGAAGGACGAGCAAAGGGGATTCGAGAGGTGGCGGAGGGGGTGGTATTATAGATTGAAAAGAGGTCTTGCCATTATGAGCCGCCAGCAGGCTTCGCCACGGGCTTGATCGTTGGCTTCTTCTTGCCGATCACGAGAACTTCGTCTTCAGACTCGGTCTCATCCTCATCGTCGCAGTAGTACCTTGACTCATCTTCCTCCGGCCGCGGTGAATCTAACCGACGAGGTTTGACAGTCTCGCCCGTGCGAAGAATCGACGGGACTTGGCTTGAGTCGTCCCCGTCTTTGTCCCTGGATCCTAGGTACAACCCATCGCCCGAGAGAGACGAGGCACCCGAGATGACGGAGGGGATACTCGGATGAGACGCGCTCTGCGACATGCCGCTGGTGAAGTCATCAGCAGAGGACGACGAGATAGTGGCTGCTGATGGCGTCGAGTTGGTGAGGCCACTACTCGGAGCGTCGGTGGCGCATACCGGTTCTGGGGCCGGAGCCGGAGCCGGAGCAGGAATTGCCGTTGGAAGCGCCAGCGATTCGGTCGAATACATTGCATAGTCGACGCGATTAGCTAAGGCGTGTGTCTCATCGGCACCGGTGCCAAAGTCGCTTTGGCGGCGGCGGAGCAAAGCGTCCCGGGTAAGATGGAATGACTCTGCGGAAGACTTGCCGATAAGTTGCTGGGAGCGATTCCGTCGGTGGGCTGAAATGGAGCTTGCACCTTCAATGGGGGAAGGTGCCTGGGAATGCCATAGCCCTGTCGACCGCACCTGACCGATAGCGGAGGCATTACTCAAAGCGAGACTCGGCTCCGAGTGACGCTCTGCATCAAAAGCTGCCAGAGATGCGGTATCACCGGATGGCGAACCGCGTCTGCTGCGGCTCATAGTGAAGACACGTCGACTGGCACCGGTGAAGAGACTCCCGAAATTAGTAGTTCCCAAGGCTTCGATGATAGACGGCGTGCTTGTCCGTGGGCGGGAGGTATGGGGCTCGACGTTGGACTGCTTAATCGTCTTGGTCGATTCGGCAGTGGACATGGATGATTTCGCACGACGGGGAGGGGCCGGTCGAGATGGCATGGTCGCAGGAGGAGCAGTGGGCTTGAGCTCAGGAATAGGGGTGGCATCGAAGTAAGATGTCCAAGGGGCCCCCTCTTCCACCGGGCTGGCAGTCACGCTCTGGGAAAGAGGGTGCTCTCCGTGAATGGCAAACTTGGACGTGCGGAAAATTTCTTCGTCGCCGCGAAGACTTGACCGACGGCTATCACGGGACGTCTTCCCAAACGTACTCGTGCTCGACATCGACGACAATGTGTCGGATGAGTTATTCGAGCCGCGCTTGCGACCGTCCTTGTCCTTGGACCGGCCAGAGAACCACTTCGCCACGTTGGAGCGCACACGTTGGATGAAAGGTACCTTGCTGACGGCACTGGTGACTTCCTCGTTGGAGACCTCGATCCTCTTGCCCTTGCTCTGGTACCCGGGATCGGTCTCTTCCACCCACGCCTGGGCGTTGGGCAAACCGTACAATGTCCAGGGGTGATGTTTGATTTCCTTGAGCGTGATTCGCTTGATCGGGTCCTTGGTCAAAAGGCGTCGGATCAAATCGTAAAGTTCATCATCTATGTCCTCATATACAAGTTCATCGACGTTGCGATAATTCCGTTGACTAGAAATAGAGGCAGAATCGTCCACGACGGGCATAAGGCGTTTTCGTGGGACAAAGACCTCCTTCTTCACGATAGTTTGGAACATGCTGTACTCGTCATCGGAAAGGAAAGGGAGACGACCGAAGATCATGCCGTACAGGGTGACACCCAATGACCAGACATCAATAGCGCCGGTGATCTTGGGCACAGCACCAATATCGTCCACAAACTCGTCGCCAGTATAGCAAAGTTCCGGAGCATAGAATGCAGGTGTACCTACAGTCTTGGACAGTTCTCGAGCATCGTCCAACTCTGCAGCATCAGTCTCGGCCACCTGCTCTTCTTCCTCATCCCGCATCGGTCGTCCTAGGTAGGACACGCCAAAATCGGAGATCTTAACACGATGGCTGCCAGTGACTAAGAGGTTGGCCGGCTTGATATCACGATGGATAATACCTTGGTAGTGGAGATACTCCAGGCCAAGGACAGAGTCACGGAAAGCATTGCGAGCTTCGGCAATAGTCAAACAAGGAACATATGACATGTCGTCCGTATCTGCAGACCACTCCGGTTCAGACGGAGCGTAGCCAAAACTGCTGGATGCTGTGCTGAAGCGCCGCTCGAAGGGATAATCCATATAGGCACCGTACATGCTGCCTTCGACCGCAGCCAGCGCGTCTTGGGCTGAGGACTGACTCGGCGAACTCTCATCCACAACCGCAGCGGACCGGTTGGATCGGGTAGAAGTCCGCCGAATCGTTAAGCCAAGTCCGTCCACTTCTTCCTCGTCTTCGGACTCTGCACCGTGTTCCAAACTCCATCCGGGGATTGGGCCTTGTTGGGCGTCGGCGGCCTGCGCTTCGATCCGCTCTCGTGCCTTTTCGCGTTGACGACGAAGGTGCTGTGCCGTGCGGATGAATTGGCGGCTCTCTTCTAAAAAGGCCGGAGTGTCGGGGACTCCGTTCTTCTCGCGGTCAAGACGGAGCTTGTCGACGTGAACGATTTCTCGAAGCCCCTTCTTTCGCCAAACAATTTCGCCGTTCTCAACGTACTCCAACACGATGTAGACCTTTTGCCGGTTTGGGTCGTCAATGACCTCCAGCAAGCTCACCACGTTGGGATGCCGTGCCTTCTTCAAAATAGCCACCTCCTTCTTCACCTTGTCTTCTGGGTTACCCAGTTTCCCTAAACGACGGCGTTTAGAGTATCGCTGGACGATCTTGATGGCCACTTTTTGCTTTGTTGTCACATGCTGACCCAGTTTAACCTTCCCATGTTCGCCGCGTCCAAGCTCCTCGAGAATCTCATACTGGTTGATGAGCTTGTTACCCGTCTTGGAGTCACGATCGACCTCGGCGGTGTGGGTTTCCTTGGGCGGTTGCAAGTGTGAGGGATGAAGATATGGGCTGCTGATCAAGCCTTCGTCTTCGGAACCCAGTGGTGTCGAGCGCGGACTTCTCATCGAAAAAAGGCCAGGGCTTGAAACGGGAGTGTTGCCCGCAGTGCGAGAAACACGAGGGAAACGAGGTGCCTCAGAAGTCGCCGGGGTCGAGTACGAGCTCCGTGACCGCAGATGTGGTGGAAGCCCCCAAGTGGGATGGATTTGTGACTGGAGGGAGGCATAGGATTGATCGGGGTAAACGGGATATTCGGGCTGCTGGTCCGAGTGCCGAGACGATCTTCGCGAAGATCGTCCAAGATTGCCCAGTTGCGTGCGGGCATCGACCACGGTATCCTCATTCAGCGCTTGTAACGAGCTCGAGGAAGAGCGGGTGGAGGGGGTACGAGATGAGGTATAAACGTGGGGAAATGCTTGACGCAGAGTTGCTTGTGCATCGGACAGGTCGGCGGTGGTGACTGTTAAGGGTGGCTGTTTGGTTGTCGTGCGAGCATCGAGTTTGTCATTTGCTACTGCAGGGGCAGGCACTTGTGCTTGTGATTGCATCAATTCGTCCGATCGGCAGGAATCCTGTTTGGAGTCATCCACGCCACCATTTCGAGTCGACGGCCGGTCGGCCTTATCCAGACCAGCCGTGGGGGTTTGATGATTCGTCAAGTTCATCTTCCTTTCCTGCCTTTTATATGTTGGTTTTGCTTTTCTTGGAAAAGAAAAGAAAAGATTCAGGAGTGCGGGCCAAGTTTGCCGAAATTACAGTTGAGCATGGTCCTCACGATTCCTGTCCAAGTGATCGGGGTTGGAAATGGAAATCGTTCAAGGAGAGTTGACAAGAGGCTGGATGATCACGCACGAATGGACCAGCATTACTTTCGGCGCAACACGAGAGGTATAGAGGCGGAAGATGGACGTGAACACCCGTATGTACCGGACAACGGGCCGCCGAAGGGAGAGGAAGGATGAGTCGTCGAACAAGTCGGAGACGATCGAGGTAGACCTGCTACAGCACGAGGGACTCGGGTGTTCCCACACACGTGGGGAATGGCGAAGGGTGTTCCAAAGGAGTGCGATCGAGGGATGATGCTATAAATATAGGGTGGGAAGTTAGGGGTGATTCGGAGGGCTCGCTCGGTAGAGGGAGGGGGGGGGGGGGAAAGAGGAATCGAGCGAGATCGGAGAGATCGGAGGTAGGCGAACTATTTCTGAAGGAATGTGCCAACTGAACGGGCAAGACCAGTCACGGAAGAATGGCCGTCCTGAGGGAGAGGAGACGGTAAAGTCGAAGGTGAGGAGGGGGGGGGGAGAGGTTCGTCGAAGAAAGGGAGGTTGGGTTGTGGTTGGGTTGAGAAGAGGGAGGTGTAGTTTGCCAGCGTCCAGTGTCCAGTGTCCCGTACCAGAGTACCAGGCCCAGTACTCCGTAGTTACTAGCACTGACTCTTCCCAGAGGTGTCCACAGTGATGACTACCCGTCGTGAGAGCGAAGATCGGGCGCCAAGAGGGGAAAATGGGAAATTATAGGGGAGAATAAAAGGGAAAATGCGAAAACCAATGCAGATATTTTACCTCGACATGCACGTCTGCAAATCCGCCAGGATACAATTCTGTCCTGCAGCAGGGGCCTACGAGAAGAAGTCCGGGATAAGATTAATATTTAATGAGGACCAGAATTGGACGGAGTACGGAGTACATCTTTCATAATCCATAGCATATCGTCTACGTAGTAAATGTAACTGCTCTTCGTTAGTTTACAGAGATAGACAACGGGTGAATACGGAAATTTACCTCAAAAATACCAGAGTGGGGCTTGTCAGACGAGGGACTCTCGAGACTTTCCCACTTTGAGACTCTTTCGAGACTCTTTGAGCCTTCGGAGCCGACTCCACCTGTGCTGCTTCCTCTGCACTTCGGCCGATACTCCGATGGTCCGTGTGCTTCCCTACAATCGGCCCTACTGCCACTCAGAAAGTCGGCTTGACGCTTTCTGAGTATTTGGTTTTGCAGTGGCGATTCCTGCCCAGCGCCAAGTCCCCGAGTCTCAAGTCCCAAGTCCTATGTCCCATCTTTTGCTCGACCAGCAGACCATTGAACCTCGAGTTTCCAGCGATTGGCCCAATTACGTCGAGGCCTGGGCTCTCGTCCCGGGCCCTTGTCGTTCGACTCGTTTCCTTCTTGGCTTGTTCGCGTGTCGGGGGCGAATAAGATCCAAGCTCCCCTCATGAGCCGAATCACCCGTGGATCAGTGCATTCCGGGCGGCTGGTCATCAAATGCTGGGGCCCTTTTGCCCGTGGTTTTTTTCTGTTCCCATCTGGCTTCAACTTGATCCACCAGCCTAATCAGGCTAACGGTACTAGTCGGAGAGGTCCAGATGCAATGTAGCCATCATTTACCGTCCCTGTGGCGGGCTGCTACTTGGTGATATGGACGGCTCGTCCCCCCGGCGATATCGCTAGAACCGTGGCTGCGCAGCCAATCCTTAAATCAGCGACAATCCTGTTTCGCCTGGGCTGATGATCCGCTCAGCTGCCCATTTCGGCCACAGGCAGTGCTCACATATGATCAGGACCTAACTTCCCTCCAGAACTAAATAGTTACTGACCACAGTGGTCATGATGCCTCTTCCTTCTTTAGGACTGGAGAGAGTAGGCGGCGGCGCGCAAACGATTGATTCGACCACACCACATCTGTGCCCTTATATTTGCCCCCCCCCCCCCCAGCCGCGATCGAGCCTACGGGCAGCTTTGCCTCCACCAATTGCTTGCAGCCGACCCGCGAGGGCCCTTTCAGCTCAAGTAGAAACCCCGCAATCTGAGTTCTGCCCACCCAAGCGGTTGGGAAAGAGAAGCGAAAGTCTGTTCTTTGTTCCGCAAGGCCTCCCATTTACCTTGCCGTGGAACCCTGGTGCCAGAGCTAGTTGAACGAGGGTTTTTTGCCTTCTGATGGGCTGGGACCAGCGCACGCTAACGTTTCGTCCGGACATGTCGGCGAGCCAGGGGTGCAGGGGAGGTGCAGGGATTCCAAGTGTTACGACTGGACCGGCTAGGCACTAACGGACGGTTCGTTCGTGGGGGGCAACTGCAGTCGCTGGTTTAGTGTCAAGTTGACTCGACTCGACTCGCGGAGTTGAGGTGGAGTGTTGTAGACTCGTTGCTTAGTGCCTGGAGGACGGGGGGGCCACTGCGGAGTAGAGGAATGCATAATTCCCCCCCCCCCCCCCCCCCCCCCCCCCCCCCCCCCCCCCAACTTATATTTGCACGCACTAACTATCCAAATCCCGCTTCGGCCACTCCATACTTCGTATACCCCGGACGTTTCCTCGCTCGGACTGGGTGATCTCGGTCTGCACGGACATATGAGCCAGTAGTATAGGATTGCCCAGGCATAAACAACCCATAAGCTGGAGGGAAGGCCTCCGAGAGGCGTTCTGCAAGATGCCCCTTTTGAACGCCGGGAATGTGCATCGCCTCCCTCTCTCGCCGTCATCGCCCATAACGAATTCGCCGTCATCGCAGGTACGTTCAGGCTTAGGCTATCCCTTGTTCCTCTCGACGCCCGAGCGTCGTCTGTGCGCGCGTCCGTCAAAGTTGACGCCGGATGGGGAGGTCTTACGTCATTACAAGGGTCTGGCCCGCCCTAATTAGCCCTCTTTATTTCTCGTTACTCTTCAAACCTATACATTTTATTCTGTACCCATTTTAGCAAGGATTTAGGTTCCTTCTCGTGTTTTGTGTGGGTAGTCTCATCAAGGAAAACTTCTCCTTGGAGTCAATAATATGCATTCAAGGTTATCACGATCAGGTACGGGGTACATACCACCGTAAATTAGGCTCTTCGGAGTTCGGACTACCTTAGTGCTGAATTCACACATTGACTAGTACGATATCAGTCAATTCTATGGGATTGCATTCATAAGATCCGACACAGGCCATACATTTGACTTTTCACGCACAGGTCAACTCCCGCTCCCCCTCGTCAGACTCTGTGGCGTGCAAATCTCTACAGCGTAATTTACTTCCCACTAGCGAGGGGGGCTGCGTTACACTACCAGGAACCCCCAAACTGTCCTAGTAGGCGGATCTACCCATGTTCGCCGTCAAGATAACCACACCTTTTTTTGTCACACCCCTTACTGTTACTCCGGAAATGGCATAATCTAAGGTTCCTAGAAAGGGAGTACCCTGATTGATATGATATGGTCGATGATGTCTTCTAAGTGTACCGAGCCGACATCGGGTGTTACCTAGCCATTTTGAAAGATAGGAAAGGGCTGCGGGTTGCCTGGCTACCCGGGCTGGAAGCTCAACAAATCACAGTTGATTGGAAGGATTGAGCACCGTGTGTCTGTAAGTGATAGGTGTAAGATCCGAATCTCCGAGGATCAAACTAAGCCTATCCTAAAAAGGGGTCCACGTATGCCCGCCTAAGACTTAGGCCTAGAATAGTGAATACTTGCATACATTCGCCTAACAACCAATACCAGTCTCCCCGTGCAGTCCTTCTGTGAGGTATATCCCATACTAACTTATCAATAAGACAATATCTCCTAGCTAGCACTGCTCAACTTTGGATTTTCGGGTCATTGCTCATTTTTAGCCGCTTTCTACACACCGAGGTCAGGGTCAGGGAGTAGAACTGAGCACGCCTCTCAACGCCCAGACCAATGCAGGTCCATGTATCTTAAGCGTCCAGCCTGAAATTGGTTGCCCAGTAACTAGATCATTGATCATTACATAAGTTAATATGTTGGATTTCTCTCCTATGAATCTATGAAAAGTTTTGGAGTGAGTTTGAGCGTGGGCTGTCGCTGATATGTAGAAGCCATGGAAACAATTATATGATCTCGAAACAAATTGCCGCCAGATTGAACGCCGTTCGTCTTCAGAGCTCCAATAACAGAAGAATTCCCAGTGCACTCGCAAGAGACTGTTTTGTGACAAATACATCCGGCAAGGGGTAAAGCTGCATGCATTATCATGGGTATCATTATCAACAGTGCAAATACGAGTTATGTTTCATCGCAATCGGTATCCGATCTAATCAGATTTAGCCCTGCAGCAAATACCGGGTTCACCGGCTCTCTGTCTGCATCAACGGCTGCAATTGCCGCAATTTTGACATCAGACTGCTGTTGCTTGCTCAACGGTTCTTTGAGCACATAGTGTAAAGGCTAGTCCTGTGAAAATTCACCAAGCAAGCCCAAATTGCTGAGTGAGTTGGGCAACTCACCATTGACCTCGAAGGGCAACTTGGTGAGATGATTCTTGTGACAGGCTACCGGTGCCAAGATCGGTCTCATGCAGTACTCGCGAGTCTTCGTACACTTCACATTCCTCGAGGAATAAGAGGGCGGTCAAGGCAGAGCATATATACTCCACAGCAAGGAACACCTGTGTTGGGTCCTGTCGGTCTGTGGAGTAGCCACACTGCAAAAGGCCGATGCCGTATACATGAAATGCTGCTAATCTTACAGCTAGTGCTGCAGGAGTCAGAGGAATAGATAGAGATAGGGATCTGACCTTAAGAGCGGAGGGTATCAAAGAAAGCTTCGGAGACAGAAAACGGGACTGTGATCTCAGCCGTTGACACTGAAGTCTTAGGTAAGACCCGCTGGCTAACCAACACCTATCTTAATGACTTGGGTATTTGCCGAAGGGATTCCTGGGTGTGCTTAGAACCACCTAGTCAGGGTGGTCAGTCGTCGCGAATTGACGGCCAGCTAACAGTTGCCTGTGTTTGGGGCAAATGGAAGTCGAATTCTCTTGAGCGTTCGCGGTGCGCACTCGTTGCTTGTAGGTGGGATTTCCTTCGATCTTAGCGACGTCCACACGGGAGCTATTAGGAAATTATACACTTACAACCCTATTTGAATTGTCAATTCAGGTTTAAGTTGTACAGGAGGATTCGTGTATGGATCTTACCCCTCAAAGCCAACGGCGTAGTCTGGCTTGGCGGTAACAAAGGCCACGGGGAGAAGGTCATTTACCAGCAGATACCAGATCTGGGGGAACATACTTGAAAGAATAAGAGTTTTTGATTAGATTTCTAGTTCCAATTGGTCTTGAGAGGAAAGTAGAATGAAGATGAAAGACGAGCTGGGGGGGTCTGACAAGATAGACGAGCAACTAACCATGCCAAGTGGGCCCACCACTGGGGCCGCGCTCTTGGCACACGCTTAATGTTGACCCTTATCAACATCGCCCTCGACCATTGTTTTTCAGTTTCAGATGGCTTTTTCCGATTGTCTGCTCGTATAATCATTGGACAACAGAGGATTCATGTCTCTGTCATGGTTTAGACCTTTGCAATGGCCCCGTGTCACATACTTCATATGCAGGCCCTTGCCGTCCGCAGTTTGGATTCCGGCAATAGAGCTCATCCGTAGGCACGGCGGGGGTCGGAGCACCCTGCAAAAGCTGAAAAGCATCACTGAGGGGTTCCCATTCAGGAGCCGAGGGGATGTCAATTGCAGATTGAATGCTCTTGTACATCCTCCAGCTCTCTCTTGTCGAGAAAGGGCCGTCCTGTTGTGGTTCTTTATAGGATGGCATTAACGATACGACAGAAAAGTTCATGGCACGATAAGGGTAGTCCTAATGAGGAGCGCCACCCCTTCAATACAGAATGCTACATTCGAGATTCACAAATACTAGAGAGTCCTTATGTATATATTAGCAGAAAAGATCTTAGAAAAGACTATTAAAATGACGATTGAAAAAACCATCGACAAGACCTTAAGAAAAGACCTTTGAAAAGACCATTCAAAAGCCCATTGGAAAGGATGATAGTAGGAGGGGGAGTAGAAGAATAATTCAGTCTGTTATAGGGATAAATAGATAGAGGTCTCGTGTACAGTCGCTGAAAATATTATCGAGAAGTATTAATACGAATTATACACAATAACTCGGTAGGTATTTTGTGAATTTCGAATGTAGCATTTTGTATCAAAAGGGAGGGTTCCTCATTACAACTAGCCTCGTCGTGCCATATTCCTGTCGTGTCGTTAATGTCACCCTCTTTATAAGTCGAGAACCACACGGTAAGAACACGCTCGAGCAAGATAAGGTGCTGTCGATCAGGTAGTTCGGAAGCAAAACTTACCAAAACCCGATTAGCCTTTTCCACATCTATCTGGCGAAGTAGATCGTATAAGGAACCAGTCCGCTTCGAGAAAGGTTTAGCCCCAGCATCATGGTCTTCATCACGCCGTTGAATACCCTTCTCCCCGGAAGCTGATCCGATATAACCACCTTCCGCGATGGCTAACCGAACGGCCATCAAGAGGTAGATACCGGTCTTCTGGGGAAGCTTCGCGACTTGGAGACCTTTAGGAGAACCTCTTCCAAGTAGAGGCGCTAGCAGTATATTCTACTTTGTCAATGTCAGAGGACTGATTAAGCATGCGGAAGGAGATTTTATTGGCCTTCTAGCGTAGTTATCAGTGAGAACTACATGCGAAATATCTATGCATGGTTAAAAAAGAGAAAAGGAAGACTAGCAGGCGAGTCTTCGAACCGGTATTGCGGATGTCGGCGGCGCAAGGGAAAAAAGGCAGAGTCGTATCCAAGAGGATGGCGCCGGATGAGGGCGGCACCAGGAACGGGGGAAGTCGAATCCTCGAGATGCGCCGGTTGATAGCGGCACAGGAAACCGAAGGGGAGGGCGAAATTTAACCTCGCTGTGGAGGGCCGCGGGGGAGGGAGGGATTGGCGGCATGGGCGGGGGGTGGGGGGAGCATCTACTGTAATAAATTAGCGAGGATCGGCGGCAAAATAAATCCATGAGCCCTTACACATCTCCTCCTTGTCGCCCTCGGGCAGAGCCTGACGAGCAGGATCTGCTCGGATCTCCACCAGGAGGCGAACACGCCGTTCCAGGCGAGACAGCTTCTCCCGGGTGGCACCACAAAGGTCAGCGAGCTTTTTCAGCTCCTTGTCGATCTCCTCGTTGGAGACCCTCTTGTACAGCTCCTTGGTGGGAGTCGGCCACTTCTTGTTGGGAGGCTGATTTTCTAATCCATGTCAGCACGTTATAGTCATCCTCGTCGCAGTCATACTCTTCACATCATTCTGATTGTAGTCATCTTTGTTTAAATCTTCCTCATCACGCGATATTAACTTACTTTTAGGGGGAGGGGTCTCGTTCCCCTCGCGGGGCCTTTCCCCCCCCCCCCCCCTCTTGGGCTTCCCCTTCGAAGGGCCGGGGGCAGCCGACGAAGCAGCCGACAAAGCAGCTTGGAGCTCGCGGGCGGCCTGCATGAGCATCGCGGAGCGTTGCCAATGCGGGCAAGTCTGCCGGCCATGGTCGGTCCGAGCCATGCATACGGCGGACTAGAAGCAAGTTGCTCAAAACCCATTTTTAGCTAAGGCCAACTACTGCAGACCTGGTTTTTTCTATACGCCCGTCAAGCGTAGGCCTAGTAACGTGGACCGTCTGGGAAACCGTCCAGAAGACCGTCCAGAAGACCGTCCAGAAGACCGTCCAGAAGACCGTCAAGGAAACTATCTAGGAAACCGTCTAGGGACCCCTTAGGTCTCTTCGAGAAAAGCACAAATTGCCTAGACCGATTACGTGTTTGCCAGAATTGCTATATCCATGCGTCGAAATATCACGGTTCTCTTCGTGCGAAGCACGCTTGCATGAGGAAACGAAGGTGACCTCTGCAACCATTGAATGCCTGATTTAATCATAACGCTTGATCAGCCTTTACTGAAATGGCAGTAAGGAGAAGATTACGTTTGAATCATTCTCCCGCGTTCGACACCTATAATTGCACCCCAAGTGAGGGTGCAATCATACCGACAGCAAATTTTTCTGGGCCTCTACGCGGCGCTGTCGATTAGTAGCCATTCATGGTGAAACCACCACAGAATCAGAATCACCGACGGGGATAAATTTCAAACCCGCAGTACTTACATCATCTTTGCCTGCTTCTGCTTCTCCATGTTCTTCTTTGTGTGTTTCTTTATCCCAGAGACTAAGGGTGAGTTTAGCAGTATCTCTAAGAAATCATATGCATCGCTGTGACTGAAGACATCCAATTCTCAGCTAGAAAGAAGCATGGTTGATTGATTTAGTGGGCAAAAATATGCATATAAGTCAGGGTAGAACGATAGAGACTGAAGGCTACTTCGCGAGGCTCTCTCCATAGTCATGGCATGGCTGGTGAACTTAATCAGTCACCTATGTATAAATTTAGGAATCATCATTGTTCAAATTTATTTCTAAAGCAGTCAGCTAGACAAGCCCTATCTCAAAACAAAGCCAAGAAATCTCCAAGGTCCCGTATAGTAACATCGGGAATCCTTTCTGGCACCGAAAAAACAGCATCACATCAGCATCATAGAGTGCAACCAAAAAGCCTTGTGGATATCAAGTAACGAACGAAAAAAGTACACACGACGGAGGTAAACGAGAAACAAGTCATGATAAACAGAAGGGTACAGTTGAAGAAAACATATCAAAGGCGCCAGCTATCCAAAAAGTAATCAAATCAGTGATCGTCAAAGCCGTGAGAACGTCAAAATCAAGGTCTTGTGTACAATCTTGTAAAACCTCGGGCTGTTGCTCGGAGGGAATTTGGGTAACGAAGTGTACAGTCAGAAGAGAAGAGCAGAAAGGGCAGAAGACAGAAAGCAAAGTGAACCCGATCAGACCAAGTCAATAAAGCACAAGACAAACTCAAGCCGCTCTAACGACTAACTCGTCGATGACTTATCGAGTCGCTGATACGCCGAAACCCCCCACTGATAGATCGTTCCGAGATATTATCCATATCCCGAGCCGAAGCATTGACAACCCGCAACTTCTCACGAGGCACCGTGTACGTCATCTGCACACTGCGACCCTCCGCCGCACCCTCGACATCCCAGTCATCCTCGTACTCGTCGCAAGTCTCGTCATTGCCCAGATAACCCGGTGCCCCAATATAGAGGTCATCGCGCGTACCACGGGGCATGACGAGGGGTCCCTCGGACAGGCGATTCTTCGCGTTCCAGTCCTTCGCGCCTTGTTTGCGGCGGAAAAGTTCTGCAGAAGCACTCACTGCGCGGCGAGGTGTAGTAGTGCTGCTGGCAATAGGCGTGGGACCGGAGCCTAGGAAAGTGCTGCGCCTGTCGATGCCTGAGGCTAGGTAAGCTGTTTCATCGACCTGGTCATCGTGCTGGGTGGATGGACCGCTACGACGGGTGAGAGTTAAAGCGCGGCGGACCGTGTTGAGCATCCAGTCTGACGCTCTGGGCTTGGACCCCGGTGGGAGTTTGGAGGGCGAGGATTCGGTTGGGGTTATAGGGGTGATGATTTCCGTTCCATCGTGTAGGAGAGATTCATTCTCGGCCTGCCGGTGGGAGAAGGTGGTTTGGGCGGTTGAGTAGGAATCCGTTGAGAAGGATTTTATCGAAGGGGCATTTACTCCCTCCCCATCGCCATTTGTCGACCCCGCTGCAAGCTGGTCCGCAGAGCGACCACCGCTGCTGGCCCAGCTCAATGGCCGTTCGACAAGCACGCCTCGAGCCTGGGAGACATGCCCGGTGGGCCTAGTTGTGGCGGAGCAGAAGGAGAAGGCCGAGGAGTCAGAGAGGTTAGTGGATGTTCGGTCACTCTTCCCAGCGGGAGAGGCACGTCCGTCTGATACGGAGCCATTATCCTTTCGTCGGCTGTAGAATGGTCCTAGGCCAACACCAAAGATGGTGGTCCGGGGGGTTACAAATGGGGTATCTGCAAATGGATCATCCGTGTCCTGAATGGCAGGCTTTGTTTCCTTCGGGATTGTTGCCATGAGGCGTTCCCGAAACATTGCCTCGTCCTCTTCGCGCTCGTCAATTGGGTGAATCTCGCTCGTGTTATCGCTACGGCGGTAATCGGCGTAGCTGGACGGGCGGTACGATCTTTGCTGGCTCATAGGGCGTGTCCCTTTGGTTGGACTACCGGAAGAGTCCGTCAGCAGACCGGTCCTCTCTGCAGCTCCATCGCCAGAGTCTGTCCATGATGCAGGCCGCGAGATGACACTGCGATTGGCAGACCAGGGATACGCGGGAACTGGGTCTTGTTTCTCGCTCATCTGCGAGCTCCGGATACTGCTTGCCTGATGGCGCTCATCTCGACCCCAGAAGTGAGCCCGTTCAGCGCCCAGGGCCAGCTCACGAAGTTGTGAGTCTCGCTTGCTTCGTAAAGTGCGCTTCCGATGGTATCTCCATACACAGAATGCAATTGCGAGGACAAGAGGTATTCCAAGACCTAGCCCAACTCCGAGTCCAGCCTTCTGACCGGAAGATAGCGCGTGGTGATGAGATGCTGCTGTAGACGTAGAGCTGGCAGAAGGATTTGAATAGGAAGTCACCCAGCTGCTTGAGGTAGTGTTGTAGAGATAGACCTGGGAATTACGTTCTGCCAGAGACATTGCACGTTTTGATGACGATTGTTTGGGAATGCTGTATCCTCCGGCAATCATCAACACGCCTCCAGATAGCATTGCTACCGAGTGACCAAATAGTCCGGTTCCCTCGGGAATCCCCACTCCTTCGGAGGAGGGGACAGTCCAGGCCCATTCACCATTGCCGCCATACTCTTCCCCAATATGAAGGACTGCAAATTGAGGATCAGCAGGCGTAGAGGTGTCTCCGACCCAGCCTCCAACCACATAGGCCTTCGTCCCATCCTTCGACAGAACGACGGCATGTCCAGATCGAGGCTCTACCGTGACGGCATCTCGCACTGCTAGTTCCGTCCTAGACTTGGGATCCAAGGTAACGGTGATGAAAGTCCAGCTTTCTTGCGGTACCGAGAAAATCGCGAGCTGGGACATATTGAGGAAGGCCTCTCGTGTATGGCCGCCGACAAACAGGAAGTCTTGTTGGGTCTGGGTCCGCGAAGTCGTTGCTGGAAGTGGAACGACAGCCATTCCTGCCTCGCGGACAGGCGGTGCGCGGTCTCCCGTAATCGCAGCATTGTATTCGGTGTCGCTATCCGAATCAGGATCCATAACAACCATGGACTGCGAATAGTTTGCCGCGGAAACCCAGGTATCGTCCGTGCTGTTTGCAAAGGGACACATCCCCCCAAACGAGTAGAATATAGTTCCAGTCGTGTTGTTGGGTACGAATGAGAAACCAGCAGCCAGGTAATTCGGTCTTGAATTGTCCTCCTCCGAGTTCACGGCGAACTGCGTCCAGGATCCATTGCCGATCGAGCTGGTGTTGTCGGGCTGAAAGCGCCACAGGGTGTCGGTCTCCGATCCATGGTGACAGTTGCCTGCGTAGACTGAAATGATGCCGCGGTCGTCAATGACGGGAACAAAGGTCGAGTTCTGCTTGGTACTCTGGAATGGGGTCTCTGCGAGCAAGGTATGGTAAGTGGGGTTTTGGGAGTCGAGGTTCGTGGAGATGTTCAGCGACAGGAACTCGGTCTTGCCCTCGGTGGAGCTGCTAGGCTGCAGCAGGTAGGCAAGGGAGTCATTGTGTGATGGAGAGAGGAAGATGGAGGATGGGGTGTATGGAATGGCGGTAGTGAAATTGAGGAAGCCGAGGAGCAGTACGGCGCAGGAGAATGGACTGCGCTTGGAGCGGCGACGGAGCTCCATCGCGCGTTTGCGAAGGTAATCTGAGACACAATCAAGGCAAGCGATACATTCCAGGATCGGCAAGCATGATGCCACGCGGTTGACAGAGGCAAGGCGACCAGTCTGTTTGGCAAGGGACAGCTGGAATACCGCTTGGAAATTTATTGATAGGTGATGACTTCAGGTCGTCTTGGAAGGATTCGTGGCAGCGTGAGAGAGGAAACAAATACGAGCGATGCAATGATGGCGATGGTTGATTGCACCTGGGGCTGGCCTACAAGACTACGTCCAAAAGTCTACTGTGCTCTCCACTCGCCTGCAACCTATGGAAGTAAACACACTCCAACCTTGACCAGCCACGCCGTCGTAATCGCCGGTGTAAATCCGGCCAGATCGGGGCCGAAGCAGCCCTGGACCATCGATGGCGATTGGAAAACACCAATGAGCCTGCTCGGCCGTGTGATGGCTGACGCCTAGAATGGCCCCCTCAACAAAGAAAGTGGACGGGGGCCAGACAAATAGAGTGCCGAGCACCAGATCAATATGCGATCAACGGCGTTGCGGGGGCAACGGCGGGGGAGAGGGGCCGGGCAAAATAAATTGCGCGTCGATAAGTGGTATCGTCTTGTAGGATGGCCAAAAACACTGCACCAGTGGAGTCGCAATCGACATTCACAGCCTATAGTAACAGTTACCTTGCATCATTGTGAATGGAGACCAAAAACCTTTAATCTACGATAAAGTGGGAGGCGCTCTAATTTCAAGGCACGGGCTGGCCTTGCCTCGGTGGGGCAGCTCCAATGGAGTGACATGATTCCACCTCGCTACCGCGGTGCTGGACTAGCTTTACATTCTAGGTGGTACAGTAGTAGTTCAAGTCATTGAGATAAGGGCTGGGGGAAAAGACATAGCCTAGTCAGTATCTCTCGATTTGTCTTTCGAAGCATGCCCGATGAGTAAGTCTTGAAGTTTGATCGGGATTTAAACTTACGAAACACCACTGCGTCGCTTAATCTCATACACGGAGAGAATTGAAGTGGTGCATAGCCATAAGTGAGTTGTCTAGCATACTCCCCAAGAGCCTGGCCTCTCCCGTCTATCTACTCTAACCTAGGATATCATCACAATCAATAGATCTACAGTTACCCGGGCCTACTCTCAACGCATTCACGGTATTTGAGGGATTCATGATTCATTTCATAGATCTTATAGTAGAATAAGGATGGCATTAACGACACGACAGAAAAGTTCATGGCACGACAAGGCTAGTCCTAACAGTAAACGCCCCCTTATTCTACGTCCCTTCCTACCATCACCATTTCCTAAGGTCTTTTCTAACATCTCTTCTAAATTCTTTTCTAACATCTTTTCTAACATCTTTTCTAACATCTTTTCTAACATCTTTTCTAACGTCATTCCTAAGGTTTTTGATAGCTATCTACTTCACCTATATACGCATAGATCTGAAAAAAGATAGATAAACAAAATTCACGTCATGCCAGCGTAAATAGTCGCTGAAGATACTAGCGAGAAGCGTTATGATATAGGATTATGTATACATAATGTCTCGGCAGGTACTATGTAGCATTTTGTATTGAAGAGGGGGTGACTCCTTAGGACTAGCCCTGTCGTGCCATGAACTTTTCTGTCGTGTCATTAATATCAAGTTTATCTAGTCTAACAGCCTTAGTCGCATATATACTAGACAGTCAGTACGCGGTTATTTTTTTCAGGCTCAATATCCCCTAAGAGCGATTCGACCGGATGGCCCTTATCAGTGACGAGCCTCTGAGCTAACGCTGCGCTCTCATTGCATCGCAGATCTTTGATCTGCCCCATTATTAATTGCTAAGAATTTCCAAGACATCCCTCTTCTAAATGAAGTTTCGCCTAGTGAATGTAGGCTCCCGCTCAATTCCAACTCCTTCCCAAAGCTCCTTCTTAAAAAAGATTTTGAAAAACACCTTTCATTCCAGCAATTCTCTATTCCAAGCCTCGCCTAGTCTACAGAGCGTTCTAGGATTGAGAATGAACTCAAAACCGTCTCCCGATGTCCCAGCACTAGCCCAAGAAACAATGACCGCGGAGGATGACCCTCCCCGTCCTCAACACCCATGGCTGGAGCGCTTTTTGATAAGAATCGGTTTCTTTGAGTATAAGTCTAATGCCATGTACGAGCCCCCCTTCCACTTCGACTTTATATTATGGACCACTCATTTTGTACTGCCTAGGATCATGATCTGTGTTGCCTTAGGTCCCTTTCTATTCGAATACCTCGTTTGCCGCCGATACTGTGATATAGAGGATTGTGTCTTTTACCGCAAGACCGCGTCACGCTGTACAGACATTATGATAAATCTTTACTATATTCGTCTTCGGTACTAGCCTGGTCCCACGGTAGGCAATAAGCAATCAGCAATGCAATCTCTACGTCCATTTAGGCAGATACTAGGATCTAGTAAAGGGGAACAGATGTGATAGGAAGGTATCCGGGAGAAGTTTAGGGCGGGTGAATGCTTTTGCCTTTCCTTTCCTTTTCTTTGCAATCAATCCACTAGCCTTGCGTTGCTACAGGTATTATAGACGTTTTTCTCCTCAATCCAAATTTTGGAATATGTTATGTAAGGGCTCTAATAGATACGACTACGCTCCTCAAATGGGGTCAGTTTTCGTGATGTTGATTAGAACAGAAGAAAGGCACTTAGCTTGTTACCTAGTGTGCAGCCACCTCTGTTGCTAAGGCCCCTGTGTGGCAGGTAGTAAAGTAGATCCCCGGCCAGGATTTTCAGACCTACATACCTAAACCCCAATAATCCCATGCTAGGGTAGAGTCGCACTCAGAGCAGCCCCCAAAGCAGTAGATACATGATCTAGATTTCTGCCGCTCAATTTCAACAGTCTAATAATCCCATGATCCAAAAAACGGGTTTTGCGAGTGATACTGGATATTAATGAAGCTCCGTAGGCGCCAACGCTGTTTTTGCTGAAGGTGACGGATCGTGTAGCTGGGTGGAATATGTGACTCGAGAAATTAACATACTTTCTTGGACTCAAAGCCAAGGCAATGCTTAGCCTTATGGCTATAATTCTCATCAGACAAGAGTGGTGATAGATTGGTAGCTGTGAACCATGTTAAGGGCGTTATATTATTGTCTTGAGATTTGGATCTGTTTGGCAGCGCCTCAGCCCAAAGATCTGCTCATAAGGCTCACCGGAGCTATCGGTCCATCAGCTCTATCTCCGGCTTGGAATAACTGACGTGACAAGGCTCCCCAATGACTTGACATTGAATTCTAGCCAGGCGCACCGCTAAACGTCTGTCAATTCGCATCTATTCGAGCCCGAATGCCGAGGTTTTCCGTTGGTACAGGGACAAAGACAAATATATAACACCTAATGCCCTTGACTGACTATCACTGTTTCGGTGATCAAATCAACTACAATGGAAGTTCCAAACCGTCCTATAAACTTTGTTCCGGTTAAGGCCGGCGAGATCATCTCCCTTGGAGGTATGAAGCTGAGGGTTATGGAGGATGGATCGAACACTGGTAAGCTTCTCTTAAGGTTATCGGAGACAAGCACAGATTCTCACGCATAAATTAGACATGCGTTTGAGCTCTGTGGAATTGACTATTCCCCCACGAACACGGGGTCCTCCCCCGCACTGGCATGAAATGCATGATGAGACATTTCTTGTAACAAAGGGCACCGTTCGATTCCATATCCCAGGCAAGCACGATGTTGATGCCAAAGCCGGTGACTATGTTGTTGTGCCAACGAAGAGCCCCCATACGTTTTCGAATCCAACCGATGAAGAGTCCATTTTCTTCAGCACTATCACCCCGGCGTTCTATATCAACTACTTCAAGCTGCTAGGCGAGCTGGTCAAAGAAGGACCAATGACAAAGGAGGCAAATGAGAAGGCAATGGCATATTATGCCACACTTCCAGTGCCCGAACCATGATTACCGCTCAATCTAGTCCTGGGAGGGATGGTCTATGTAGTAAGTCATGTCGTGGTGGCCATGAGCCCTGAATTTCAGCTCTGCTGACCCCTTCTGTAAGCACTCATAATAGTCAACCCGGCTGTTGCAACATCGCACAGATTTGATTCTTGATGATATATCTGACGAGCGCGACGATTGGGGTGAAAAGGATCATCCTTGTTTTATTAGTATTGCTTCTCTGCATTTAATGGATGCAAAGTCGCTTCTTTTCCAAAAATAAAATTCTACTTTGTGGACTGGACTAGACTTGTGGCCGATCGTACAGCTTGGTAGTAGGCCACGTCTTCTGGTTACTTGTCATTTGTGCTACATTTATAGACTACAGAATTTCGGGAGGCTATAAACTCGGGCTCGCTTCGATAATAAAGCCCCTTTAATAGTTAAAGAATACCGAAGAGAGTGAGTAACTAGGGGGGCGGCCTTCTCTTCAGCTGAGGAGAAGGGGATCGCAGACATGCAATACGAGTCAATTTCAACAATCTCATCAAGATAGAAGTCATCAATATGGAAAATTCAAACCGCCGAAAGAAGACTTTGGAACAGTTATTCATAATCATTGCTCATGCATTTCATTCAACAATTTGTCTCTAGTCCACACGGACTTTGAATATATCAACGCCGAGCCCAGAGCTCTCTAACACACAGGAACAGTGAAGGAGCCAGCAGGCAGCACAACACACAACTAGAATATACTATCTATCAAGATGTTTCATGGTTACATCAATGAAACATTATTGGCTTTCCCGCCTGATCTCCACATCGATGACTCAACACACTGTAAAACCCCTACGCACCGCTAGGAGCGGTAGCAGGCTTCGTGGGCAACGTGGTGGACAGAGGGGGAAGGAGGTTCTTGGCACTCTCGCGAGCATACTGAGCCATCAGAGCATCCATGATAACCAGTGCGGACATGGCCTCAACGATTGGCACGGCACGAGGCACGACACAGGGGTCGTGGCGGCCCTTGGCCTCGAGGATACCCTCCTCCAGACCGTAGGTGGCGGTGTTCTGGGCCTGGCCGATAGTCGCCGGGGGCTTGAAGGCGATGCGGAAGTAGATCGAGGCACCGTTGGAGATACCGCCTTGCACACCACCGGAGTTGTTGGTCTTCGTGGTGAGACGCTGATTATCGGAGACAACGAAGGGGTCGTTGTGGATGGAACCGGGCACCTCGCAGCCGCCGAAGCCAGAGCCAATCTCGAAGCCCTTGGTGGCGGGGATGCTCAGCATCGCGTGGGCCAGCTTCGCCTCAAGCTTGTCAAAGCACGGCTCACCCAGGCCGACGGGCACGTTACGGATCACGCAGGTGACAGTACCACCGATGCTATCCTGCGCATCGCGGAACTGCTCGATGACCTTGGTCATGCGTGCGGAGGCCTCGGTCTCTGGGCAGCGGACAGGGGCGAAGCTGTCTACCGTTGTGCGGTCGATAGTCTCGAGGAGCTTCAGGTACTTAGGGTTGGTAGAGGCGGTAGGGTGTTCGGGGGTTGGGGGGAAGAGGTGCTCGTTGCCAACGGAGGAAACGAAGGCGACGATCTCGACATTGTGCGAAAGCTTGAGGTACTTCTCGGCGATAGCGCCGGCGGCGACACGACCTGAGCGAATGGTAATTAGTTCTGTGTCAATATCTCATTTTGCAGGAAGGAATGGTCACTTACCAATGGTTTCACGGGCGCTACTACGGCCACCGCCACTGCTGGCCTTGACGCCATACTTCTCGAGGTAGGTGAAATCGGCATGGCTGGGGCGGGGGTACAGGTCCATCGTGCTGCCACCGTAGTCCTTTGGGCGCTGGTCCTCATTGCGGACAATCATGCCAATTGGTGTACCCAGAGTGACTCCGAACTCTGTACCTGACTGGATCTCGACTCGGTCCTTCTCATTGCGCGGGGTTGTGAGAGCACTCTGGCCGGGGCGGCGGCGAGTCATTTGGGGCTGGATATCTTCCTCGGTGAGCTGCATACCGGGAGGCACGCCGTCGACGATACAGCCGACCGAGCGGCAGTGAGACTCGCCATAGCTGGAAGAGACGTTGTGAGCAGTTGGCGCTGTGTTGCTGCGGAGGGGCAAACTTACGTGGTGACTCGGAAATGTTCACCCCACGTCGACATGATGGCGGGGAATAACCAAACAGTTCAGACGCGAAAGGTAGATAAGAAGTAGAAGAGATAAATATGAGTGAGATACCCCGAAATCAACCGAAACAGCAGGATCAAATGGATATGGCTAAGGGGACTGGAATGATGGTTGCGACACAAAAAAAAGTAAGAGACCCGACGCCGCCGAAAATCGACTCATCGACAGTTTCCTATCCTGGCCTAGCGCCACCGACTATCGGCCGCGCGCTTTGCGATATTTCAAATGATGCCAATCTCCCCTTGCTCCGCTCCAAATGCTCGTCCGACGATGTCTTGCCTCGTCTCTGCGCGGTAGCGTTAGACACGTCCGCTACAATTCGTCATACTCACTTGATTGCTTCTCAGACCTCGCCCGTCGCCCATCATCTGAGCACCAAATCTATCAGTCGCTCTCGACCGACCCTTACGTCAACCTCTCAATTGAGCACTTCCTTCTTCAAAATGCTCCGGCCGACTCGAGCATCCTATTCCTATACATAAATCGACCATGTGTGGTCATTGGTCGCAACCAGAACCCGTGGCTGGAGACAGATTTACGATCACTTTACAATGACCGTCGGCCTGGAGCAGGTCAGGACGATGCTGCCGTCTATGTCCGGCGGAGGTCGGGAGGTGGAGCCGTATTTCATGATGAGGGAAACCTCAATTACAGTGTGATCTCGCCGCGCACCACTTTCACACGCGATAAGCATGCAGAGATGGTGGTTCGGGCGCTGCACCGCATTGGTGCAGTGAACACGAGTGTCAATACCCGACATGATATTGTTATGACGCCCCCTGAGACAAATGAGGACAGCAATGAGGCACCTTTCCGAAAGGTATCCGGGTCGGCCTTCAAGCTGACCCGCCACCGAGCATTGCATCACGGCACCTGCTTGCTGGATTCGCCCAATATCCATGACTTGGGTCGTTTCCTGCGTTCTCCCGCGCGGGGCTATATCCAGGCGAAAGGTGTCGAGAGTGTTCGGTCGCCCGTTGGAAATGTATCGAGTGCGCTGGCGGACTCTTTCTTTTCCATGCAGGCGGTGATGGACAGTGTGGTGGAGGAGTTTGCCCGAATGTATGGTGTCCACGCTGACGTTGTCCGCCGGGCACGACGTGCACTTGCCGGCGAGCCTGAGATCTTTGCCGGCGATAGCTGGGTAATGGGAACCGTGGGCGATGCTCAAGGAGAGCAGGAACCGGAGATTGGTAAAGGAATTGCGGAGTTGCGGGTGAGTTGTACGGGATTGTGGTATCTTCGTACGGGTTACTAACAGGATGGCAGTCGCTGGAGTGGAAGTACACTCAAACACCGCAATTCACCTTTTCCACGTATCCTACCGAGGATGATCCTCGTGAGCGTGCACCGTTGCCAGCAACTCTTCCCTCTTCGGTGAGTCCTCAATATGGTAATCAGCAAGTCTTTGTGCTTTGCTAATAGTAGTTAGACACGCGTGTTCCTCCGTTTCAAACACGGAGCTATAATAGAAAGCAAGGTCTCCATCTCTTCGGATGCGTCGGTTGCTTCTGACCAGGCTAGCCGTGTGCATCAGGTCTTGAACGGTCAGAAGCTACATGAGATAACCGTTGAGCGCTGGACAGAGATGCTTCGCCATGGCTTAGCCGGGACCGACGGTGGAGACGAAGCGCTTGTGCAGGAGCTGGCAGATTATCTGGGAGATCTGCTCGGAGGGCAATGATACCGCAGTGTGTGACTTGTATTATATTAGCTGATTGTCTAGCTACTGTACATTATATGGTGACATCAACGACACGACAGAGAAGTTCATGGCACGACGAGGCCAGTCCTAACCAGGAGCGCCACCCCTTCAATACAGAATGCTACATACGAGATTTACATACTGATAGAGTCCTTATGTATGTATAAGCCTAAATCTTAGAAAGACCTTAGAAAAGACCGTAAAAAGGGTGATAGTAGGAGGGGGAGTAGAATAATAACTTAGTCTATTATAGGGATAAATAGACAAGGTCGCGTATACAGTCGCTAAAAATATTAACGAGAAGTATTAATATGAATTATACATAATGACTCGGTAGGTATTCTGTGAATTTCGAATGTAGCATTTTGTATTGAAAGGGGGGTTTCCTTATTAGGACTACCCTGGTCGTGCCATGAACTTTTCTGTCGTGTCGTTAATGTCACCCTACATTAATGTATCGTACCCATACGCCTATTCAGCGGTGGCTTCGTATTCAGACGCATCTATGCCCGTCAAACTCCATCCTTTCCACAAGTCAAGATATTCAAAGGCTTTCAAACCGATGCCATCAATGTCTTCAACGTATATATTGTAGCTATCAGCTGCAAGCAACTTAGTTCCACGGCCGGCCCATATCGCTCCTCAGTACAAGGACCCGACTGAAAGCATGTCAGACCGTACACATCTATTACTACCGCCACATAAATAATCAATGATAGCACCATATGTCTTTCTAAATATCTTGTACCTGCATCTTGGTCGCTAGTTCAATTGGTGGAGCAGAGATTTTCCGCTTATCACGAAATGCCCAGTCTTGGATGCTTGCCTTTAAGGGAACGCCTCCACGGCAAAATCACTGTGACTGTCATATATGCGATCTGACTTTTGCAAGTCTCACTGTCCAGGACTCGGCTTACATCAATATTATCAACCCACGCCGTCTCTCGTGATATCACAGATTTTTCGAAACGAGTTGCATACGAGTGGAATTCCGACGGATATAGAAACCGCACTGTACCCGATATAGATCCTCACTTACCTCTACCTCTTAAGAACACCTACCATTGATTTCGATGGTTCTCGCGAGGCTACTTTCTGTTAGTACTTGAGCTCTACCTTATCTTCGCTTAGCATCCAAATATCCTCAATCTTGAACAACCATCTGACTGCCAAGACGGGCTGAAAGTCCTTCCCCGCATGGTGGTGCGATACCCTTTCAAGCAAGGATATTCCACTGACCGGCTATTTCCACGTATTCAGCCACCGTTCAGTGATGTTTGCCGAGCATTGGCCAATGCGGGTCACTGTCGTATCTAAGATCGCATCCCACCCATCCCCATGGGGTTGTGACCTGCCCGTTGCACCCTGAACTTTAACCCCAGTGCCCCCATCTCCCGACCTCCCCACCCGCCCAGAGCTGGGGGTGCATACTACACAAAGCACACCAGCTCTCGCTTTGGCCATGTCTGACCATGTGGTGACCAAGATCTCTTGGCTATTCAACACTGGCTCGGATTCGTGGAGGTATTCCCCCTCATTTGCTCGCCTTGACTGCGTTCTCTTCTCGTTCCTATAGGCTGAATGAGAGAGCCAAGAACGAAGCTGGTGCGGATGACACCTTCTATGGACAGCGTCGCAGTCTGAGCTCGAGATATATCAGTAGCCGACGGTAATCGGGCTTCTCAAGATGATTACCATGGACTGACTTAAATCAACACTTTTGACCCACATTTGCACATAGCTGGCCTATATTTCCATAATTATCTTGTTTCTTTTGATCTTGCAAAGGGCTACACTTTCAATATGTCGTGGTTCCTTCAAAAGATCGTCCACAATGAGGCGATGAGGACTGATCCTAAGGAGATCTACGGATGGAGAGTCTATGCGCTGGCTTGCTCTGTCAGTACCTCTGAGTAGAACAGCCATTTATTTTTGGAGCTGATATATGAACAGGCATGCTTTGGCGGGATGCTTTTTGGGATGGACTCTGGGATCATCGGGGGAGTCTTGACCATGTCAGGCTTCAAAGCGTAAGCCTGCCATCTTTCCATCTGCTCTCTTGAACTTGTTCTCCATTGGCTGCCATGCATGCTCATCTAGTTGCCTATTGTAGCAAATACGGCTTGACGGGCCTAAGCAAGACTGCACAGGCCAACTTATCTGCCAACATCGTCTCCACTCTTCAGGCAGGTTGTTTCTTCGGAGCCCTGATAGCCTCCCCTGCGGCCGATCGATGGGGAAGAAGGTATGCCCTACTTGGTGCAGCAGTTCTCGGAATCCTCGGTGTCATTATGCAAGTAGCCGCTAGTGGTCATCTTGAGGCAATGTATATTGGACGGTAAGGTCATCATGGCATTTCCGGATCTCGGACCTCAAGAAGCATTTTTTACTAACGATACCCTCCAAAAGCCTCATCACCGGCTTTGGCGTTGGCTCTGCCTCAATGATCAACCCCCTTTACGTCTCAGAAAACGCACCACGCGCTATTCGTGGTGGTCTGACTGGCCTATATCAACTCTTCATCACAATGGGAATTATGCTTGCTTTCTGGATCAACTATGGCTGTCTGTTGCATCTGAAGGGCTCAGCTATGTACCTTGTTCCCCTCGCAATGCAGGCCTTGCCCGCAGTACTCCTTTTTTTCGGAATGCTTTTCTGCAATGAATCGCCTCGCTGGTTGGCCAAGCAAGACCGGTGGGAAGAGGCGCGCGCGACTTTGTCAAAAGTCCGAGCCCTTCCCCCTGACCACCCATACGTGGAAGAAGAGTTCCAGGCTATCGCGGCCCAGCTGGAACAGGAGCGTGCGCTGATCGGTGGTTCCGGTTTCTGGGATTTGATGAAGGAGATGTGGTTGATTGCTGGTAATCGTAAACGTGCTATGATATCGATCTTCTTGATGGTCTGCCAGCAGATGACCGGCACAAATGCTATTAATTACTACAGTCCCCAGATCTGTGAGTTTGAACTCGACTCTTAAGTGGTATCCGGAAGGACGCTGACATCTTCTAGTCCAGAACGTGAGCCTACCTTCCCCTTCCACATTCGGCTGAAGCATAACATGCAGCCACGAGAATGGTCTCAATGTCTAACGTATATTCTCCTTCTAGTTGGGTATTGTGGGCAATGCAACCAACCTTTTCGCAACCGGCGTCTACGGTATCGTGAAAATGGTCAGCTGCGGCGTCTTCCTCGTCTTCGTTGCTGACTCTCTCGGTCGTCGCCGCTCACTTCTCTGGACGTCCATCGCCCAGGGTCTAGCGATGTTGTACATTGGCCTGTACGTTCGTATTGCCCCTCCAGTGGGAGGAGCTCCAGTCATTCCAGCCGGCTACGTCGCCCTTGTTTGCATCTTCCTTTTTGCATCTTTCTTCCAGTTTGGCTGGGGCCCTGTCTGCTGGATCTATGTCTCTGAGATCCCGAGTGCTCGACTCCGATCACTTAATGTTTCTTTTGGTGCGGCGACACAATGGTTGTTTAATTTTGTCGTTGCTCGAGCTGTGCCGGTCATGTTGGCCACGGTCGGTGCGAATGGCTATGGGTATGTTTCACGTATCACGCTGGGCACTGTTGTTAGTCGACATCGTGATTGCTGACTTCGAGTTTCCAAACCCGCAGTACTTACATCATCTTTGCATGCTTCTGCTTCTCCATGTTCTTCTTTGTGTGGTTCTTTATCCCAGAGACTAAGGGTGAGTTTAGCAGTATTTCTCAGAAATCATATGCATCGCTGACCGGATTTCTACAGGCTTGTCACTCGAGAAAATGGATGATCTCTTTGGCGTCACCGAGTTGATTCAGCACAAGGCAGCTGATCCCGAGCATGGGATTGTCACTGCAGATGCGGACAAAATCGCTGGCTCTCATGTTGAGCATGCAGAATCTGGTGCACAAAGATAATGAGCCGTGAATTAAAAGCGGAGTGACGAGAGTTGGAAGGGTGGAACAAGTGTTGTCAAGATTGTAATCGAGGAAGCCTACTTCTAATCTTGATTTTTGGTTGTTGATGTGATAGCCCTTGTAGATTCGAAGGGTTGTGTAGCACGAGCATATACCAGGAAGGAATCATGACAGTTTCATTACAGTTGATTAGGATTGCTTGATTCACAGAATCAATTGGGGTGTATTCACATAGCTCATATCGTCAAATCATATACATCATAACCTCTGAGCTCAATATGCCAGACGGCTTCAAAAAATGGCAAGGATAAAGAGACAAGAGCTCGCCGCCGCTATGAATGTAAACTCGCTGGACCAACTTCCTCCTAATAAAACCGAAAGCAAAAGTAGAGTATGTCGGCTTAATAAAAATGCAAATTTAAAAAGACAAGGGAAAAGGGCAAGACAACATTCTGTTGCAGAGGGGGGAAATGAACGCAAGTGCATCAAAAATGAGCTGGTAAAGGCGGCGACTGAATCATCTAACAGCACGGCCTGGGAATCTTCGCCCCGTTAGCCCTTGCTGTGTTTGACTGCGAGTAACGCGTCGAGAAGCAGGGCGATCTTCCAGACTGAGACCACCGATACCTGGCCCAAGCTCGCTCCTTCTCGGGGAAAACCCTGAGCCAAACTCGGAGTTGGGAGGTCGGCCGTACCGAATGTTACGGGTGGTGGCATCGGTCATTGTTGTAGTGGTAGTGGCTACGGTGTCAGTGTCTGAGTCTTGATCGTAGTCCGATGGTGGATCGTTCACTTGTAGATCACTCATCGTGAAGCTGTGAGGATTCTTGTGCGCTGTCTGGTAGCGATTGTGGCTTTGAGATGAAGCGATTCGATAATTTGGAGCAGACGGTAAGGCTGATGACAGACCCGAGGAAAAGCTAGAGCTGCCGGTAGTCGTGGAGAAGGAAAGAGAGGGAGCTTGTGAGTGCGAAGTGACGGATGGGGCTGGAGGGGGGCTGCCGAATGTGGAATGAGTGGGAGACCAAGCAAGAGCTTGTTGAGCTGGAGACACTAATTGTGAAGATCCTGCTTGCGGTGAAACAGGCTGCGGAGACATTGGGTTGTTTGCCTGGGTCTGTTCGGAATCCGTAGGATTTGAACCTTTGTATGAAGCTAATAGCCCGAGTCCCTCCTGAACGGCCATGAAGACAAGAAGCAATTTGCCATATCGGTCAAAGTATTCCCGTTCATACGACGCTTGAGGCAAATGAGCCCCAAGATGCACGGCCGCGGCGAGCTCAGTGATGTAGACTAAGATCTCCATACCATTCCAATGCGCCAGAGGTCTTTTCACTGCTTCCAAAAGAGCAAAGCCAGCAATAAGACTGGCACTTCCCAAAGCACAGGCTTCAACATAGTTTCCGGGAATCGAAAGTTGGTGGGTTTGAGAGAATGTCCAGGCAGCCATAGATCCCAATAACAGAGCGAGTCGAAGGTATTGGAATACAATTTGACTCGAAGGAGGAGAGTAAGACCTCTGATCGAGCGATGGTTGCTTCCATTCCCTTTTGGGACTTTCAGGGTCAATGTCGAACGCACGCTCAAACAATGTTTCTAGACCGGTAGAAGTATTGAGATCGCTCGTCGGGAAGAATGATGGGGGCCTAAACACGGGTTCCGGGCTCGAGGCCTTCAGTTGCCATTGGTTTGGAGGGTTCGAAAGACCTCGGTGAAATGGGTTTGGTTGAACGACTTGCTCAATGGGCTTTGCTGATGGCTGGTTGCGGAGATTCCAAGCCGGCGGCTTGGGAGCCGGGGGAAGGCTGCCAGTGAAAGGAGACGGGCCGTCGAAAACAGAGGCCCGCTCTTGCCGGTGGACGCTAACTTTCGGCTGGAGAACAGGCTGAGCAGCTGATGGGGTCCATTCCATCTCGTCCACTTCTGGGGGAGGAGTAGGGAAACCTGGCGGCGGTCTTGCTGTCGGCAAACGTGGAGCCAGCTTATCCAAAGGAAACCGCTGGTCGAGTAGGCCACCGGCAGGTCTGGGTACGATAGTCTCTCTCGAAGGACTGGAGCCGGAAACAGGAGATGTTCTACCGCTCCGTAGAGGCTTCTCCCAGGAATTATCAGACCAATCTACCAACGGCTGGGTATTGTAGTCAACGACGCGACGTGAAACCACAACTGACAACAGTGTGAAAGCGATCATGAATAAATGCAATGCTGGGGGGAGGCTGGGTCTAAGAGCGCTTGCAGATGGGTTCTTGAGCAGTTCCCAGAAAACGCAACGAGCCACGAGAGTGATAAGCTGTGCTTGGTAATATTCAGCAAACCCAGCAAATCTGCCAGCTCGACCCTCTACCTTCATACGCAGCTTCGGATTCCACCAGATGGAGAGAAGTCCTGCGATGAGAGCGAATCCTGCAGTTGAGGCGAGATCAAATGAGCATTCACTGGGAAGACGACCAATCTTCGCTGTCTGGCTCACACAGGAGAGCACTGAGGCCGGAGTATCCAAAGGCATGTCAGGATCAAAAGACGGATCCGGGCTGGTCAAAATGCTCATAACGTCCCATGCAAGCTGACCACCAACACTCGTCCAGTAACCAAACGCCCCGGCGTAAACAAGCAAGCTCTGCCAGCTGCGATCCCTAGCTTGTCGTAAAGTCTTGCTAGCTCGACTGCGGTCCATCATGCGACGTAGGTGATCTGCCTTGGCTTCGTAGCCTTTCTTGCGGATTTCTTCCAACACCCGGGGTCCGCAGGCATCGCAAACTTGTGGGTATCTTTCTTCGAGGCCTTTCTTGAATTGCGCGTAGCCGCGCTCATATTCGGCATCTGTCGGGTCGTCAGAGGGCGGGAAATAGGCAGCAAGCGATGACCTGAACAAATGCTGGTTGCGAATGCATTTCGAACAGAATGAATTGGATCCTGCAAAGTCGGTAGATTCGAGGGCTGGACTCGAGTCATCGGGGCCCTGATTCAAGCGATTAATATCCTCGGCCGGAGGGTCTGTGATGTCTCCATTCTAAAAGCAAAAGGTCATTAGTATCGCGTTGTTGCGATGGCCTATTTCTCGCGAAGCGCACCTGATCCAAATAGTTATCAGCCTCGCAGTGTTCACAGTGGAATTTGCGGACCAGCCCGCGAACGGGCTGAGAAGCGCGCCGACCGCAATAAAAGCAGGTCAGACGTTTTGAGAAGAGCGCCATGACATGTTAACAGGCGCAGAGTTGCCGAGCAAAACCAAAAGACGCGAATTGTTGTTGATGGCAAGGGAGAGGAGGGTGGAAACTTGAAAATAAACCCAAGATTCCCCAGGTTGCACTAGTTGCGGGCTGCACAGACCACTTGGAGCACGTGTTGCGCGGACGCGACAGCTTCAATTTGCCTAGGAGGAAAGGAAACTACCCTTGATGAAGAATCAGGGCGGTGGACCCCCTCTTTCCTTTTCGCCCTTTTCTGCTTTGGCTTTTTCCTGATTGAATCATGTCTCTTTCGCCATAGCAACGCTTACCTTCTCTATCCACCCTCGAGCACGCAGCTGGAGTGACATCATGGCTTCGACTCCGCAGCCCCTCTGGGACCTTTCCTTGAAGGTACTCGGCCTTACAGGCGCGATTGGATTTCTCATCATTCTCGTGCGTCAAAAGCTATGGCTTTGAAAAGGAATACTTATGCAAAACTAAACATTGGCTGTCCTAGGTCATCCTAGTATCTCTAGTGATTTCTCAAAATGCCTCGCTTCCCAGAGTCCGTCGAAGGGGCACCCCTGTCCACCTCCTTGTCATGCTAGGTAGCGGTGGTCACACAGCTGAGATGCTGGCTATTCTAGAGAACCAATTCGACTATTCCGTCTACACCTACCGCACCTATGTCGTGAGCTCTGGGGATGACCTAAGTGCTAAAAAAGCCGTTGAGTTTGAAGAGAAGATTGCGCAACAGAATGACAACGAGAAAGCGGCCGATAATTACACAGTCGTCACGATTCCACGGGCACGACGGGTACATCAGTCATACTTGACGGCGCCCTTCTCAACTCTCCACTGCTTTTGGGCTTGTCTTCTTGTTCTACTAGGACGGCACCCGGATCAGCGTCCCCTCCCCGCGCAGTACCCTTCCCAGCACCCCGATATTATTCTCAGCAATGGTCCAGCTGTAGCTGTGTGCATGGTACTGGCAGCAAAATTCATCCGGTTCTTCATTTATTGTTTCCGCTGGGCATCCGGCAGGGGCTCCAAGCCCGAGATATCAAGGCTTCGAACCATATACGTGGAATCGTGGGCTCGAGTTCGCACACTAAGCATCTCTGGACGGATACTTCTTCCTATAGCGGACAAATTTCTCGTTCAATGGCAGCCTCTGGCTGGACGCCGGGCTTGGTGGGGTATGAAGGAAACAGAATACTGTGGATGGGTTGTTCTTTGAAATGTTTCATTGCGAGTTCAATTTTGAGCTACAATGGTTATGCATAACGTACCGCTTACCCTGACTCGATGTTCATCAAGCTTTCTACCCCACAAAAAAATAGACAAAATATGGAATGACTTATTTGATTCTCGGCGTTCTGGCCGAAGCGCGGTTTGTTTCCCTCCACATACCGATGTGGGGATTGCAGGGCCTTTGGGTTTGGGGCATTGCCGCCCTCTATGGTTAGCAAAGATAATGTACATAAGTATGGCAAAGGATAACGCAAAATGTAGCGATTCTTCAAAAGAATATTTCAGCTACAAAAAGAGCGGATAGTCGTTATCAGCATCGGGATAATCCCGTCTCAGATCCCCACCGTGCCTGATAATCTGTCGTGCCTCGGATGATTGCCGTCGCATAACTAGCCCCGCATCCCCCCTCACAGATAATCGCCTGACAACCTTACGAAATCAATGACTTATTTGGACGATTGTTCAAGCGCAAGCACCATTTTCTGGAAACGACCCTTTTTGAATTCAATCAATTCGCCATGCCTTACTCTTTACGGGGCCGCAATGTCCTGATTACCGCTGGCTCAAGGTAGGACCCCTTGACAAATGAAAACAAGGACAACAAGTATTCAGGGCTATGGCTAATCAAAGCCTTCAAAATAATAGAGGCCTCGGAGCTGTGATTGCCCGGAAATTCGCTGCAGAAGGAAGCAATGTTGCCATCAATTATGTATCGAGTAAGGAGACAGCCGATAAAGTCGCGTCCGATCTTGCGGCCAAATATAACGTGAAGACGATTGTCATTCAGGGTGTACGAGCCTCCGTCGAATAAAGAAAGCCCCACTGGTCTTTCTGCTTCTACAGCAATTGTGTGGCTGATTATTTCATGACTTCAGGATGCGGGAAGCCAAAGCGATTGCATCAATGCCGTGAAAACAACTATTGAACAGCTTGGGGGCATTGACGTTGTGATTTCGAATGCGGTATGTCCTTCTACACAACTTTTCATGGGATTATTCTGCAACATGCTAAGACCTCGACAAGGGCTGGACGAAGATGACCAAGTTTTCGGACTTGGATGCAATGGACGACGCAGACTGGGATAAAGTATACTTCTAAACTCTTTATGGTCGTCATCAAGGAGACTAACGGTGACAGTGCTGGTCAATCAATGTCAAAAGCAGCTTCCACCTTTTCAAGGCTGCTCTGCCCACTTTCAACGCGAACCCCGACGGTGGTGTCTTTATCCTTACATCCTCAACTGCGGTATGTATGCCTAAAAAGGTGATCATTGGCGCACATTTTCTCATACTGACATCGATTTCAGGGTGTCATCCCCAGTGGAAGCAGTATACCATACGCTGTGACCAAGGCAGGCTGTACATACTCTCTATCGTCCTTGCCGAACAACAAAGATCCGCTAATGATGATCCAAAGCAATTCATCTCATGAAGAGCCTGGCGCAATCTCAGGGTCCCAAAATTCGCGTAAATGCCGTTTGCCCCGGTCTTCTGTTCACTGAATGGGTAAGACATTTCTCATCACATTTTTTTGCAGTATCTTAGCTCATAATATTCTAGGGCCAGCGCTTTTCTCCAGAGCAGATCAAGGGCTGGACGGATAAAACGGCACTCGGACATCTGGTACGTCGTCGCGTTCCAAGTATGCGTGGCTTCTCATTAACTTTCATTGTAGCCCGAGGTGGAGGATACCGCAGAGGCATATCTCTCCATTGCGAGGAACTCTTCCATGACAGGTCAAGCTGTCCAGATCGGTAAGATTATTGAGCTCGAATTGGAATGGCACATTGCTGACTGATTCAGATTCCGGGTTCCGTTAGAATTGAAAGGAATCCAAGGGGCCTTCGGGATACAGGCGAATGTGGTCATCAGTTCTTAGCTAACAATTTGCATATGGGCTTTTAAAATATTGTAACGGGTATCAGGCTGATAGAATAGATCCATATTATACATGTTGCAATCATTATGCAAGTGGGTTGCGGAAAGGAGTAAACTCGGCGCCGCCAGACTGGAAAGACCGGTCACCAAACATACGGGCTTTGATGGCAGCGCGCAGTCCCTCGGCCACGGGCTCTCCCTCTACCTTCATGTGGTTAATGCGAAGTGCTTTACCATCCTTAGTGAATACATAGAGCGCGCGGTTCTTTTTCGGTTCCACCGGGTGAGGAGCATTCGTAAAAGGCAATCCAGGAACAACCATAAAAGTCTCCGACCCGTGCGGGGGGTCCACTTCTTCCACGTCTGTAAGAATGACTCGCTTTTGTTGAAATGAAATTGCACCATCTGTCGGCTTGCTTGCCACGAGGGCTTTGCTCCAGAGGTTGCCAAGGACCCGGTTGCGTCGGTTGAAGTTGATCAGGTCCCAGTTGGCCCAGTCAACGTGTCGATCTTCAGGCATGATTTTGGCAGCATGAATGAGGTTTTTACTATCTTCCTCAGATAACCATCCTGCATCTTGTACAGGAGGCACGAATAGTCCATTATGTATGCCGTCAAACAGTAGCTGCGCACCTTTGACAGAAACCATGCTGGTCAATTCAGGCACAGTACAGGATTCGGGACTAGGAATGTCGAATCCAGGAGCTGGAGACTGAGCAATAATTGTTCCATGGTCAAAGCTCTTGTGGTGCAAGGTCTGAAGCGTCACGCCAGTCTTGGTTCGGCCAGCCAAGAGCGTGTGGTGCAATGGTGCTGGGCCACGGAAGCTGGGTACATCGTGTTAGTCCTCCTGAGTCGAATCGCATCGATGAGTATCTTTTACGTACTCTGGAAGCAATGACGGATGCACATTCAAGCCTCCGTACTTGGCAGCATTCAAGATCCGTGGAGGCACGAATAGACCAAAGGATACAGCAATAATCAAGTTGATCGGACCATTCGGGGTCTCGGGAGGCTGATTTAATTAGTGAATTGAAGTATCACGTCAGGGCTTACACTTACAGTCCATCCTCTGAAAGTGTCGATCTCATGCACGGGAAGAGAGAGCGCAGATGCAGCTTCCTTGATTGGCACTGTTTGAATCTCGAGTTAGCTCTTCAAGGTGACTTTAATTGTCAAGCAATAGTACAACTTACTCTCGCGAATTTTCTTCAATCCTCTTCCAACTCGCTTTCCTGGCCGGCAGACAACATCTATTGAAGAGATCTTCTCGGGATGTTTCAAGCGATAGTCATGGAGCGCTTTCAAGGAGGCAATGCTAAATTCGTCGGAGCCGCAAAAGAGAATCCGAAGCGGATCAAAGGAGCGAGTTGCATAGCTGCGATACGAAGGCCATCGAGAAGCAGCAGAGAACCTGCAAAGCCCAAAGGCACTACTACCGCGAACCACGAACATATTGGGCTGCTTGCAACTACTGCGACTAGAAGCTGGAAGAGATCCGCTCGCCGGGGACCAATCCGCCTTATCGATAAAGTCGCCACGTGATGTCAACATCATCGGTCCCTTGACTTCGTCGCGGCGCAATTACCCCACAGTTGCTCTGCGATCGCTGAGATAGAGCGTCGAGCGCTGACGATGCGATGCCTGAAACAGAGACCGACTCTGTGACACCTGCGCAGCTCTCTTATCTCGCCATTTACAACCCAAGTCTAGGCCCCACGGACGAGACATTGGAGGACCAGATCCTGTACTACACCTCCAAATCTAGCGATCTACAGGAAACAAATGATGCGACTGCCGAGGAAGATGGCAGTAAACCTTCCGAGAACGATAAGAACGAGAGACTGCGCCAGATAGGCCTGGCGCAGGGGATGGTGAACTTTGCTAGGTGAGAATTACTTCCTGGATCCCCGCAAGTGACCAAAGCTTATGCCCACTCTTGTACAGTAACTTTTCCTCTGGCAAACCACTCGAGTATATCGAAACTGATAAGGCGCGGGTCGTCGTTCTCGAGCTGGAGAAGGACTGGTGGATAGTCGCTGTGAGTCTACCTAGGGACCTCTACTGTAGGATGAACGTACCTAAGACTATGCCAGTCTATCGACCTTACGCGATTACCCGTCGATCCAGCTCAGACCTCTTCGACGGACAAAACAACCTCTCCTTCATTTCAATATTCGTCTAGAGAAATGGGACCTCCGCAGCTCCTTACCCAGCAATTGCGCCGCGCACACTCCTTGTTCCTACTGCTTCACGATTTCTCCATGGCCGAACTCTACAATCGTGTTGGAAGGTCCTCGTTCTGTCTGTTCCTTGAGCGGTTCTGGGAAAAGTTCACATGGAATTGGGAACTGCTCTTGTCTGGAAATCCGATCGTGGATATGTATAACGGCATCAAACTCGCAGCAGGGGGCGAGCTGGGCATCGGTGTCGGAGAGGAAGAATGGGGTAGCGGTGAAAGGGAAGTCCTCGAAGACTTTATTGCCCGAACAGACGGTCTGCTGGACTTGGTTGTCTCGAGATTTGGTGATCTGCCCACGCAGGCTGAGGGGTCATCACCGGCGCCTGCGGGTGGTAATGAGAGTGCATGGCTAGGCTCTGACGCCGATCCGCGACCCGCTGATGGCGTAGTCTTTTCCGGCGCCGGCGTCGTGGATCGACAGTCTCTGGCTCGAGTCTCCCACTGGATGGAATGGATCTACCGATATGGCGACGCCGCGTATGGAATCGGGCGGGATCCGAGCTCTCTTCGCCGGCGAAAGCCTCGGCGAAAGCGAGCTCGAGCTCCTGTCACGCCCGATAGAACGCACACCCCAGGCATACCTCGACCACTGGTCATGGCAATGCCACAGCCACCTCCAAACGCCCGTAAAGAAAATAGTCTTGAAACAGGGACCGGAAGCTCACCGTCTAGCAATGATCAAGAAGCCGACAAACTGGCATTTGGAACGGACACGGTAATGAAATACCTTACTTTGGGATATGGTTCTGCATGGAGCTTCTCGAACAAGTCAGCACCTGTGTCATCGCCATCTTCACCACCTTCCGAAAGCTCTCCAGCACAGCCAGGACAGCCCACCACTGAGGATGGAAAAAAGAGTGAACATTTATCGAAGGCAGTCCGCTCTCCGCCGGCTTCGAAATCCCAACCTGATGGGTCTCGGGGTGAGACGACAATCAACGTCCCTGGTCGTTTCGTGCTAGGGCCGCGTGATGATCTAGACACATTGGATGACATAGAAGAGGGAAGCCCAGAGCCGGAAGTAGATGCTGGACGGCCCAGAAGTCGGATAGTTCATCGATCTATCCACATTTGCTTAGCAGACTCTCAAGGCGAGAAGGGTACGAAGACGCTCCAAGCAGTCATCTATGTGGTAGGTATCTCATAGATTCATGAACTTTGCCTACCCCAGCTGACATTTATATAGCATCAACCCTTCATGTTCACCTTTTTATTCGACCCAGATACCCCAGCTCTATCATCTCCAGCACTCTACTCCAGCATCCACCACCAACTGGGGCCCCTTCAAAAGCCTCTTCTATCATCAACATCCCCTACAACAGCCGTGTCTCGCATGTCCATATCCGAAGCGGGCGGCGATCCAAGCAAACGCTTTTCTACACGTAGCCTACCCGTCTACGACATAGTATACGACCCCTCAAATCTGACCATCCGCTCCTCAATCCCCAACATACCCAGCCTCGGAACTCCAACCCATCCAAAAGAAACCTCTCAAGTCCCTAGAAGTCCATCACCTTCCCCATCTCGATCAGCAGTTTCACCATCAATGTCCCGCGTCGAAAGTATAGCAATCCACCAACGCCTCCTCTCCACATACATCGACACCCGCCCTCGGCTCCAAGAACTAGAGCGCACCTGCAAAACCAGCCGCGGGTGGTGGATCGTCTGGGTCCGCATTCCGGCCACCAACACACCCTCTCACCGATCACACGCTCTCTCATCTGCATCTTCTTCCGCAGCTCTCTCTACCTTAACCGAAGACAATCAGATCCCAGGCCTGGCCCTCCCAATTCCAGAACCAATTCCCGAATCGCAAGAAGCATTCATCGTCCGCAGAGCGAGCGACTATGTTTCCTCGTCGGGCCATGCACGCATGAGCAGTGGTGCGCGGTTCTTCCGTGATCTGGGTGGTGCATCGTCGTCCAAATTAGCGGTTTCGAGGACTGATAATACGCCTTCGAAGTTGGTGGAGGGTTTGGGGATGGATGCGAGGCGGTATATTGAGGGACTTTTGAGCTTGAATCGGTGAAACTATGGAGGTGTCTGATGTCGACATGTAGAATAGCTCTATCACTTTTTGCAATAGGGTTGTCTGAAAGTGATGATTGAACTCCAACCCGGTTGACCAAGGTGCATCGACTTCGGTCTTGATGTTGTTGCATAGTTACTTGGTCATTCAGCTGGATGAACATTTGATGCCTACCTCCGTTATCCTTCCGCTATTTACCCATATATGACCTCATTTGGGGCCACACGCTGAGATCATGTGGGACTTTTAGTATTTCGCCGGCTAGAGCTTGATCGTAATATGTAAACCAAGGACATTCCAACATATTGACATTTGAAGAATAGCTCAATGGAACCCAGTGTATCAAGCTTTCTTCTAGGATATATTCGAAAGAGAATGAGCATTGCCTATCAGCTTACCTTGAACTGTGATACCAATGCCAGACTCAGTCAGCGGAACAACACAAGTAGGAACTGTTACCCAATATATGGAGTACTGTACCGCACTACATTCAACAGGGGAGATCTTGCTCGAGTGTTAAGTTTTTAAAAATTTATACTGCCACAAGTGTAGATTGAGGCACTTTGTCATTGGGATCCAGATTCCATGGAGTCGGATTGAAAGAAAATAGAGGGTAAATAGGGCGTGGGGGCGAGGGGCAAGACGAAGACGGGACAGGAACAAGAGAAGAAAAAGCCCACAGGGTTATGAAGACAACGCCTCCCTAGACAAATTCTGCAAAATCAAGGCAAAAAAGGAGGAGAAACACAAGAAGTCGGCAACCAACGGGCAGAAGAGATTGCGGGATGGGAATTGGGGGAGGAAACACACAAAATGGGGCGGAGACGACAACAAAAGGGGAAAATATTGCATGACTTCAGGATGGCCCAAATTTGACACTGTCCACGATTATCGCATGCGGGTTCCAGCAGCTTTCCCCCCTCCTCGAGCCTCTTTTAATGTCTCCAGGGGGAATCAGAATTATCCAAATTGGTCCCCAATCTCAGCTGTTGGTCGCTGTCGTTTCGCTCGAACCGGAGCGCTGGACAGCCGGGGGTAGTTTACAGAATCGAGCACTTGCTCTTCTTGCCGGGCTTGCTCTTGCCGACCTTCAGGAGGGCAGCACGAGTAGCGGCCTCAAAGACCTCACGGACACCCTCGTTGGTACGAGCAGAGCACTCAAGGTACTTGTAAGCACCAATCTTCTTACGAACCTCCTCACCCTGTTGGAGAAAAATGGGTTAGTTTCGGAGCTTTCTCCCCAGGAGGATGTCGAATAAATAATCAGCGATGTCGAATTGAACGTACCTGCTCGGCAGTGACGGGGCTCTGGGAGGTCTTGTGCAGCTCCTCGATGGTCTTGGGGTCGTGACGCAGATCCTTCTTGCAGCCAACCAGAATAATAGGGAGGCCCTGGCAGAAGTGGAGAACCTCGGAAATCCACTGTAAAAAAAAGACCGCGTCAGCATGTCTCCAGCAACGAAGAAGCACGCCATGTGCTCCCCAAAGCAATATTCAAATTTTCAGGCACCAACCTTCTCCTGGACGTTGTCGAGCGAATCGGGAGAGTCGACGGCGAAGCAGATCAGGATAACGTGGGAATCGGGGTATGACAAGGGACGGAGACGGTCGTAATCTTCTTGGCCAGCAGTATCCCAAAGAGCGAGCTCAACGTGCTTGCCATCGACCTCGACATCGGCGACGTAGTTCTCGAAAACGGTGGGGACGTACACCTGGAATGGGCAAAGAGTTAGAACGTGCGTGGCGAGCGGGTAGACGCGGGTCCCCGAGATTAAAACGCAATGAGCAAGGAGTTATCGTTGTGTGGTTGAAGAAGAGCGACACAGTGATAGGAGATTGGGATTTAGATTCGGTGGCATCGGAGCCTAGAGGAATGGCTCACCTCAGGGAAAGTGCCCTTCGAGAAAACGCTGGAAGAGTTTCGGTCAGTTGGTTAATCGAAGGGGGGGCGAGGAACCCAAGGGGGATGCAGAGCGGGCAGTTCTGATGTCAGAGTACTTACATGAGCAGACAGGTCTTACCGCAGGCACCATCGCCAACGATGACGAGCTTGCGACGGATCTCGGCCATCTTGACACGGGGCAAAGAGATGTTAGCAAATGATAAGAGATTTCGAGGTCAAATGAGACGTTGAATGAGCCGAAGAAAGGATGTGTATGTTGGAACCGGTAGATATGGAGAGAGGGGGGGGGTCGGGGTAGACAGATAGGACCGTGTATGAGGCAGGTTGGGAAAGGGACAAGTTCAGGCTGCCGGGGGGGTGGGAGAGGGGAGTGAGGAGGCACTCAGGGAGAAAGGGTGTTTTGGCGTACTGTGATTCAAAGGGGCGCAACGGCGTGAATGTCAGGAGATAGGTGAGAGAGACAAAGCTAGCTATTGCAAAATTGCAGCAGCCAGAAGAAAGAGAGGATGGAAGCAAGAAGATTTTCCGATGGAGGACGGGGGAGAATATTTGATGACTCGGGGGAGGTGGAGGGAGACGATAGAGGCCAGACTTCCTGGGCGGTGGCAGTACCGGCCGTATCTCGTGGTATCTCATGGTATTTCGTGGTACGAGACTTGAGATTCTGACGATTCTGCTGCGGGTGAGAGGAGGCGGAGCCATTGTAATGACATGTATTCGCCGGTAAGAGTCGTCCTTCTGCCATTTATTTGTTGTGGTACTGCCGCTGCTGGTCTTGTGTATCAACGTGGTATTTCCTCGGTATCCCCTATGTATCCTATAGGGGCTTTTGGCTTTCTCTTTTGTCCCCTGGCCAGGTTTATCTACGGTCTTTACAGAGTACGGAGGATACTCCCTACAGGGAGTACTCGACGTGGATGACCGTCCATGGACTGCAACGCCTTCTCCAGAGACATTCAAGGAACCAAATGGGTACTCTATCAGGCTATCTCGATCCGCTTAGCTAACAGCTGCTGTATTCAGTGCGCCTGATATGCGCCTAGCCTGTTCTTTGCCCCCCCCCCCCAACCGGGGCCTTGTTTCAGCTAACGTTAGCTAAATAACCAGTTACCCTGAGGTCTCAACGGGCGGGCATTTGCGACCGGGAATCTCCTTCAAAGCTCACTCTTCCCGTAATACCGTTATACCGTTACTCGGCCAGCCCTAGCAGGTTATTTGTGGCTGAGCAGGCCTATTTCCGCGTCACAGGCCTGCCCCCAAGGGCCCACTCTTTGTCTTCCTTCCCGAAGACACAGCCACCGTGGCTATGACTTGAGGAGGTATGCAATGATCTAAGATTCTGATATCATAGTCAAGGAGAGGGGGAGAAAGGGGGGCGCTAAATTATGTTATGGATCTACCACGGTTGATACGAAGGGTATGACTGCCCTGCGACCGTGTCCTATGTGATACGACCTACCTAGCTGTCTGCCTGCTTTGCGCCTAGGTCATGGACATGACTCTCCTGGCCTGTCGCACCCTACAACGCCTCATGCTGCTCTAAGCCCGGTGGCTGAAAGTATCAGCTAGATGCGCTAACCCCAGATGATCGATCATCACCGTGAGTTCTCGGGAAACATCTGAGACGACCGATTGTTTACTTACTTATCCGCCTCCTCGTTTTCATGTACAGTACTTCACCTATAGCAAATCCGTGTATACTTGAATGATGCGTGCCAGTAACGCATACCCTGCTGGCAAACATCCTGCTCAATATTGCCTATCATTGGCGCCATTTCTTTTCTTCCTTTTTTTTTCTTCCAGAGAGCCATTATTATTCTTGGGTATGCGGGAGATCCCGTACTGAATGAAGGCAACGAACCGTGTAACTTGAAGGCGGCCTACTGTAATGCAGTGTATCCATAGTGTGTGGCTATGGATACTTGCACTTACTCGAAGGCTTGACTCGACCGTCTACAAATTGATGATCCCTCCAATTGCTTACTGTAACTATCTCCATTCCGCCTGACACATCACCCTGCGCAGATAGCGTGCACTAACTGCTAGAGTCGATGGGATTTCGCGCGTCTAATACTTATCTAAACTTGCCCTGTCCTTCTCTGATCTCCTCTAGATCTTGGTTGCCTCATCTAGTAACTCTTGAGCATCTAATAACATTTGCAATAGATGGTTGTCTAAAAAAGGGGGGCCTCAGCTCCATTCCCATCGGCGGGCTGTCGCCAATCTACCGATACGGCCCCCCACCTTCATCCCTTTCTCCTATCCAATCACTTACGCCCCTCGTATTACAATTCGAGTTCCAGATCCACCTGAAACGTGCATTCCTTGAGTTGGCTTAGGCCTGGTCCGTCGGGGAGCATGAACGGTACCAGCACATCCCCTTCAAGTCGCGAAAGGAGTCAGAGCCGCGTCTCCACGTTAGAGCTTGGATGACTAAAAATAGGTTCTAGATTTGGGAGCCAAGACCCTCGATGCTAGATATTGAGTGATGTGTCTGGTTGGATTTCCCCCCCCTGCTAAAGAAAAAGGAGAAGTGAGACTCTCCTTTGTGTGGAATAGCCCGCTAGGCTACAGCGCTTTGTGAAAGGACGCGAGCGCGAGTTATCAGGCTAGGGCTTTAATTCCGGCGCTATTGAGCTACAGACACATACCTTTGCGTCTTACAAATTGTCGCTCTGCAGGTCCGGATCATAACGACTACACATTCGTGGTCAACACTTACACTCGAGACGGTTGCCGCATTCAATGTTGATTTATTTCTGTCGCAAGCGCTCCTTCCACTAGCGAAAGCCACAAGAATCCTCCCCCCCCCCCGATCCACCAGTATGGCTAGCGCCTCCATTCTGCAGGACCCATCACTGCAAGCCCGACATAAGCAATCCGTCACGCTATCTGATGGGCGCACGCTAGGCTATGCGGAATTCGGATCTCTCAGTGACGATGCCACCACAGTTTTAGCTTTTCATGGTTGGCCAGGCTCCCGATTGGAGAGCGCTGTATATCACTCCGTCGCGGGCGAGTTAAACATACGACTCATTGGTGTTGATCGCCCGAGAATAGGTCTATCTTCTCCACAGCCAAAGCGCAAGCTCCTCGATTGGCCTGCCGACATCCGGGAGTTGGTGCGGTACCTGAAACTCAAGCGATACTACATTATCGGTGTTTCAGCTGGCGGGCCTCATGCTCTTGCATGTGCACATGAGACGGCAGAGAATGAACTGCTTGGAGTTCGCATTGTATCTGGGCCAGGCCCTTGGGCACTTGGTACGAAGGGTGCGAGTCTTGATCTGAAAGTTACTCTCAACGCCGTAGCTTACGCGCCGTGGCTGGTACGGTACTTCATGAATGCAACAATCGTCAAACCTGCCCAGGACCCGGATCCGGCTAAGCTGGATCAAATGATGAGATCTCAAATGAAGAAGGTGCCGCCCGTAGACCTAGCATTCGCGAAGAAGTACCCTGGCACAGTCGATATAATGATTGCTGCTGTGCGGGAGAGCTTTAAGCAAGGTGCAGATTCAAACGTGCGGGATGGACAGATGTTGACTTTAGATTGGGGATTCGAGTTACAGAATATCAAAATCAAGAAGGTCCTCCTGTGGCATGGAACAGCGGACGTCAATGTCCCTGTCGCCCGTGGACGTTATCTGGCGGAGCATGTTCCTCACGCCGTTTTAAAAGAGTTTGAAGAGAATACTCATATTACCATCCACGAGCATGCGAAGGAGATATTGAGAGATCTGATAGCAGATTCTTCTCGAGGGGAAGAATCTAATGAAGTCTGATTGAACGAAATTGTCGTTCGTCTGTGGCAGGCCGAAAATTTATGTAATGAATATCATACATAATAATGAGCTCAGGGAACTCTGGAATCCAAATTTATTCGCTTCATCGGTTAAAGAATTGCAGTTAAGAGATTATTTTCAAAATGCTCAAAATTGGATTGAAAAGCGGTCTAGAAAGATTTTTATGAATGGGCAGTTGTGCCATTTAGATTCAAGTGGGCTGTATCATCTTGGTGAGTCATCAAGTGGGCGACGGGAGGAGTTTGTTGGGGTTCGATGCTTTTCAAGGCTTATCAAAGCCCTGAACCAAATTGTACTTCTTTACTTTTCTATCATCCGAGAAACAGCTCGTGAACTATGACAACACCCTTTTATCTCGGAATTGTGGGTCTGTGCATCGATGCATCTACCTTAAATTTCCACTGCCTTGACCCTGCGCCAGTTTACTGACGATATAAACAGGTGTTGGCGGCGTTGGTAAGGCATTCCTAGAGCAGCTCGGACGACTACCAAATCCTCCGAAGCTCGTTTTACTCGCCCGCTCCTCGCAAACGCTCTCCTCCCCTGTGCCTTTGTTTTCGCCAAGTATCCCGTTCACTACCTGGGAAGATGCCGCGAAATCACCATCTTTAGTCAAATCGGGTGCTTTACCACCAACTGAGATTGCCGCCTTCCTAGCATCTACTCCAGGGAGAGCTATTCTAGTGGATAACACATCCGATCTTGCTCTAGCGGAAACGTACCCTATTTTTCTAGAACAAGGTGTATCGGTGGTGACACCAAACAAGAAAGGCTTCTCGGAAGATATCACTTTGTTCAATAATATTTTCGCCTCCGCTATACGGGGCAATGCTCTTGTTCAGCACCAGTGTACGGTAGGTGGTACACTACCTGTCCTATCGACGCTCAGGGATCTAGTGGCAACGGGTGATGAGATTATTCGGATCGAAGGGGTTCTCTCGGGGACCCTTTCGCTTCTGTTAGGCGAATTCATGCCTGGAAATGGCATATCAAACGCACGTTGGAGTTCCCTTGTTTCTCACGCCAAGGAAATAGGGCACACGGAACCAGATCCTCGCGATGATCTCAACGGCCTTGACTTCGCACGGAAGCTCACGATTATAGCCCGGGTGATTGGTATCGAGGTCACCCGTCCCGATTCCTTCCCAGTGGAATCACTTATTCCTGTGGAGCTATCATCGCTACCGCCATCATCAGAGGGCGTTACTGAGTTCATGCGCGAGTTGCCAAAATACGATGTCAAGATGGATGCAGCAAGGAAGGCAGCACAAGAGCAGGGCAAGATTCTGCGCTATGTTGGGAGTATTGATGTGTCTACCCGAGCCATCGAGGTTGGTCTTCGGCATGTTGAAAAGGGTAGTCCAATTGCCAATCTTCAAGGCAGTCAGATTGTCAGCATTTATACCAAGCGATACGATACCAATCCACTGATACTTCAAGGTGGTGGGGGAGGTGAGGTAACGGCGATGGGCCTGATGGCCGATTTGTTGAAAGTTATGGAGCAGTTGAAGTAAGAGGTCTCTGCTTTGGGACACTACCCTCAATCGATGTGATCATGATATCAGATCGTTTTCTATGTCTGGGTATCTGTGATTTACATGTCTTTCCGGTGCGAATATTCACTCAATCCAATCTCATTTGCCACTCTCTTTCCCAAGCAATAGCCTTAATACCATAACTTCCCCTTCCCATTTGGCAGCCTTCAAACGCAACTCATCTCTTTCCTTTGTCATATTTTCCAGGCTTGACTCCAAATGAGACATTTGATCCATTTTCTTCTGGCGTAATCTCCGAGCAGCCAACTTGTTTCGACGCCGCTTTTCCTGAAGCCGGTCCCCGTCCGAGTCTTGAGACGAAGGCGAAACACTCCTAGCCAAGTCTTCGGTAGATGCTTTACTTTGTGATACTGGTTTCAGGTAATGAGGTTCCGGTAAACCAAAGGCTGTCGTGTAGTCGGGAGAAGGAGTGAACTGCTGGGGTCCGCGGACACGCAGTGACTGATTCGTATTGGAAGGCAAACGCGGATAATATGTGCATGTCTCGAGTGATGAGAGCGACTCATTATTGGCATTCAGGCTCCTTTGACTGTCCGAAACTGCCATCGGTGAAGACATATATAAACTGTTTGTGTCGATAGCGTTGGTTGTAGATTCGTTCATTGAGAAACCAAGGGTCATAGAATTTGGCTCTGGTGGGAATTGTTCCAGGCTGAATGCGATGCTTTCCAGTAGTACTGGATCCATTGATAGAATATCCGATGATAGTGATGTTTGTGCAAGATCGTGGTGTAGGTCATTGCTATGAGACGCGGTCGCAGGCATGAAGTCGGACCATGTTGAAGCGAACCCAGTGGGTGGCGTGAGCGCTGCGGATATCGTCGTGGTCTCCGCTGACGACTCCCAGTCGGATAGTACTCGATTGGGATTATCTTTCAAAGATAATTGGGAGGACCTTGTTTGAGGCGGCATAATGGTCGTCTTTGCTGTGGGAGCCGAAGATGAGAACAGTATTCGAACTTTACTTCAGTACTTGAGAATGGGTTTTTTTTTGCTGATACTGAGTAAGATGTGAAGGCAAAATATGGAGATCCAGCTCTCTGGCATCCGTACTATATATTCCATCTGGACCGGGCGATCTACACAGCATAATATTTCCGACAACCATCCATAGAAACCTAATACTTTTGTCCGACTAAGAATCTGGACCTTTTTGATCAACTCCGACCCTAGCGTAAATATGTCCGGCGCTAGTGTGATGTCCATCGCCTTTTATTGGTGGATTGAAGATTTGGCCCGCTATTGAGCCGTTTCTGGTTAGCTTGAATTTAGGTAAGGTCAAGGCTTTCTAGGGGAAACCACAACGAGGCGGGAGATTCCCCTCCACGCTTGATGTCCGCCTCCCACGCGGATTTATGCAGCAGGCGTTGAACGTGCCAGGATGGAGTCCCTGGACTTAAATGCCAACTCGGATCCGAGCACCCAGCCGGCAAGGAAAAGAAAGCCGAGACCAAAGTTATCTTGTGTTCTCTGTCGTCAGAAGAAGTCCGTGTCCCATCCTCTTTAGTTGCGACCTTCCTGATGTTACATCTCCTCTATTTCTACCTTCAGATGTACACTGGGCATTCCCATAGCTATACAAATCCTGGCTAATCCCAATTTGATTCAAATGACATTCAATACTGACTGAACTGTAGGATTCGATGTAATCGGCTGCAGCCCTGTGGTAATTGCGTCAAACACAGTAGAGCATACATGTGCCAGTTTACTGGCCCCCAGGGTTTAACAAGGAAGCAATCTCAAGGTATTCAAGACCATCTTTGTGAGATACAATCTCGCATTGAGCAATTATCTGCGATCAATGTACAGCCTCAACGGCTAGGTCTTGGACAAAGCTCTACCCACTTTGTTCCCAACACTTTACAACCGCAACCTAGATCGAGCGCAGAACGCGATCGATCAGAACTGCAAAAAGAATTCACTGGGAATATGGTGGTGGATCAACACGGAACACAATATGTAGATCCAACCCATTGGCAGGCAGTTCTGAATGAGGTCAGTTGTTCCATCGGACCAATAATGCTTTAAGTCACGAGCCTAATTGAACATGCAGATTTCCGAGGTCAAGGAATATCTCCAATTGACGGAAGACTCATACTCCGAGGAAAATCCCGACGATGCAGGAATCTCAGGTCCAGAACTTCTCCTTAGCAATACGATATCTACCCCCAAATCTGACCTCATTGCCGCGTTGCCAACTCGACCAGTCGCAGACCGTTTGATATCTCTTTATCTCAATTCAAAAGAGTCTACACTTGGTATTATTCCCCAGACTTCTCCGACTCTGTCCATAGCGCTGATTGATATAAAGTTCTCATGCACATTCCCACATTCACAAAAGAGGTAACTGTCAAACGCTGCATGCGCTGCGGCTTTCTAAGGACTCACATCTTTGTCATCTAGTACACTCAATTTTGGAGGAATCCCGAAGATGTTTCCATGAATTGGCTGGCATATCTATTCAGTATTCTAAGCGCAGGGGCAGGGCTGCAGTTATTTTCCACATCAGGCCGAGCAGACGGTGAAATCGCCGAGGCTTTTGCAGGATATCACCGATTAGCATCGGAATGCCTTCAAATGTCCAATTATACGTCACCAGGTCGATACACCATGGAAACTCTCATTCTCAGCGTGGCAATGGAGATTCTCAGAAGTACAGATAACCATCTCGGCCCCTCCGTTCTCCTCAGCCTAACCACGAGGCTTGCTGTTCACGCCGGGTATCACAGAGACTCCAAACGTTATCCCAAGATCTCCGTTTTTGACGGAGAAATGCGTCGGCGGGTCTGGACGATTCTTTCTCTGCTTGATCATTATATCTCGCTCCAAGCCGGTCTGCCGCCGACTACAGTACAGACACAATCTGACACGGAGGAGCCCCTGAACTTGACAGATGAAGACTTAGATCCGGCAGCGACAGCGCTGCCCCCAGCAAGACCTTTGACTGAGAAAACTGCTATCCTCTTCCCAGTCGCCCTGAATAGAGTCATGTTTGCGGACGCCGAGATTATCCGCAAAGTCTGTTCCATTAAGGGTGTCCACTATCAAGAAGTGCTTCGCTTAGACAGAAAGCTCAAAGAACTTCACGCATCCATGCCTCCTCCTTTGAAATTCCGACCCTTGAGCGAATCTATTGCAGACTCACCAAACACAATTATGGACCGCTACAATATCGATCTCATGTACCAGAAGGCCCGCTGTGACCTACATCGTCGGTATCTCGCACAGCACCGTCTAGATCCCGCATACGCATATTCTCGACGGGACTGTTTAGATGCTGCTAGGGCCATACTCCAACATCAGTCTGATATCTTTGATGCGAGCACCTCTGGTGGCCAATTGGGCTATACTTCATTCTTCTTCTCGCCAATTGTCGCAGTGCATTTCCGCTCCGCTGCCATGATTATTTCCTTAGAGATTTCCTGTCAGTCTCGCTATGATCTGAAACAGAATCTGTCGCCCGACCAACGCAAAGTAATTTTGGGGGAGCGAGTGCAGCTTTCTCAAGAAATAGAAAGAGCATACAATATCTGGGATCATTTACGCTGTCAATCCAAGGAGGCGACCAAGACAGCCGACGCTCTTCATATCATGCTCAAGGTCACGAACAACCACTTGCAGCACGGCGCAACGCCTGAGCAAGTACAGCCTTTGAGTCCACCCACCGATTTACCAGCCACAAGCGACGCACCAGGTTACGGTAAGTCGATTTCTCTATCATCAATGCTAGCTTGGTATCCCTTGATGGCTAATTGGCTCTCTCCAGCAAATTCACTTCTCTCGACACCTGTAATGCTCGATTATCGACTCCCTTCATCAGTTCTGGATAACGAACCCAGTCCATTAGATGTTGACTTGATGGATGCCACATTTTACCTGGGACAAGATTCCATACCCAGTACCAGTTTTACGCAATTTGCAGGCTCGAACGGCGTTGTCGACTTTTATGAAAAATATTGGGATAACCTGATGCTTCTGGGAGGAGATCAGTCATTCTCAGAGGCACCTCCTCCAGGTGGTACAGATCAGGGGCTACAGTAGATGCTACCATAGGTCTTGTACGTCTAGCCTCGTGGAAGTTGGATTTGTATTTTGGGGTGCATTAATTCATGAATAATGATATCTCATATTCACTAATTATTTTCAAAGCAAAATGTCTAGTTTAGATCCTATAATTGTGATCAAGTGCAAGCATCCAGGACGATGGATGAGACACGCGGTGTCAATATATATCGGCCATGCCGAGGCCAATCTTCTGTGAGAAGTTTACGCATCGAGAACTCAAGCGCTGCGGGTTTGAATTTACGGAAGGATCATAGAAACTCAAGTGTATTAGCCATAAGAATCGGATAAATCCCAGCCCCCTATGCCATTTAGCATCATTGACTATTCTTGGAAGTGTAACTATGGCCCATATGGTTGGTCAATTCGGTAATTACATAATCATCATACTAGGTCACGTGATTCAACATGCGGCCGCAATTTTCCGTCCGCGCATTTTACGGAGTCGACGAGCAGCAACATTTCAGCCACTGCTGACCCTCAATCACTCAACATGCAGAAGGTCATCCAAAGGACGGCCTCGGCCAGAAAGCAGGCCCAGAAGAAGCTCTTCCGGGCCAAGCAACAGGATTCATTGGTGGATCGCAAGGACACAATTCGGACGCGAAAGGAATACAACCGGGCTTTGATCGACAACCTCAAGGAAGCTCGGAACGCTCGCTGGGAGGACTGGCAGAAGGGAGAGCTGTCTCCGAAGCGTGACACTGGACTCGAAGCTACAACCTATGGTGCTCTTGATCCTGCCTTGATGCACCCACCGCGCATTCCGCAACACCTCCGCCGAAAGCACGTCCTCTTCGCCCCCGGAGACCGGGTCTGCGTTATTCGCGGTCGGGACCAGGGCAAGATCGAAGAGGTCACCCAGGTTAACGAGGAAAGCGAGACCCTGCTGATCAAGAACGTTAATGAAGTATGACTGAGGCCCCTGTCTATCGCGTTGTTGTTCCAATTCAGGACGATTGCATGTCTCCCGACCCTAGACACTAATCGATACTTTCTTCAGGCCGATATCAATGTTCCTGAGTGGGCCAAGGCTTCAATGGGAATCAAGAGCGACGTTCTTCCTCAAAACATGCCGGTGCCAATGGACGATGTTCGACTTGTCTTCGCCATGACCGACGGTAATACCACCAAAGACTACATTGTACAACACGCCCATGTTGGAAGGCCGTACACCGAGCGGCCCCGTTGGAGTAAAATGCCCAGATACACCCGATATGTCTCCGGCCTGAACATTCGCATTCCTTGGCCTACCGAGGAGGCGCCAGAGTACGAAGATGGAGCATTCGACACAACACGAATGGAGGTCGAAGAGAACACCTGGGTGCCTTCATTGGACAACTCACCTTTCCCCTCTACCATCATTGACGAACTGCGGAACAAGTACTCTCGATTCCGAACACGCCACGACGAGGAATACGTGCGGAAGAAGGTTATGGAAGAATACCGCCTGGAATACCTTTCCCAGCAGGCTATCTTGACGCCCGCTGGTGAGTTGAAGAAGATGAAGGTTGAGAAGAGCATCCAGGCAAGACAGGCGCGGACAGACGAGGATGGCAACTTGATGATGGATTCGGAGACCACCAACTTCATCGAGCGCTTCATGAGCCAGAATGCGGCTTCCAAGCCAAACAAGAAGGCAGGCAAGGCGAAGCAGACTGCTTGAACGAAGTGGAGAGAACTTGGGAGGGATGGGCTGTTTCTTTTTCAAAGATAGCGATGTGTATAAATTTCAACTGTATTCTAGTCTGGCATATGCGACCAATTTTATTCCCCTCCAAATGCATTTTCTTGTGAGGATATTCCCGCAGTTCTTGATCCCGATTAAACCTAAGCTTTAGACAGTGGCGAATGTAGGGTCTTAGGGTCTATCATTTCCAAGTCTATTACGCGGGCCGCCAGGGGAGAACGATAGGCGGTTCCGCGTCCACGCCCATTCATTCTTAATCTTAACTTCGAACGCTCACCTGCCCAATCTTTCTTGCACTGCCTCCCCGTTCCCGGGCAGTTGCAAATTCAATTATGGCATTCGCTGCGATCAATTCCCTGGGCAAGCCCATCACCGCGATCGAGGAGGCCTTTGCGACCGAACCATCGCTCAAGAAACGAGTTTACGATGCGATCGGTGCGTGCCCAGTTGGCGGCACACCCATGCCTTGCTGGAAGAGTCTCATGATCTTGTTGAACACACACTGACCAACTTGTGCTCGATTTAATGATATAGGCGCTACGCCGCAGCATGCACCCCTCTTTGAGGATCTTGCTCGATATACCTCCTCCCTGCTGGCCAGGACTGCGAAAACTACTTCCCTTCCGCTCGTACCGCCGCCCATTGAGGGCCCAGCCGCGAAGAAACGCAAAATACAAAATGGCGAGCCACAAGTAACGGCGCAGGCGCCGGTCGATGTCAAGGGCGATGCGCCCATCCAATTCTTTGTCGAGGATGTCTCGTTTGCTATGCCGCAACGCAAGAAGCTCACACTCGAGGTCACTAGCGGGAGCAGGTACCTACGGGCGAGGAACAAGACCTCAAAACAGGTGGAGTTTGGGATCCCTATGGATCGAATCCGTAAGTACTTGTCACTTGAACCTCTGATTCTATTTAGTTCCATTAGATGATTGAGGCAGAATTGCTAATGCTCTCTTATCGCATCCCCCTAGGCCATGCATTGTGCCTCCCTGTGCCCGAAAAGACGCAGAAGCAGTTCAACTTTTGTATCATTCCCGAATATGCCGATGGAGTGACGCCGCCGCCCGAGGGCATTACCTCCTTCGAATCTATGGTTTTTACGGTACCCGACGGCCCAGCAAAGGCCGCATTCAACGGATCGAGACAACAGATTGGGAATAATGCTGGCGAGACTGCCGAGGCTCTAATCCGGAAGATCCTGAATGACAATTTGACTACCACCAATGTCGTACGACCGGATGAGAGGCAATTTGTGAGCGCAATGCCCGAGGCGCATCGCAAATCCGAGAAGGCATACCATGTCAAGGCGTTCCGGGGTAGTAAAGAAGGTACGTTCATATTCTTGATATTATGAGGCTGTCATTAAGGAATGACGACCTCACTTTCACCTCGCTTTCTTATTAATTTATCTAAGGTTACCTTTTCTTACTATCAACGGGCATTCTGTTTGCGTTTAAGAAGCCCCTGTTGTTCTTCTCCTTCGATACCATCGAGTCTGTCTCATATACCTCAGTCCTCCAGCGTACTTTCAATCTGAATATCCTGGCCCGTCCAAGTGGCGGTACTGATGACGATACGCAAGAGCTGGAGTTTTCGATGATCGACCAGGCCGACTTTGACGGTATTGACACCTATATCAAGCGCCACGGTCTTCAAGATGCCAGTCTCGCGGAGGCACGACGGGCGAAGAAATACAACGTCAATGGCGGCAACAAAGCCGAAGATGGTGCCGATGGTGCCGATGGTGCGGGTGAAGAAGAGAGTGAACTGCAGAAAGCACAGCAAGAGCTTGAAGACCTGGAGGACGAAGATGAAGAGGACTACGATCCGGGAAGTGATGATGGCAGTGATGGCAGTGGTTCTAGCAGTGAGGAAGATTCGGACGAGGACGAATTCCACGAGGATGCCGACGCGGTCAGTGATGGAGACGAGAACCTGGTCGAACAGGAACTCGGTAGTGAAGCCGAGGACGTTGACGACGAAGAATAGGTCGGACACTGACGGAACCTTTGGATCCGAGTATCCGGTCCCCTTGTATCACGATGGTTCAATTGCTGTTAGAGTTGAATGTTTATTGTATGTTCTACTGGGGCATTGAACCCTGTCGACCTGGTTGAAACCTTTCTATTCCATTACTGTAGACAAGCCAAGATGCCTTTTCTCCTGCTGAACCTTCCTTCACCGTCTTCTGCGATGTCAGTCAAAGTCCAGCAATCGCTCCCGATGGTCGGTGGGTCGAATGTAGACGTGTCAAATCGGCTACTAAGGGGTTCATCTATCTGCCTTCGATGCCTCATAGTTAAACAAGCCTCTGCAATGAATAAGCAGCTGTCAGGGCCTGGTTGCATTACATAGGGCTTGGTTCGCTTGGTTCTAGACTGACCGCAGATTTTGTGCGACTACTACGGGCCGAGCATCGATTTCCAAGGCAGGAAACGTCGATCACTGACTTCATAGTTTGGAATACATCTTAACCGTGATTGATCCGTTCGGGTTTAGCGTTGGGTTATGCCAAGCCCCGTAATCTTACCGCTCGCTTTAAGCGCATTCCAGCCCCGAGTTCCAGCCACCGGGCGGTAAAGAGTGAGAACGGCGAAAAATCGACCACAGGGAAAGAGAGAAAAACTCGGTTCACAAAAACGGGAATCCGCTGGTACCGGGCGAAACCCGCCAGTACTAGATCCAGTAGCCTAAAGCACTCCGTACATCGCTCGGTCTAACTGTTCGTGACTAACCACCTATAGTCGTAGGGTAGAATGTTGTTCGTATGGAGTGTTTCTGCCCCCTATCAGAGGCTCAGAGCCCTCCCCCGTTCGGACCCGACCATGTTAATTTTGTCCACCTAGTCAAACTTTAGGGTAGTCCGGTTCGGTGGCCGTGCCTGCAGCACTGATCCTGCAGGGTAGCGCCCAGGAGAGGGAGAAGAGAGAGAGAAAAAAACACCTGCGAAGACCTGACCGAACAAGAGCTACCAGTCGGCGCTAGGCACAGGTACGATACCGCCGCGTCTGTGCCCTCGGGCAATAACAATGTATGAGCGTTTCATGGGCGCCCAAAGAAGACGCTCGGGTTCATAGTCTTCCCATAGATAGCCCGTACCTGTGCTGTAGAGAGAACACTGACCATGGATCATAGAAAGTAAGTTTCTATTACTTTTTGCCGTAAAACCATTCAGCCATAACCTAGCTGGTGAAGAAAAGAACTCCGCAAAAGAAGGAGCCCCGGTTCACAACGGTAACGTAAACGAGGCGTGACCACCCGCGACCGCCAGTTCTGGCGCCTCCCCCGTGGTTGACGGGTACCAAATACGCTCCCAATACTCTCCGCTCCCTGACTTCGCTCAACTTCTCCCTCTCTTCGCTTCTCCTCATCTCTCCACCCTCCCCTTCCCACTCCTCCCCCTGCCCTGGAATCCTCCTGTTCAGTACGCTCGTACGTGCTTGCAGTCGAGTCCTTCGGGTTCTCGTTTTCGTTGCTTTTGTCTCGCTCTCGCTGCGTGTCTCGGCAAATCCCTCCCTTCTCCAGTCCTACCTCAGTTCGCTTTGCTTGGACTCGTCCGATCCCGAAACCTCCAGCTCTTGGCCTTCGAGAAATCCCGCCAATTCCTCCTCAGCAGGTCCCAATTGCGTTCACTCCGATACTTTAGCTCCCATTGCTGCTACGTCCGCTCGTCCTTAGCTCGGCAATCCAAGCTTTGTCGCCTCGTCCGTTCGATCTTGCATGTACCGGTATATCGGCCAAGCCTTGCATATCTCTCCCCTCCCATTGAGCTATCGGGAATCGCTTTCAGGGCAAGCCAGGAATTCCTCCCTGCGTTGTATGTCGGCTTCAACGACTATCTGTCGTGTGCTTCCTAGATTGACATTGTGCTGACTGCGCCTCGTCTAGACGTTAAATCACGTGCCTGCCTCCCTGAAGCCATCACCCCGTGATCCCAAGTCTCGTTCCCAGACCACCGCCCTCGCAACCCTTTACCATGGCGTCTTCTTCCTCGAATGTAGTGGGTGTCCACTACCGTGTGGGTAAGAAGATCGGCGAGGGTTCTTTTGGTGTCATTTTTGAGGGCACCAACCTCCTGAACAACCAGCAGGTGGCCATCAAATTTGTGCGTGCTCGCTGTTCCTTTGTACCTTGTGATGGGAGGATACCTTGATACTAACCGAAACAGGAACCTCGCAAGAGCGATGCTCCTCAGCTGCGTGATGAGTACCGGACGTACAAGATCTTGGTTGGATGCCGTAAGTTCTCTTAGGAAGGGCGACTCCCTGGCGCCCCTGTCTTCCATGCTAACTCACGTCTGCAGCCGGTATCCCCAATGTCTACTACTTCGGACAGGAGGGTCTGCACAACATCCTCGTTATCGACCTTCTTGGACCCAGTCTCGAGGATCTCTTCGATCACTGCAACCGCCGGTTCACGACCAAGACCGTTGTTATGGTCGCCAAGCAGATGGTTCGTCCTATCTGAATCTTTCCCTATGAAGGTTTCCCGCTAATCGCCCCTATTATCCAGCTTTCGCGCGTGCAAACAATTCACGAGAAGAACCTGATCTACCGTGATATCAAGCCCGACAACTTCCTCATCGGTCGCCCGTCAACCAAGGCGGCCAACGTCATCCATGTCGTTGATTTCGGTATGGCCAAGCAATATCGTGACCCCAAGACCAAGCAACACATCCCTTACCGTGAGCGCAAATCCTTGTCGGGTACTGCTCGGTACATGAGTATCAACACACACTTGGGTCGTGAGCAGTCACGACGAGATGACCTGGAAGCTTTGGGTCACGTTTTCATGTACTTCCTGCGAGGTGGTCTCCCCTGGCAGGGATTGAAGGCTGCCACCAACAAACAAAAGTACGAGAAGATTGGCGAGAAGAAGCAGACGACTGCTATCAAAGATCTTTGCGAGGGATATCCAGGTGCGTATTGTTGAGATCTTGATTTTTTTCTCGTTTACCCTGATTGGATCACTGACTTCGTCAACAGAGGAATTCAACAAATATTTGAGCTATGTTCGCAACCTTGGCTTCGAGGATACCCCTGACTACGACTATCTGCGCGATCTCTTGACGCAGGCCCTCAAGAACGCCGGAGAGGTGGAAGATGGAGAGTACGACTGGATGAAGCTGAACAACGGTCGTGGTTGGGATTACAAGTCCTATTCGTCACAGGCCCACCTCCACAACCAGCACCACAGCTCCTCAGGCCGCGATTTGCAAGGCAACCAGCTTCGCAGCAGCCAGCGTCCCGGTGTGACTGCCGATCGTTTAAACGCGGCACAGCCGCCGCCTCCATCTCCAGCCAACAAGGCCGGAGCTGGAAAGCCGCGCGAGCGACCAAGCGCCGGCGGCGTGCCACCGAAGCGCCAGAGCGGAAACTTGGAAGCCACGACTCCAGCCGCATCTACTCAGGCTCAATTCCAGAACTCCAACGCCCATCTTCCAGGTCGCATGGGAAGCCCCGGTAACCCCGGCCTGAGCAGCCAGCAAGTTGGCGGACAAGGGACCAGCGACCCGCAGCCCACTTTCGTCCAGAAGGTGATGAAGGCTTTGTGCTGCGGTAGGTGATCACCTACCCGTGAACCATCTTTCCAGTTTCCGTGCCGGCTTGCTCATCATCATGCTCGGGATTGCAGGTTGAACTTGACCAGTTGATGCGGCGACATGGTTTCTGGATTGTACACGGCCCTCGTTTTCCCCCTTTTGCTCGTTTCTACCCGTTAATGTCGTCACCAAAATGGCCGAAGAATTCACAACACGTCGGCTTGGGATTTCCAGTGTGGCTTGCTTTGAATTTGCCAGGCTTTATCCGTTACGACGGGCCAGTCTGGCGAGTCAGGCTGATTGGCCTTCTCTCTCTTACTCTCATCCATTTCACCCTCATATTTCTTCCCATTCGACGCTTCGACCTACGTTATTATCTCGACTTGGGTAGAAACGATCTTTCTCATTTCTCGTTGATGTTACGTCCCATCACTCTTTTCACGGTGCTACGGCTCGGAACGGCGAACTTGAAAGATCTTTTTTGTCTTGTGTTTTTCCATCTTTCCTCGCCATTATATCCGGCGTCTTTCGTCGACTAATACAAAATTTCCTTGCGATTGAGTGGATCTGGGAGTTGCGTTTCTCCCCGCTCAAGTCCTGTCGTTTTCTCGAGGCCTCCGCTCCTTTTGTTGTCTCGCTCAAGAATCACATCGATGAAGCTTGTCCAGAAAAACACATTGTTTATCGTGGAGGACCAGGAGACGAACAGGACTTGTCGCTATCCCCAGGCCGGAATTCCACAATGGATGACACTTCACTGAAGGACGACAGCCCCTACCACCAGGACTTGAGAATCTCAATTTAATCCATGAGCGCCAGCTGTTTGTTTTTTCCCCCATCCCATCCCGTTGTCTGGACATGATGGGCTTTTTCATGTTGTCTTTGCTCTTTGCTTCTGTTCGGGTATGTTTCTTCTGCTGGGTTGTTCTTCATGATGATCTCTTCATGCGCCACCACTTTCCATCTCTCCGGGATTCAATGCTGCATTCTTGATCGACTGCATCGGCCTTGCGATTCATCCCGCTCTCTCTGGTAGGGACCGCATTGTTGCATATATTCCGCTGGCCCTTGGATCCCCCCTTCCCCCTCGCCCTCTTGTCTTGAGTATTTTGATTGTTTCATCCCTTTGTTGAATCTATTGGCCTTGTCTATAATCGTTTCCCTGTCGTTCTACCCTTGCTCCGTTTCAGAAGCGAGTCTTTTTGTGTTTTACAGGTAGTTTTGGCATAAGACAGCATTGTTTTCGTTTCTTTTCCCTCTTATTTTTCTCCTTTCTCCCGGCTTTCTTTGTCATGTTCGGCTCTGCGGTCTTTACATGTGTGTTGTAGCGGTATATACTCGGTTCGCTGTTCGACAGCTAATACAATTGCGACTTGATCTGTGAGCTTTGACATGCAGAAGGATTTACAGAATTCTGGATTAGCTGGACCACCTATCTTGTCCGAGTCTCAGTCCTTGCACAAAAGCAGTAGTAGTTCATTCTATCCATATGCCCGTCTCGCTTCAAATTGACAAGAAAACTCCTATCGTCGCGGCCATATCATGACCCATCCTCAATCCTCCTGTACAGATAGAATTGTCCATCATCCGATGATGAGATCACGCAATGACCACATGCATCCCCCCTCCGAAGAATGCTCTCTACCCTCATCAAGGCCACTGACGTTCTTCGCCCATGATAAAGGGGTGGCAACATCAAACATCTCGTCCTCCGTCATCCCACAGCAACGGCATCATCACTCTGCAGAAACTTGCTAAATCTGGGGTTACCTTTGAACAACCGTGCACACTGGGTCTACCAATGATTACTTCCAATTCACCACACCATCACTACTCGTGTAGACTATCGATAGAACTAAAACACGCCACCCGCTGGTTCAATATCCAGATAGCAACGCCTACTGGTTTAACGTCAATATGGATGGCTGTTTTAGTTGATTCTTGCTTGTATTTTACTGCAATTGTTAAAGGTAAATCGAATCTAGTCTGCCGTTGTACACGAAATAACAGGTATTTTTTCTGGATCTACATTGAAACACAGTCTAATCATCCTCGCATGTCCGTCCACTATCTACAACATCCAAACCCCATCTCGGCCTCGCCCACACCCTGCACTGCACTGTACTGCACTGCACTACGCGTCGGGCCTCGGATATACAGTGTCTACTATACTTGCCTTGAAATTTGCCCATTCCCCGTAGGCATCTCTGCATGACAGGGTACTTCGCCCACACAGCCACTCACAGCCCCCGATCCCCGCAGTTGGGTACAAGGATAAGGTCTTGGCGGTGCTGGGGGGGTTAGAGCAAGATTGTGACTCGTGAGGCTACTGCAATTTTTTTTTTCTCCTCGCAGGGATTAGGGGTAAAGGGGAAGTGGTGATGTGTGCCGTGGCTAGGCAGAGACTTTTCCGTTTTGTGGGTTGTGCATGGCTGTGTCGGGGTTGAGGGTTGTGGGTAAGGTTGTGGGTTGATGGGAGGGTTTGTGTACCCCGTAGGGCGTGGACTTGGCTTTTTTCAGGTAATTTTTTCAAGAGATTGGGCTTAGATTTGGGGCTGAGGGTTGAACGTGGGTAGAAAGTGGTTTGTAATGTCTTGGGCAGTAGGTTCTGGAGCACGGCGGGGGTTTGGTTTTACGATGGTGAGGTTGGTCTGGTTGAGATACTGGGGTGACCCATGAATGTTAGAAATGTAGAACATGGTGTGATTCAGGGATAGTGGTTAGCTGTTTGAGTCTAGATTGATCCAATTGCTAACAGCTCCGATTCATGCTTTGGTCTAATACCGCATTTTGAAGACCTCGTGCTCGTTCGGGTGATACATATGTTGTATCCCTATAATGTGGCATCTACAACTACCACGATTGAAACTCACACTTAAAGCACACCTATGTTGAATATACGGTTTGTGTAGAGCTTTCTACATCAGCAAGGACTCTTGCAATATCAAATTAGATACAATCTCGGCATAGGCTGCAGAAAGCCTAACGCACGCCCCAACTTCGACGGTACAACTTCCGACAACCAAAATCATCTGATCCTCAATTAGCAAGAAGCATTATCGATCGGATTTGGCCCGAGAGTATCCCTGTATTCGGCGCGAGCGTGGTGGAGGTGCGAGTGGGGTAGCTGGTGTTGACTCTGATGTCGCGGCATGAGTTTCAACCTAATGCAGACGCGGGAAGTGTGGGATGATGTGTTCCGAGGAAAACCCGACGAGGGAGGGTTTTTGATTGTGTTTTTGCAGAGTCTGCAAGACACGCTGGTAACGAGGCGATCAGTATAGTATTGGAGTTGCGACAGGAACTTTCGTTCTCCCTTAGATCATTGAGCAAAAAGGGAGAAAGAGAGAGAGAGAGAGAGTAGTGGGGAGAGTGACAAGTGACCTGATATTTTGTGTCAAATCTCAACCTGAAAAGAGCCAGCTCTTTGATTTTGAACAATTTAAATGCTTGTATCATTGCGTGTGCCCAATTAAGATGACTGGATATGCAAGAACCTTAGTTGGTCTTGTCGCGACCAACTGAGGTTCTTGCATACCCATTGATCCCAAGACTGAGAAAGATCCTTGTGCATAGATAAGTGTGTGTAGATGGAATTTTTCTACTCTTCAAGAAAGATTCTAGGAGAGTTTGCTCCACTCTATCTAGTCTAAGCTATAGAATTGCCGGGCAAACAGGAGAGTAACATCTGCTTGGAGGGCGTGATCCTGCGATGTTCGAATAAGAGAATAACCAGGCGAGCCTAAATTCAACCTAACTGATGTCTGGAGATTATTGTAACCCATAGAATACTACTATAGACCGAAGTCACAATCATATTGCACCTACACTCTATGCCATGCCACGGTGGCATCGATGTATACAGATATGAATCATCACAATCAAACAACCTAAACCAGTGGGTCATCTCCATTCTCAGTTATTCTAATTCCCTCCGGTTGTTCTAGTTCCCTCCTGAAGAACTTACATGAATTCAGCCTGAATACCGAATAATCGACCTTCCCCTTTCATTGGCGCTCTCCTCGTCTGAAACTATGTTAGTCACCTGAAGGATAATGAAGATCCAGACCCCGCCTTTTGCAACAAAAAGTATACAAAGGCACGCCACCGGAAAAGCCATAATTTTATCGGGGACCCCGGATTCGATAACCCGCGTTTGGTATTGACAGGCACTGGTTGAGCAGCTCTTGCTTACTCCCGAGCCTGAGCCTTGGATCTCTCTGAGATTGATCATGTGGTGGCTGGGTTCTGGTCTTTTTGACTTTGAAGTGCGTGATAAGGCTTTTGTCAGCAAGGGTTCGAACTTCTCGCCACCTGGTCTTCATTAGTTAGTTAGTTATAGAAAGGGGCTGAGTAATTGTTATGATAGTTTGTTTGCGAGTCCTATACGTCATTTGATCAAAATCTTACGAACTTTCTTGTGTTTGAGCTCAGATGACAATTCTAATTCCTGGGCCGTTCTAGTTCTGATAACGTTTCAGTAATTCTTTCAATACGGGTATTCAGCAGGGGGTTGGGGGGTTTGGGAGATTGGCAGATAGTGAATTGACTGACTACATCGACCTTGGATCATGACTGGCTTGTCGGTTCCATCTAACCGTATATTATCATAACTCCTTTCCTACGAGCGAGTCTGGTTCCCGACCTTCCTCTTCAAGATATCCAGTGGCTTAATGTACTATAGATTCAACTGCCAGAGTGCCAGGCATGATTCTCAATCCTGCTCCAATCGGCCAGCTAATCAACGAATTCAATTACTTCAGTCTTGGTCGTCAGACTGGGCATAGCTCTCATTTGCAGGATCATCCAATTATACTAGCCCCATATACTAGAAACCCAAAGTGAGCACGCGAGCCTTTACCAAAGCCTTGAATACCGAAAAAGTATAACCCGACGGATCAATCACCCCGCAGTCGATCGCTTCGATTCGAGAAAGCATGGTAAAGGATGTTCGAAAGACCCCAAACTTTCCACGGGCAATCAAACCCCATCCAATCAAATGGCGGGCTGATGACACCAATATCATCCATGTGACCAAAAGCTGCGCTAGTGTGTTTAATGGAGCCAATCACATCCGCAGAATATTCCAGCAACGGCGGGAATCCGGGGCTAAAAGTGCCTGCCTGCAATACGAACAACCCTCTCAGCAAAGCTGGGAAATAACCAAACAGATCATCCTAATCTTTTATCTTTGACCTTTCATAACGTTTCCTTGGGCATATTGCAGATCCTTCAATCCCGGAAATGGCAGATACCACTCTCAAAGAGGTCCCTTGGCACGCGGCGTATCCCGCCCCAAAGTCTGTCGTGGCATCGTTACCCCGCCATGAACTTCTGCAATGGTTCCGTGACGGGAAGAAGGCCGGAAAGGACTTTGTGCTTGTGGACGTGCGGCGTACTGATTTTGAGGTATGCATGGACTTGATTTGATGGATGATTCTTGAGGTCACAAGGAGGAATGTACCGTGTCAAAGCAAGGCTAACGGGTAAGGGTGGCACTATTCGTGGCTCGATCAATCTGCCAGCACACAGTCTTTACCCGACGTTACCAGCAGTGTATGCGCTTCTATCGAGTAGTGGAGTGAAGCACGTTATCTGGTACTGCGGTATGTCCCAGTATCTTTTAAGTTTTGATTGATAATCCGACCGATGCTCATCGTTGAGTAGGATCTTGCAATGGACGAGGCCCGCGTACGGCAAACTGGTTTGCAGACTACCTGGCGCAAGAACAAGACACGACTATGCAGAGCTTGATTCTGGAAGGCGGGATTAAAGGCTGGGCTGCAGCTGGGCCGGAGTACACTGAGTTGATGGAAGAATATGATGCAAATGTTTGGACTAAGAAGTGAAGCTGCAGGGTGGATTCCCTGCTAAGAGGAATGTGTTGTGTGTACAGGACCATGCTTGTACATGATAGTAAACATGCATTGGACATTGATTGTCTCTGATAGAAGACCTTACTTACAAAGATATCCCTTGAGGAAGAAAACCACCAATTTCATGGAGGGGTACAGTGTTGGTGTCCGGCGGTCAATATTGGAATAGTTCGTGAATCGTAGATCCAGTCCCACTGATGATATCACAGCCTCGATTTGGGGGCCATTGCAGTTACAATTTACAGTATTACCCAGGGATGTCCCATGTCTTCTCTACAGAGTACCTGCGGATATATGCAATAGTGCATAACGAGACCTGCAACCAGCCCAGCACCTTTATCAATCGGGCGGCAAGTGATCGACTCAGTCTGGATTCACAGTCGATCAAACGAATGATACGAGCGTGCTCTTCTAGTCTGGACCACGCCATCCTAGCCCTACTGTAGGTGACTTTGACCGGGGTTGGTCACAGCGTGCGTAGCCTTGAGCAAATAAAAACGAACACAAGACCGATCCCTGTCGGAAGCCTAACAAGGTGGTGCAGCACACCATCCCGATCGAGTGCACGCCATTCCGGGATCTGAAAAAATGGGTACTATTATCTAGTCCAGTCTTGCAGGCTAATGCAGAACCAAAACAGTGGTAGTGCAGATCCCCCAGCGGCAAATACATTGATGCACCAGATCCGAATCACCAAAGGGCACGCCCGTCGGGTCATCGCGCTGGTAAACTTTTAGCCAAATCGCTAGCGCCGTGTCGCGAGTAACTCTGTCTCGTGTAGACAGGACTGGTTGATTTACAAGGTGGGAGGGGCGAGTTTGGCGAGCTTCGTCAATTGAGCTCGTCCATTTGTCTTTACAGTCTATTGCAACAATAATAGCATCGAGTTTAATTGCAAGTATTTTATTTTACCTGATAAGCCCTCATTCTATAGCCCTCAGCAAAGTCAGCGCCATGTATTTTATCCCCAAGAGTAGAAAGCTTCACTCGATTGAATAGACTTAGCAGCCGTTCTTGTATCAAGTAGCGCCCAGCCTCAAGCCTTGTTCCGTCGCACATCCCGCGATCTTCTCCACCGCGGCGTCTGTGAAAGCCCACAGCGTGCCGAGAACTCGTCTTTTAATTTGGCTATGTGATTTCCACGGAGTCCACTATACTGGAATCTTAATCTCCCACGATCCCGTTCCTCGCACGCCCCAGTCTCGGTCTAGCCAGAACATCGTGAAACGGTGTTTGAAATCTGCTAGTGCCAGTCGGCCGTGTCGGAAACAAGATTTGGGCTAATGGTGTGGGGCGCATGAGGTCATTTTGCGGCTTCTGCCGTGCGCTCCGTTTTTGATCGGCTGGTGAGAAGACGATGTGGTAGAAAGCGGAGGGTCCTTGTGTGTTTTTTTTTTTTTTTTCAATGAGGAACCTGGTGGAGTCAACAGGGAGGAGGAACTGACGCGAGAAAGTTCTGGACCGTGGCGATCATGGGATGATTATGGTGTGGGTTTTTTTTCCTTGTCTCTTCGTGCTTGAAAGCAAATACTGTACTCCGTAGGTTGGTGTGACTGATCTGCTGGGTTGACTGTGGATATCTGAGTTCTGGACGGGATCGAAAGGTTATGGAAGCATGGAAGCATGGAGTGGGAAGTGGAAATTACACTTGAGTTCGTGTATCTTTGGACGATTACGTCTTGGTACGTACAGTAAGACCGATCTCTCGGTATGACTTGGAAGGTTGAATGTGTCGCTGTTGACGTCGGGGATGGAAGCGAGCTGGTTCGTAATGCTACCTCTGCATCTTGTCCGTTGGATGGTTGGTCGCTGCTGGTATCGCCGTCATTTGAGCGATTTGTGTAACTTCCAATAGTCTTCGGAACCATCTAAATCCGCGAAATGAAATCCTTAAGCGACGAACCCCCCTGCGCCCCGGTCCATGCACACAAATAGTCCGCCTGGCGGTCCCAAGTAAGTCTAGAGTCGTACGGCGTTCTGTAGGATGCTCACAATGACACCAAGCAGTTAGCTACCATGGTCAAGAGTTATGTATCTCCGGGATACTAGACTAGGCGATGTCAACTGTTCTATGAGGTAGTTTTGCCCAACCTTACAACCAACCCCGTTCTTCTCTTCGCAATCATCCACGACCAATGCCCCATCAATGCCTTGTAACACCCTCCCAAGGCAAGACCGACCATTCTTCGCCCAGGGACCATTCAACTCCCTCCGACCAGACAGGACAAGACGCACACGAGACCGCTCCAAAGCAAAAGAGATTTCTGCGCACGGGGCTCGACAGATCACACACTCCTTTCCCTCCCCCCCGCCAACATCCTAGCGCCAGCAATGAGCTTGCATTTCCCCCCAGCTACTGTAGAAACCCCAGTCGGAAGCCCGCTAGACAGTCGAGCCGGCCTCCTGTATGGCCCTCCCCAGCGCAAAGGTCCCCCCAGTATCATGGGAAGCGGGCAAGTAAAGCGCGGTGATCCCGTGCGTGTGTGGGGAATCCTTGCTGCCGAGGGCCCATGGTCGGGGAAATTGTGGAGCGAGTTGGTCCGCTGCGACTTCCTTTCCCCTTCTGTCTCTTGTACAGGACACGGTCGCGTATGATTTGTCGATAAGTCGAGTTTGGAGGTGCCCTTTGCGCGCGAGTCTTGCCAGATTGGGATTGGGGCTGGGTGGGACCCAAGACGCTAGCCAGACTATCGTGGGCGAGGTAGTCTTGGCTCTATGCGAGATGGGGTTGGGAGTTGGGGGTGGACTGGGCTTGGAAACTTTTGGTTGGAGGGTCAACTTACTTACTGTACATTTATCCTCTTCCTTTCTAGCCTACACGCACCATCCCCGGCGGTTTATGTCGGGGGACACGTCTGGGCGGACGAGGAGGTGTGGTGGGGCTTCATGCTTCATCCCCGGTTATGAGGGTGGTCGAAGCTAGAATCTCCGAGGTGAAGCTTTGGAGGGACCACGTAGAGGTACATACTGTCGATAGGGATTTTTATTTGGCCGCGTATGTGGATGGAAGCTGTCGGCTGCGAGATCCTGTCGATAGCGGCTGGCTGACGCAGCCAAGAATGACCTTACGGCCGAGCTCAAGCTGCCAGTGGACGTGTCCTCCGACAAAGCAGAGACGGTGAGAACCTGCGGATGCATCCGATCCTGGCCTTTAGAACGTTGGAAGCGTCCAGTTTACCATCATTGTTCCAGTCGTGGGTGTTACGGGATGCTAATTGGGGAAGGTCGGTTGTGCAGAGTACTTAATATGCGTGGTACCTCAAATGTATGTGTACAGGGGTGCTCACCCTTTACTTGCACTAACGAGAGGACCCAAAAGTAATCGCTACTACATCGCTCAATCTTATGACAGGTTGTCTTCAAGCGCCCAGGCTGGTCAACCACCCGACAAGCCGACTCTTCCGTGAACGAACTCGAAGCATGCAGTGGCACGAAGCTCGCAGTATGCAGGACGGAACACGCTAGTATAACCAGGTCCTACCCTAGTCAACTAGTACAGGATCCAATCATGCACAACTTCCTCGATACAGTTCTGCACGCGAGAGGATTGCGAAACAGCTCCAGCAATTCGGGTTTCCATGCGGACTTTGTACAGAGTAGCAGTGCTATGCTAGCTACAGTTCCAGCTCCTTAAACCTTATCCCCAGTAGCCCCCCCCTGTCAGTCAACCGTCGATCATAATAACAAGCATTTATCCATGTCGCTGATTGTCGTACAAGGGTAACACTGGTGGGACGATGGATCCCATGTCAGTGTCGAATGCCCTCCTGGCGTGTTTCTATGCGCGTACGGAGAAGGAGTATTATGCAGCGATGAATCTGCCGTGGTCTCGAACAAACTTTTCCCAAGGGTGTCACCGTGATCGGTGGCAGGTTTATCATTGTCATTGACACTACTCCGTAACTGCGTTAGTATAGAATGAATCATCGACTATTGTACGGTAACTATCGTCCGGTGTCCAAATCTATCTTATCAGTCGATAAGTGTTTCGATAGTTAAACTATTAGACTCCGCTCTCGGAGGAGCTTATGATCAGGCCTCCGGCCGAGTGGAACCCGTTACCCGTAAAATGCCTTGACACGGAGTCTCTAGTGGACGGAAGCCTTTTCTGGGGCCGACCGCTCGGCCACTCTTGGCTCTCGGTTTGCATCGGTCCACGAAAAATGATTCACCGATTCCCGTACGGCAAAGTCCCGTGGGGGCTCCGGGCTTTGTTCTCCGGGCGGAGAACGGAGATGAAGACGGAGAAGCACAAGCTAAGAGTCCCTTAGAGTGGGTGAGAGTAGGCGACAGCAGTGTTGTGTGAAGGAGGCGTTTGAAAATTTCGATCTGATCGGGATGAATAGGGCCATTGATGGTGATGACCCATGCTTTTCTCATGCAACATGGGCAATTTTTTTTCCCTCAAGGGCTAGATGGGAATGTACATACGCACTGCTACTGTCGTGTAGGTTACAACTTTAAGGCAGAGATCGATGCCGAGTGGAGTCGTCACTAGATCTTCGGAGCACAGGGTGCCTGTCCGGCGGCGAACTCGAAAATTCGCGCTCTGCAGACAACGAAACTCTAAGCAAGCGTCAGGCACGGCGGTTGCATCGAAGGTCTCAAAAGTAGATCCTCTTGACGTTAGTACCAACTACCAAGTACATTCTCATAGGTAGGGTGTGGGTTGATGTGTGTATCTGGTTTAAACGTAATTGACACTTCAATTGGCCGCTGGCCAAGCCTGTCATGAAGCATGAAAGGGCCCAAGCAACGGGCAATCCAGTAGCCCCCACGTTCGCACCTACCTAATACATATCATCTTCCTTATGTAATTTGAAAAAAAGAGTGTATCATAGAATAACATTGAATGGAAAAACAAGAAATAAAGAATTGAAAATCTCTGTTCGGGTGTGGCGATCGTGGGTACGCCAAGTGGTGGCTTCGGCGGGGATTCTAGAATTCTAGAAGCCCTAGGCGGTTATTTCCGCTAGCGGACGGAGTAGCATCGGACCAGACTCTTTCACAGTGCAAATGTGCCTGACGAATACCAGCCGCAAAAAGACCAGACTTTCGTCCGAGTAGATTTAAGAGTTCAAACTCTCCATTTTAGCCGTAAGGATAAAACCCATGTTCAGCCGCGGCCTCGGACTGCGGCCATCCAGACCTGTCCAGATCTTTGCTTTTTTTGGTTCTCTGCCAAAAGAGGCAATAGGTAATTGAACCCACGTATTCCAACTCGTGGAAGCCTCGGTTTCCCCGGGTGCCCCGATGTTGGCCGAATGAGTTTCCTATCCAAGACAAAAAGGCGCCGCGGACGGTGTTTTGAAGCCGATTGAACATCCAAGTCCAGACTCGTGTAGGATGAGAGGAATTTTTTGATTATCGCAAACACCCGGTCTTGCCACCACCGGCGTCAAAGTACTCTCAGAACAGATATCTCGTATACTAGCCAGTGCACGCCGAGAATGTCCGTCCGTGTGTCGATTAGAATATCGTAAATGAAAGACATTGGGTCGAACCGAGCTCGTGATTCGAATGATATTGCCCATTCAAGGCCAATTTTGGTCCGGCGGGATGTCTATCAAAGCTTCGACTACACATTCCAAGCATAAGTCCAAGGGAGATCGGCAGGGCGATTCACATCCTCTTCCCACCTTTGAAAGGCGCGCTAGACCAGAATGGTGCCATAGGTGGGCGAGGATAGAAAATCGTTGGAAGGGAAAATATGTGCGTGGCACTTGAGTGGTCAATAGCCAATACCCCGTCCTGACAATACAATCGACTCCACTAGGCGGGTCTAGTGGCAGTGTCCGAGAAAATGACGTGACCCCTTCAGTCATCCATCCCTGGTATCTTGACCAGCGATACGCAAGGGGATGTGCGTGTCACACCAATGAGTTATGCGGGGCAGAGGCTGCACGCTGAGTGGACCATTGCCCATGTTGAACCGTGGGTCTTGAGTAGAGATTGACATTCCAAGACCGGAAACTGGCGTGATTAGCGTCGTTGCGCTGGATACCGTGGGTCGTTGCGGCCTGGGGATTGGATCGCCCATTACTGTGCTTATCCTGTGTTCTGTTTATCAGGTTAGCCTCCTTCCCGTTAGCCTCCAAAGCACCAGGGAGCAAGATCCTTATCCTATGATATGATAGGAACAGGCAGCTTGCGAGGCGTCTGACTAGTGGATGTGTAGGCCGAGGACAGTGGACAAGTACTCCGAACGCTCTCATGGGAGGAAAAAAGAAGTCGTGGTGGAAGAAAGGCCACGAGGGAAAATCGCCACGCGGAAGGATTGGGCACACGCACTAGTTCTTCCAGAATGGTCAGAAAGGATTCTGGAAAGAAAGAAAGAAAAGATAAGCCTAGTCAGGCTGGGGCTGAGAAGGGCTTCGTAGTTCATAGCCAATACAATATTATAGAGTCGGAAGTATGGAGTTATCGCCCTTTGAAAGGTGCCACCCCCTGCAGGGATTACTGGTCGTGCTCTCATCCCTTGCGCCCGGCGCTTGTCGTAACCGTGGTGGTTTGGAAGGAGTGGTATTGTACATCTACAGAAGGAGAGACATTTTTTTTTCTCTCAACAGAGGACCTACAAGAATAGAAAAAAAAAGGAGAAAACCCAGAAGGTAGCATAGATTGCAGAGAAGGTTGCCACCACACATTCTTGAATCACCCCATCTTTCGTCGATCCACTTGGGCCGTCAAGTCTTACATAATTACGAGGCCCGATTGCGGTTAGTCATCCACAGTACGAGGATGATACAAAATTACGCGACGGAGGAGACTGACAACACTGGGTCACCCTACTGCCACGGTTCCACACTTCCATAATTCCAGAAATTCTTTTCTTTTTTTTCTTTTCTTTCATTTTCATTTTCGGACGCAGCGATAGTCGATCGACGAATGATTCCAGAACTCCTCCCGCCAAAGTGGAGCCGCGCCCTTTTTTCCATTTTCCTCTCTGGTCTGCTTGGCCCTTGGGGGGTACCCTGTCGCTCTCTCTCTCTCTAAGAACCTGACGACGTCCTGACTATATCGATTCGATCATTCCCTCCCTCTGGCATCTTCACTCCACTTCCAACCTTTCCCTTTCCTCTCTCTCACTCTCTCCCACTCTCTTAACGTCAACTCTCTCTCTCTCTCTCTGTCCGCTTTTAACATCAACCATCCTTCCACCTCTCTCTCTATTTTTCAACTCCTCATTTCTCTCATTCTCACTCTCCCCCTCTCGCCGTCTCTCCCATGAGATCCTACTCCACCCGCCTCCTCCCTCACCAATAACCCTCCCTTCACCTTTCTCTCCGGTCCAAGCTGGAGTCTCGTCCAGCACCTAGGGGCGGACTGGTGAGAAAACGATCCAAGTTCCACGACCCCCGCCGCACGCTCAGCGCGATGCTCAAAAAGAAGTCCCTGGCGCCCGCCTTCTTCTGGAACTTCTCCCCATCCACCACCCCCGAACTATCCCCCACCTCGTCGGACAGCGACTCCGACGAGGATATGGAATCATCCGGCTCCCGACCGGTCAGCCTGGCCGTCTCGGCGGGAGCCTTCTGTCCCATGCGACCGACCTTGAACGAGGTCCTGGCCAATGCCGCCGCCCCGCCCTACACGCTATCCGCCTTTATGGCCTATCTCTCACAGAATCATTGTCTCGAGACGCTCGAGTTCACCATGGAGGCCAACCGCTATCGAGATACCTACGAAGCCTTCTCTGACCGTCTCGGTCCCGACGCTTTGCGTAACCCAGATACGAGGGAGGCACAACACCTGCACATGCTCTGGCAGCGGTTGATGACGGCTTATATCTTGCCTGGTGCGCCGCGTGAGGTCAACTTGTCCAGTGAGGTTCGTGATGGTCTTCTCCGCTACCGTGACGTGATCGTCCCGCCCACCCCGGATACGCTCGACTCTGCCGTGAAACGCATCCACGACTTGATGGAGGAGTCTATCTTCCTGCCTTTCTTGAACAGCCATACCACCTCGCCATCCATGCTGGCCCAAGCCGATTACCCCTTTGGTCCAGACGACGCCATGGACTTGTCAAGCCCATCATATGATGAGAACCCCGTCAAGCATGTCCGCTCCCGCACCAAGCGTGTCTCACCGCAATCGTCCACCAAGGACCTACCCGCCACTGCCGGCCGCTCCACCATCTCACTCGGTGCCGTGCATGCTCTCGGTAAGCGTGCGTCGGGCGCCCTACTCAGCACTTCCGGCGAGTCTGGCTCGCTCACACTCACGGACGACTCGAGTCCGCAATCAAGCCCGACTGCCGAGGAGCCCATGACTCCGCCAACCACGCCCCCTGCTAGCGAGCCACATCTGCCTATTCACAGTCCCAAGTTGCGTACCGACAACCCCTGGAAGAAGATGGGCATGAAGCTGGGCTTCAAGAAACGCTCTGGGGCTGGCAGTGGTGGCGCCTCGCGGGATCCCAAGATCCTGGGCCTGGACGACTGAAAAGCTTGCATTCCTCCCCTTCTCTCTTTCCTATCATCTATTTTCTCTTCTTACCGATCCATGACCACCACTTCATATCACGACACGACCACTCTTCTCATACTCGACGACTCGATACATACTCCTTGTTTCTCATCATACTCTGTCATCGATCCTCAACCTCGCATGATCTTCTCAAAAACTCACACGTTGCATACCTTGTCATCTACCACATCTCCACCCGAAGCGCATCTCACACGACCTGATCCCGGCCCGACTCGAATCTCTTCTGTTAGCGTTCATTGGCGGTGTATGAGAGCACGATGCATAAAGCATACGAACCCGGCGTTGTACTTTTTTTGTTTTGTTTCTATCTTGTTTCTTTGCCTTGCACTGTCAGTGTCTCCTAGCGAGTACTGCGCACTTGATGCATGTCTCTTACCGATCCGATCCCCCCGCCTGGCAGTCCCGAGATTCAGGATCTCGCGGGCGTGAGCGAGGAGATATGGATTGGGACAAAGACACCAACATACCTTCATGTTCCATTTATGTTTCACATCACATATAGAAGACTGGATGAGGCCCTTTTGGCGAGTCTGGCTGGCTTGGGCGTTATTTTTTTTCATGTCATCCACGGTGCTACCCTTTTCGGGTCATACCCTCTTCACTCAGGCACTTGCACGGTGGATCTGTGTCGATAGCTTGCTACGATAGGATGGTGCTTTTTTGGTTCAATTATCAATAGACTTGATACCCCGATTCAACCTTGTTCCTGATTATGTATGAACTTGTAGAAGTAGTTGGGTAGACTGCAGCAGAAGTCTTGGCCAGGCCTCCCTGGGCAATGCACCCCCTTGTAATACATCAGATATCCAGTATCCAGTTTAACGGAGACTTACCCTCCTCCCACCCCTCGTCTCCAACGCCCCAACATCAACATCCCACCCAGCCCTCTCCAAAGCACCCAAATACCCTTTGAACCGATCCCTTTGATTCAAAACATCCAACACATCCGCCACAACACCCGAGACATACAGGCTGTCCCGGGCTGGCGCATGGGTCTCCTTGCTCGACGGCGAGTGAGACTTGGACAAAGCGCACGCCGTAAGAAGCGCATGTGCCCACGCTTTCAGCTGTCCGGTCACGGTACACCCTTTCTTCAGTAGGATGGAGGCGTGCCATGTCGCGGTCGACCCTCCCTGAAGAGGGAAGAGGAAGAGTATATATGGTTCGTGCTCGAAGATGGATGCTAAGTTTTGCATTTGCAGGGTTGTTTTGATGGATGGACCGCTACCCCCGCTTGTTATACTTGGGGAAGTGCTATCATTGTAGCGCTGGGCATGTTTGAAGAATGTATCGAGCGAGACACCTATCTCGGCACTTCCTAGGAACCTCGTTGACCCCTGGGTAGGAGATGTCCATTGCAGAGCGTCGGCACGGTGGAAGATGCGTTCTTGGGAGGAGACTTGTGCCGGGGTGAGGACTGTCAATTCTGTTGGAGAATCGAAGTCTGGTTCCTTAGCAATGGTGCTATGGTGTAGGCCTATTTTTGAGTCGGACTCGAGGAGTGCTGAGAGGGCGATGTTGGCTCGTTGGCGGTTTAGACTTGTCATTTGGACGGAGCGGACGGCCGCGTAGTTGAGGCTGAGATGGAGGGCTAGTAACGTGAGTAGGGCTATCCAGGTTGTTGTGAAGCCTGTGACGTGTGAGACGACCACGGAGCCGACCTGAAGCAGTTAGTAGTTGTCTCTATTTCGGAGGTGGAAGGGGCAGAATGGGAGATGTATGCGCTTACCAGCATCCCCACAAGCGAGATAACGGTCTCTTGCGACGAGTCTTTCTATAATGAAGTCAGTGCCCACACTTTCCACGAAGACAACCATCCCCTGCACAGCACACCCCGAGGTCAGGCAACATACAGCATTAAGTTCTGCCAAATTCCCCCACTTAGCAAAATGCGCACTCAAGCTAGCCTTTGAACTTCCCCCCGCAACACCACACAAAGCACGCAACACGCCCGCCGCACTAAGAATCGATACTCGCATAACGCCCGCCGGTACCATGGGTGACAGACAGTCCAGGATCATGGCGAAGTCATTGAAGACGTCCGCGGCGAGGCGGTAGGTCTTGCATTCTGGCTCGAGGGCTGTGCCGACACGGTGGGCGAAGAGGATCGTTGCGATACGCCCGGATGTGTCTTGGAGGATGTGGAGAAGGAGGGCGGATGTTGGGGAGGCGTCTGCGTTACCGACGCCGACTCCTGTGGGGTTTTTTAATATTGGGTGCTTCAAGTTCAGGGAGGTGGAGTTGATGGGTGGTCAATTTTACCTTGGAGAACTGCGCGGGAGGAGAGAAGCCCTGCTATTGAGCTGCAGAACGCTTGGAGGGAGTCCTGTGTGTGAGATGATAATTTGTTAGGCCTGATGGATACAGAGCCTAGACGTTTTGATAGGGGCTGTGTCCGCAATGAGGACTAGCTGGCTTGACTCACAAATATTTGATATCTATAGTCATTGTCAGAGGAGACTATTTGGATGTTTCAGAGGATGTATCTGACGGACTCACGGTAGATAGTCATCGCTCACACTCTGGGGATAGCCCGAGGGGAGAAACACATCACTCAGGTACGTGATGAGCGGTCTTGTAGACCATAATGAAGAGTCCGAGGTTGTGCTCTGTTTGAGTAGTGAAGGTTAACAATCCATAGACAGGCTTCAAACTAGGAAAGCTTGTGTAGGATTAACAATTGGTAATGTAAGATGTAAAGTGGTCATATGCATTTATTTGGTCTTGGGCGAGGAACCCCGACATCAAGTCCATGCAGCCATGTGGCAGTTGGCTCGAACTTCCTGTACCGCTGAGTAACACACTCAATTTGACGGTAGATGTCTTTAAAGTGCTTCCCCCCAAGGCATTCATCCGAGGATTGGGTCTCGGAAATGCACAGCGAATAGAAAATGGAACGTGGCTTACAAGAACATCGAGCCTTCCACCCGAGGAAGCCGACTTTTGCGCCTTCTGGTCAGAATAGATGTAGGTGACTGTGGGATTATCCGCCTCGTCCGTTTCCTGGAAAATCAATCGGGCGTGGGAGTGGGCGCTTGAACCCATATTGGCGCGGTGTTGTCGAGGATGTCGGGGTAGTTACTGCAATTGGAATGTCGAGGCTGGGGAAGGTTGGAGAGGCACGTGCGGGGAAACGCGTACCCTAACGTCCATGCAGCTATGGAAGAGATTACTGTGAGATACTACACGAGTGTGTACAAGGCACATAGTCTATTGGAGAAGAATCTCTTCATTGTTCAAACAGTTTGCTCCCAGAGCTGAATATGCCACAGTGAAACCCAAAAAGAGGAATGGTATCCAACCAACCTAGTGTCCATGCTCTATGGAAATGAAAAAAAAAGACCGCACCGCTTTTAATAAGCTGCAAGCTGCGCTTGAAAGTAGAAGGAATAGAACACCCAGAAAGACAACCACCAGCGCCGGGTTCGGGAAAATAGAACAAGGGGGGAATCCAATGGATATAAAAAGATGCCAGCGAAATACCAGCGAGAAACGGCCCGCTGCCACAAACGGTGATGGGGGCATTTTCCGCGGATGGCGACCATCGACCAGGCGCAGTGTAAGGGGTATAACTCGACTCGACAAGTACGATCGAGTGACTGCCGCAATTTAACTGCAGCAGGAATTGGTATCGTCAACTCCACGGTCGCCCGGAGGGAAAAGTGCCAAGCGACACCGGCAGCATATCATAAACCCATCCACCATACAACTTCCATCATGAGAAGTATCGTACCCCATCGCTCATGGTATATGTAGACTCAAGGAGAGGGACAAAGGAAAAGAAGATCGAGACGCAAATCTCTACCGGCAAAGACTTTAGGCGTACATGCTAGCACCGCCGGTCTCAACGGCGTCGATCTCAGCCTGCGTCCAGGGCAGACGACCGAAACGAGCGGGGAGCTCGGTACGGTCGAAGAACTCGCCAGCCTTGGGGGCAATGGGACCCAGGGCGGAGCCGGGCTGGGCTCCGACGTGGCCGCTGAACTGAGCGCGACCAAGAGGGCCGTGCTGCTGAGCCTTGGCGCGGTAGGCGGCGAAAGAGTCGGGCAGAGCGCTGACGGGGGAGGCGGGGTGGACGCGAGGAGTGTGGTCAATGGACTCTGTAAATCGGAGTTGTTAGTTTTGGATGTGTTGATTTGGCATGGGGGCCGGAGCTCCTCCGGGAAGAGTGGCAGTGGCAGAATTTCACGTACTGGGGACGGAACGCTTGCCGACGAAGCGGATCAGGGGAGTCCGAACGGCGTTGTAGAGAGCGACGGAGGCACGCATTTTGATGTGAAGTAGACTTGATTGGAAGTGGGAGGGTTGTTGGAAGATCAAAAGTCGAGTCTACGGGAGAAGACTGGTGTGTGCGAAATCCAACGGGCCCGGTAGTATCCGAACCGACCCAGTTGCGAGTAGAGCGCGGACTGGAGAGAGAGAGAGAGAGAGAGAGAGAGAGAGAGAGAGAGAGAGAAGGCGGGGAGAGGAATTGGGTGGTGAAACCGGGGTGAATAGCGTGGACGGTGGTGATAGGTGAAGAGTGGTAGCGGTGAATTATACAAGAGACGTCGAAGGGATGGAGGGGAAGAGAAGAGAAGAGCAGACGCGCTGGAAGATAAGCGTCCGACGGGGAGAGCGAGCGTTTTAGGCGTTTCCGTTTTGGGACGAGCCGACCACTCGGCGCCGACGAGCCGCCTTTTCTTTTTCTTTTTCCCTTTTTCCCACGGATTAACCTCGTGTGGAGTTGTACGTTTGTACCGTGTAGTTTGGAGCACTTGCCATATATCATATGTTGCTACCAAATAATTACATAGTAGTGTACTTCCATAGGACTCGAATATTGGCTTCACCTGTTTCACCTTGCCGACGCCGAATTAGTCACACCATCTTCGGCACGCCCTACGCTTTCGAGGAACGGTTTTGAGTAATGGCGAGGTTCTTCTTCATTCCTCATTGGAAGACGGCGCCGTCGAGGAATATGACTCTCTCCTCTCTTGTCTTCTCCCCCTCCCCTCCTCCTCCCCCGCACGTTTCCGTGAAGCATGCCACCGCTGTGGTCTGACGGAATTTCTGATTGATCCAAAGTCTGACATTTCCCATTTCCCGAGCCTGCAAGGACCCCCAGACATCTCCGATCCTTTCCCCTTTCTGCTTCCCCGGTGAAGCTTCCCCAATCTCTCGTGTCAAACTGGATCGTGCACCAATTATTGTCCTCCCCAGGCCACGACATCATTTCTCCTCATAGGGTTGCACGACGTTGATCGGATCTCTCCCCCAATTCCCGGTGAAGCCCCGCAACTACCTTCCCACTGTGGCACTATCGAGTGGATGGGCCTTGGAACGATTCGGTTCGCTGACAAACGCACATTCCCTCCTTGTTACTCCGTACTCTGGGGAACAAGAATCACCTCCACTCGGACTCGGGGAAAAAAAAAAGTACCGCTCTGCACGAAGAAACCCACCTAAGACTGTTGGCACGAATCGTGACAATCTCCCTGCAGGTCCTCGGACGATACCTCGGTTGAAACGCTGATGAGTGTGTAAGTCGCGGCCTTGGGGAAATCAGGCACAGAGTCTATCAGAGCCAACCGCAGACCAAGTGGTCCTGGTTGTTATCCATTACCCAATAGCCGACACACATAATTACTTGATCGCTCGTTGATAAGCTGGATCGCGCCACTTGGGAAGCTTGGACCCTGACTAACGCGTCCCGGATTCACCCGCAACCCATCAAACTCTCCAGTTGTGCTTGCTAGTGCTGGCTGGGTGCTTGTCCGCGAGAAAACAATGCACGAGCTCCTCCTGTTCGCCTCGGTTCCCGTCCATCAGCATCATGGGCTCCTCCAACAGCTGGCCGGGCTGACGGCCATGCAGCCTCGCCACGCCCTCGAGCGTCGGCTTATTTTCAAGGCCTTTCGGAAACCCGGGTTGATCACCGGCCGTGTGGGCGGCAGCCAAGATCTGCAGCAGGCCAGCGCGGGCGACCTGCAACGCGTGAACAAGATGCTCAATGGTGGCATGTTCTATACGCAAGTCGTCGGTCCCGTCTCGGAGAATGACTTTCCGCCTAAATCCGTGACCGTGTCTGCGCCGGACGCCGATGCCCAGATGGCGGGAATGGACGAGTCTAAGCCGCCCGTCCCTGCTCAGTCCGACATTGCCCACGTCTATGATTACGACCAGCAGACATGGAAGCTCGAATTCCGGGATATTCCCGAAGCAGCCACGCGGTCGGCCATTACCACTCGCGTGATGGCGAGCGCCGCCCTACCGCGCGGAGATATCGAGCCGTCCATGAATGCGTGGGGCTACGGGTGAGTGGCGTGCTTATCCCGACAACCTTGATCTTACGATTCGCCCAGCTAATCCGATCCTCCCAGTTTCGTGACCGAGTATCTGGTCGAGGGTGATGTCTTCATCCACAATGACATTGTCATCTTCCTGCACCGCGTGTTGCATTATCCCACCGGTGAGAAGGAGCCTCGGGAGCCCCGACGGAGTCTCCCTTCCTTGGACACGATGGCTCCATTGGAGAAGACCGGTAGCTATGTCCTCCAGGCATCTATCACCGTCCAAGATGGAAGCAACCAGGAGACTATGAAGACGGCCTCTCAGCATTTGCTGGGGCTGCGGGAACAGCTCAAGTCGGCGGTTCGTTTGGAACCAGCAGATCGTTTGTCACTGGATACGCGAGCAAAGTAGATGCATGTCTTTATTTCTAGTAATCCTCAAGAAGGACCCTTTTTACTCGGCTGTCATGTATACCCGGAGAGGCAGCCTCCAACCAGTTCAGTCTGGTGTGAGATAGACCATTTGAATTAAAAGAGGAGCCGTGGGCAGCGTGGACCGAATTGAGGAAAATCAAAATTCAATGCAATTATGAATATAAACGTGGAAACTACCGACTTCGTACACTTACACAATCTGTCATGTTAGATGTTGAGGTTAGTCGTTTCCTTTTCAGGCTCAAAGAGGCAGTGCAGTCCACCATGTGACTTCGTGCCGCTCCCGCGCGTTTCGGCGCGTCAGCTACTCCGAACGGATCACAAGTCAATTCGAACATCATTCACCACCAACCACAGCCTCAAGTGTGTAACACCATCTTGTCACTCAAAACCAGACCACCGTCAAGACGATTTCCCTCATCCGAGCCCTCAGAATGTCCGAAGGGGGAGCTAAGCGTGCTGCTTCCCCCACTCGGGCAATTTCCCCGCCTCCACTTCGGCGCAAGGTTGCAACCGTTACCAGTGAGTCCTTGGTGAGACGGTCTCTCATGTAGCTTGGATTGGTCTGACAGGTCGCCGATAGAAACGACAGTGGCGAATTTCTTTACGCCAGCATCACAGAAGAAACCCGAGCCTATCACTTGGCGGATTTTGGGGACGAGCTTGATCGTGGGGAAATATGTGCCTGAGAAAAGTGCTTCTCAGACAGTCTCGGAACATGCGCGAAGGATAGCTTCCTTTGATTTGGTGAGTTATACTCCAAATGAGATGGCATCGCTTGAAGCTGTGATGAGGCATTGGCAATATTGGATGCTTTTGTTAACCAGCTGGTGAACAGGATTCTACCCTGATCAAGACTATATCCGGTAATACTTTCCCCAAATCACCCAAAGACTGGCAATGGTGGAATTCCGCGGTCCCAGGGAAGCTCCGGGAGCTTGATTCTGAAGGGTATGTTCTGTATAGCCTAGACGTCGCTCAAATTGCCGATGGCTGATGCGCAATTGCCCTTTCCAGCTACCAAGTTGTGATCTTCTCGAATCAGAAGATGATCAAGATCCAAAAGGACATCAAGAATGGTAACAGCGAATCAAAAAGTCTGTCCAATTTCAAGGAGAAAATGACTGCCGTCATGACTCAGCTGGATATTCCCATGAGCGTTTACGCCGCCACGACCGATCCCGAATATAGGAAGCCCCGCTTGGGCATGTGGCGTGAGTTCCAAGATGATTATGACCTGGATGTCTCGGGAATTGATCTCAAGAATTCATTCTTTGTGGGTGATGCTGCTGGACGGCCGGGCGATCATTCAAATGTTGATCGGTAAGTTTCTCATCAATTCGAATACAAGGTTGTCTTCTGACCGAGAATCTAGTGGATTCGGCACAAATGCTGGCATGGCGTTCAAGACACCGGAGGAGTTTTTCCTCGCGCTCCCTCCTGTGGACGTTCCAGAGATCTTCGACCCGGCTTCATACATCAAATCGGAGCCAGGATCGCCTCGTGAAAGTACTGGCCCAATCTATACCCTCGGAGACATCTTTATTTAAGCAACGCTGACCGAACTACGCTTTACAAGTAGCCCCAGAAACATTTGCCCGCAAACACCCCATCGAGCTCGTCGTCTTTTGTGGCAGCCCAGGGTCCGGAAAATCTACTTTTTTCTGGAAATACTTGGAGCCTCTGGGCTATGAACGAGTGAACCAAGACACCTTGGGATCGGTGAGTGCCCGCCTTATTTGCACAATGTAAAGATCAATTTCCTGACTTGACTAGCGCCCAAAATGTCTAAAAGTGGCTCGCGAGTTCCTTGTGGCCCAGAAATCTGTTGTGGTTGGTAAGTCATAGTTCCTCTCACCGATCTCCGCTTGCGAGCGAATCAGGCGATCGGAGTTTACTGGTTGCTGAACAACCCTCCCAGATAATACGAACGCGAACGAGGAGACCAGGGCGTACTGGACGGCACTGGCGAAAGAATTCGATGTTCCGATCCGATGCATTCATTTCCTGTCACCCCCGGAGCTTTGCAAGCATAATAATGCCGTTCGAGCATCAAACAAGGAAATGGTACGTGCTCACCTTATGCTTCCTTTTCAATGCAATATTGATGTTGTGGCTCTCACAGAACCCTGAAGCGAGGCAATCCCTTCCCGGAATTGCCTTCGGAGACTATGCACGCAGATACCGGGCACCTACACTGGAAGAGGGATTTGAAGATATCATTCCAGTGGAGTTCCAGTTCAAGGGGACTGAGGAAGAAAAGAAGTTGTGGGGCCAGTATTGGGTTTAGTCGGGAACCACCTGGTCGAAGGCTGTTTGATACATGAGCGCTCACTGTTGGGATGAATCTTGAGACCTCCTCGAGTTCATCTTATCTGATATCTCCGCTCCTTACTGGGCAGAGATATCAACATTGTAACAATGTATGCATTGAACACATCTCAGTTACGCCGAAATCTGAGCGCCGTACATTTCTTCAATTATCTTATAAGAGAAAAACACACAGGTCCTCGTCCATCTGCTTACAGTTTCAAAGTTCTTCCACCGATGAATAGCCACCAAGCCCCTGTGTCCTTTCGTTGTTCTTACCTGGCTCCCGAGGAATGATCAAATCAGTGGCAAGAAAGATACAAACAATGGCATACTCCATGATCAACCTATGCGCAAATAAGAGGCGACCGGACCCGTCAAGTCATTCCATCTAGGATCAAACGGATGGACAACGAAAAGGAAGAGGTATGCAACGCGAACAACTGTGAATAGAAAAACAATCACCATCGCTTGAAGGATCTATTGAAAGCATGTCAGTTATATATCAAGCCATTGAGTCCAAAGGAGCATGCACTCACGGTCGAGCTCCCACTCGAAAAACTCGACAGATACATCCATAAATACATCTGCACGCCTAGCAGACAGGCCACGAATACCACTATCGAGCTAAATCCAACTTTGACGAGCTTGACTCCGATCTTCACGTCACTGGAACTGTCACTTCCCTCAAGACAACCATCTGCAATCAGCAGACCAAGACCGACGAACAACAGCATGCGGGAGAAAAGTAAGCATCTACTCATCTACGGATTTATATCATCCCTGTACGACAGTCTATATAGAGTCCAATGTCAGTGACCCGCTCATTGGATCATTTGGCTGGAAAGTTGCATTACATCTGCGCCTAGGTCTATCTACTCTGGGTCAGGGGAAATCGGTTCCTCCCCTGAGCCCCGGTGGAGGTTATACCATGATGATACACACGTCACTCAGCCAGTGCAATATGTTCTGAGGCAAGAGACACTGCTATCAGGACCACTATCTGCTACACGGCTATTGGGATTGTGCTCGAATCTGTCAGAGGCCAACCTCGGTTTTAGAAGGAGGTTGCGTGGCTTCGAGCAGTCATTGAGATGGTTTGACATCGGGGACTGAGTCTTCTCAAGTTTGCACTCCAGTCCACTGCTGCATTATAGATCTTCTCGAGCTCGTCTAAGAAGCAACACAATCTGATACGGTGGACAGGCGAATGGCTCTCTGGGAATGTGAATTCCATCCACGCCAGCAAAATGAGATTTAGTCCTATTGGCGACAGGACGAAAGCTACAAATTGTCGCTTATTAACGGACAAAGCACACCTTCATTCTCTTCATCCTCACTGGAACTGGCGGACGGACTGGGGCTCCCTTCAGAGTCGACGTCCTCGGGCAATTCAAAGCGCTTCCCATCCCCATCCACGTACGGGTATTCGTCGTTCTTTGTCATTCGGTCGACTCGGAGTAGTTCCGGCCTCAGAAAACGCTCCCATTTCAAGGGTTGAAGACTTCTCGTTCCGAGGACTTGGATCTCAAGCCACACGCTATAGGCTCTGGAGCAAGGGATACGGCTGTAGGTGAATCCAGCCAGATCGGGAAGGTATAGGTGCTTCCTCCGGCGTCGTCTGTGCCGCACTTTACGACGGTCAGGGACTACGAAAATAAATTTCTTATCAATGGCCGTTTGCTGGTCAATACAGAAGAACCAGTCATCGTCTCGCCAAAGGGACTCTTTGTGAACATGTTGTACGATGTTCCAGATGTCACGGATTGTTCCATCACACTTTCCCCTTGGCCAGGGCATAAAGCCACAACCCGTTAGGTCTGATTCGGTGTCCCCGTTTTCATCTTCGGGGGGTTCTGGTCTTTCAATCTTGCTCCGAATCTGTAGGTCTTGGTCGTCTGTCAACTGACTTGTGAGATAGAAGATTGGTAGCCATGGGTCTTCAGTGTGAAGAGTCGAGGGTGACTGCCATGAGAACCTGGTCCGGTAAAACGGCTGTTCGGGTTGACAAAGATTCTCCCTGCTGCCCTCGTCATCGTCCGGCACATGAATTTCGAACCATCTTTGATAGGGGTTATTTCCGTATTCGCGCGTTATCTCGACTATTCTGGAAATTGATGTACGTGAAGCAAGCGCCACGGACTTGTTGTCGCCGAGTATCTCGATGAAATGCAGATTGCTGATGTCGGTGATGGGCTCTGAGAGAATATGAAGAGGCGGCAGATGATCACGCTTTTGGAACATCACGGTGGAGGTAAAGTACTCGGCCCAAAGATTCATGAAGTCTCTTCGCGACGTAGCACCGTGTCTTTCCAAAGGGATCAATTCAAATGTCATTTGTGAATCCGGTTGACAGGGTGACTCACTTGGAGTGTTATCACCGACCTGAATTCCGATTCGAATGTCACGCTCCGCCTCTTGTCGTTGCTTCGGAGTCATGGAGAACGACACGAAGATGACCAGATGCCTTTCACTTGGAGGATTTTGCCAGATTGGGAGTCGGACGGGTACTGAGATTTCTACCAGGTCGACAATATCGTACACCAGTTCCGTAGGAAGACTGGGAAGCAACTTGCCGATGGTGTTCCGCTTGTCAATAAGCCGACTCTTATGTCCCAGTGTCCGTGCCACGCCAGGTGTGAGTATGGAGCAATCTGGATCTCGTATACCGAGACCATTGTGCATCCATATTTGATCTTCAAATTCAGGACCGGATGGTGTGAGCCTCGAATTCCCAAATTCACGGCATTCATTGGGAACAGCAACCGTTTGCCAATTCCACGCTTCGTGCGACTCGGCGAACATCTGGGCCATTGGGAGGTCTCCTTTCACAGGCCATTCCCCCCATTGCCTAACTCTGCCATCACTTTGGATGCTTACCCGCCTAGCCCAGACATGTATATCCGTTGATGTGACCTCGTCTTCAAACACCGAGACCAATATCACCTCAAAATTCAGATTCCGCGCATTTAGAGGCTCCCCATCGGATCCAGTGTCGGTTGCGGGGTTCATTTGACGTCTGCTCAAATCATCGGCCACAATGAATTCGGGGTGACCATACTGATGTGCCAAAACAGCAAGAGCGTATAGATTGGCCTGGCTGTCCCGATATGGCCCTTGAGTTGCAAGAGATCGGAGCAAAGAACTTGAAGGCTCCCACGACGCGACTGTGCGCTTTTTGAATCTTTTGGAGTGGATTCCATCTTCCCCGCTAGCCTCATGCTCTGTCATGGGCACGTTTGCCAAGGATCGAAGGCACTCAACAAGATGATCTTTATGGCAGTCGTCGAAGTTAGCTAGGATAATCAGTAGCCACGTTTCATCGTCAAGCCTCTCCAGAAACGAGGCATTTGGCTCAATGATTTTGCATGGAGAACTGCTGCTATCAGCCATATTGACCACGAACCCTATTATGCAATGAGAAAGACATGTTTGGCAACCTCCTTATCGTGTGGTACTGGAGACGGGCTACGGCGACCAATAGACACCACCTGCGTACCCACTTTCACTCAGTCACAGCACACGACCCTAAGGAACACCCTCTGCCAACATATCTGAGCTCCCAGAATCCGATTAACAAGCCCAGGAACACACGCTGTACTCCCAGGGACGTTTGGTCCCTCGAAACTTAGTCAATTTATCTTATTTCAAGCAATGTACATACATGGTTGAGGGGAAAGACAAGCGGATCTTCCAAGGCTCTCTCCTAGAGGTTTATCAGAAACTATCCATGGTTATCCTCGCCGCTTTCGTTAGTTTTTGGTCGTTTCTCAAGACATCAAAGACTCCTACTAGCTTAGCTCTATACCAATCCAAGTCACGGAGGCAGTATTTCTAACTCGGGACAACGTATAAAGCGCAACCAACCAGAATCCCCTCCAATCAAATTCGCCATCTTATGAGATTGTTCACCATCAGATATGGTCGCCGCCATATCTGCGCCTATGCAAAACGATTTGCTGAGCTTGCTGCTGCTACTTCTTTGGACAAAAAGATTTTTGCAGACGAGCTGAGAGTATCAGACTGTCACTAATGGTGTTTTGCATCGAATACGTACCAAAGCAATGAATGCACTCCAGCGCCGTAGGTGCTTGAGGTCCGTAAGTGAAGAACGTGTTCTGGAATCCAGACACAGTCATACCAAGATATGTTTCAATCCCGTCCTTCCCTTTATCTATCAGTAACTGGCCATCCTTGCTCTGAATATTCATCTGTAGCAGGTCACCCGTTACCGCGTGAGAGCCAGTGGCACAGACAACATATCGAACTCCCACACTTTCTCGGTTGTCTGGATCCCTTACTCAGCTACTTGAACAATCGGTGTGGATTTGACCTCGACAAGTGAAACGCTCGACGCCTGCGGTTGAGTCTCCGTAGCCAGGATCATTTGGAGGAGAGGATCTTGAATACGTGCTCGGACTTTCTCTTTCCAGAAACTGAAGACTTGCTTGTTAGTTGCCTTGGTGAAAAGCATGTCCTCTTAAGTAGCAAGCCAGAAAATGAAATCTCCATGTTTCCACAACTCTTCGTAGGTTTTCTTTCGCCTCTCTGGGGAATCTTCAAAGGTACCCCAAGGAGTGAAATTGAAATTGAATCCCCCGAGACTATCCCGTCACCCTTGAACCAATTCAGAATAAGCACCCTTGGGAGGAATATGCTCTCCTTCGTTCAGGTTGATCTGCTTCATGGGAAATGCCGTATTCGGAGCGTCTTAGTACAGCACGAATTCGCTCGCCACTTGACGCAGCTCCTGTGCGAGCTGCAAGCCCACCGATCCAGTTCCAATCACGGTGATCTTCTTGCCTCGGAGGTCTGGCTCATCCTTGGGCCAGTTTGAGGGGCAGGCATTAGCCTTGCTGTTCCTTTGTCCGATCGAGTGCTAAATTGATCACTGAATCTCAAAAAGATAATTCATGTCCAACACTGCTGGCTTCAATGACCTGAGAGTGCCAGACTATAAGCTCTTGATATCATTCGTCCCTTGGCTGGCGCCTCCTCAGCTGGAAATGCAACTGCAATTAGTCCTACTGTACTATTTTCCTAGTATGACTTTTCAGGGTCAGAAGTGCACGTAGCAGTAGGATAGAGAGTAACAAAGGGTGGTAATAGAGGAGAGAGCCCAAAGTCTAAAATGCGCCCCGTGGGACATTAGTTCTTTCATGAAAATTGTTGGGACGTTAGCTGCTGGCCAATGCGACGGGGCCATTCGGGCACATTTAGCTTGCGAACCCAGCACCCGATGGACCAAAGCCGAGTTCCATATTATGAAACTCAAGACTCTTTGGGCAAAACAACCCACATTTCACGCCAAGCAACGTACAGAACGACCATATTTACCCGGCACTCAGATAACCATATACACTAAGAAACCCGCATATCCTACAATTTGGTCTAGCAGTGTCATGCCCCATCTCACGATACTTGAATGTAAACTCGTATTGTTTGAGTGATGAACATGTATTGCAACAGAAGCCCGACTGCCGTCCCACTAATGGGCAGCACAATGAGCGGAGTATGTACAAGACAGCGCTTTTTCGTCGTTGATAACGAACCAAGAAAAAAAAAATCAACATATGGAGGTCAAGTCTATGGAATGCTCGTGACATATGAGGTATGCAGAAAGTCGTGGGTATATGGGTAGGAACAAGGAATGGACGGGTTTGAACCCAAGCCGGGGGCCGGGCACACAATTCACAACTTGTGCTCCCAGCGTCCCAGCGCAAAAATCCAGAAAACGAGAACAGAGTGACTCTGAAGCGAAGTAGACGAAGGAAAGGCATGGTTCCGGTGCGAGAAGCAGTAGTCGCAGATCCGGACCGTGAGTCGTAAGAGTCATCATGAAAAACAGAACCAAGAAAAGAGGCATTAATCGTGAGAGTGCAAACAGGCACTGGGATAATTGGCTGTATTAAGTCCAGTATCCCAGAGTGCGAGTTGCGGTAAGTCTATAGGTCATTATCGTAGGCGATGCCGCTGGGAGGAATGCGTAAACGGGCAAAACAAAAAGAAATATGTGTGGGAGCATCTTTCAAGGCCGGCCAACTAGGTCATGGAAGAAGCGGAAGAAGGTGCGCTTCTTGAGCGATTTCGTGCGGCATGGACCCGCAATCTCAGCTACCGGCGACACGGTCATAGGCCCCACGATGTCCTCGTCCCCCATCTCGGGAAACTTGGCATTGTCATGCAATCGAGGGACGCAGACCTGCTCGCAAGGACGGAGCTCGGTATGGGTCAATGTGAGCGCGACGCCATCAACCGAGCCGAGACCGCTGAGAATGGCCTCATGCTGGGCGCGCCACTGACGGTCGATCGACTCCCACTTCTCGCCGGTCATTTTGTAGATATTCGAGGTCACGCCATAGTGCTCGCCAGTGCGGACAAGATGCTTGGCAAAGTTGCACCGGGCAATGTCCCAATCTGCGCGCAGCTGGTGGAAGCTTTCCAAATCACACGTGGCTGGCACGTACGGCTCGGGGTGGATATTGAAATTGGCATGGCCGAGCCTGTTGGCCCACTCATCGTTGGGGTCGGAGAGAACGAAGGGTGTTGGCTCGCCGGAGATTGTCCGCACCGTGCTTGCGCGTGGCCGGGAGATCGACGCCATAGAAGGCTTCGAGGAGAGAGGTGGCGAGGGGATGCCGGTCACAGCCATGAATCGTGGATCCGAGGTCATCATGTAGTGCGCGGGTTCGCTCACGTCTGCGACGGAAGGCGATTGCAATGGAGATTGCACGCGGGAGGCGGCCATGCTCGTGGGGTCGTCACCCAGCAATGGGGGAAGAAGCGGGGTGGTAGCTTGTTGGGTATCGTCATCATCCTGGCTCAGGCTATTCGCACGAGCGATGTCAATTGGCCTGGAGCCTGAACTACTGATGCGTTCCTCAAAAATTGTCTGGGCGGGAGACGGAGGAATATGAGAGTCGATGCGGCTGATCGGTGTGATTATGGGACTTGCCAGCGCGGAAGAAGCCGCAGAGTTGGCGCGAGATCGCAAATCATCGGGGAAGATGTCTCGCTCGGGACTTCCTGACGCACGCTTAGACTTCCAACGAGACGAGACAGTCGACATATGAGAACCGATGCGCGACACGCCCTTCACTGACAAGTTATCGGAGCGGCGCTTCTTGGGCGAGTGAGGAATGTCCATCGCAGCATCGCTGATATCATAGCCGTCCGAAGGGTTCACGTGGGAATACGACTCGTCGGTGGTAGGTATGTCACACTCAAAGTGCTCTATCAATTGCTCTTGTTAGTGTACCTTTACTATGAGTCACTGTGGGTGGGGGCAATCGGGTCAACGTACGGAAGTATTGATCCTCCAAAGAGTCTCGCGCACAGAATTCCTCTTTCACGTCTGCCAAATGGGTCCGACTCGGGCTATCCATTGAATTTCCCAAACCGGTTGACGGGACCAGCGAAGAGACCGAACTCGAGACGCGATTGTGGCCCGCTACTGAAAAAAGAGAGATAGCGGGCGACGCGGGCGCAGAAGTATTCAGGGTTAGAGGTGAGTGAGGGAGGCGGGGAGAGTCAATCGCGTCGAGAGATTCTCGTTGCGCGTCGATGATCTGAGACAGTGTACGCATTGCGCGATAGGCGAAGCCGCAAGGCGTTGCGGAGGCTGGTGGGAATGAGGTCGGTCGCCGTACAGCATTGGAGGTAGACGAGGAAACGGCAGGGGGATGCGACGCTCAATTAATGAGCGGCCGAGGGAAAAGAGTCACGGCGCGTGATGGCGACTGCCTGATGACAGGCCTGATGGAGGAGGAACCCGACGAGACGTGGCGGTGTGATGCAGGAACTGACAGACCAGGAACGGGAAACGAGGGAGTCGATTGGGGATGGACAGAGAAGACAATCCAATAAAGGCCGGACGGACACGGTAAGGGAGCAGCAAAAGGAATGCCAGCGCAGACGTGGGCCAAACAGGAAGTCGATGGGGACCTGCCAGCTGGCTGGGCAGGAAAAAGTAGGGTCGGCTGCGATGACTCCTCCAATATCAGCAAACGGGCCGGTGATAATGCGCCCAACAGGGAGATCCCCGCTACGGTGCAACCCTGCAAATGTCGGGGCAGGAAGGCAGGAGGGTGAGTATGGTGACGATTGGTGACGATGGTGTCGAAAGGATCAAAAGAGGGAATGGAAAAGAGGAGGAGGAGGAGGAGAGAGAGAGAGAGCAGAAAGTAGAGGAGGGCCGAGTCAGCAAAGGCAGAAAGAGAGTGACCGTCTAGACCACTCAGCCGATCGAGCTAGTCGCTTTCCCCCCGAAGCCAAACGGTTTGGTGGGTTTAGTCAACTCGTCCACGCGACAGTCACCGATCTTCGGTCGCTTGCCTCAAAGAAATTTCTCGTCCACACTCCGTCGCGTTCCGGTGGTTGAGGAGGGGGATGAACCACGGAACGCCACTTCGAAGAAGAATCTCGAAGAACGGGTTGTTAAGCAATCGTTCTGCAATCGTTCTTTCGTTGCCGTTCTACGGTGGTCTACTTCGTGGACCATTAATCCACCCTCAACGGCTACACCAGGCTATGTATCGGATCCGTCGTGTTACCCTATTACCCTATCATGCCCTGTTGTCAACCGTCCACTGTCTATCTTCCCCCCCTCCCTTCCCCAGGACCCTTTTGACAGAAGCCCACCCCTCCTCGGCATCGTTTGCGACCGGAGCAGAAACTAACCCAAGCCCTAGGGTACACCCCATGTGTGGACAGTCTGCGAGATCAGCGGTGTCTAGACTGTGCCGGTGGAGTCACCCCTCCGCCGTTGAGGTCCCACGAGTCCCAATTGAACGGTTATGATGCCATTCCCCTCATTGCTCAACCACTCACAGCAGCCCGGACTCAGGCTCATCAAGCTGTGTCAAGCTGAAGCAGCGGATTGTTGTTGAGACAGGTCGTTGGAGTAAAAATATCGTCATCCCGTCCGCCGGACTCCTTCCCTCGCGATTGCTCCGCTTGAGCCCTTAAGGGTACTTTTGTTCTGCGCACCTACCGGGGAAGACCTCGCCGGTGCATCCACCCGCCCGTGGCTAATCTGACCAGAACCGAATACGAATGGTCGAGCAGCAAGAACCAACAAGGCCAGAGGAGATACGTCGCACGGCGGTCCTGCTGCGTAACGAGGGACGGCCCCTCTGCCCACTGCTGCTATAAGAACCTTACTCCGAGGACGTAGAATCTTGGAGAGGGGTGTAAAGAAGGGTGAATACTCATCAGAACTTGACGTTGCACGGTGGTTCTTGACGATGGCATCCCGACTCTCACAGCGTAGTCCGATCAGAGTCGGACCTGTGCGCCAGCCCGGCATTGCCACCAGCCAGCGATAGCATCTACTAGAGTTGTCTCACTGTCCCTCTGCACTCATCAAGCCCTGTCAACCCTCCCTTGCTAAACCTTGCTAAAGGTCTGGGACCGACGGAGGCCAAACTATCCCTCGGACAAATGCCCAGAATCAAATGTCAAACTAATCTGCGACAGCATCAAGCCATCATCGTCATCTGCAGCAATACGAGTACATATTCTACACACGTCGGCTCACAAGGATACACTCCGTACATAAGCACTCCTCCTGAGCCCATTAACAACGTCTGGCGTCTGACATCAGATCCACATGGTTCCTATTTTTCGGGGACTCGGGGAACATGCCAGCAATGGTCCATGATTGGAAGCGACCCCTCTGAACCAAGAATCCCACTTGAACAAGCACTTGGTACCAACGTAAGAGGCAAAGGGGTTGGTGACATGGCTCTGGGTCGTCGTAGGATGGTTACCGCGCCGCTCCCAGGCTTTCCGCTGGTTCTGTACCTCTTGGCGGTCTGTCGGAAAGAATTATCGGCTAGATAGTACAACACTCCATTTTTGGGCGGTTATTTTCTTTGGCGGATACAAAGATGGATTGGACATGTCGCCTCTTCAAATCATTTGATTCCAAAGTACGGAGTAACTACCTAAAAATCATCGACTAATTTCTCAGTGACCGAAAATCTGGATTTGGCTTTTTCATCGCCTCATTTTACTTTTTTTTTCTTTCTTCCTTGTTCATTATTAATGATCGTTGAGCTTCTCTCCCACCTATCACAGCGGCGGATGCGGCCAGGTTAATCGCTTCAACCGCCAATCATAAGTCGTGTTTCTGGCAGGGATCGGCAAAAGAAGGAGTGCAAACCTAATCGGATTTCCATGGGTCGGTCGGAATAGGATGGACTATTCGACAAGATGACAGCATTGCCGGACAATGACCAGAGTACGACTGTCCCTGTGAATGTTATCTCCCACATAGTGTAATACTGTACCTATCATGAATCTTACTGCTATACATTCGAATACTCTAGCGACTCTACAGAATCAATATGCATGTTTCAGTATGTGGCACGGGCAGTTCTCTGCCAAATGTCTTTCCCGCAACCCTCGTCGCGATCGGAATTTCTTGCGAGAGTCGCATTTACACTGGCAATACTAGTACTCGCTGTAAATGATAAAGGCAATAATTGAATGAACACGCACCAGAGCCAATAAAGAGCACAATATATTGCCTATCTACGGAATGCGGTACAACCATCATGGCAATCATTACCTAACGACATGCACATCGCGACTTCGAGCCAAGGAACGATAGCAGATAGCAGACGTTATTGGATCCCAGGAACATACACCAGTAGATACAAGTACAATGTTTCACAAAGCCTCCGTATACCTCTTCAATATACACCAGCCAGCCATCCATTCCCGATCACTCCCCCCTGTAGCCGCCACATTCAGGGCAGACTTCCCCGAGCTTCCTCCGGCATCAACACCCCGGGTGGAGGCGTGATAGTCTTCTTTAACTCATCGCACATCTGGTCAAATGTTACCCATTCCACTCCCATACTTATTGATATACTCAATGATCCTACGACTCGCCTTAGCTCGTATTTCCCCCGCGCACATTGTTAACGACCTTAATTTCTTCGCTCTCTCTCCGATCTGCTAAACGGGGGCTGTCTTGCCTCTTGTACATGAAGAGGACATGAGAATAAATAGACTTGAGCAGCTTGACAACCTTCCTTTCTCGTCAAATGACCCAGATATCTTACCTATCATTTGTTTTCGCAAACCATGCTTCCATCATTTCTACAGTTTTTGTCTCGGCTTGGGCGGTCGTGGCGACCCCTTGATTTCTCCAATCCAAACTTCGCACGGATAAATGCCAGTCAACGGATTGAAGAAGAGACAATCCCAGATTATATTGCTTCGCGACATTATCCTGCTCGAATCGGAGAGGTCTTTCAGGACCGAGATCAGGTTGTAGGGAAGCTGGGATTTGGAGCTAGCTCGACTGCGTGGCTTGCGGGGACATGAAGTGAGACTCACCCGGCGCTGATATCAAATGAGATGGTCAATACTGAACAGATCACACTCTATCACAGCTGCCGTCGCTACGTTACTCTAAAAATATTCATCAACCCCACATCCTTGGGACAGCAGTTGGATGACGAGCTCAAGATGCACCAACGTATAGAGGGAGCCTCGAAATTCCACCCAGGTCGCAATGCTGTCAGATCGCTGCTTGACTCATTCGATGTCGATGGTCCCGACAACAAACATAGATGTCTCGTGCATCCTCCATTGTGGGAGAGTGTGTCGACATTTTTGCACCGCAATCCGGTACGGCAACTACCGAAACCAGTTCTGGCATTTGTGCTTCAGCGCCTGTGTTTGGCGCTAGACTATCTGCACACGGAATGTTAAATCATACATGCTGGTTCGTGCTCTCCTATCGTTACTTACTCCTTGTATTAACTGACCCGATAATCCTATTAGACATTAAAGCCGACAACATCATGTTCGGCATTGAGGATGACTCAGTCTTCTCTGACTTTGAAGAAAGGGAGCTTGAGACTCCTTCCTCAAGGAAGGAACTAGATGGAGGAATTATCTACGTATCCCGGGAACTCGGGATGCCCAGGGAATGGGGAGCACCCGTCTTATGCGACTTTGGCTCTGCTATGCCTGGCGGCATAGAACATTTCGAAGACATCCAGCCTAATATCTATCGAGCCCCGGAGGTGATTCTGGAAGCCCCACGGACTTATAGTGTTGATATATGGAATGTGGGATGTATGGTAAGAAAATCGGTCTGATGAAACCGGTACGATATTCCTCTAAGACCTAAATCACAGATTTGGGACCTGTTTGAACGCGAGTCGTTGTTCTCTGGATATGACGCAGAAAATCAGACTTACCGAAGTCGAGCTCATCTCAGCGAGATGATAAGCCTCCTCGGACCTCCTCCACTCAGTTTGTTGGCCCAAGGGAAATCAGGCCATAAATTTTTCTCTAGTGAAGGTAGGAAATTTGCTTACGATTTCCTGGATAAACCCGGAACCCGCTCCCTTTACCTGGTTTTCTAGGTGACTTCTGTGCCGAAATCCCATAAAGAGCTCGGATCTCGCTAGAGCAGAGAGAAAGTGCTCTCGAAGGAGAGGAGAAACTGAAGTTTTTGAATCTAATAAGCAAGATGTTGCAGTAGGAGCCAGGCATGCGAAGTTCCGCTAAAGACCTAGCACAGGACGAGTGGATTTGTGAGAATTTATGAGGTTGCGTCAAAGAATCGAAGTAGACGCTTTATGTTGCCCTTGGGCTCGAACAAAACATCGAGTGGAGCTTGTTAGCTGACACCGTGGCACACTTTGTGGATTGGCTGATGCTCAAACATTTTGTGCTTTAGTTGGTGGTGATATTAAAGTGTCAGATTGTATCTGGTGCTTAGACGACTCTGCTTTCGAGGCCGAGTCCAACGTCGAGCTATCCGCTGCTTTACAATAGTTTACTACTGGCAAGGATTCCTGCTACGCTCGCTGATGACCCTTGCGATGCATGCTCACACTAGTCATCAGCCCATTCCAAGCCGTGTCTCCATTAGGGAAGTGATGGTATGATCATGATATGGTTTTGCAGTCGCTGTCTAGCATTGGCCGCAAGATGCAGGATAACAGCGTACTAGGGCGCTAAACCCAGAAAGGCAAAACTAACTATAAAAGGAAATTCACAGGTCCGCCGTTCACAACGTACACATTAATGTAGGTTCTGCGCCAAGATACTCCTGGCACTGTACGCACCGTGTAATGATCGATGGATCTCGCTTGGGCGGCAGAGGGGATGACTGGTCCATGTCATCAACGTGCGAGCGGCCAATAAGCGGTAGATTGAGCGCAATGACCGAGCGCCAAGATGATGGCGTTGTCAGTTGCTTGATACGTGGGATTCGTGCGATGGCGGCCGTGGCGTAGAAGGGGCGGATTGTTCTGCCTGGTGTTTGTGCAGTCTCATTAAAGTCTGATAGGTCTCATAATACCGGTTTCTTTACCTTGTCTATATTGGGGTCCTTTTCGCCCCCCCAGCGTGTAGGAAAAAAATTAGTACTGTTACAAGAATTCGGTGGATCAGCTATCCCAAATGGTACACCACGCGACACGAAATCGCACTTGTTGACGAGATGAAACGGGGGTCAATTTGTATTCAGGGGCTCGTCCCGTGTATGATCTAATACCTGAGATCATAATAATGGTCAATGTCCATCGGCCCAGGAGAAAAGCCGTTCGAGTCCACAGCCGAACTCCACACGGTCCACGTTCCCGTTGACGTCTTTGCTCACGAAGAAACTTTGTATGCACCACCACCACGTTCCAACTCTACCTTCTTCAGCCCTTTGCTACTACAGCTCATCCACTCAGGCAATCCACGACTCATTGGACTTTCTCCCTTCCCTTGCCAATCGACCCACCCCTTTCCATTCCGCCGGCATCCCTTTCCTGCGCCCGCCCGACATTCCGGCCGGAACCTGTTTCCCCGACGCCCTCTCCGTGTCTGTTTGAATGGCAACACCAAGTCCGAGCAGCCCACTTCTCCACGTCTACCTACCCGACACGCGCAGAGATCTCCGCGACCGACGGCAGTCCCGGAGATCGATCATAACACATGCCGCCCAGGACGAGAGCGGGGGTGCAAAGCCAGAAACAAAAGGAAAAGGTACGTCGAAGGGGACCGCGGCCCGCCGTTGGTGGCGGCCATGACCTCCTGAAGGCTCCAGTGGTCTTGAGCGAACATGAGGCTAACGAGGAGTCCGGCCATGTCTGGTCGCGTGTGCTAATAGCTTGCGAACTCCTACAATGAATTACTCGAGTAAGCCTCCTTCGGTCCCTTTGCTGGATGCACTGTGCTAATCCGTATGTCTCGGCAGAGAGTTCTCGTCTAAGGATCTGCGGAGCGTGGGGAATTACACTATAGGGAGATTGATAGGGAAAGGGTCCTTTGGAAAGGTCTATCTCGCATCGCATAAACTTACCAATGGCTCCAAGGTACGGATTGCGCTGTGGCAGGACGACCTGTGCGGATTATGTTGAATCGTACTGACGGCTGGTACAGGTAGTGCTCAAGTCCTCCAGCAAGGAGGATACCAATCTAGCACGTGAGATCCATCACCATCGTCAATTCCTTCACCCTCATATCGCGCGCCTTTACGAAGTCGTTGTAACGGAGGATCTGGTGTGGCTGGTGTTGGAATACTGCGCTGGTATGTCGGTTCAAAAGCGCAACACGAGGCGAACATGTTGACTAGTATGAACTAACGGTGAACTGTCTATAGGCGATGAGCTTTACAATTACCTCCTGCGCCACGGTCCCCTCCCTGTCAATAAAGTGAAACGGATATTCACCCAGCTGGTGGGTGCGGTGGCCTACGTTCATAGCAAGTCTTGCGTGCATCGGGACCTCAAATTGGAGAACATCCTACTTGACAAACATGAAAATGTCAAACTATGCGACTTCGGATTCACGCGCGAATATGAAGGCAAGGCGAGCTATTTGCAAACGTTCTGCGGTACTATATGCTACAGTGCGCCGGAAATGTTGAAGGGGGAGAAATACGCGGGCGAGAAAGTGGATGTTTGGAGCTTGGGCATCATTCTCTACGCGCTTTTGGCCGGCGAGTTACCTTACGATGATGACGACGATCAACTCACCAAGAGCCGGATCCTCACAGAGGAGCCAAAGTACAACGACAAGTTTCCTGATGACGCCAAAGCCTTGATCAATCTTCTTCTTTCCAAACGGCCATTGATTCGGCCGAGTCTTGACGACATACTCGCTCATCCGTTCCTCTCTGAGCATGCCCCCGAACAACTTGCTATTCTCAAGATTCCCCGACCCTCGCCTTTCACGACGCCGCTGGAAAAGACGACATTGCAACGGATGAAGAGCGCTGGTGTCAACATTGATGAAGTGATCGAGAACGTTCTTGCGCAAAGATGTGACCCACTGGCTGGATGGTGGGCCCTGTTGATTGAAAAGGAGCAGCGCAAAGAACTGAAGCGAGAGCGCAAACGCCGGGAGCGAGAAGTCGAAGCAAAGAATCTCCGCCGACTAAGTGCGGCTAGTAGCCGGTTAGAAAAGCTTTCTTCGGCCTTGGTGGAAGTCGACGAGGAAGGCCAGGTCACGTCGGGCTCACTCCAGGACCGTGGGCGGCGTGATAGGCGAAGTCTACCGTCCCAGCTGGCGGTGCCAGAGCTTCCTGCACTCCCCGAGCCATTGCCTGTTCATTCACCCGATACGAGCAACCCACCAGCGCCCATCGACAAAGACTCTGCCGCTGACAGGCGTTCGATCACATCGGCTTCGACGTCGGTTCGTCGCCGTCCCGTACCCCCTCCAAAGGACAAGAGAAGGTCACGGCCCAGTATGCTACATGTCAGTGCATCACAACCAGAGCTGACGCAGCACCATGGAATTTTCCGCCGACGCACTCCTCGACGCCATCACCCAATTCTCAGCCAGCTCGCATCGCTCAAGCATTGGTTTGTGGAGTCTGCCAAGCGGGCCAAGTCTCCCAGTTCCAAGTCAGGTGGCTCACGCAAATTCCTATCGGAAAAGTTCAGTCCCGCAAAGAGTCAGGATTCCGGAAAGAAATCCGCGTCCCCATCTACTGTGGGCGAGGCTCCGGCAGAGGTAGTGACGCCGACTCAAATGAAGCGCATTTCCACTGCCAGCAGTCTGGCTCCGAGCAGTGCCTCGTATCGTCAAAACCGACACTCCTACCCGCGTCAGCCTCGGCCACTAAACACTGGCCATTCCAGCAATCGCAACTCTCTCTCGCCATCTCCTATTACGCCCCGGGGCTCATATCGACGGTCGTCAGCTGGACTGCGTGGCCGTAAATCAACATCCTCCTCCGTTTCGTCTATCCGCAGCATACACCATACCCGTGCGCACTCTAAAGCATCGTCAATTTCGTCAAATAGCATCGACACGGTTGCGACGCCAACAGCACGAATCTCCAAATCTCCTCATTCGTCTATTAAAGTCCTGCCTACTACACCTGGCTCATCTGCCCGCTTCCCGAGCAGTGTTCGGTTGGTGCGTGGTCCTAGTGGGCCTCACAGGGAGCTCGGGGATCATGTCGGACATATACCATCCGCTTTTAATGAAGCCGCTCCTGGTCCGATTCTCTACTCACCATCCTCAAGTCTAGTCTTTGCCCGTCGAAAGCGATCCGCTTTTAAGGGGCCTATGATCCATACATCGAATCCGATGGTCTCAGGTAGCATGCTTCATTCACCTCTCCCTGGTCAGGCTTTAGATAGCGGAGATGCGATTCCCGTCGCTGCACGCCCTGCTGCCCGCAAGAGCCAGATCATCGAAGAGGAGGAAGATGACGAAGGTTTCGAGGACGAGATTGAGGAAGTCGACGAATTCACCGGCCCGGAGGAAGGCCTAGACACGGTTACCGCAGAGGGTGACCTTACACCTCGGGTGTCCGCCGCGCCGGTCCCCGAGCCTGGCTCCCCTGAATCGGACCGCAAGCCGGTCCTCGAGCCTGCCCCGGAGCTTGAAACCAGCCCCAGACCCCCACGGTCATCATCGCTTCGTTCGCCGCCGTCTGAGGTAGGAGTAGCACGTTCAGACGACGCCGTGGAGTTGGTCTCTCAAGACAGTAATGTCAAGATTGACATAACAACGGAGGCACCCAGCGAGGTTACTGCTAAGCCAGTCGCCATCTAGTAGTACTGCCGATGCTTTGCTTCTGATGCTGCTTCGCCGATCTTCCACTCCTCCCACGATTCTCATTTCATTGCGCGATTTGATAGACGATAGAGCTGCTACTGTTCCTGACCCTGTTCCTATTCCTATTTCCCTTGTGTCCCCGCTTGTGATTTTTCATATACCCCCCATGTTTGTTTGCAATTCCATACACAGCCTGTGTACGTGTTTCTCATTGCTTGCATTTTATATCCCGATATCTTTTTTGACTTCTCATGGCATTGTTATCATCATCTCCAGCCCGCTTTCTGTGGCTGTGGTTGACTCTCGCCTTAACCCTCGCTCCAATTGTCCTTGACTCATTCTGTTTAATTGCCCTGCGCTGTGACGCCCTTTCTCTGTCGAGATTTCCTATGACCCCATCCATCTCTGTCCTTTTGAATGTCAGATATCTCTTTTCTTTCTTGTCAGGCTCGCAGTGCCTACACTGTAACCCCTATTATAGACTATTTTTGTTTCTCTTATATGCATTTCTGCCTGCATAAAGGCATCAACCTAACTTTCAGCGAGAACAGGAACACAATGCTAAGAGTTAGTTCCAAGACTCTTTCCAGGGTCAGATCAAAATGTATTCTACGGAAGCAGTGAGACGGTATCACACTTCAACTTCGCTTATCGCATGAATCGTAATATCATTCTTTCTATTCCCACGGGACAAGGTCATCAAATGCTAAGTGGATGAAAACAAGCCCACATGATCCGTTACATTTTTGAGGTATTCAATGGTCTTTTCGATGGTCTTTTCGATGGTCTTTTCGATGGTCTTTTCGATGGTCTTTTCAATGGTTCTCGCATTCCGAGGGCACTGGCCTTTGCTGACTCTGTAGTAGTCACCTTCTTTGGTGCAGGAGGGTCTGCCATTGTTTTCCCGGTAGTAGATGCTCGAGGTATTGTTCTGCGCCCTTTGCTTGGACTTGGATCTGGCGCTGGGGCGGGTGTTAGAAGAATGATACTGTAACCGCCAGTACCAATAGGAATATATACCTATATCTACCACATCTCTGCGGAACGGAGGATCCCATGGTTTCGACACCTACCGCTGTGTCACATCTATGCACCCAAGCTATCACCGCTCGATATGGACCGGTCCGATTTCCTTATCTAAAGCCTCGCCAGCATGCCCCGAATCCTTCTCATTAGCCTTGAGGCGCCTCGCTGCCTTGGGCCACCCTCCCGATTAGGAAGACACCCCCCATCGTAGTTGCCCTTGTGAATTCGAGGACTCTCACGTTCACTCTGACTTAAATCCTTCTTCCTCGCCCAGGAAATCATTTCTTCTTCAACACTCACCTCCACGTTTCGCTTTCGCCCACCCCCGCGTAAAGCTTTCGTTCGACGTTACTTCGTTGGTTTTCTTTATTTTAGAAGAAAATATCACCGTCCCTTTTTTTCGGAGTTTTTTTTTTAAAAAAAATAAAGAAAAGCCATCATCATGCCCCGTGCCCCTGCCACCAAGGGGAAGGTAAGTCTCATCCTCATTACTCTTATCTCGATGGACTTCATCTCGATGGCTTCATCCTGATGCTGCTCGTCCTTAGCATGACTAGATAAAGCTAATATTACGTGATAGTTGCGATGTCCGCTTTGCTTCGGCAACCACAGAAGCGAGGATTGTCCCCGCCTGATTGCATTGCTGGGTGCGGCAAAGCAGGCCGGCGAGGCTATGCCCGGTGCCCCTGCCACCAAGGGGAAGGTAAGTCTCATCCTGATGGGCTTCATCTCGATGCTGCTCGTCCTAAGCATAACTAGACAAAGCTAATATTACGTGATAGCCGCGATGCCTGACGTGCTTTGGCAATCATAGAGGCGAGGATTGTCCACGCCTGATTGCGTTGCTGGGTGCGGCAAAGCAGGCCGGCGAGGCTATGCTAGGTTCATATGCCTTCTTCACGACGACGAACGACAACGTCGAAGCCCTGCAGCGCGTCCAGTGGGTCTACCTAGCCATTGGGATCTGCGTCTTCTGCCTCGCGGGCGTTTTCTTCGTCTCGAATATTCCCGAAGTCACGGATGAGGATATGGCATTCCAAGTGGCAACGACTTATGTCGATGAGCAGGACAAGCCGTTTTGGAAGCAGTGGATGTTGTTTCACGCTACGTTGGAAGGCATCCTGACTTTCAGCGAGAACAGGAACACAATGCTAAGAGCTAGTTTCAAGACTCTTTCCAGGGTCAGATCAAAATCCATTCTACGGGAGTAGTGAGACGGTATCACACATCAACTTCGCTTATCGCATGAATCGTAATATCATTCGTTCTATCCCAACGTGAATAGGTTATTAAATACCAAGTGGATGAACATAAGCCAATATGATCCCTGGTAAACGTCTATGCACCTAAGCTATCACCGCTCGACATGAACAGGTCCGGTCTCTTTATCTAAAGCCTCCCCAGCACGCCCGAAATCCTTCTCGTTAGTCTCACGAGTCGTCCCGATAACTACCTCTTCATCTTTCACATTCTGTTTCTAGTCCGACAGTACTCTCGCCGACTTTGTTGGCCTTGAGGTGCCTCGCTGCCTTGGGCCACCCTCCCGATTAGGAAGTTACCCCCCATCGTAGTTGCCCTCGTGAATTCCAGGACTCACTCTCACTCTGACTTAAATACTTCTTCCTCGCCCAGGGAATCATTTCTTCTTCAACACTCACCTCCACGTTTCGCTTTCGCCCACCCCGCGTAAAGCTTTCGTTCTCGTTGGTTTTCTTTTTTTTTCTTAAAGAAAATATCACCGTCCCTTTTTTTTCGGATTTTTTTTTGGAAAAAAAAAAGACCATCATCATGCCCGGTGCCCCTGCCCCTAAGGGGAAGGTAAGTCTCATCTTCATTACTCTTATCTCGATGGCTTCATCCTGATGAGCTTCATCCCGATGGCCTCATCTCGATGGCCTCATCTCGATGGCCTCATCTCGATGGCCTCATCTCGATGGCTTCATCCCGATGAGCTTCATCTCGATGAGCTTCATCTCGATGGCTTCATCTCGAAGGCTTCATCCTGATGCTGCTCGTCCTTAGCATGACTAGATAAAGCTAATATTACGTGATAGTTGCGATGTCCCATTTGCTTCGGCAATCACAGGGGCGAGGATTGTCGAGAGGCCCATCGCATGGTTGCGTTGATGGGTGCGGCCAAGCAGGCCGTAGAGGCTAGTGCTGCGGCTGCCTCCTCCGCGTCTGCCCCTGGCCCTGGGAAGGGGAAGAAGCGTCCCCGCGAGGGAAGCGAGCCCCCCCGCTCTCAAAGTAAGTTAAAGTAGAGTGAAGAGGATGAGAGTGACGTGCTGACAGTGGATTAGATGCGCCCCCGGCTCCGCAGCAGTGGCCGACCCCTACTGCGGAGCGGTATAAGGACGTCTCTGCGGAAGAGATGGACGAGGAGATTCGTCGCGTGGCCGAAGCAAAGGATCGGCATCAAAAGAGGGTCGACAGCCTAAACCGGCGTGTTTTAGCGCTGACGCAGATTCGGGCCTCCAAGGTTCCTTTGCCGGTGGTCAAGATGGGTAAACAGTCCATGAATCCATGCGTTCCATTGAAGCGAACTGACTATGACAGAGGACGTCTCGGCTTCCGCCTGGGGCTCCTTGGCCTCTTCCTGCGAGGAGAAGAAGGCCCCGGCCAAATCGCATTAAGCGATTTTCTCAAGGACCCTCCCCCCTCCCGCCTTTCCCGGTGCCGTCGACACCCCGGCGCTTCTTTCTCCAGATTCCGCCCCTCACCTTCCTTGGCGCCGCCGCCATCCCGGCGCTTCTTTCTCCAGGATCCGCCCCTCGCCCTTCCCGGCGCCGTCGTCACCCCGGTGCTGCTTCTCCAGGATACGTTTTCCCTGCCCTTCTCTCGGTGCCGCCGACATTCGGCACCTGCGGTATTAATATCGGGATTTTGATTCCGTCGCCTGCTGGGGTTGTTGTTGTTGTTCTTCTTCTTCTTCTTTTTTTTTTTTTTTTTTTTTTTTTTTTTAATAATGTATGTCTAGGTAGTTTTTATTAATAACTACCTTGGAAGGCTAATGAAATCTCCTTCCCGAACGCACAATTGCCCACAGTAAATCAAGACTTCATTTCTTAAAGATTCATCTGATCAAAAATGAATTACAGGCTTTCAACCAATCCGAATATCTCAAAACTGGAGTATGCACTGTTAAAGATCAATATCGGACTTTCAAGAACTTCATTGATAATTTCTCCATGGATAAAATACGTTCAGACGAGAAGCATATACAGCCAACTCAGGATTCAGCCTCGGACGAGGTTACTGGGAAAATAATTGCCTTGGACAACCATGAAGTCGAACAATTCTATAGTTCTTTTATCACTCAGGCATACCGTCTCAAATCCGAGTTGGGTTGGCAAACATTGCCAGATCTCCATGGGAATTGTTTGTGGTGGCAGTGTCTGGATAGCTCGTCGACAATGTAAGTCTCCTTTCCTTCTATTATATTCAAGGCTGATACCCAAAGGGAGGGTAGCCCAAGGCAGCGAGGAAAGCTAATTCTTACATATTCAACCTTCCTATCTACAGGTACGATACTGACATCCCGTCTATATATCATCGACCTCGAGCTCATGATCCTCATATCGCTTATAGGTAGGAACGATGTTGACTGCCAAGGCGTATGTCCACGCAACAACCATGAACTAGAAGAGCATTATATGTAAGCTACCGCCTCTGTCCACGGATTCGAGAACTTCAACTCACCATCGTAGGAACGATAAATGCAAAACCAGTGTCATTCCTCATATCGGCAACGTGGCCCAGAATAGGCGGGACGATTGCACCACCACAGACACCACCAACAATAAAGCCCGAGCCACGCTTATAATGGCGGCCGAGGCCGCGGATACCCAATGCCACGATAGTAGGGAAACAGACCGACTCGAAGAATAGAACCATGTAGAGCATTGCTGTGAGACAAGTTAGTCGTGCCATAGTATCTATGGACCAGATACACACACCTATACCAGTCTGATTCCTCTGTGTTACGGATGCCGCCAGGAATGCCACACAGCAAGAGATATAAACACCAAAGACATATCGAGCCCTAACATACTTCATAATTCCCGAACCTAGGAATCGACCCACGGCGAACGCACCCTGCGCACCGGCAAGAAGTTTTGCGCCCTTGGCACTGTCAGTGCCGGGCCAGGTGTCGACAGCGTAGTTGATAAAGTAACCAGCAATAGCGACTAACCCCGGGATATTAGCACATCCGCATTTTCCGAATGACATGGATATCATGCAGAGAGGAGAAAGAGGCCTCATGTGGCTTTTCGACATACCTTGAGCACCAGTATACGCAAACTGTGCCAGCGTGGCATGAAACAATCTCCACTGCTTCCAAAACGGCTTATCCTGCTCGTCGACATGAGTCGTCGCCACTTGGAATGCCATATCCTCATCCGTGACTTCGGGAATATTCGAGACGAAGAAAACGCCCGCGAGACAGAAGACGAAGATTCCAATGGCTAGGTAGACCCACTGGACGCGCTGCAGGGCTTCGACGTTATCGTTCGTCGTTGTGAAGAAGGCATATGAACCTAGCACGGGTCCGACAACGGTACCAATGGCGTTGAAAGATTGGGCGAAGTTGATTCTGATCTCGGCGTATCGGGGTGGACCGCATACTGGAGGTAACCGAGGATAGAATCAGTATTCACGCCGTGGCGATACTAAACCCTTTGCGTAGTCTAGAAAAGACGGCCAGCATTATACGAGAAAAGAGGACGTACCAGTCAAGTATGGATTCGCGGCCGTCTCGAGCGAGCCCAACCCCGAACCGATGACGAAAGTTGCACCGCAGAATCCACCGAAGGATTGGTGCAGGCCTGCTGGCCACATGCACAATGCGCCGATGCCGTACAGTGTTAGACCGAAGATGAACACCGTTTTATACCCATAATGACGCAGGATCCAATTTGCGTAGCCGAGCGAGGCGAGTGGGTATGCCCTGATAGAGTTAGTATTGCGTGGTAGATAGCATGAGAAACGAAGAATGCGCACCCAAAATATGCTGCCTGGAGACCGGCTGAGCGGGTACGATCAATATGCAGTGTATTTTGAAAGTGCTTGTTGAGGGTATCTAGGAGGCCGTATGCGAAGCCCTGTAGGAGTGAACTTGTTTAATTATGGTTACCTCCTTAGTATAAAACGTGTGATTGCTCAACGTGGGTGACGCATACCCATAAGAAGAATAGAATCGTGACCAGGCTGAGTGGCCAAAGACTCTGGCGCAGGGTTAGTGTCGCGGCCGAAGTAGTCTTGCGATTGTCAACGCGCAGGCTGGAGCGATTCTTGAAGACTTCTTTGAGTCCCATGGCGTGGGAGTGTCCCGTCCTAACCCGGAAATGCTGTTGAATGCTATAGAGTACTGACAGCAATGATAGAAGCAAGAATTGAAATTATCGGTGCTGTATAGATATAAAAAGGCTCTCAGCCTACCGATCACGGAACAACAGAAAGAGAGGAATTGAAAGATCCGAACAGAGAGCACGCTAGAGCAATTCCCATGATACTTAAAACCCTCCCATCCTGACTACAGTACCAATAATCTAATTAACCGCAACCCCCAAGCAAGAGATCGACAAGAATTCACCCGCACCTCCCCGATACTCCGAGCATTTAAGCAAATGGGTTGACCCCACTTTCCACGAGTCAGAAAACAAGGTTGAACAATAATAGACGGGGAAGAGGGGGAAACAGGGTCACACCAGAAGGTCACACCTCCAACTACATCTCTCCGCATCTTCACTCCACAAGAAATTCAAATCTGGGGTGCGCGACCCCGTCAGTCCCATGCCGTGAATGAGACCACTAACCAAATAAAGGAAAGAGCCACCAGTAGCAAGCCACGGCGGAGCTGCGCCGAGGCTCGACGTAACTCTGTTTCTAAGGCCGAGGGCGTGCGTATGTGCGGGGGTGCAGACACGGGATGTGGGTTGGGGCGTAGATCAGGCTATAGTTGTGGTTGCCATTGATTCTGGGCTTCGGGATTGGCTTTGGAGTTGGAGTTGGAGTAGTTAGCTCTCGGGTATTTGAATCGGATATTTTAAATAAGGTGATATTAATGACACGACAGAAAGGTTCATGGCACGACAAGGTTAGTCCTGATGAGGAGCGCCCCCACTTCAATACAAAATGTTATGTACATTCGAGATTTACAAAATATTAGTAGAGTCCTTCTATATGTATAAGCCTATATCTTAGAAAAGACCATTGAAAAGACCATTGAAAAGACCATCGAAAAGACCATCGAAAAGACCATCGAAAAGACCATTGAAAAGACCGTTGAAAAGACCATTGAAAAGACCATTGAAAAGACCATTGAAAAGACCATTGAAAAGACCATTGTAAAGACCGTAAAGAAGGGTGATAGTAGGAGGGGAAGTAGAATCATAAATTAGTCTATTATAGATAGAGGTCATATATACAGTGGCTAAAGATATTAACGAGAAGTATTAATGTGAAGTATGCATAATGACTGGGTAGGTATTTTGTGAATTTCGAATCTAGCCTTTTATATTAAAAGGGGGGTTTCCTTATTTGGACTAACCTTTCGTGCCATGAATTTTTCTGTCGTGTCGTTAATGCCACCCTTTAAATAGTGTTTGATCTTGACCTCTTGGAAGAACAGTTCGGGGGCAATCATCCCCGTTGGGCAGGCGTGGTCTTTTACTTGGCTTGCTGGAGTGGCCTGGGCTAGTGGGTTGATACTCCACAAGGATCTGAAAGAAGTATTGCATGATCAAAGTTTCATTTGCAAGTTTTCATCTATGAACGTCATGATATAAAAAGTGGAGAGGTGATGGTCCAGAAACCATCTCCGTCAGTCTTGGAACATTGGGCAGTTATAGATCATCTCTAACATGTTGTCTATTCAAAACCCAGTGATTGCAACCCGTCTTCCTTGTATATGCTAGATCGTCGGATCACCTTATCTTTCAGGATCTTAGTCTTACGCCTTCTTGGGCTTGCTCGCACTGCCGTTCTGGGCAACCAAGGTTGGGGTGACCTTGGTGTTGTACAATTGGCGCTCGAAGAACTTGAGAACTTCATCGATCGCACTAGGGAGATGACGTTAGCAACTGGAACATCCCAGGAGATGGAAACAAACAACTTACATAACGGGGGCGCTGATCACCAACACGGCCTGCCACTCAGTCCAGTTCAGGGGCACAATCGCGAACAGGGTCTGCAGGAAGGGAATATAGAGAATCGCGAAGTGAAGAGCCATCGACAAGGTGATGGCATAGATCAGCATCGGGTTGTTGTGCAGGAAGAAAGTCAGGAGAGACTCGCTCGATGACAAAGCGTTCATCGCGTTGAACATCTCGATCACGACCAGGATGGAAAGCGAGACCGTCGAGGCAGACTTGCCCATGTCGTTGGTGAACATCTCACAGCCAAGTTCGGGGAACAAAGCAGAGCACTGGTGGAAGTGAGACTAGAAGAATCGACTGTTAGTATATATAACATGTTGTTTGATATCCAAGAAAGACTTACCAGCTGGTAGTACGAGATTTGAGGACCCTCGGGGTTGTACATGAACCACCACACATATCCAAAGACGGTGGCAGCACCAACGTAGGTACCGATGACCATGTAACGGAACAACAACCAGCCACCAACGAGAGGCTCATCGCGGCGACGGGGAGGGCGTCTCATGACATCATGGTCGGCGGGGTTGAACGACAGAGCGGTAGCGGGAAGACCATCGGTGACCAGGTTGACCCACAGAAGCTGAACGGGGACCAAAGCCTCGGGCATGCCAAGGGCAGCGGTCAAGAAGATAGACACGACCTCGCCGATGTTGGACGAGATCAGGTAACGGATGAACTGCTGGGTGTTGCTGTAGATGGAGCGGCCCTCCTCAACAGCAACGGTAATAGTGGCAAAGTTGTCATCAGCCAGGACCATGTCGGCCGCCAGCTTGGCAACATCGGTACCGGTACCCATGGCAACACCAATATCGGACTTCTTGAGAGCGGGCGCATCGTTGACACCGTCACCAGTCATGGCAACGACGTGGTTCATAGACTGGAGGAGGTCAACCAGCTTGGACTTGTGGCTAGGTTCGGTACGGGAGAAGAGAGATGCGGTCCGAACGGCCTTCATCTTCTCGGCCTCGCTGAGGCTGTCGAATTCACGACCAGTGAAGCTCTTGCCAGTCAGGTCTTCGTTGGGTCCGAAGACACCAATCTGGCGACAGATGGCCTCGGCAGTGTTGCGGTTATCACCAGTGATGACAATAACACGGATACCAGCCTTGTAGCACTTCTGGATAGAGTCGGCAACCTCGGGACGAGGAGGATCCAGCATACCAATCAGGCCAATAAGGGTCATGTTCTGCTCAAGCTTGGCGTAGTCCTCGGTGGTCGAGGCCTTCTTCAAAAGAGCATTTCCAGAGACATCGCTGACACTGGCGATGGCCATAACGCGGAGACCGCGGTTGCCGTACTCGACAACCTCCTCAGCGAGCAGCTTAGCATGGTCCTTGGTGAGAGACACACGAGAGCCTTCGGAACCTTGCAAAACGTAAGAGCAGCGCTCCAGGATCGATTCGGGGGCACCCTTGACAAGGAGCTTCTGCTCCGTGCCCTTGCCGACGAGAACTGACATGCTCTTGCGGTCTCGCGAGAACTCGTACGTAGCCTGAAGAGGGAGCTGGGATTCATAGTAAGCAGAGACGGCATGAAGGCGTTCGGAGGCAGGAAGACTGAAGAGCTTCTTGTTCACAGCAGGGTCGGTGGTACCAATCTTCTCAACCAGAGCACGCAGGGCAGCCTCAGTGGGCTCACCAATGTTAGAGAACGTGCCGGACTTGGCATCGTAGGCCAGCGTAGCGGCATTACACAGAGCGGAGACCTCGGCCAGCTGAGCGACAGTCGACGAAGATGAGGCGACATTCTCCACAACCTTGCCGTTGCGGGTCAGCTTGCCCTCGGGGGCGAAGGTAGTACCCTCGACGTCAATCTCCTCGAGTCCACTTCCCAGGCTGTTCACATAGACAATCTTCTCCACACTCATTTGATTGGTAGTCAGGGTACCGGTCTTGTCAGAGCAAATAACGCTGCAGCTACCCAGAGTTTCCACCGAGGGCAGAGAGCGAACAACGGCATTCTTCTGGGCCATCTTGCGGGTTCCCAGGGCCAGGCAGGTGGTAATAACAACGGCCAGACCCTCGGGAATAGCAGCGACACCCAGGGAAACGGCAATCTTCAGGTAGTAGATAGCACCCTTGGTCCAGCTGCCGCCAAAGGAAGGATCGTTGAAGTGCTCGATGTTAATCAACCAGACCAGAATACAAATCACAGTGATGACCTTGGCAAGCATATCACCAAAGTCGTTCAGCTTCTGCTTCAACGGGGTGGGCTCGGAGATCTGGGAGGTAATGCTGTCGTGGATGTCACCAATGGCAGTGGATCCACCAGTCAACACGACCAGGGCATTGGCATGGCCAGTGACCACGGTGGTACCGGAGAAGAGCATATTGATCTGGTCCTGCTTCACAGCCTGACGGTCCTTGACAATCTTGGTATCCTTGCTCACGCTCTCACTCTCGCCGGTCAGAATGGCCTGGTCAACGCGGAAGCTATTGCTGTGGATGGAGAGAAGGCGGCAGTCAGCGGGGACCCGATCACCAACGGCAATGTGAATTACATCGCCGGGGACCAAATCCTCGGCCTTGATTCGCTGAACTTTGCCATCACGCACAACCTTGGCCTCGTTGGCCGAGTATTCCTGAAGAGCCGCAATTGCTTTCTCCGCGCTGCTTTCCTGGGTCACACCCACCACCGCGTTGAGAATGAGAATCGTCAAAATCTAGACCAGAGCACCAATCAGGTTAGCGACTTCTAAATTCAGGTATTTCTATGGTAAGTCAGGCAGGACGTACCACCACAGGGTCCACAAAGGCAGTCCAATCGTCGCCTTCTTCAAAGAGAGCCAAGACGAACGACACGGCGGCCGAACCCAAAAGAATCAGGACAAGCTGATCCTTGAATTGTTCCAAGATGAGTTCCCACATGGGAGTAGGCGGCTCTTCGGCAAGGGCTATGGATGATTGCGTCAGATCCGTATACCGATCACGTATGACGGGCGCGCCAAAGCGGTTGAAAGCAATGCTTACCATTGGGACCGTGCTTCTTCCTGGACTGCAGGACTGCGTCCTGAGTCAAGCCAGTTTGTTCCGAGACATTGAAGTGTTCCAGCGCTTCCGCTGGAGTATAAAGAAAAGAGTTCTCCATGGTGGGAGTCTCTCAAGCCGGGTTGAGGTTGCGATCCCTTCGAGAAAGACAGTTGGGGAAAATGCGGAGATAGAGCCGGGGTAAGAAAGGGAAAGAAACAGAGAAGAAAATGAAAACGAGAGAGAGATCCGATTTAGTTGCAATGCATGAGTGTCACCGGTGGCCAGCCAGAAACGTAAAGAAGCAAAGACAAGAGCGAGTGAGGGGACCAGAAGCGCTGTTATAGCTGGATTTTCTTGTCGACAATCGGTAGCGACCCGGCGGCGAGCGGAGACACAACGTGTTCTCATCCAGTTGTTCCTCTTCCCCATCAGGGGGTTGTAGCTGACTCAGCAAGGGACCGCAGGGCTGAGCGCCCAAGTCCCGTGACTAGATCTAGTCACGGGAACGGCCCAGCTCTAGGAGCCAAATACATGCCCATGACAGGTTTCTAGATCTTTAGTGTCCACATACTAAACTGCTTATACTGACCCTATATCATTTATTTCCCCTTTCTACTGTATTTCTCTACAATGCGGTTGATTTCTCTATCATTGTGACGGTTCTTGCGTCAGGGCTCCCCGACATCTCAGCCGAGAACTCGGATGAAATATGGGGCTTCTCGCTAGGCTGCATCGTTCCTATGCCTATCGAATGTGACCAGTGGAGTTTGCCATCTTCCTTGGCAAGCGAAATGTGCTCCGCAGCCACCGGATGCTGCAATCGGTAATCGATTGGATGGGGCACAGATGCTGGACCCGTCTGGCGGCTGGGTTGCGGTCAATTGACTGGTCCAGAAAAGAAGATCCCGCATCCTGGCCTTTCATTTTGAGAAGAAGTCATCATAACTCTACCACAACGAGGAGGGACTTTAAATGATCTTGAGCCAGCTCCAGCAATGGCCTCGGACAGCTTTTCAATAAGATGGTGGATATGCTGACAGACGCAATGGTGCTCCTCACAGTGTTCCGTGAGCATGCTAGATAGACCTTTTCGTCGGTCGTTTTATTTTTCTGCGAAGGGCAAGTTGCATAAGCACACTAAACTTTTCTCGCCTGTAGGGCTGAATCTAGCTCATCCACACCTACATCATGAATCATACGGCATCCACTTACTCCCCATCGGGCCGCCGAGGTCTCTGCCCGAGAGAGATGCGGCCTCCTCTGTGTTCAGTCTATGCAGCGAGAGTGTCATCAAGTGAGGTTGATATGCAGTCAACATGCAAGCGCGAGAACCAGTAAAAGTCAACCGCTTATGCAAATGCGGACACAGAAATCTTTGACTCCCCAAGTCCATTTCGATTGAGGATAGCAGTTGTATGATACATATTGGCCAGTCGTGTTGTCCAGGCCGAGTGAAAATCGATCTGTCAATTTCTTCACGTCGTGCTATCGATCCTGGCATGCTGTACAAAAAGCGGCACAGACAAGTCAAACCTAAGTCATTACTATCAAGAGTTCGAGGAGATTAATGTGTCGACTGCTGTCAAATGGAAGTCGTCCGTAAACTACCGGCATAGCATCGTTGCTGAGCATTCCCTAAATGTTCAAACATAAGTACCGTCGCCCCCGAGGCTATATTGGTACGGACGATCACCGATATGGATGCAACTTGACAGCCACGCGGTCGGTATGAGGAAGTAAACCCCCAATCAACCAAAAGCTACTTCCAGTTTAATGTTTACTGACAACCCGAAGTACCTGATCGGAAAAAAAACATCGGCCTCTATCTAGATCAAGGAACCGTGATCGGCGACTCCTATGATGATGGGTCGGGGTGTGCAATGCGTACTACATCATAGGTGTTAACCTTGCCAGTGCTGGAAGGTTCGATTCCGTCATTGTCGTCTCGAGACCTTGTCCCATTGCCCTGTATCGGCCCCCCATCATGCCGCAGCCCCTCCCCTTTACAGAATTGCTAGGCCAACAAAGAGCCCTTCATATGTAGCATTATAGAGAAAGCGAGGGATTTGGAGGAACTGAGGTTGTTTGTTAATGCTCTCCAGCATAGTAAATGTATACAGTGAGTACGCATAAGTTTTTGTACCCCCGCCCCGACCCCTATATTACACAATTTACTGCCGGTCGAAAAACCTCCACCAAACTCCATGAATTCGATGACTTACTACGCGTATCTAGTAGGCGGTAGGGACTAATATGGGCGGTCAGCAAAGTGAGGCCGGGGTACAAAAACTTATGCGTATTCACTGTAAGTATACATCAGTCCCTGGCTTGTATTATACATACGACTGTTTGTATTCTGGAAACAACTATCGCTCTACGGTCGCGAAAAGTAAACAGACACCCGCCAGGATAGAACCGTACACATAGCCTAGAGACAACTTGACATGGTCTTCTCTCAAATATTAAGACTGAATGTAACTTGAGATTTCTCTATCTGGTCGACAAACCTGCAGAGCCTCATAAGAGACTTGTGCTGACCTGGTGATTGAGAGGGCCGTTGGGCTGCATTGCCCGTCAGCTGTGAAATATACTTTGCGTATTGAATGTAATCTGAGGTACAGGACGTGTGCCCAAAGTATCCGAGACTTACGGCAGACTGCATGTTTACTAACAAAAAAGGTGTTACCACGGGGTAAAAGTTGGTATCGGGTACGGAAGTATGAGTGAGACGGTGGTCTTATCTGTATTGTCATCAGAATACAACGTGTACTGTTATGATGCTCACCCCCAACTCCTTCACTTCGACTCCATCCTTTCTCCTCCCTCTTTCCTTCCCCCCCACTTGGTCCTCCTCTAACCTCCATCGCTTCCCTCCTCTGCAATCTCACATTCTCTCGAATCTCTTAATATCTAACCTCCCCAACTACCACCCTCCCAATCACCACCTCCTACAAAAACTACCGTTCAACATGGGTTCTGAGGTACGTTCTTGGTCTTAAAGTCTGCCCCTCCATCGGGCGCTCTCTGAGCTGTCACCGCCATCGCAATCCCACTCCATCTCTGACTGCCTGTCTCCTCGCGGCCCATCCACCCCTTTTCATTTTGGGAGATTTGACACGTGCTGACTTACAACTTCATCATGCAGCGTGAGAAGTAAGGATATCTTGGTTCCCCAGCGATAGCCCGGTGTGGCATGACTGACCCCCCATCAGCAAGACGTTCCTCGCGAGGCTCTGCGAGCAGGCCGAGCGCTACGATGGTAAGATTAACGCGAGCGACATCATCGGGATCTGCCAGGACTAACATGATGCTTTTTGCACTCTTCCAGAGATGGTCAGCTACATGAAGGTCAGTCACACTCGTGTTGTTTTGCTTGATCTTGTTGGATCCCGGCGCTAACCAGTTGAATAGGAAGTTGCCAACGTATGATACTCAAATCCTCACCTCTGGTCTAACCAGTCCACATCGAGTCCCTCATTGACACTGCTTTTTTAACCCAGATTGGTGGCGAGCTTACAGTCGATGAGCGCAACCTCCTGTCCGTCGCTTACAAGAACGTTGTTGGTACCCGCCGTGCCTCCTGGCGCATCATCTCCTCCATCGAGCAGAAGGAGGAGTCCAAGGGCTCTGAGGAGCACGTCACCATCATCCGTGATTACCGCCAGAAGATCGAGACTGAGTTGGAGAAGGTCTGCCAGGATGTCCTGGACGTCCTTGACCAGTCCCTGATCCCCAAGGCCGAGACTGGCGAGTCCAAGGTGTTCTACTACAAGATGTGCGTTATCAGCCCCGAGTTCACCCATTTCCCACTTATATTGAGATTGACTTGTTCTTATAGGAAGGGTGACTACCACCGTTATCTGGCCGAGTTCGCCTCTGGAAACAAGCGCAAGGTTGCCGCTACCGATGCCCACGAGGCCTACAAGGTAAGTTTCAACTTTATTCATTGTGCCAATTCGTCTTCATGAATCCTACTAACACCCCTGTATAGAGCGCCACCGATGTTGCACAGACCGATCTCACCCCTACCCACCCCATTCGCCTTGGTCTCGCGTTGAACTTCTCCGTTTTCTACTACGAGATCCTCAACTCTCCCGACCGCGCCTGCCACCTCGCCAAGCAGGCCTTTGACGACGCCATTGCCGAGCTCGACTCCCTCTCCGAAGAGAGCTACCGCGACAGCACCTTGATCATGCAGCTCCTGCGCGACAACCTCACTCTCTGGACCTCGTCCGACGGTAACGAGGGTGCCGAGGGTGCTGCCCCGAAGGAGGAGAAGTCTGAAGAGGAGGCCGCCGCCCCTGCCGCCGAGGAGAAGCCCGAGGAGGCTGAGCCTGTCCAGGCCGCGCCTTAAGTAAGGGAGGGGGTTTTCAGCACCACGTGAAGAGTTCGCAATCAACCGTATGCCGAATTGGTAAGGGGGGCGTTCACATTTCTTCCCGGATGTGGTAATGCAAGTCGCAAGTTCGTTTTCACTGCAGCGTGGCTTGATTGGGACCGGCACCCTATCTCTTGCACGTGTTCGGGTCCGTGTGGGGTCGGCCGGCGGAGTTTGATATTCGGTTGAGGCGAGCGCAGAAAAGGGGCTGAGTGGAATTTCTCTCTCTTTTATTGTCTCTATTCCCACTCCAGCAAGATTCAATGTGTTTATTTTCCAATTTCACCCGGTCCCCTATTCCAAATCCGTTCTCGTACAGTTTCGTAGGACCCAAGTAGAGGTTATTTTTGAGTGGGACATCCTAGAGTACACTGCATCAATGGGGTACTTTAATAACCAAGACCTGAACATCATTACAACCTAAGGTAGCTGCATAATAATAGCAAGTTATACCATTAGATAGACCTTCAAGCTGTTCCTTCGCCCGCATCCGTACCTGCAACTCTATTTGGCACGAACTTGATGCTTGCGTTCTGTCGATAGATGAAGTTGTTGTATGGATGCTCTAGTCTGTTTACCGAGGTTGCAGGGCTAATGGGAACTACTTTTGTCTGATCCTGGCTACCAAAGTACTACTGCTAGGGTAGGATCTTGCTAAAAGGCTCTCTGTATGCCTTAGATATGGGCTTTCATCTGGGCGACAGAAATGACTTCGCGTGACAACGCCCGCGATAGATCTGCCTGTATTTAGCAGGCATCTTTAGTAATGGATGATGCCGTGCTGATTAGTACGGAGTGTGAGTAGGGCGAGGATTCTGAAATTCATCTGTCTAGTGTGTATTGCGTGCGGTCCAATGATTGTGTCCAGACGATACGTGTATACGTCCCCCACTCTTCATGAGGGAGGGAAGTCTATTGGGAATTTCATGTTCATTTGTTCTATACTTGGTTTGGGCTCATGCAAAATTTTGACGTGGGTTGAGGAGGGAGGGATATACATGTTGGTATTCAGAGGAGGGCGCATGAAGCGAGGAAGCTGGCAGGCAAAAAGAAAAGGGGGATGTCCCAGAATCTTTGAGAAAGAGAGATCCATCAGACGAAAACCACTCTTTCTTATTGGAGTGGGTATGTTCAAGGGTCACACATCCAAGGACAAGGGAGAAATTCACAGCAGAATTTGGAAAACAGAGAACGATTCCGTAACGGAAAGATCGAAGGAAAAGAAAAAAGGGAAAAGGATAATGAAAAGCGAAAATCATTGTTTCGTGCATTACATGAAATCGTCATCGCCGAGGCCGTCTTCCTCATAGGCGGTGTTATCGATCTGGTTATCACGGTTGGAAACAAGGGAGACCTTGGTCTTAGCAGCCTTAGTCTTCTTGTTACCCTTATCAGCGGCACGCTCCTCACGCATCTTCTCGTTGCTGGCAGTGGTCAGAGCACTGGCAATCTTCTTGATGTCCTGGCTAGGCAACTCCTTGACGAGCTTGCGGGCAAAGTCCTGCGCCCACAGAGCGTAGTGGGGCTTCTTGGACTGCGGGGAGAGCAGAGGGATAAGGACGTCGGTCAGACGCGCGAACTGGTCCTTGGTGGTAGGCTTGAAGAGCGGCATCGAGGAGAGATCGATGGAATTGGTAGGGTTAGCGCTGTCGGTGATGACGACGGCCTTGGGGGCACCGCGGTTGCGGTTCATGTCGATGTCGGCGAAAAGGTCCGAGGCGTGCTGCAGGTCAGCATCCTTCTCGGTGCGGCGCAGACGATCACGGCGCTCGGCCTCGGTCTCGTCCTCGTCGAAGTCGCTCTCTTCCTCCGCCTCGCGTCGGCGCTGGTCGCGGTGCTCCTCTATCCGCTGGGCCTTGGTCTTCTTGTTGGCGGCGGCAGCGGCCTTGGCCTTTGCGAGGGCCTCTTCGGCCTTCTTTGCCTTCTCGCGCTCTACCTCGGAATCTTCAGCGGCGTCCCATGAGTCGAGGACCTATCATTTCAAATATATGTTAACGACTTTGTTCTGGGCTCGCGCTCGTCCTAGTTTGCGTCGTAGAAGTCTGGGATGTAGTTCAAAGGGCGCTTACATCTTCTTCTTCCTCATCGTCGAATCTGCGGCGGACAACGGGAGGGGGAGGCGAAACGCTATCCTCCTCTTCATCTGTAAGACACAAAAATCATCAGTTGGTATCTATAAATTTGGCAAAGACAAAAGTCTCTTGGTAGATCTAGATCGCGATGGCGGCTGGACTGATGGGAGGATAAGAAACATACCCCACTTTGAAGGCGCCATATTGGGCAAGTGAAAAACTTTTGAATCGAAAGGAACGAGGTGAAAGAAAAGATGCGCTATACGCACGAAGGACGGGAAAACGAGGGCGAGCCCGACGATAGGATGCTACTTCGACAGTAGTGAACGGAGGGGCGAGGGCAAATTTTATGTGGGACACTTATCGCAGGAGGGGTGGTCACGTGTCACGGCTTTCTTGGTGCCCGACGAAGATGATTCTATTGACGTCCAAGAAGAAACTTGTTTACAGTCTAGAGCGGACTCCGGGAACTACGTCTAAATTTACAGAGGGATGAAATTTATTTAAATATTCTCTTGTATTTCAGAAGACTTTATTAAATTCATAATCATAACTGATGGTAGCCCTTTATGCGAGACTTGACCATCCATTTTTCTCGTGCCTTTTCAATCCCGCGCAGTCATTTATGGACTATGATTTACAGGTTGACAGAGGTGCGGAAGTTCTTGCCGGCATAGATAGCGTTCTCACCGAGCTCCTCCTCAATGCGGAGGATCTGGTTGAGCTTAGCAAGACGCTCAGAACGGGCAGGAGCACCGGTCTTGATCTGGCCAGCGCGGAGACCGACAGCAATGTCAGCGATGGTGACATCCTCGGTCTCACCGGAGCGGTGGGAGACCATGACACCCCAGCCGTCAGCGTAGGAGTCCTTGGCAGCCTGGATGGACTCGGTGAGGGTACCGATCTGGTTGACCTTGAGGAGAAGGGCGTTGCAAGACTTGAGCTCGATGGCCTTCTTGATGCGGAGGGGGTTGGTGACGGTCAAGTCATCACCGACAATCTGGAAGTCGGAGGTCTTGTAGAAGTAGCTCCAGGCCTCCCAGTCATCCTCAGCGAAGGGGTCCTCGATGGAGACAATGGGGTACTTGGAAGCGAGCTGCTTGTACAGGTCGGCGAGCTGCTCGTAGGTGATCCACTTGGTGGGGTCGCTCTCGGGGTTCTTGAAGTCGAGGTCGTACTTCTTCTCCTCGGCCTTGTAGAACTCGCTGGAGGCAACGTCCATGGCAATGGAAATCTTGCCGGTGTAGCCGGTCTGCTCAATGGCATCGGTGATCAGGTCGAGTGCCTCCTCGGCGGTCTGAATATCGGGAGCGACACCACCCTCGTCACCGACGTTACCGGCGGACTGGCCGTACTTCTTCTTGGCAAGGGTCTTGAGCTTCTGGTAGACCTCAGAGCCCTGGCGGAGGGCCTCGGAGAAGGAGGGAGCGGAGCTATAGTTCGGGTATGCGTTAGTGAATGGTGTCAAATTTTAATCGCAAGAGATGCTACGGCTGCCGTAGCTATCAGGTGATGACTTACTCAGGGACAATCATGAACTCCTGGAAGGCCAGACGGCCACCGGCGTGGGAGCCACCGTTCAGGACGTTCTGGAAGGGAACGGGCAGGACGTAGGGCTTCTTGGTACCGGCGAGGTCGGAGATGTGAGCGTAGAGAGGGACACCCTTCTCGGCGGCAGCAGCCTTGGCAACAGCCAAGGAGACACCGAGGATGGCGTTGGCACCAAGGTTACCCTTGTTGGCGGTGCCGTCGAGCTTATTGAGGAACTCGTCGACCTTGGCCTGGTCCTTGACATCAATGTTCTCCTTGATGAGAGCGGGGCCAATGGTCTCGTTGACGTTCTTCACGGCCTTGAGGACACCTTTCAAAATGAATCAATGTTAGTTTTTCCCAAACTCAATTGCGATTGATGTTCCCAAGTTCGTCATCACTTACCCTTGCCGCCCCACTGGGACTTGTCACCATCACGGAGCTCAACAGCCTCGTGCTGGCCTAAATGCGATCGTTAGCTCGGATGAATCTTTTCAATTGAGAGACCAGATCAAGGATGCATCCTGACTTACCGGTGGAAGCACCGGAGGGGACGATGGCGCGGTGGAGGCCGGTCTCGGTGACAATGTCGACCTCAACGGTGGGGTTACCGCGAGAGTCGTACACGGAACGAGCGTGAACCTTGGAGATGGGCATTTTGGATGAAGAAGATCTGATGGAGAATGAAAATCAGTCTGGTTGCAAGAAAGGAGGAGAAAAAAGCAGCGAAGGCAATGATATATTAAGGCGAGTGCCGACGTGTGACTAACGGCGGGGGACCAGGTTCACCGATGACCCAAAAAGACAGGCCGGACGGGGGAGAAGGGATTGGGCACAGCTGATTTGCTTGGAGCTCAGCAAATGCGGATGGGGCAATTGGCTACGGCCGTCACCGAAGCTCAGTTGGGTTTACCTTTATTTTGCCGGGGTTTCCTGTCTGGTGATTCAGGTGAAGGAGATGGAAGAGGGATGCGAGGAAGGAGAAGAAGATGGAGGAGGGGCAGGATGGCGGGGTATGATGTAGAGGAGGGGGGAAACCAGGAATATATGAGCTATCAGAACTCACCTTTCAAGTAAACAACTACTAATAATAAAGCTGGTAATAAAGCAAAAGTGAATAGCTCTACGGGAACACCCGATGCTTTAAATACTGGCCAGTACTCTGACCGGCCGGGAAAGGTCACAGCTGCTCCTCCGATTCTTTCCAATGCGGCAGTGGGGCTCTCACGGCCAGCGACGGCCATCGCCAACGCTCGCTGGCTCTCTGGCTGATCCCGACCGTCTGCGGGCTCCCACCCTACGAGATCTCCCGTCGCCCTCGGGAGGAACTCTGCAAATGATGTGATTGCCCGAGCAACTCGTGAATTGCCGTATCCATTGGATCCATAGGATCCAGAGAGGACTCCAGAGTCATCGTGGCCTGGGGATTACCGAATGACGACTATTCGGATCTTCTTCTATAGTCATATACAACATCAAGATGTGCCAGCAGCTGCAAATTGAGAAACAAAATCAATGGAATGACACGTAGTAGCATTCATATTGGATTCAAAAACTCAGCAATCCCGTATTTTCCATAGTAACTAGAATATCCATTGACTGGGGAAGCTTCCAACGTCGCATCCAGCCCGTCTGGCAAAATGAATGACGAACGGAAGCACGCTTGAAAGCCACATTTCTGAGGTGTCGAGCGGAGGTGTCCGTACTTGGTTTCTTGTTTGCCTGATAATCCGGGCAGAAGTCAGGCACTCAATTTGGAAGCCAAACATGACTAATGTTGACGATGACACACGTCACCTGATCGCGGTCTGCGTCGTCAGGTGACCTTGCTGGAAGCTCCTCGACCGGGTGCTTGGAAGCTCACCAGCTGGACCCTGTTATCATTTCCCACACTCGCGCTTTCCGATCATCCACTCGCTGGGCTGTAGGCTTTTTCTATCCTTCAAAACGTTACCTTTGAACTCTCGCCCCATCCTTCCACCTTCATCCCTTACAAATCGGTCCGTCGCCCAACATGACCGGCGGCAGCGACCCTGAGCGCGACCATGCGCTCGAAGATTATAAAAAGAGCTTGTTGGAGCTGCGAGAATGGGAGGCCAAGCTAAAGACCCTTCGTATGGGCATCAAGGATCTCCAACGGGAGTTCGATGTGTCGGAGGAGAACATCAAGGCACTCCAGAGTGTTGGCCAGATCATCGGTGAGGTGTTGAAACAGCTGGATGAAGAGCGATGTATGTGTCCAAAGTGCTTCCTGGGTCATGTTCTGTTTCAAAGCTAATCAAGGACTTTTCATCGCAGTCATCGTCAAGGCGTCATCCGGGCCACGGTATGTGGTCGGCTGCCGTTCGAAAGTGGACAAGGCCAAGCTAAAGCAAGGCACGCGAGTGGCCTTGGATATGACAACACTTACTATCATGCGCATGCTTCCTCGTGAGGTTGATCCTTTGGTCTACAACATGTCTTTGGAGGATCCCGGATCAGTCAACTTTGCCGGTATTGGTGGTCTGAACGACCAGATCAGAGAGCTTCGGGAAGTCATCGAGTTGCCATTGAAGAACCCGGAGCTGTTCCAGCGAGTAGGTATCAAGCCACCAAAGGGCGTTTTGCTCTATGGTCCTCCGGGTACGGGTAAGACCTTGCTAGCCCGAGCAGTGGCTAGTTCGATTGAGACCAACTTCTTGAAGGGTATGTTCATCTTTCCCTGCCCGTTAGCCATCTGTATCTAACGCGCTTCCTTCTCTCAGTGGTGTCCTCCGCTATCGTCGACAAGTACATCGGTGAATCCGCTCGATTGATTCGAGAAATGTTCGGTTATGCCAAGGAGCACGAGCCCTGTATTATCTTCATGGACGAGATTGATGCTATTGGTGGTCGTCGATTCTCGGAGGGTACATCGGCAGATCGTGAGATTCAGCGAACACTGATGGAGTTGCTGAACCAGCTGGACGGATTCGACTATCTCGGAAAGACCAAGATCATCATGGCCACCAACCGACCGGATACTCTCGACCCTGCGCTGCTGCGTGCTGGTCGTCTGGATCGCAAGATCGAAATCCCTCTTCCGAATGAGGTTGGTCGTCTGGAGATTCTGAAGATTCACTCGAGCACAGTACAACTGGAGGGTGATATCGACTTTGAGAGCGTTGTCAAGATGAGTGATGGTCTCAACGGTGCTGATCTGCGTAACGTGGTGACGGAGGCGTAAGTCGCAAATCTGGTCATGCATTAGGTCCATATACTAACTACTTTCCAGGGGTCTATACGCAATCAAGGACTACAGAGATGCCATCAATCAGGACGACTTCAACAAAGCCGTGCGCAAGGTGGCGGAAGCCAAGAAGCTGGAGGGCAAGCTGGAGTACCAGAAGCTGTAATTGTATCTACCGCTGGGCTTCCTCTCCCATACAATTTCATCCTGTTAGAAAAACTGCCTTCTCGAATACCACGCATCGTTCAACGGGAAGTATCATAGCGGTGTGCCCTATTAGCTTTTCACCGTCGGTACATATACTCGTAGAATGAGATTCTCTCCAGAAGGGGCGAAAGTAACTATGACCAATGCGGAGGTGGATGTGCACATTGAATTGGGAAGCAGTAATCCAATAAGCCTGGAACCCATTTGATCTTAAGCCATAGAATAGACTGTCATCTTCGGTTGCTGGCAACTAAGCACGAATTAACCTGCGGTAGTGCGGTTCGGTCCCGGCCAGCTTCATATTTACTCCACTTTCCCCCGACAGTGGTGTCTCTCCCCGACAACAATCCAGCGTCGCATCGAGTTACTGCGAAAGGATCACCTCCCGGAGACACCTCTCGGATCGCGGATTATTTCTCTCTCGACTAAGGGACGGACAAACCCTTAAGTGCGCGCGCAATCAGGGAAATTGTCGACTTGTGGACTTAAGCACACCCTGGCATGTTCGCATTGACCAGTAGCTACAACCCGACACAACTTCTACTTTAGATCCGCGGGCAGGGAATCTTTCTTCCTTTCCAAGACGGTAAATTTACTCTTGTGCTACTTGAAAAAAGACAGCAAACAGCTTATTGAATATATTGTGCCTCCAGGACACCCCAATCGACAAAACTCGCTTCCCGCGCATTCGCCGCCACCATCGAGCTTCGAAGATCGCATTACCGATTACTACGACGCGCCACCTCCACTTCACAGTCACATGCTCGCATACTAGGTAGTCGCAGGACCGACACACATCTCGCGACGAGGCGATCACCAGGATAACCATGTCATATCAGGGACGTTCCTTCGCCACGAGCCCATTTCAGGATAATCGCTCCCGCTCCAACCAAGGCCTTGCTGGACTCGGCCTCTCAACTGGCCCAGCAGGCCTCTCGAACAAAGTGGTGGGCGGATATTTCGAAAGTCACGATCGCACGCTCCCCATGTACAAAGACAAGCCATACTTTACGCCGAAGCGCACGGCTCCGCGGAGACGATGGAGACCTTTGTTTGTGCTGGGGGTGTGCGTGTTGACGTTCTTGTGGTACTATAAGTCATCGATGCCCGTCTGGCAGGGCTCAGAATCGTCGGATGTCGCGGCTGAGCTCTGGAAATGGGCGCAGACTCTTGATGACGAGAGTCCTAAGTCGGATGTCGATTGGAACGAGCGCCGGGAGAAGGTGCGGGATGCATTTGTTATTAGTTGGCAAGGATATGAGAAGGATGCTTGGGGTAAGAAGATTTTGCCAGTTGAAGCAAGTCCAAGCTAACATCCATCAACACAGGCTCGGACGAGTACAACCCGGTTTCGGGCCGAAGCAGAAACATGATCGAAGGTGGCATGGGCTGGATCATCGTTGATGCGCTGGACACTATGATGATCATGAATTTGACCACCGAGGTGCGCCATGCGCGGGAGTGGATTTCCACTTCGTTAAAGTATAATCAAGACCACGATGTGAGCACCTTCGAAACGACCATTCGTATGCTGGGAGGCCTCCTCTCCGCACACCATCTGTCGACGAAATATCCGGACCTCGCCCCAATTGCGGATGACGATGTCGGCGCCGCTGGCGAGGATTTGTATATTGAAAAGGCGACTGACCTCGGAGACCGCTTGCTTGGAGCATTCGAGTCTCCCTCTGGCATTCCCTACGCCAGTGTGAACCTGAATAAGTCGGAAGGCTTGCCATCCCACGGTGATGGGGGTGCCTCTTCTACCGCCGAGGCAACTTCGGTCCAGCTTGAGTTCAAGTATCTGGCGAAGCTGACTGGCGAGGCCGAATACTGGAGGGTCGTGGAGAAGGTTATGGAGGTTATTGATGGGCAGCACCCCCCGGATGGTCTCGTTCCTATATTCATCAATCCCAAGACGGGTCACTTCCATGGCGAGAATGTTCGTTTGGGTAGCCGGGGTGATTCGTACTACGGTTCGTTGCAGCAACTCAAATTCTACGAGGAAATAGCTAATTTTGTTGCGTTAGAGTACCTTATCAAGCAGTACCTCCAAACATCCGAGCAGGAACCTATCTACAAAGAACTGTGGGATGAGTCTTTGGCTGGAATTCGCAAGCACCTGCTTGCCTTCTCCCAAAACGCACAGTTGATGGTCCTAGGAGAGCGGCCCAACGGTTTGAAGGAGGTCCTCACCCCTAAAATGGACCACCTGGTGTGCTTCCTCCCCGGAACATATGCTCTTGGTGCTACAGGTGGTCGGCCTCTGGCAGAGGCGAGAAAATCTGCGGATTGGTCTCAGCAGCGTGAGGAGGAGATTTTTATCTCCAGGGAATTGATGAAGACCTGCTGGGCAACATACCTGGCAACCGCGACTGGCCTTGCGCCGGAGATTTCCCACTTCATTCTCGACTCCCCACCTGTCATGATGGGAGACAAGTATCCCGATCCCAAGTCTGCCTCCGGAACTGCACTGCATGAATTAAAACCAATCTCTCTGCCGCTCTCACCCCAGGCTGATGGCTCCGAGCCCTGGCGCAAGGACATTGAGATCCACAATATGGATCGCCACAACCTGCAACGACCAGAGACAGTCGAATCCCTCTTCTACATGTACCGCATCACTGGCGACGAGATCTACCGCGAATGGGGTTGGGAAATGTTCAAAGCATTTGTCAAATACACCGCCGTGGTCGAGGGAGAAGAGTCTGAACTGGCGGAGGGCGAGACCACTATCAAACGGATCAAGGGCTTCACTTCCTTGTCCAACGCCAACACGATCCCACCCACCACGCGCGATAATATGGAGAGCTTCTGGATGGCCGAGACGCTCAAGTACTTCTATTTGTTGTTCTCAGACCGGGACTTTATTTCCCTCGAGGACCATGTATTTAATACCGAGGCTCATCCGCTGCCGCGGTTTAAGCCGACTGGTGACCTGAAGACAGGCTGGCAGCGGAAGCCAAAGGTCGCCGAGGCTGTTGAGGCTGCCGAGTAGCGACTGGCTGCTTGTTTTTATTTTCATTAGATATCGGCGTTCGTCTTTTTTGTAACTTCTTCACCAGCATTGACAGCCTATTGACATGTACTTAGGTGTATTATCTTGAGATTGGAGACAATTGGAGAAGCCCCAACACAGGGTTCGATGTTCTTGATCATCCATTTTCCATAGTTCATTATAGAGAACGCGAGATGATCTGTCTTGAAATATATAATCAATGCTATGTATCACCATGCAAAAAGGACAATGTATGTCGCGCCCCAATTACTCCCGCTCCAAAGCAGCGTCAATCAACTTCTTAAAGCCTGAAACTGCATCCTTAACGTCCCGCACAGTGAGAGCTTCATTATCGCCATGAGCAACAAAGATGCTACCAGGTCCGTAGAGATAACGCTTCACACCATCGCGCACCTTCAAGTTAGGCACGTCCGTGCCATAGTTAACAGGCATAACCTCGAAACCATCCACATCAGTGTCCAGGTCTTGAGGAGCGTATGACTCATTGTGAGTGGAAAAGTCAACCACAACCTCGGCCTCGACGTCGCGAGTAGCATCCTCCACAGCTCGACGAATAATCTCCCGCGCCTCTTTCGGTGTACCAGCTGCCAGACGAACGGCGACATCCGCGCGCGCAGAGGCGGGGACAACGTTCGTTGCCACACCCGCACGAATCGTACCGATGTTCAAAGTAGTCGGGCCATACTTAGACGACGAAGGCAATCCACCCTCGCTAACGGGGATATTACCCAGCTGATCCACGCGGCTCAATGCCGGCAGAATGCCCGAGACGGCGCTCTTACCGAGCCAAGGGTACCCCGAGTGCGCGGCTTTACCGTGAGCCACAACTTCGAAACCTAGCATTCCCTTGTGTCCGGACACGAGCTTGGCTTCAGTTGGCTCGCCGAAGATAACGGTATGGTAGGCGCTGTCCTTGTTCAGGTCTGATTCGGAAAAGGCCTTCATGCCGTCTCCGCCGATTTCTTCGCCGACGACGAAGAGCAGCGCTAGCTTTGCATCTGGGTTTGACTCTAGAGTCTCCAGGACGGCGAAGACCTGCGCCGCAACGCTACCCTTTGCATCGACCGAGCCTCGACCCGCGAGAATCAGGTCGTCAGGGCTTGATCGCAGACTCGCGGATTCGGGCTGATGCGCCGAGTATGGGATAAAGGGTGGGACTGTGTCGATGTGGCTCGAGACCAGGATTGAAGGGGACTCTTGGAGAGAGGAAGGATAGGCGTAGATATTGTAGCGAGTTTTGGGGGTCTCCTCATCATCCTCGTTCTCCTTCTTTTTCACAGGGGCAACCTTCTGCTTGACGACGGTGAAGTTCTTGGCCTCGAGGAACTCGGCAACGAAGATACCCACATCGTGCTCGTTGCCGGAGATAGATTCGATATCGACCAGATCTCGGTGGAATTGAAGTAGCGGGTCACTGGCGATCAATTTGTCGATGCGAGCTTGCTCGAATTCTTCAATGCTGCCTTGAGATGGTGGCAGCGAGCTTCCGAGCGACTGCTGTTGCCGGTATGCGGGGTGCGGAGAAGCATTCGTAACGGCTACAGCGGTTGCGGCCGCCAGATACCTGGTGAACTTCATTGGGTTCGAATTTGGCGTGGTGAAACTGTATGAGGGGCTGTTTTCTGCGATCCTACTCGAAGATTCTTGATATCTTATGAGTCAGGGGATGCAACATCACGCCAATCTCCCCACAGATTTGCGGATGTTGTCCGACATTGGTCACGTGAGTATATGTCATTGGAGCGGTATTCTCCCCGAAATACACCGAGCGCCCGAAGATTCAGGCAATATATGCATAGTGCAATCTATTGTGAAGATTCAATTTTAAACCTACAACTCTGGTGGTAGGCCTTTTGGAGCCGGGTGGCTTTTGTTGATAGACTTCTCACACCTAAATATAAGATTTAATTCACCGGGGGCAATGGCTACCCAGCTCTGCCCGGGCACCTCTAGCTGTGACCTACCTTGGCCACCACAAACCACCGTACTAAGTACAATATTTCTCAACTTCATATTTCACCAGTCAAGGATGATTACAAGGCCCAACAATATGCGAATGCCAGATATATGGTACTGGATATCTGTATCAGATCACAAAATATTTTTGGGCATGACAATGTTGATGAATGTATCTGCATCGCTCGATGGGAGCGTACTTTTGGTAATAGCAGGATTTCGCCGCTTTATGAATCTATTGGCTGCACTATAGTGCGTATATTGCTGAAAAATTACACTAAACTAACATTCATATAGCAATGCGTTCTCGTGGCTGATGTGTTGAGACTTAAAAATCAGGATTTAGTATGGTGTTTTAGTGTGTCCAGGGCAGCCGGGAACTACGTTAACTAGTTATTAAGCCCAGTCTTTAAGCACTCTAGCTGTGTTCACTATAAATAATGGATCGAAGCTGATACCCCACACTCTCGTGTATGTATACTAACGGCCGAGGAATGTGTTAGAGCAACCAAAAATCTCCCTTCACGACCACGTAAATACCCAACACAGATCAGGCCATGGTATTAGAACATCAAGCTATAGATCATAACTTTCACTCCATGGGTTTCACGTTTGCTGCTCGCCTACTATTACTCTAATTACCTTTCCTCGACTCGAGAGGACGCCTTACCTGCAGATCACGTGTGGATCCTTCCACGCGGCAATCGACCCGCTCTACCACGGGTTGGCTTGAACTGTGGATTCCACCCGCTGGACCCTGTTCTGAGACACCCCGGATCGGGCCGTTTCAGAGGGACCCAGATCACATCGTCTCTGCTTTTGATAGTGGAAATACTGTGAGGATAGTTTTTACAACTCCTGTAACTCATCTAACCATATTTTCCAGGGGGACGGTGGTGCCGTTTCGCCCTGGAGTGTTCCAACTTTATTGGTATCTAAAAGCATTTCGCACGATACTCGCTGCCATGGCGCCTTCCTCCGCACGAATGCTTCTTGGATCGCCTCCTCCTGGAACGGAAATTGACTTGGAAGATCTGTCTCGACGAACCAGCCTTTCCACTGACGACAGAAGACGGCTACCCCAGCAACAGAGCCACCGAAGAATGGCAATGTGGATAGCAGAACATCTCAGAATTGATGTGAGTCTTCGCCAAAACTACTAGTGGATGGCGATAACCAAAATGCAAAGTCATGGCGCGAGCCAAATTCCGACAGGGTCTTTGAAACTGTCTCCGGCCACAAATCACTGAAGAAGAACTACCGCAAAATCGCCCGACGACCCAACCTTCACACAGCCGAACGCGTCTTTATATACAGAGCGACTAATGCGACTGAACTCAATTTCGCCAAACATGATACTTGGGCCGCATGTCTCGGACGGATTCCATCTCCTGAAGAGACAAGTGACGCTGCTGTGTTCGAAGTATGCGTCATTTCCACCGATACCACGAACCTTGGCCGTGCGTTCTCTTTCATTGACAAAATATTTCTAATTACCTATGACCACCGCCAACACGCTTATTCTTCGTTGAGTGAAATGGTCGTACGGATGGTCCAGCGTCATTGGAGACTGAATGATGAAATAACGGCCAAGATAATGGAAAGCCTGTATGCAAAGCAGCTTTCTCTCTCGTCGTGGCAACCGAAGTTACCATCTTACCGTACACTACCTGACCTATCTATGATACTGATTTTGCGCTAACTAGGCATGATAGAATGCCATACTCCCATTGACATTGCTCCTCACGTGCCATTGAAGTTTGAACTTAAATGGATACATGCTCCGCACTACGCGACTGACCTTTCAGTCTACGTGTTTCGACCGTATGGAAGACATCCTCAAGTAGAGAGCTTGGATGTTATTCTGACATCGAGGCAATACGAGCAGATGAGACGGGCAATTGTGGTTGTGAACTCTCATCAAGTCTTGACCAAGTTGCGAAGAGGCAAGTTCACCACGCAGGTTCTGGAGCACAATACCTTTAGCCTTTCGTACACTCTCCACATCTTTGAAGCTGTGTGTTCGGAGGTCACCGCTGGATTGGCCGCTTTCATAACACGGGCGTGCGAAGAGATAAACTACATGGTGGGTATCATGGACTGTGGGAATAGATGACAGGCTTGAGCTAACTTACTCAGGTCTATGAAGGACGACTACGACCCTCTGGGAGCAAAATGCAATACCTTAGCCATCTGGAAGATTGCCACCTTGTTGCCAAGTACTGCTGCAGGACAAACAGACACACCCTGCAGTTACTACTGGACAAAGTCAACTCTATTCAAGGACCTCGTGCTGACGAGGAGGCGAACCAGATCAGTCACCTTGAATTGGTGATGAAGGATCTAGAATACCTGCACGACGAACTTGAATCGTCTTTACTAAGAATCTCAGATGTACGTCGCGATCTTCGAGAGCATCTGGACATGCTCCAAATTCGTCGCACTAGCATCTTAGGAATTCTCGCTGCACTGTACTTGCCTCTTTCATTTGTAACCGTGAGTTCTCAACACTACTCCTCCAAAAACTCTTAGCTGATTCGTCAGAGCTTTTTGGGCATGAATCTAAACCAGTTCCCAACCACTCAACAATTTTGGCGCAACACCACGTTCATTGATGGGACCAGTTCAAACACGCGTATCAAAGATGCCGGAGCCAACCAATCATGGTCTCTAGAGAACTTTTTCGAGATTGCAATGCCGCTCATGGTTGGAACTATACTTGTGCCACTTGTTATTGGAAGCATCATTCGAGCGTTCTTACAGGGGCTTGCACAAGGACAAACCTGGTGGCGCCTTTTGCTTGCTATTATTGTCATTGGGTTGGATATTACTTTTTCGATCATCAAAGAGCGTGGAAGTGCTAACGTATTTTCTATAGCTATTCCTTTGCGATACCCTGGTTCCAGCTTGGGATCATACCTTTCTGGGTGTTCACAGCACTGCAACTGTTCGCGATCATCCGAAGCCACAGAATGAGTTGGCTTCGAGTCGTGTACTGGCTCTCGAGCGCAGCTTTGTCAGTTCTGTTTTTTCTCGACATAGCGCCTTTTCCTATAAGCGGCTTTTACGGCATCTCTCTTTTCATTTTCTGGTGGTGGAAGCCAGATTTCTATTACAGATGGGACCAGGGAGGAAGACCAAAGTCTAAGGAGGACTAATGTAACATGATGCTTTCTGTGGATTATTGTTACTCTCCGTATCGCAAATTTCTGGAGATCTCATGGAGTACATGTTGTGAAAGACGTATGATTCTCCGGCAATGCAATCATCTACCGTAGTCTCGCCAGCCATTACGTACTACCACTGGGCCTTGCCTTTTGTGCCTACTTCACGGAGTATTTGTATTTAGAAATGACCCGAGACGCCATAGTATTTCTGCGCTTATTCCTTCCTACAATGATGTGCTTGGTAAGGGAAAGTGATAAAATCCTCAGTGGTTTAGATATTATACGAGAGCTCTGGATTCCGACATTCATGTAGTTCTGTCCTTTTGATTCTTACAAGTACCTATGTCGTGGTGAGAACTGTAGGTATGTACATATTGTTGCTGGGTCCAGTGAATGATACAGTACAGCATTCTTGGCCATTACTGGTTAGCGGAGATTGGACTAACATCGGCCCGATGGTTGATGTCTACGTGGATTTGGCAATATAGGAGACGCTTGTCGCCTGATTTGATTTTGCAGAGCCTCGTTTGAGACACCATATATGTCTTTGCTTTCTGCAAACTGGTATTGGATAAAGTTCTAAAATGGTTGTGCGTGCGAAACGCTTTCTCTCGTCAGGAAATTTTCGAAATCGTGTCATGGCAAGCCAGGAATATCTCTATCGATAACTTGTCGAGGTAAGAGGAGAGCTTTGTTTTGAAGATGGTCACTGAAGACTCAAGCAGGCATGCCGATCGCGCGTGAGGATCTTTTTGCTTACACCAATGGCCATTTCCTTGTCGATGAAGAACACCAGTTTAGCCGACGATATGTCCGGTTCGACTTGGACGCGCTTTACAGGACGGTTGCCTAGGTCGGAGGAAATCCTAGCCGCGTGACTGCTATTGATAAAATGGAGGGAGGGTTCAGCAAGGCTTTCTTGATGACAAGGGCAAATGGGACGGATTTGATAACCAAAATCCCGTGCCGCATTGCTGGCCCACCGTCATTAACAACGGCAGGTGAAGTGGGAGTTTTAGAATATGGTATGTGATATCTAGCTGCGGGGACTCGGTTCACTAAAATTGTACAACCCAGTCAAGAGACACACTGCTATTCCTGTGCCTCGTGTCCTTTCTTGGTCATCCGATGCCTCCAACGCCGTGGGTGCCGAATATATCGTCATGGAGAAAGCTCCTGGGATACCTCTCTTTCAAGTTTGGGGCACTATGACGGAATTTGAGAAGTTGCAGCTGTCAAGAATTTGACCAAGCTTGAGGCTCAGTTATCGACCATTGAATTCCCCGCCGATGGAGGATTGTACCTTCGGACAGATACGAGCAGGTTAAACAGACCCCTTGATGATGATATTGATCCATCCCAGTCTTTTTGCATTGGGCCTTCTTGCGACCGGGCCTTCAATACCGATATGAAGCTGGAATTCAACAAAGGGCCTTGTACGTTACCAGCACCACTTAACACCTCGCATGCTGAACATTACATAGGGAATTCGGTTTCAGATTTGGGACTATCAATTGCCGAGCGAGAATTGATTCTAATATCAAGAGAAGGCCAACAAAGTCAGTCGACCTATTACAGAGGAACTGTTGAGCAAAAAAGCCAGCTCTTGGAAGTCACCATGGCCGTCATGAAGCTCTTGGACTCAAATCAATTGTTGAAAAATGTTTCCCAGCCTACTTTGTGGCACACTGATCTTCATATGGGAAATATCTTTGTCAACCCAGACGAGTGTTCAAGAATAGTTTCGCTCATTGATTTCCAGTCCACGTCTGTGCTTCCTGCATTCCTCCAGGCCCAGTGACCGATATTCTTACGGCCTCCGCAGAATTACGACTACGTGAGGGGAATACTTCAAGCACAGCTGCCGGATGATTTTGCCACGCTTGATGAAGAGAACAGAAACATTGCTCTGCGTGAATGGTCCCAGGTCAAATTGGCGAAGGCTTATGAGGTGTCAGCATATCTTGAAGACAGAGCAGCGCATGATGCCATGAGCGTACCTCGTGTCTTCCGAGAACTGTTTACCCGATGCGGGGAAGTTTCTGAAGTTGGCATCGTTTTGCTTCGTGCATGCTTGATAGAAATATGTCAGAACTGGGTAAAACTTGATTTCTCTGGGGAGTGCCCTTTTTCGTTCAGCCAAGCAGAACTCGATGAGCATCAACGACAATTCGCTGAATATCAGGCTTGGCATGAGGTTCGAATACTCGCCGAGAAGTGCCTTGACACTGATGCAGAAGGGTGGATTGCGCCGCAATCGAATATCAACGAGAAGAGAAGGCAGAACAAGGAGCTTATGGCTCTGTACATTGAAAAGGTGGCCGGAGAGAGATCTGCGAAGGAGGCGAAGGCGATGTGGTCTTTCTTTGCTGGGACTTGAATTGGTATTAAACTCCTCCTTGTGTCTATAAGGCGTGGTTTCCACCAGAAACGGGTTTCACGCATCTGCTCGCGACAGATAGAAGAGGGAGGCAGATAAAGGTGCTATTGTATTGGATCTTTGTGCTTCGAAGACAGAAGCGGGAAGCAGAAATTTTGGACTGGAATTATCATCAATAGCTCTGGGGTTGATTTAGATTTACCTCGAGGCCGGATGCTATCTTGGTCCATCAACGTGACGCCAGATCAAGGACCAGATTTAGGGGTATTACCTGTGCATAGCGATTACGACATTACGACCATCTGTTAGATATCATTATGAGCACTTCATCATTTCATTATTTCATGGGCGGCTGAAACCGTGACAGATAACAGTATTTTTCTTCGCTCGTTCACATTCCAAATCATAGACCCGAGTCACCGTCATCAGGCAACGGCATAGCACGACTACACCCGTGAGGGGAATCCATCATATATCGTTCGATTCCAGCCGGAAAATCATTTGCCAAAGACCACTCGTTAACCTCCTTTAATTCTCTCATGTCATGCACCAACCCAACCTCCAAATCCCCCGTTGGTGCCGCAAGTCCCTGCACCAGACTCCAAGTCCAGGTATCTTCCCTCCGCTGATGCGAGATGTGAGACGGTAAGTGACTCGAATACCACATATCAACAACGACATCGGCACCCCGCATAGCTCTCTTAAGTGGTGCCGCGATCCTCCCTCCATAAATTGCAGGATCTGGATTCGATTTGAGCGACACCATATTATTTTCAAAAGTCTCGTACTGAGACCATAACAGCCTGAAGTAGAAATATTGTGGCGCAGCCTCGGCCTTTTTGACGATCAGGTCGTAGAGCATATTCATTCGCAGTCCGACGAATGGTTGGAGCGGGATTTCCCACCGGTGTAACTCTACCATATCGTCGGGTGCGATGCTGCGCTCTACCCACCCTAGCACCATGATTGGCGGTTGCTGGACTAGCATTCTACGCCAACTCGCCTCTGGCCGTTGATAGGCGTGGGTGTTGAGGAAATCTTGCATATCGCCTGCGCCGAAGGAAGTCTTGCAAGACTTGGCCGTGTCGGCAGGGAACCAGTAGGGGAATTTCGATGCTAGGAATGTGTTTTGTTGGCAGGGTGTGCTTGCAGACGCTGGTTGGAAGAAAAGCATCTGTTGAATTCTGGGGGATTCTTGGATGCAGTGAGCCCATTGCCGGCAGACTCGTTGGGCTAGGAGAAGCGTTTGGAAATCTAGTCGCGTGAGAATGGCTTCTAGGAGCTCAGTCGGTAATGATGGGACGCCCATTGTTGGTTTTTCGGCAATCTTGGGCGAACCAAGATTCTTCAAAAGCTGAAGAAAGCCCATGATGGATGATGACAACGTGGTATAGGTAGATGGTAACCTGTTCTAGGAACAAAAATCCCCCTTGTGATCCTCGTGAGTGGTTACCGAGGGTAACAGATAGGGGTAAGGTAAGAGCCGCCCCCACTTTTTCGAGCCGTTTAACTTCCTCTTTAAGCTGGGGCTGAGGCGCATTTATGACATGGACTTTACCCGGCCCCATGTAAGACGTGCAATTTATCATGATCATAGATATTCCATGACTACAGTAGCAGGAAAGGCGAGAGGAGTTACTATAGCAACGTGAGAGTACGTCATATCCTAGCCTTCGCTCCTAGGAGTACTAGAAGTACGTCGGAGGATCTTATGCAACGGAGAGGGAACATGAGATCGAATAAGGCGATCAGCCTAAGCCTTAGCGTGAGCTATCAGGTTGCTGGCCGAGGGAGCTGCTTATGTTGGCCCCGTGAGCTGCTTCACTAGTTAGTTAACTAGTTAATGCGGGGAGGTGACTAACTTATTCTGTGCTCCAGGAGCCGATCATTTCCCGAGGCGGCAATTTCACCGTCTTGCTCTTTGGAGCGTTGTACTCTAGTATATCTAGATTGAAACAGAGCTTCCAGCTTCCCGGGTATCGGTCTGAGTATAACTTCACTTCTTTCGACCGCGGCCACTGCTTGTCTCTTCTCAGCTTCAGCAAAAGGTCCCTTTCTTCCGAGGACTATGGTAAGCGCCTCCCTGGCTTTCGTGAGGCTGTGTTGCGATCAGTCTGAGATCGCGACTTTCGCGCTGAATTTACTGAGTGCCTAGTGAGCTATACATCATTATTCTGCTATGTTTTATGTTTATCATACTTACGATGTTCCTTGTGTACGGCTGGCATTTATCGTTAGAATATATTCTTGAAGAAATCATTAGGGCGTAAACCGCCGCCGATGACTTATGACACTGTACGGGAATATAGGCTTAAGTCTATACCCTGAAGAATTGTAAGATATAGAGTTGTAGATATAGAGTTTTTATCCATGGGAATAGGAATGGGATCCTAGGATCTCCTATTTCTGACGACGCTTATGTGGCCAACGCCCGGAGGAAGCGTACCTAGTGGATTGAGAGGAGAAGGCGCCAGAATGACTTTATCGTTGGCTCCGGTTGTGTATACCAGAGCAACATTTCGACGGTATCAAAAGCTACCAAGCGGGAAACACTTCTCCTTTTCAATTGATCTTCGAGTAGCGGAAAGCTCATCGCGACCAAGTTAGCTAAAGCTAGGCAACACTTGGCGCCAGTTTGGCTTTACCCTGTCACGAAATCAGAGGGTATTTTGAATTCAATCCCAAACCGAACTCTTATTCAATCACTATGTCTGGACGAGGATTGCCACTCATCCGCCGACCGGTCACTCCTCTAGACCCCAGTCTCACCACTCGTCCAGTGCCGCACGAACGCACATTCACCGGGCGATCGTTTGGTCCCGGGGCCGCGGCAGATATCCACAAGACCGCGCGCCCCCTAAAAGAAATCGATCCAGAGGCTGTACTAGAGTCATGCCATCCTGCTCGATATTCGCATTATGAAAACGTCGCGATAGACAACACGACTCGCAACCTTCTCAAAGTTGTGGAACGCAAGGAGAATATGCGCTCGGACGACGGGCGGGTGTTCCTCGAGCGAGATCCGACATGGGGATTCTACGTTTTCGTCACGGATTACTCAACAGAAGTCTCCGAGAATATCCCCCGAGCAATGGAGACGTTGATGGGCGTTGTGCAGCGCAAGCTACGATATTGGACGTGCCTTCCGTACGCTGAAGAGGCTTTCCGTCGCTTCAAGCTGGATCTGGTTGAGGACCAGGTTGCTCTGGAGGGGGCAAGTTATGATCGCATTCGTGCAGAGTTCCGAGCACTGATTCAAGCCAAAACTCGAGACCTAAAGTCATCCTCGGAGGAATGGGATGGTAAAGAGGAGTTTGATTTGTGGCCCTGGGTACGCTATCTGGCTTGCCTGGTTCTCGACGGAGCGGCGGTATCGATGCTAGCTAATCCTCCGCTTTTGGAAAACTTGGAAGAGCATGATCGGTTTTTGATAGACAAGGTGGTGTTGAAAGTTGTTGATAGGTTTTGGCAACGCCCACCTCCGATTGTTCTTACGGCCGAAGAATATCGAGGAGTAGTGGATTGTTCCATTGGGCGGCTCCCGCTCCTCTATCATGAGCTCACATCAGACTCGGGCACGGGCGCTGTAGAGACATTCTATGAGCATCAACGTCTAGGTCTGTGGTAGTGAAAAAACCCACCTCAGTTCGTGATTGGAATGTATAGTTTTGTATTGAAATATGTACAAATAGACCATGTACAATCAAGGGACAATCGGGGGACAATTATTGTGACGTATTTACATGTCACTGCATCCATGAACAAAAGTGAATCGTCCGACTTATGACCACCACGGCAGCGATTTCAAGTGCTCAATAGTCCTTTCGGTCGTAACTAACGCAGGGTCCACCCGAGCAAGTCCATCTTCGCCCTGGAACGCCAGCGAGACCATGCCGAAATACGAATGAAGAAGGTCTGGACAGATTGATCAGTATCAAGTTACTGTTCGAAGGAGTAGTCCACCTTACCTGGAGGATCTCCAACGCCCTTTCCAAACCCACCGATAAGGTGCTGTGTCTTTTCAAGGAGATATTGCCGATTCCGCGCGTCGTCAATTACACAATATCGGTCTAGCATCTACATACTCGATGAGCGAGGTGTTGATGACTTGTTGGCAGAAGACATACCATAAGTGCTGCACCATTCCAGAAGGAGTAGCAGGTATCAGCGAGTTTGTTGCATCGCCCGTTGAACCCGGCGCACGATATCGTCTCGCCCGACAGAGGGGTCATTGTCGATAGTCCTTGGATCAAGTCGTCTACCGACTTGGTCCCCGTTCCTTCCTCTACCTCGGTGGTTGTTGGTTCGTCTTCATTATCTTTCTCCGCCTCGTCCTCCTGTTCATCCTCTTCGCCGAGCAACTTGTCTGTCTGCCGCGATGCCAGCCAGCCCACCAAGGACTCAAACTTCGTCGAACCCGGAGACAGCAGCTGGGCAGACGGTATGTTATCTGTTCCCTGACGCAAAAAGTGCAGAGATCCAACTGCACAATATGTATGACCACCTGGATCACTTGGTTAGGAAAGTGGTGGCGCACCAAGGGGAAGAGTGGAGTACGAACTATGCGATTCGCGAAAGGGCGACTCGCCCATTCCGCCATCATAGCTCTGCTCGAAGGGAAAGCGATCAGTCAGGTTTGGAAAATTAGGATGACAGATGGAGAAGTTTACCTGGCATCCCTCGATAAATGAGATTAATCTAGACACATTGATATCCGGCACATTCTCGACGCCCTTTCCAGACTGGCCTCGTAGTATATACCGTATCCCTGACGCGCAGCAGCAATATCGAAGGTCTTGATCTCCTTCGACTGTCCCATTAGGACCCAGGACTTCTCCAAAACTTCCATCATCACGTTGCAACTTCGGAAGCCACTCCAAGCATTCCCTCCGCTTCACGCGCGTCAAGTCGTCGCCCAAAATGAGCAAATTAACCAGCGCAAAGAACGTCGCGGGGACATTGGCCGGGTCCCAGGCCTCATTATCTGGTGTTCGCCGCTCATTGCCAAAGCCTGTGCCTGAAAATCCGCGGAAGCCGCCTGAAGGCACTTGGCAATGGTACAGCCAGTCAATGTACCCTTGGCGCTCCTCTGCAGTCGTTTTGCTCTGTAAAACACCGAGAACGTCGAGACCACCGAGGGTCAGGTAGGCAAGGAGCATGCGATTCGAGTCATTGGAGATATAGGCCGAGGGAAGGAAGGTCTTGAGGCAGCGGAGATAATATTTGACATGGCGCTCGGTGTTGAAGATGGGCCCCGCCATGGCGATCGAGGGGTTATGGCAGTCGAATATGCAGTATTAGCTGAGATTAATCACAAATATGACCAGCAGTCTATGCGATCTATCTCCAATCAAGCGTGGGTTGTCGCGGTCGCACCTGCGACTTGTTCGTGGTGGGGTTTCTGGACTCGAGGAACAGCAACAGCTTGGGTTTCCCCACATGCTTTTTGGCTCGCGGGACACTCGGACCAGTCCGATCCCCAGAGGCCACTTTTTTCCCATCCCCAACCTTCCAACAGCATCACCGACCGCAAAGATGGCTCTGCTTTCGTCTAAAACGCTCATTCAGGCACATGCCGTGCTTCTGATTGTCATTGCCGGCTATCTTGTCAAGAATCCGAATTATATTACCGACTCCGACTTGGTGTTCATGATGGGCGAGGCCTTGAAGATTGTACGCGCATGCCCAGTTCCTTGCACTGCTGGCAACAATGATTTGAGAACAAAACTAATTGATCTGCAGGACTTCCCCGTCGCTACGAGTCCCACCCAATCCCCCTTCGTCTTCTGCTCCGTCTTGCTCTTCGCCGGAGCTTTGGTCGACGTGATCCTCCTCTCTAGCCTCCCTTACCACGAAGCTCTGGACGAGGCCCTGCCCTATATCCGACCCCTGCGAAACTCAAACCTGCCAGCCGAGGATCTCCAAGCGCTAGCGAGATTGCCCGAGTATATCACACGGTCTTTGACAATGTACTGGAACGTGTGGGTCAGTATTTCCGGGCTGCGGTTCGCCCTGTACGGCGGCATTTCGTTCTTCATCTATCAGAGCCGCGGTAGCTACCTACTGTCCTCTTATACTTCCAAGATGGAACCTTCGGGATTGGAGCAGCTGAAGAGCCGCGTAGTCTTCACGTACGCGTTCATGGAGATGATGGTGTGGTTCTGGGTACGTTGTCCTCCTCTTCTCCAGGGGAATATCTTATCGCACTTGTCTTGTGCAATAGAACTTTGGTAGGCTAACTTCTGACTACAGGTATTTATAACTTGTCGCGACGAGCGCCAGCAGAAATTGTCCAAGCTCTTGGAGGATGCTCGCGAGGAGGCTAACTAGATCCTGGGCGCCTTCCACAACGGCATCTTGAAGAGCCCCTCGTCGAAAAGTGTATCAATAGAGAAACTCCGTTCGTTCCATTGACTAAGTATGTCATGAATATTACATATAGACTAGCCTATCAAGGCGCAATCATTGCTAAAGCATTAAGGAATCATTCCATCTCATTCCCATCGCCCATTAATCGTTCATACCGACCCATTGCATGCCTAGACGAGAATGGCAAAGGCGGCGGCAGCACCAGCAGCAGCCATCAGGGAGGAGTCCCGGGCCTGGCCAAGGATAGCCGCGCCAGTGGTAGCGGCCGCAGAGGAGGCGGCGGAGGAAGCAGAAGAGGCAGCGCTCGAAGCGGCCGAGCCAGTAGTGGAAGCACTAGTCTCGGTGGTAGTGACGGAGCCCGACAGAGTGGTTTTGGAGGCAGTCGACTGCGCGCTTCCAGTCGTGGTCTCGCTGGTGCTTCCGGTCGTGGTGCCCGAAGCAGTGGCGGCAGTGCCGGTAGCATTGGAAGAGCCCGAGGACGAAGTGCAGGAGATGGTGCTGGGCAGGTCGGTCACGCCGCCGCGAGAACAGATGCCCTTGGCGACCTGGAGAGTAGCTGCAGGAAACGGAGAAGACACCGGTCAGCAGATATTTCGAGTTATCCAGGATCATCGGAATACGTACTCTCCTGGTCGGCCTGAGAGCACTTGTCAGCCACGCAGCAGGCAATGCTGCTCAGGAACGACTTGTCGGCGCAAATGCACTGGATATTGAGGCCACAGCTGGCGGGGATACTGCTGGTAGCGCAGCTCCGCTGTCATTGTCAATTGTTAGTTCTCGGTTTATTTCTGGGGTAGTTTCGGGTAATACAATATGCGAGGGAGGGAGATACATACGGAGCAGTCAGGCAGAGAGTCAAGACCCTGCGCAGCAGCAGTAGCCAGCAGCGCGGCCGCAGCCAGAGTGAACTGGGTGAACTTCATAGTGACTGTGAATTTTGAACTGGAGGGAGTTTTGGGGAGATTTCAGTGAAGTCCGAGACTGAGAATGATATGAAGACGAAACTGACAGGGGAGGTAGTTAAGAAAAAAAGAGCGGCTTGCTCTCACCGGCTTTTAAAGTAGCTCTGCAGGCTACAGCTGAATCGGCGGGGGTGGTCTCGCCCAGGGGGGCTGCAGATTCAAGCGACGCCTCAACTGGATATACCGCGCTGTTGCCGCTGTTGCAGTTCTTGGTTACTATTCGCCCGTGGCTTGGTCCCTCTGTAATAGTGTTTTTATCCCCGGCTGGATGCTGGCAGTGTAATATAGTATTACACCGGAGGGCGTGACTTTTGGATAAAGTTGCCGTGGATTTAACACTTGGTCCCCAGCGTCTCCATAAAGCCGATAAAGGAAACTTGATACTAGATTGCTGACAGGATCCATCATCATGGATCCTAGGAGAAAGAGGTTTTCTAACCCGGTGTTACTCTTTGCTAATAAGCTCAACAACTTCAGTCTGGTTTTCTAAGGTTGAATCTTTGTCGAACTTTCGAAGTCCTCTTATCATCACCAGGCCAACACCCCAACCTTAGAGATACTGCCAAGTGAGGTTAAGAAATGAACGTGGAGAGATACCTTTATTTAGATTGTTGAACAGGAATTTCAACCGCTTCATGATTCCGACGACCGACGAAATCTGAACCTCGTAGCCTCTGAGGCCCGTCAATAAGTTTTCTCTCTTCACACTTCTTGCTTCTCATGAATAGATCTATACAGACTAGCGGCATGACCAAAGACATAAGCTGATTGTGCTCGTACCTGAAGAGCAAGCTTTGGGCCGGACTGAGCCTGCCAAATATGACCTAGGTCTCCAGACCCTTGTTCTTTACTGTGGGATCAGGACCACCCTAAGTTCGCCTGAGTGTTATGTGGTAGAAACCCCAGAGAGCCGGGCCTTGAAAATATTACTATGGCATTATGTTCGTGTGCGGCCAGAAGATCAACCAGTAGAGCTCATCGCCTATTGCATTGTCCGTCAATTAATCGCCGATGAAAGACGTCGAACTTCGTTTACATCCCTATAGCTCATATTCTGCGATGAGCACGAGACGTTGTAATGGTTTCTCGAATCACCATAGAGTAGTGCATCTTATTCCCTCCTCTTCTTCTTCTTCTTCTTTCTTCACTCCTACGTGGTTGGCTATCTGAATGCCCTTACTTTGATTAAGTGCTGCTCCTTCGCAACCAGACTACGACAACGCGAGAGATTAAGGAGGGGTTATATGACTCCTAGATATGAGATCGACATTGACATACGGAGATGTTCGATAAAGAAAGCCTAAAAGTGACTTGCTAATCTCTATCAAGCCTGGCCGTAAGAATCAAAACTCCCCCAACAGAATGTATCGACTACGCCCAACGTAAATGCTGCTGTCATTGCTTCACGAGGATGTGGCGTTTACAGTCTCATGGGCCGTACACACACGGCGGATTGGCAGCTTCAATACACGAACGGTCGTCATACCGCATCATCTCCAACCAATGAATGAGATTCGAAGCTCCCCACCACTCCACAGTGGAGCCTTGTTTCCCCAGCTCCAGGTTTAGGGTTCAAGGGTTCTCCCGCTAAAAGTCGCTCAGGGTTCACGGTGGTACGTTTTCCTTCTCGTCCTGTCAAGCATCACCAAAACTTAGCCATGGCAAGAGCCATGGGCCGCGCGGCATCTGTAAAAGTATCGTTCGAGTTATCCTCCCATAGGGGTTGACTGGTGAGCTGTCCAGAGCAGAGAACCCGCCACAAATGTGATGCCTCGGCCTAAATTTCCATCTCGCGCCGATCCAGCCTATCAGCCCGAAAATTGGGTTTTAGTGAGAGTTTCCTCCAGTGGGAAATTCAATCAGGATTATTGAAATTTGGGCTCCGTAGTTAGAGGGGCATCTCGTATCTTTTGGCGCGGCTACCCGTAAGATTATTATCGAAGTATGAGCAGCATGTTGCTTGTAATAGACGATGACCACGCGAGAGATGAAACCTCTTGCCGTGGGTTCATCCTGAAATCTGACGATTGGATTCTTGCACAAGGTACGTGGTACTCTGTCGCACGCCGATCTTCCCCGTTCCACCAGTCCTGTCGTTGCCCTCGAAATGATCCTCCCAAAGGCCAATCACGCCGAGGTCTGACGGCTTGGAAGAGGGGTGGACACCAGCCCCGACGTAAATTCACACTGCAGCCAGCCCCGTTCCCTCGGATTTGGTGCTGGTCTGGTCTCGCCGGCGATGATAATCTTCCTGAAACCTCTTCGAACTTCACCATCGTACGAAGGGGAGCCTCGTTATCTGCCGGTCACGATCGCATTTAAAGGACGTGCTGTGATGTGTGCTTCAGCTACGAGTTGAGTTCCTTTTGCTGTGTCGGTCACCTGAGTCGAGCAATGTCCGTCGTGGCTTAACTCCTGAGCTCCACCCGCTCCTGCCTTTTTTTTCCCTTCTATCTTAGCTGCTAGCAACTTTTTTCGCGTCGAACTTTCGACACCTTTGGGCGTGTCGCCTACCCATCGCGATCATGGGTCTAGGAGTACTGGATGTGAAGAACGAGCCTGTTCCCGGTGAGCTTGTATATCGACAATATTGCACCGAGATACCCGACTAACGGCTATGCGACCCCTCCAGGAACCTCCAATATCTACGAACAAGCCGACGATCGGAGCGACCACGCCGATACTACGGGGCTGAAACATGACTGGACGACCAAGGAACCGACGATTCTCGTTCCCCAGCCGAGTGACGACCCCAACGACCCGTTGGTATGTGAGATCGCAATACAGTATACATACAGAAGCTGACGAGGTTCTCTGGTGATAGAACTGGCCATTATGGAGACGCGATCTTATTCTCGCGATCTTGTCTTTCGTGACGGTGCTCTGCACCACGCTGAGCTCCATTCTGGCTGCAAACACCGTCAAGATCGCAGACGTCCAGCAGATCACTTACGTCGATGCAGCCTTGCTCACCGGGTACCACCTTTGCGGTGTAGGTGTAGCTGGAATCCTCATTGTGCCCACGGCTCGAGTCTGGGGTAAACGGCATCTATTTTTGCTCGGACACATCCTAATGATTGTGAGCTGTATCTGGGGTGGCGCCAGTGGTACGAATCACAAGAGTCTGCTGTGGGCCCGAATCTTCCAGGGAGTTGCTCTAGCCCCATTCGAGGGATTAGTGAATGCCTGTGTCGGAGATCTTTACTTCGTTCATGTAAGTTGTCTTAGTACTGCCTCAACAGTCCCAAGCTGACCTTTATCTAGGAACGAGGCAAGCGCATGGCAGTGTCCAATGTCGCTCTCTTCGGCGCTGCATTCTTGACACCCGTCATTGTCGGAAAGATGACGGTGACCATTGGCTGGCAGTGGTCGTTTTACTTTGTGGCCATCTTTTTGGCTGCTTCGCTGCCTTTGATGATATTCTTCGTGCCTGAAACGGCATACCGGCGATCTGACAAGCTCAATACCGATTTCAAACACAAATCAGGACATAGCGAGTCTACCGAGTCCCATTTAGCCCTCCATGACCCTGTCAACGATGAATCCAAGAGCTTTGTCCCGGAGACTGGAGCTGTACAAGGTGCTTCACGAACGGAGGTCACGGCAACGCCCATTCCAGAGAAGGATTCATTCCTCAAGTCGCTTCGACCTTTCACCGGACGAAAGACGGATGAAAAATTCTGGAAGTTGCTGCTTCGTCCATTTCCTTTGTTCCTACATCCCGGTATTCTTTGGGTATGCATCCCAATCTCATCCCCCACCAGATGGGGAACTGAAGCGCTGACCAATCTTTGCAGGCTTGCTTGATTCAAGGTGTAGTTATTGGATGGGCTGTCTTTATCGGTGTCATCCTCGCCCTTGTCTTCGAAGGTCCACCTCTTTGGTTCCACGAGGACCAAATAGGTTACCTATACAGTGGTGCGTTTATCGGATCCATGATTGGTCTGATCCTTGCAGGTGTCTTGACAGATTCCATGACCAAGTTCATGGTGAAAATGAATCACGGCAAATATGAGCCAGAGTTCCGCATTCTACTGGTTGTCTTCCAGTTGATCTTTGCATGCATGGGTCTCTATGGCTTTGGATGGACGGCTGGCAATATTATGAAGTATCACTGGCTGCTTCCAGATGTATTCTTTGCGTTCGTGATTATTGGGATGGTGATGGGAGCAGTCGCTGCATCGCTCTATATTGTCGATGCTCATCGTATGTGGCACCCTTTCGGCTGTTCCGTTGATAGTGATAATGCTAATCTTGACAGGTCAAATTGCGATCGAGGCGTTTACTTGTCTGCTTATTTTCAAGAATATGTTCAGTTTCGTCCTGACATTCTTTGCTTATGATTGGATGGCCTATGGAGGTGTGAAGCACACCATGATCATTCTCGGCAGCATTCAAGTGGGTATCTGCTGCTTAAGTATTCCTATGTGTAAGTCTTCACCAGAGATTTTGTTGGAATTGACTAACTCCCTTGTTTTCCAGATGTTTTCGGCAAGTGGAACCGGTCTTTCTTTGCGCGCCATGATATCCTCGAAATTCTTCATCTCTGGTAAAGGCAAGGGAAGCAAGCTTTTGTTACGATTATGATGGAGCCTTATGAAGCTACAAACATATAATAAATTAGCAGTTGTTATGAGTTATAGAATATATCCAGCGTCATGTCAATTGTACAATGTATATCGTGGCCTGCCATCAATCCAAAGATTCCATTCCCCCCAAAAGGTCCATGCATATTTACACGTCGCTCTGTATCGATGCATCATCACCGCGTTTCTTCTCTACCGGATATTTTTCCAGACTCTCATACCACTGTATCGTCGATCCAATCATGAATGCCCATGAGCCCCAAAAAGTCGCCAGTGTAGCTTGATACTCTACACCCGAAGCATTACTCGCTGGTCCCAGTGCACCGCAGAGAGTGAAACCAATGCCACCGATGAAGTTCCAGACTCCAATATACCAGCCGAGCACATGGAAAGCCGGTCGATACCACTTTTCTTGCGTCTCGAGGGTGAACAGCAATCCGCTGAGAATAAAGCCAGTGCCACCGACTATCTGAGGGACCCAGTAAACGCCATTCGTCACTCGCTGACTCATATGATCGATGATACCTGGGAGACCAGTGAAACCAGCGATCCAGAAAATCGTAGCGGCGAGGAACTGGACCAAAGAGGCCAGGAAGCCAAGCTCATGGAAATAATGTGTCCGCAACTCGGTCCAAGATGGCCACCAGCGAAATGACCTGCCATCCGAGGACGAAGTCGTATAGCCATTGGAAAGACCACGAGACAGCTGATGAGACGAGTGTCTCCCAACCCCCACAAGATTCCTCCTATTCACATGGTGATGCCGACACTCATTCTCGCTAGGCTTCACCTTGGTCACACTCCGATCCGCATGATTCTTCTCAACCTTACTCAACTCCGTCTCCAACGCCCACCCAAAACAACCAGTCTGATTGGCATTCACAGCCTCAAGCAACAAAAACACACTCCCAATTTCGAACACCGTCGCTCCGATAAATGCGCTGATTCCCCCACCCAGCAAAATCTCGCCCGAGAACTCCGTCCCGGGATCAGCGAGTGGTAACCACACGAAAAAGGCGTTGATGATCCAAATCACCGATCCAAGCGTAAAGGTCACAGCAACGAGCCATGATACATCCCAGATAGGCGCGCAAGTCGCCATCCGCAGGATTCCCCGAGCGACAGCTCGAAACGTCGTCGTCGGCGGCGGGACAATGTACCCCGTACCTTTCGTCGGAGCGCGATAGTCAACTTTCAACGCATGCCGTCCCTTGCGATTATCGCGCGAGCGCCAGAGGTGCTCGACCGAGCGTGCCTCCTTCGGTGTTGTGGGTGCGCTCGTGTCTGGGGTTTGTGGTTGCTGTTCCTCTTCCTGTGCCGGGGTTCCGGGCTTGGTTTGACCAGGGGCTGGGGTTGGCGCGTACCGCGCCCAGGTGGGATTTAGGAATGAGAATGGACCCGAGACATGGCTGCGGCGGAGGGTGAGACTTGGATGGTCGGATAGGGGCTCGCGCCCCGGTCGGAATTGTTTGTTGCGGCCCATGGATGTCGCCGGATTGGGGTGGAAAGAGAGACGGAGTGTTGAGTAAGGAAGGATAGTGGAGGATATCGTGAGGTCGGGCCGGGGGCCAAGCTTCGTGGGTTTCCACTGTGGACGTCATGCCATGCACGGACTTTCTGGGATGGGCTCCACTTGATCAGCTCGATGTTTATTATACTTACTGTTAGTAACGAGTAGAGATGTACAATGGCTTCGAATCAAATTTGACCTACAGTTGATATTTCTTCTACTTCAGGGTCATTGGGGGGAACGTCGCATTAGCACACCCAATGCTGAGGTCGGGCATGGAGTCAGCGCCCAGGGCGGTTTCTCGGCATTTTGTAAAGTACATTGTCCTTAAAGTACATTGTCCTTAACCCTTGTTTCGGAAGCTTTCAAATGTCGGAGTGAGTGGTAGAACATGATTTCGATACGACTGATGAGTGATCATAGATCCCTAGTCCCTTCCCACAGACAGGTGGGCAAGCCTGGCTTTCGAGATGATAGGTATGGCGTTGCGATCAGTCTAACTAACTCATTTCACTAACCAGGAGAAAGGAAAACAAACATAGGCAGTTAAATGTAATGTAACTTTGTAAGTTTCTAAATGTTAGAAGAGCGATCGGTATTTACTTCTTCATTCGTAGATTTTCCCAAGTCAGGCTAATTTTTAGGATGTATATATGTCGAGAGTACACCAGAGCTTCACGCAGAACATTAATCGAGCAATAGGACTGACAAATCTTGTCAAGCTTCCACTAAGGGAGTTCGGTATACTGATTCAAAAACAAATCCTACCCTCCCTTAGGCAGGTAGAATAATCGTTTGGCAAGAGACACTCGCTTGAGCTGGATCGCTTGTCCTGCCGGTACTACAAAGCGCATTCAATTACCGACATGATCTTCATCCGGCCCGGTCCATCGACACGATTTGGGCAGATTTCATTCTGACATGTCATATTCCTTCACTGTCTTCTCTGTGAAAATGGGGTTGCTTGCCGCTTGTACTCCTGGGTTGGTCCATTCGTACATTGTCTATCGGGGGCCCAAGAGCCTACAAAGTCCCCTTTGCTGAATACCCAGGTGACGGCGAAAGCTTCCTTCGTTGCAGCCGACTCCCATCTTCAAGGCCAAGAATTGACGATAAGACGCCGTTGCCGCCGGTGTCCGATACTTAAAGTGTAGGAAGACTCTCATCAGCCCTATTTTATAGTCCGAAGCAAAGCGGGGAGTGGATCTCCCACGATTTCAAGATTTCGGGTGAATTTGGGTAACCATAGAAGTGGATTCTCTATGTACAACGCTGTCAAGCCATCAGTATCCACCAGGTCCCAGTTACTCGGTTCTACTCCTTACAGTATTCCGAACAGTAGTTGGTAGCGTCACCGAAGATGGAGTCATCGAGGCTATTCATCCTCCATGTGCCCCATTTTCAATTCGGCCCCACCGTCGAGAGAGGTTACGTGAGATAATACTTCAGCAACCCTTTGCAGCAGGGCCTTTCTGTATATGTCTTCTGGGCGAGGCTAGATAAATACCATCATGGGATTGAGTTGTGAGGTACTCAGTGGAGAACGATGTAGACTTTTGTCATCAGCCCGAGTTAATCAGATAGGAGCATCGCCGCCGATCATGAACGAGGTATGAAGTACGTTCACCACGATGTGTAAGTACGAACCGGACGATCCTGATCGCCCTCGCTCCACCAAAGTCTGAAGAAACGAGAAAGAAAAGAAAAAGCTCCCAAGCCCTCCAAGCCCTCCAAGCCACCCAGAGTCCCCACGTCACCACCAGACGAATCGAAAGCGGAAGTTGAGCTACCCAGTCCCACTTGGACTCCCCACTTATTCCACAGTCATCCACCGTTCGGTCGCGTTAGTCTCTCTGAGTGCACCCTCCCCGCGTAAGGGCAGCGCCTCTCATTGATTCATCAGTCGATTGACTCGGCTGCGATGATGCAATGGGGGACTCCAGCATTTTCCTCATCGCGGATCCTCCGTTGCAGCCAACGACGTCACGGGGTGTCAAGAAGCTTCCGGCCTTCCATCCCATCCATCTTTTCCCATCTTTCCTTCCTTGACTTGATCTGCCCGTGCTATCTGCTACTGTTCACTCTCATCCTCGCGAGGAATGTAGTTCGACCCTTTTCGCATTCATCCGCAGCTCTTTGATCATGGCAACTGCACAGCAAATGCCCCCGGGGCCCCGGTCCGCCCGGCTAGCCGACGACGGTAAGCTCCTTACGGATCGTCATACGAAATCCACCCTCCCGGTGCACTGATCGCTGACTTTTGATGCGTGCCTGAAACAGCCGCGACCGCAGCATTATATGCGACACAGCCTCGACGCAAGGCACCTGTTCGTGATGCCCCCGTATCCGATAACAAACACTTGAGTAAGTAATATCCCTGCACTCCCTCGTGCGATCGTAGATTGCAACGAGAAGACGACGCCCCGCCATACTGATAAGCTATGCTCGACAAAATAGATACACGAGCAACACGCGCTACCACCGACCTGAGCCATGCCTCCGCCGCATCTGCCCTGGCGCATGCGAATCAGAAACCGATCGAAATATGGCGCCCGGGTCGACTCACCGATGCCGAGAAGGCCGCGTCCCACGTGAAGGATTTCTCTCCTCCCCAGATTCCCCAGAAGAGTACCCAATACAGCGCAGAAGGGTTGGGTGCAGCCATCCTTGCTGTGCGGGAGCAGAGAGCCATGACCGGCCAGTCGCCCAATCAACAGGCCACCACCCAGCATGATACTTCACGATCGGACCATAACCAGGATAAGGCGCTTCGCGCGGCCACCGGTGCATATGCGGCCCGCCAAAGGGCGGACTCTGCACCTATTGAACCGGTCATTACCACAGATTCGGATTGGGCGCTCTCTGCTGCTGGGATATCGCACCGCGCTCAGAGAGAAAGCGAAGGCCCCCTGGCCCACCTTGATAACGCGATGGAACAGAGCCGGATCACTCATGCAAAGACCAATGCTCGTCTCTACACATCCTCCCCGCCCGTTTCGAGTGAAGTTCAAGAGCGCAATCGCAGAAACTCGCTCCATGCTGCGGCTCTCGTCATGGCGAGGGACATGTATGATATCACTGGCCCGACTGGCGAGGCCCCCAATATGGACCACGCCGTATCTGCAGCGCAAAAGGGTCAGAGTCAACTACAAGCACGAAAGACCGTCAGCGGAGCGACTGGATCAGCTGGCCGACGGGCCTTGATTCTGCAGGAAGCGGCGCAAAAGCGGGCCGCAGAGAAGCTGGCTCGCATGCGAGATGAGCATGCCGAGATGCAGCAGTATTATGGCACCGCCCCTCAGCCTCAACGGTCGCTTTTGTCTGCCCGACGAAAGAGAACCTCCAGTGACGCAGACGAAACCCAAGTAGACGCAGAACAGTCAAGGCAGATTCATAAACAGATGTTCAGCTTGCGAAACAAAATGAATAAAGTCGATGAAAAACGACAAAAGGATCGTGACTTGCTAATGGAAGCAGCCCGTCGAAACGTCGACGCTCAAATCCACGACATGGAAATGAAAGTATACGCCGACACTGGCCGAGCACCACCTTCCATCCAAAAACAATGGGATGAGGCAGCCAGTGAGAAAGTTCGTCGGGAAGCGGAGGCTGCAGAAGCCAAGAGCGTTCCTGCCGATCGGGTCAACATCGGTGCATCGCGGTACATGGACATGGCTGATGTCGAGGCCGTTGCACGTACCCGCGTTCAACCAGCGCTGGATGAGATCACGGACCAAGCTGAGCGTCGAAGAGCTGAAGAGCTGGAGGCGCGTCTCGACGCAGAGGAGCAACAGCGGCAAGCTGCAATCCAGAGAGAGCGCGAAGCGAGTTTGACTCGAGCTGAACATCGAGACGGTGGTGAGTTTTGAAAAGAATCATCTTGAGTAAGACCTGATACTGATGAAAGATACAGTTTCAGAGAAGCGGGGGAGCAAGGGACTTAAGTTCTTCTCATGGAAGCGGAAGAGCAAGCAACCGCATGAGGAGAAGGCAGATGTCAACAAAGAGGCAGCAGCTCATGAGGCGGCGGCTGATGAACGGCCCACTGAAGAGGCCCAAGTGGCCCAAGGGGCCGTGGCTGCGCCCGAGACTAAAGAAGCTCCTGCTGCTGCCCCCGAAGTTCGTGAGCCTGCTGTCGCCGCTGCTCCAGAGCCTGCTGTCACTGCTGCTCCACAGCCTGCAGTCGTCGCTGCCCACGAGCCTGTCGCCGTTGCTCCAGAGCCTGCCGTCGTCGCTGCCCACGAGCCTGCCGTCGCCGCTGCTCCGGAGCCTAAGGACAAAGCCAAACCAGAGGAGGCCGCCGAATCCGCTCCAAGCGAGGCTATTCGACAGGACAGTGGTATGCCCTCCACATCTGGTATGACAAATCTGGAGGGCGCTGCTCCTATCTCTCCCCCCGTCAATCTCACATACGAGCCTGCTCAGGACGATGATCGTCCCAGTATGCTGAGGTCTCAGACAGGACCACGCGACGCTGCTGCCACCGGTGGAGTCTCCACCTTGCACAAAAATCAGGCCATTACCAGCCCACGCGCCGACTCGAAGCTTAAGACCTGGTTCCGCGATAGACTCATTCGTCGCACAAGCGAACCCCAACCCCTGTACCCCCACCAGCCCGGTCCGGAATACAGTGACAGCGAGTCCGCGTTCACCGGGGGAGCTGCTCTCACTGGGAGAATCGAGCCTCGCGGGGCAGCGCTAAGCTCGCACCCCGTTAGCACCGAAGACCTCGAGTCCGAGCACGGTGAATATGAGGGCGCAACCGAGGAGTCTACCAACAACCCGCAGGTTGCGCAAAATGGCAATTCCAATGAGACCAGCAAGAGACATCGTCTTCGCAGGAGTTGGCTGAAAACCGTTTCACGCAACTCACAAGAGCTGAAGACTAACGGTACTGAACACCCGAATCAGAGCTCCGAAGCCGTTCCTACTAGCGAGTTGCGGGGATTGCGTGACAGTGCCGTCGAACAAGGTCTGCCCGCGCCACCAGTTCTCGGCGATTCCCTAAGTATTCGCCGTGAATCGAGATTCTCCGAGGATCTATGACGGCGATAATATTGTGATTTATGTTTTTTTCTTTGATCTAATGACTTTCAAGTTCTTTTGACTTTCTGTGATAACATGAGCTAGTTATTCTTTTGGCGCTCCGGTCGGAATTATCAGCCAGGGGGTTCTCTGGTAGCGTTGCCTATTCAGTACATACACGAATCGTTGAATGACTTCATTTTACTCTGATAATAAATTGACATACTCCGAAGATCCCGACGTCCATGCAATGAGTAGAGATTGCTCGCAGAGGCAGTTACTTGACAATCAAAATACCGAGGGGTCTTCACGGCGTTTCCAATGCCGAGCCTTTGCACGCTAATATTCTATCAAATGCACGCCATTTTACTGCAAATTATCCTTTCAACCGAGCCAAAAAGCTCATTAACATAGCGACTGCAACTTCAGACCCACCCCGCTATGAACCCCTCGCCCCTGCAGCGAAATTACAACCCCCGCATTCTCCAGGATAATCGCCCAAAGCGTGATTAATCGTCGCAAAAACATCCACCAATCCCAATCCTTGGCCGGTGTATCACTACCGCGAGCACCGAGGTAGACAAAATAGATTTATACCGATGATATCTAGTCTAGTACTTATGAAATCAGTCAGTGATGCTTGCGAAGTGATCATAGTCCAGTAATGCGGTTTTTCGCATTTCTCCCGTTGCTCCTTATCGGGGCGCTGTCGAGCCTCGTCTCTGCGACGGACAATGGCAAGACTACCGATGTTACTTGGGACAAATATAGTCTCTCCGTGAAGGGGGAGAGAGTATTTGTGTTTTCTGGTGAATTCCATTACATGCGTCTTCCTGTTCCGGAACTGTGGCTTGACGTGTTCCAAAAGCTGCGCTCGAACGGCTTCAATGCGGTATCCCGTGAGTGCCTTAATATACTACATACTCACCCCTCAACCAATTGGAGCTAATTCAAACAACCTTCCAAGTCTACTTCTTCTGGAGCTTCCACTCTGCCTCGGAAGATACATTTGACTTTGAAAACGGCGCTCACGATGTCCAGCGTGTCTTCGACTACGCCAAACAAGCCGGTCTGTATGTAATTGCCCGCGCAGGACCCTACGTCAACGCCGAGACCTCGGCCGGTGGATTCGCGCTGTGGGCAGCGAACGGACAAATGGGCAGTGAACGAACCAGTGCCTCATCCTACTACGACAAATGGCTTCCCTGGATCCTGAAGATCGGCAAGATCATCGCGGATAACCAGATCACCAATGGTGGGCCAGTGATCCTGAACCAGCACGAGAACGAGCTCCAGGAGACCACGCACAGCGCGACCAACACTCTAGTCTTGTACATGGAGCAAATCGCGGCCGCCTTCGAGGAGGCGGGTATCGTCGTGCCAAGTACACACAACGAAAAAGGTATGCGCTCGCAAAGCTGGTCCACGGATTACGAAGACGTCGGCGGTGCAGTAAACGTGTACGCCCTTGATTCATACCCCGGGGGCCTATCCTGCACGAACCCCAACTCCGGATTCAACCTCGTTCGTACTTATTACCAATGGTTCCAGAACTACTCCTACACACAGCCCGAGTACCTCGCCGAGTTCGAGGGCGGCTGGTTCCAGCCCTGGGGTGGATATTTCTACGACGTCTGTACTGCGGAGCACTCGCCCGAATTCGCCGATGTCTATTACAAAAATAACATCGGGTCCCGAGTTACGCTGCAGAGTCTGTATATGGCCTTTGGCGGGACGAATTGGGGTCATAGTGCGACGCCGGTCGTTTATACTTCGTACGACTATGCGGCGCCGCTGCGGGAGACGAGAGAGATTCAGGATAAACTCAAACAGACCAAGTTGATTGGTTTGTTCACTAGGGTTTCTTCAGGTTTGTTGCAGACTGTTATGGAGGGGAATGGGACTGGGTATACTAGTGATGCTAGTATCTATACGTGGGCTTTACGGAATCCGGAGACAGAGGCTGGATTCTATGTGCTCGCGCATAGTACGAGCTCGTCTCGTGCGGTGACGACGTTTTCGTTGAATGTTAATACTTCGGCTGGTATGTGTGATCACCTTCAAGATGCTTGCACGGGGATATCTTGATTAACTCGCTCTTTAGGTGCTCTGACTATCCCGGACATCGAACTAGATGGTCGCCAAAGCAAGATCATCGTCACGGACTACGAAGTCGGCAATGCCTCGAGCCTATTGTACTCGTCCGCCGAGGTTCTGACCTACGCTACTCTCGACGTAGACGTGCTGGTCCTCTACCTGAACATTGGACAGAAGGGCGTGTTCGCATTCAAGAATGCCCCGTCTCACTTGACCTTCAAGACATACGGCAACTCAAACCTGACTTCCACCACATCGACTAATGGAACACAGTACTCGTACACTCAAGGAGATGGCGCGACCGCTGTCAAGTTTTCCAACGGCGTTCTGCTTTACCTGCTGGACAAGGAGACGGCGTGGAACTTCTTCGCTCTGCCCACGACGTCCAACCCGAACGTGTCCCCCAGTGAGCAGATTCTCGCACTTGGGCCGTATTTGGTTCGTGAGGCGAGTATCAGCCATGATACCGTGAGCCTGATTGGCGATAATGCGAATACAACCTCACTGGAGTAAGTTGACTTCCACGGAAGGGGTTATTCGATGGAAACACACGTGCTAACCTGCTCCTAGGGTCTACCCTGGTGACTCCAAAGTCACCAAGATAAAGTGGAATGGAAAATCCATTGCAACTAAAAAGACCGCGTACGGCAGTCTCATCGGCTCAGCTCCAGGCGCAGAAAAATCCAAGATCTCCCTGCCCTCTCTGACGTCCTGGAAATCCCAAGACACTCTTCCCGAGATCAAGCCAGACTACGACGACTCGCGCTGGACGGTCTGCAACAAGAGTACGACGGTCAACTCTGTCGCGCCACTCTCGCTGCCCGTCCTATACTCGGGCGACTACGGATACCATGCAGGCACAAAGGTCTACCGCGGTCGCTTTGACGGACGCAATGCCACCGGTGCCAACGTGACGGTGCAAAACGGCGTCGCTGCTGGCTGGGCAGCCTGGTTGAACGGCGCCTATGTCGGCGGTGCCCTGGGCTCCCCGAGTCTCGCCTCAACGTCCGCAGTGTTAACCTTTAACAGCTCATCTCTCCGGGACACCGATAACGTCCTCACGGTCGTGATGGACTACACCGGCCACGACGAGAACAACGTCAAGCCGGCCGGTACCCAGAACCCCCGTGGTATCTTGGGAGCTACCCTCCTCGGCGGCGGCAACTTCACCTCCTGGCGCATCCAAGGCAACGCGGGCGGCGAAGCGAACATCGATCCGGTCCGCGGCCCCATGAACGAAGGCGGCCTCTACGGCGAACGACTCGGCTGGCATCTCCCCGGCTACAGCGCGCCCAAGAGCGCGGGCAGCTCATCCCCCCTGCAGGGCGTCTCCAATGCCGCAGGACGCTTCTACACAACGACCTTCAAGCTCAATCTGGATGCCGATCTGGACGTCCCGATCGGGCTGCAACTCGGGGCACCGGCCAATACCAGCGCAGTGGTGCAGGTGTTTATGAATGGGTACCAGTTCGGTCATTACCTGCCGCACATTGGACCACAGACGTTGTTCCCGTTCCCGCCCGGGATTATCAATAATCGCGGAGAGAATACGTTGGCGATTAGTCTGTGGGCCTTGACGGATGAGGGGGCAGCTTTGAACCAGGTGGAGCTGGTCGCATACGGGGCGTATCGTACGGGATTCGATTTTAATCAGGATTGGGCGTACCTGCAGCCTCGGTGGAAGAATAATCGTGGGTCGTACGTTTAGGTGGAGGGGTGCGTGTTTACTGTTTAGGGTGATTAGGGTGATTAGGGCTGGAAGGGAGTGGAAGGGGCGGTGGAAGAGCCAGAGGCTGTGTATGGCCAGATTTGAGTCGTCCTGTACGGAGACAGAGTCTAGCTGGAGTTTAGTTTCCACGAGTCTAGTCAGCTAGCAGAAGCAGGATAAACTTGGTCTAAGCTCTTCTCAGTCCTGGTGGAGTCCCCGGGGAAGTCCAGAATCAAGGCCGATGACGGTACATAACTAAGTTAGTTAGTTACTTGGTCACTCGTTCACTCAGATTACCGAGTAGTTTAGGTCGCTTTACTGACGTTTTAGTACCCAAGTCTAGTACCGTTTTCCTAGTTTTGAGTCCTGCGTTTGGCCTACTTTCTCTCGTTTTCCTGCCCAACCTCCACCGCTATTTTGTACCCTGACGTCTAGACTTGACCGTCCAAACCCAGTTTCCAGCTAGCTTCTAGCTAGAGCACCGTTAGTTAACTGATCATTGCTCCTGCATCTCCACTTGATGGGTCTGCTCACGATAGTTCCCCCGTTAACCCCCGTTAATTAACCAACGCCCTCCGTTGCTAGTACCTCCTAACATCCGGAACCGTATGTGCCTGGTAAAGTTGTCCCTCTGCTATCAGTATCGAGGCTTATCCACTTCTGCCCACTTTACCCACTTTCTCTTTTAACGAGACACTCCGTTCTCCACTTCTTCCGCTTGGATTCCTTTGACGGGCACCGACTTTGTTGCTTTTGTCTCAACTACCCTTTGGCTCTTGCTCGTGCTCTTGCTTTGCTTTTGCTTTTGCTTCTGCTTTCTTGCTCCATTCAATCATACTCCAACTCCACCGTCAACCGTAACCCGTCAACTGTCCACCCCAGCTCCAGACTCCAGCTCCGACCTCATTCTCTATGCCCTTCTATACTCTGCTCGTCCTCAACAACCCTAATCGCTAAAGAATCCCCACGCTAGTCATGGCTCGCCAATCCAGTATCGATCTAGATTCGCCCGATCGCCCGTTCGATAACATCATCAACTTCCGTGACGTTGGCCGAACCATTAACCATTTCTGCGGCGCAGAGTGCGTGTCCTTGCCAATCCTAGTTGTCGCAGAGGCGTCCGTCGAGATCGAAATAAGCTAATTATGACACCAGAGTTCTCAAAGAGGGTATTCTCTACCGCAGTGCCAGGGTAATTTCGCACTCCCCCTAAACGAAGCCTCCAAAGCTCCTACCGAGCGCGAGAAGCTATCGTCGCGATCAAAATAAAGAGACGATCGCTAATGCGCAGTCTAACCAGCCCGACGATGCCTCCGAGCGCGACAAGCGGCGTCTAGCCGAGGAACTGCACATTGCTACGGTAATCGATCTACGATCACAGTACGTTACGAAAACCCCCCAGCTGGGGTCTGTCTCAGACCTCACAAAGAGAAAATCACTCGAGTAACACATGCCACAGAACAGAACACCAAATGGCCACTCGCAAACGGCGCGCAGAGATCGCCAGCGCAGGTTCACCCCCCGACGATATCGACTTGACATCGGCCTCCGTACCTGCCGACCCGGACGAGCACATCTGCAAGATTCCCGACTCCCAGCGCCTGTTCATCAGCCTAACGGGCAAGTCCTTCGAACGGGCGTTGCTCAGTAAACTCGACTGGTTCAGTTATCTGTACGTCCCAAAACCAGGACCCTTGCATACGGATGCCTGCACAACGCACATCGCACATCCCCCCATCACCCAACCCACGCTTCTTCCATTGGCCCTGCTCAAGCCTCGAGCATCCTCCCAATCCCCTACCTACCCCCACTGCCTGCCTGCTTCCTTCTTCCGTCTCTCTCTATGTGAAAAAAACCCCAACTAACAAATTAAAATCCAGCCGCGTCATCACCCTCGCCCTGACGGGCTACCGCCCAGACGCAATCCGCCTCATCGGCGAAACGGTCATGCAACCCCGCGGCCTCACCGGGCTCGCCCAAGATACCCTCGAATCCAGCATCCCCGAATTCCGCTCCATCTTCACCACCCTCGCTACCTCCACCGCTTACCCGATCCTCATCCACTGCACGCAGGGCAAAGACCGCACGGGGATCATCATCCTGCTCGCGCTGTTGCTCGCAGGCGTCCGCATGGACGCGGTCGCAGATGACTATACCCGGTCGGAATTAGAGCTGGTCCCGGAATTCGAGGAGCGAATGCGTGAAATCAGGGTGCTAGGCTTGGGAGAGGAGTACACGAGGTGTCCGCCAGATTACGTGCCGGACATGATCGGCTTTCTGGAGAGGAGGTATGGTGGGGTGCGAGGGTATCTGGAGAGAATCGGGATTGATGGGGCGCTGCAAGAATCTATACGACAGAAACTTTTGGTCCAGGTTTGACCAATTTTGATATTTTGCTTTTCTGGGGTTGGGGAGGGGGGTTCTTTACTTCTTCTTGCTGGTTCGGTTGGGGGTTTTCGTTTTTCCATTACTCTTTCTGTCCTTTCGGGGGCATGAGGGGCATCCATTTGATCTTTTGATCTGCTTTGAAGGGTTTCGGGCATTTGCTGGGACTGGATTCCCATCTTCCACTTCTCGTTGCTTTTTTTCTTTTCCGTTCTCCGGCCTGTGGTCAAGCTGGGAATTTGGCACATGACTGCTTGATTTTTTTTTTCTTTGTGGGCGAGTCATTGCGTTTTATCATCGGCATGGCATGGGATTTTCTTTGTATACGATATAACATACGTGGATACGATAATGACTGCAGCATGAGGCATACACCTATATTGTGGGATTAAAGCATAGAAAGACATGCTCTGTTCAAAGATTCTCGAAAAGGAATAACAATTGATCGAGTTATACACGTTACGAAAATTATCTCCACTTTTTGTGATAGGCATCGAACAAGATAAGATATTATACAAGCATATACATGAATCATAACTGATCCCCGCATCCATCAATTGCGTGATCGGAGCAAATCAAATCAGACGAAAATAACAAAAGGTATCAGATCATCAAAAGTAAACAACCCTCCAACGAAATGCATTAACGTGGCGGGATCATCATGACGTGTAATGGCAACGCCAAAAGCAACCAAAAAGGCAACAAAAAAAAAAAAACTCCGCAAAAGTTCAAACCCCTTTGTATCATTATAACCTGTACCGGTACCGGGTATATCTCCCCCACACAGTACCCCCAAAAGATCTATTTCTCAAACGCGCTGACCGCGGTAATAGTTCGGCCCCGTCGAATCCGTCGTCAATGGTTCCTCGATCGATGCACCGGACGGTAGCTCGCCGCTACCATGCGGGCTACTCATCATACTAGCATGCTTCTCACCCTGGGGTACGTGTCTGCGCGTCCGAACGGCTGGCAACAGATCCACCACGAACGAGAGGACGTACCCGGTGAACACGAAAGCAATGACCCACTCGAGGATAGCGCCGACGTTCTTCTTCGAACTGTCACTGCTCTTCGTGCAGATGCCGAAGCCGATTGCTAGGCCGACTTCGATGATTGCGAAGGTCACTTTGATGACAAAGCTGGCTAGGAGGACGCGGTGTTGGCGACGGTAGGAGATGCCTAGCCGGAAGTATTCGGCACAGATGAGGACTGCGCTGATGATATATCCGCCACTGAGGATTCTGTAAGTATTTGCATTTTTTTTGCATTTTGGCCGTGGGGCGGGTGTAGCCGAGTTTTCGGGGGCTCGTCACTTACATGAACATGACCAGGAACCCGTCGTGCATGCGTGGGTGGTGATACGTATCAAAGATGGACAACAGAATCAGACCCGCTGCACCGGCAATGGCGAAGAAGATCGAGCCGATGGCACATAGTTTGTCCCAAAGGCCCTTGTTCGGAACTAATTGGCCGGCATGGCGCAGCCATCGCTCCGACAAGAATGCCAAATCAAGAAACACGACGGTAATTACACTTCCCGTGATGAAGAGCGGCTTGAGCCCGTATGCGCCCACGTCTGAGATATACCTGCCCGGCCGCAGAAGTCAGCGAGAAGGAACGAAACAACTAAGAAATTCCCGAAGATGTTCTAAGAAAACTTACGCAATGGTCTGGCCGTCACTCATGCTGGGATAGACTGGTTTCCCTTCTCTGGCCCAAACGCACAGCATGGCGATGAGCATGGCTGCAGTATCGGATTAGATTTGCGATCACGACGCGAGAGTATTTGGCAGATGGTCACTTACCAAGCCACATGCAGGCCGAGATGAGGGGGAAGACCCAAAAGGAGATAATCCACATCTTGACGATACCTTTGGTTGTCGAACCGAATCAATATGTACTGGATCAAGATCCTTGATGCACCAATTCAAGCCACCCGAAACAACCCAGAAGTCGACAATTTATCCAAGCGTCACAGGGCCAATGTCCTCGCCTTTGTGAGAACCCAACGAAAACAATGTCTGCACCAAAATAAATAAAGCGTCAGTCAAAAGCACATTCTTCAAGTGGACTTTGCACGACCAGTTCGGGCGACGTGGAACATGCAATTTGCAGCGTCGAGCGACCAGTGGTCTCCAGCGGTCACACCAACTATCACAAATACAAAGAACCACTCCACCTCGATCACAACTAGAGACTCACCCAACCGAAAGACTATATTCGCGCACACTGCAATGCAATTTCAAAAAAGTATCCAAAACCGAAAACCTCAGTACATTCCTCACACGCTTGTGATCGACGGGACGCCCTGCGCCAAAGGAAAAGGTTTAAATTAAGGAACCGTGCAGATTATGTTGTTGTGGCGCTCGGATAACCAGGGGAATGTTTTCGAGACTCGGACAATTCGGGAAGCCGACCGGGGAGAAAATACGGCGAGGGATGAAAGGAGGAAAAGTCGAGGTCGAGATCGAAACGGACGAGGAGGATATATTGCAAGATGAAGATGACAATCACCCCTCGATGCAGAGAGAAGCAAGGGAAATTCCGGTTGGTAATAAGGAACGGGCAGACGGGGGGATCATCATCCGACGTCATCGGGGCCGGGAATCGAAGCGGAATCGCAACTTGCGCGGATCCAACGGCAGTGGCCAGTCGTAATATGCCCCCCACTCGGGGTCGGCTCTGACGTTAACAGGCTGAGCAGAAACGGCTGTGCAAGTCTGGTTGAGTCGAGTAAGCAAGTAGGTCAGTTATGACCAATTTTTCAGTCCCGCCAAGAAAGAAGGGTCCGGTGATTCGTAAGAAATGTTGTTGACTGATTGCCCTGTCACGCCCGATCTACGATCGCAGTGTGGCTGAGGAGAGAGGCCTCGCAATACTTCTCCGGTAGGCCATTATGGGTATTCGGGTGGCTTATATGGATGATGTGGATAATGTGGATAATGGATGCGTGATATTGTATGCACTGGGGATCTATTCACGGAGGGAGGCCCCGATCTACCAAACGCCATTGAAGCAACACGATCGGTTGCTGAAAACCCAGAGACACGAAGAAAAGCAACAAGCATCGGAGAAAATACCGAGAAAGAGGGGGGATAACACTAAATAATGAATGCCCATATAAACCGAAACACATTTAAAAAAGGGCTTTTTGGCTGGGAAAAGAGACACGGGCCCATGATCGTCATCGTCATCGACTCTTTCGCGCGCGACCACCACCGCTTCGATTGCCTCGACTTCCTCCGGAGACAGTGCGCCTTTGTACCCCCGATGGAGTCGGACGTTTCACAACCTTGACGATTTGCACATCATCGTCGTCATCCTCCTCACTGCTCTCCGTCTCCTCTTCTTCCTCGCTGGACTGCTCGGAATCAGATTCGGACGGGCCACGACGGCCACCTCGCGGCTGGGATCCCCCGGATGAATGTCGATGTTGGGCTTGAATCGGTGACATCCCCGCAGGATGGCTCATGCGGCTTTGAGGTCCAACTCGAAGATCGGTGGGCAACTGCGGCTGGTAAGGAGGTGGTTCGACCCCATAGGGGGTCAACGGCATAGGGATAGGGTTATAATATGAGGGTGCCCATTGAGGGTCGTCCGGTAAAGGCCGAGAGTACATCGGTTGCATCGAGTGTGGACGGCCATTCGGAGGGGGATTCGGGTATGGTGGATACGTTGGTCGGAGCGGAGAGTTCGACTGTTGAGGCCGTAACGATTGCATCGTCGGGGTTCGTGGACGAGCAGACGACGAGCTCGAAGGTCGGCCCTGCGCACCGGTGCCCCAGTTAGGATCTGGAGCGAAATGCGGGTAAGGGCCCGTTTGTTGCTCGGGCACTGTCGTGGCATTTCGTCGAGGTACCGGGCGAGAAGTGGTCGCGTTGCCACTCTGCTTGTTGCGACGCGAGCTACTCGAGCCATTATTGTCGGTCTGTTGACGCTTGCGCTCCAAGGCATCGAGCTCGCGTTGTGAAAGTCGCACATTCTTCTTGCCGAGCATCTGGGCGCGGCGAATGCGCTCCAGAGCCTTGTCCACCAGTTGATCCTCCTTGTCCCGCATGGCCAATTGCACCGCATAGGCCACCGTGCTATCCTCATGATCGTACAGGTCAAATTCCCCTCCCTCCACCACCGATTCAGTCTCGTCGGTCATCTCATCGTAGTCGGACCGCCTGCGCGGGCCCCGACTCCCATACTCCAGCTGCCGCATATACCCGGCGCGAGCCTTCCGCACCAGCTCACGCCCATACACATCATCCTCCTCCTCACTCTCAATCTCCTCCACTCGCCTCGAATCCTCCCACTGCGCGCGTCCTCCCCGGTTGTGTCTCCCCATTCGTGCCCCCGGTGGTCTTCCCCATCGGGGCATATCGTAAGGAGCTCGCGGCCGACCACCTAGACCGCCTCCTCGGAAAAAGCATTCTCAATCGGTTTGTCCATCAACGCGGCGTGGCCAAAGACCGTGACACCGGTGGCACCAATCAGCCACAGGATGGTAGAAATGGGAGATGACAGGAATCCCATGGGCACAGCAATGCAGAGCAGGGCCGTGTACAGCTGGGAGGTGTTGAAGCGACGGAAGCCCAGGTCCAGGTCGCGACCATCCAACTTGCTAATTCCCCAGAGACTGGCGCTGACAAAGACGATCGTGAACATGAGATACCAGTTGGTCAGCAGGCTGTAAACACTGAGCATCACGAAGACCACGGCATAGTTGCTGGAGAAGTGGCCCAGGTTGTAGTTGACACGGCTCTGAACTTCACCGAAATTGGCAGGTTTAGACAGGCGCTTGAGGTCAAGGAACTCGGAGACGGGGCGCAAGTTGGCGAAGCGGCTGCTCATGGACTGGCTGCGGATGCTGTTGAATCGGTCGCCGAAACGCGAGGTAATCGCGTCAATGGGGATTTGCATGGCCATGGTGAGAGGGTGAATGTGAAGAAAAGGACGTAGAGAGAGAAAGAGTGAATTTCCCAAAGGGGGTTGTCGTGAGTGATGGTGAAAGTGGTGGATAAGAATGTGAAGGAAGAGGAAGCCACAAGGACACGAGATGACTTAGGGGAAGGCACCCAAAGTGGACAAGTTTCTGGTCCCAAGGAGGCAGTCACTTTTTTTTTAGTTTCTGCCGGACTGGGCCCCTTTCAACATCGAACTCGTCAGCCTAGAGTAAACTCTTGACTGCTCACTCGGCCACGTAGACTGATGAGGCTTTGACTGAAGAGTTTCCCGTGAGAGCTGCCTGTGAACGGCTAAGAATCGCAGGGTCCCATTTTCTTGTTTGGTTATTGTGGTGGGCTCCCTTCTGGATGCGGAAAGACAATTCCGCCCAACACCCATCCAACGAGAGAGAAAAGAGAAGGGGAGAGAAGGAAAGGAACTGTCTGTAGATTCAAAGGGAATTACAATGTTAAATAGGCCATGGATATGTAAATCCAACTTTTCCGTCACCTACATGAGAGTCATCACTTCCCCCTCATTCCTGCTTAGTGTTCCAATTGGGCCACGTCGGAGGCTTTTTCAGTGTGGAGGAGGCCGACCGCTTTTTCGCCCAGACGGTTTCTCCTCCACGATCCACCATCCGGCTTAGCTCTGCTGTTCTCCAGTCCTGTGGTACTACTCGACAAGTCGATCCTCGATGGGCCCCTGCAGAGCATAATCCTGCCTTTTTTTTTTTTTCTTACCCTCCCCCCGTTTTGCTCCGCATCTCTCCTCGGCTTTGCGGTGTTGACCGCTCTCTCTTGCAATTATGAAGACCGCCGCTCTCTCGTTGCTCCTGTTGGCGCTGGTCGGTCTGGTCGCCGCCTGGTCCAAAGAGGGTAGGTGTCCACAATGGCTGCTCATGGTCCCTATATCAGAACTTTCCCTTGGGAGCCTCAATTCATTGTAAAAATACTCATAACCTGATTTTTAGACTACGAGATCTTCCGCCTTCGCGATGAGCTGGCGACATCTGAAGGTGCCAATGTGACCTTTTATGGTACGTGGTCCCTACTGCAATGACAGTTGCATGCAATTGCATGAAATTGGTCACTACGGACAAACCAACTAACGAGTCGTCCTCTCCATAATAGATTTCCTCGAGGTCCGCCCCAATGCCAACCAAGAACAAATCGTCAAGGCCCACCGCAAGAAGTCGAAGAACCTCCACCCGGACAAGGTGCGCCGCTCCTTCATCGCCAATTACTCCAAGGACAAGACCAAGGCCAAGTCCTCCAAGGGAGTGAATGTCAACAAGGGTCCCTCCAAGCGCGAAGTCGACGCCGCCATCAAGGACGCCAATGCCCGCTCCGCACGCCTGAACCTCGTCGCCAACGTCCTCAAGGGCCCCAGCCGCGAGCGCTATGATCACTTCTTGAAGAATGGCTTCCCCCTCTGGAAGGGTACGGGTTATTACTATGATCGATTCCGTCCCGGTTTGGGCTCCGTGCTGTTGGGCTTGTTTCTGGTATTTGGCGGTGCAGCGCACTATGGTGCCCTGTATCTGGGATGGAAGCGCCAGCGCGAGTTTGTCGATCGGTATATTCGCCAGGCACGTCGCGCCGCCTGGGGCGATGAGCTGGGTGTGCGTGGCATTCCCGGCGTGGATTCGGTCGGTGCGACTGCTCCCGCTCCTAGCCCCGAGGCCCCCGAGGCCGGTGCGGTGGCTATGAACCGTCGCCAGAAGCGTATGATGGACAAGGAGAACCGCAAGGAGAAGAAGGGCGGTCGGGCCAATGGACGTGGTGTGGGCTCGGCCTCGGCTTCGGGTACCTCGACTCCTACCGAGCAACCCACGACCGTTTCGACTGGGGAGCGGAAGCGTGTGGTTGCGGAGAATGGCAAGGTGCTGATCGTTGACTCGATTGGCAACGTCTTCCTCGAGGAGGAGTCCGAGGAGGGCGAGAAGCAGGAGTTCCTCCTGGATATCAACGAGATCCAGCGTCCGTCGTTCCGCGACACAGTCGTCTGCAAGGTGCCCGTGTGGGCGTACCGCAAGACCGTGGGTCGCGTGCTTGGCTCATCGGACACTGTGGAGGAGGAAGAGGAGGTGCAGGGTGCGGCACTCGTTGATGAGGTTACCGAGGCTACTGCTACTAGCAAGGCTTCTGCCCGTCGCCGTGGTAAGCGTAACCAGCGGTCATAGACCGAGCTCCATGGGGCTGTATTTTTGAGTGTGAGCTTCAATTTCGGTCGTGATATTGATTTGTACAACTTGATTCGACTTACAAAGCAAAAGTAAATGAAAATTATTAGAATAGATGGAACCACAAAAACGGATACCCACAATACCTGTTCACTCTTTGATTGGGTCCTCTTTTCAGCACTCATGTGCCTTCCTAACAAAATATCCAACTGGCCCTTTGCTAGGAACCGGTCAAACTCGATGACAGAGTTAACACTCATACCCCATCTCTACCAGCCACGTCTCCAATTCCATAAATCAAGGGTCCTACCAGTGAGAATCGACCACAAATCCCACCTAACCCCATGTAGGGAAGTCCAACGGGGCCCATACCCACCGTTGGGTACCGACCACTTCACCGACATATGGGGCAGTTTAGTACATAAAAGGGAACCCTGGGTCGTAACCCCTCGCGTTCCCTTCTTACGTTTCTACGTCTTTTTATTCAGGCTCCGTTACTCTATCATTCTATGGGAAACTCTGACTCATTTTAGGGCTGCAAATGACTCAACATACATGCTGCTAAACGTGTTGCCTTTTTCTTTTTCGGAGAATGGCAGAGCATGGCATAGGGATGGTCGTTAAATTCAGTAAGCCTCCAGAACAGGGTAATCGTATAACAGTGGGAAGGGGAATGCCGACAAACAAAGGGCATGGAAATGAAAACGGGTAACAGGAAAGGACATAACAAAGAAAAAGCATCAAGGGAAAACACGCGTTCAATCGAGGGTAGGTATTCATGGCAGTCATCACAGATCATCGATCACCCGCCGCAAGGCGATTCGACCTCCAGCTTCGTCTTTCAACTTCGAAGCCGACCTCGCCTTCGTATCATCGGTAGATCTTCACGAGGGCCATACATTTTTCCAACCCCAGACCCCCGCTTCAGCTTCAGCTCCAGCTCAAGCTCAAGCAAACATCTTGGCCAGACTCACCAACCCATTCACACTCTCAGACAATCCCTTCCCAGCACCTCCAATCCCTTCCATTCCACCCATTCCTCCCATCCCTCCCATCCCACCTCTCGCCGCCCCAGCACCACCAAGCGCGCTCGCCACACCATGGGGCAACCTCAACCCAATCATTGCCAACAACTTAGGCAACACCCCACTTGTCAGCAATGGCAAGATAACCAGCAAAAACACCTTCACAGGATGGCGACGTGCGTAGCGGTAAATGTCCCGGAAAAGCTTCTTGATCGAGTGAATCATGCGCTGGACAAAGCCCTCGCGTGGACGGGCCCGGCGCGACGAGGAAGAGAATGAGGAGAACACGGACGGACTGGACGAGCGACCCGTCGTGGCGCGGCCGAGGCTGAAGATTGAAGGGGCCGAGTGTCGGCCGTGGTGGGTTGAACTGTAGCCCTTGTGGCTGGATGAAGAGGAGGAGTGCCCTTTTGCGCTGCGGGTTGGGGAACCGCGGCGGCGGACATAGTAGCCTCCCGAGGAGGATTTGGTGGTTGAGGAGGGTCCGTCGAACCAGCCCATTTTGGTAAGAGTAAGTGTAGAGGGTAATTGACTTGAGAATTGGAATTGAAAGATGAGAGTGTATATGGTGGTGGTGGTCTGTTTTTGGTCAGATAGTGGGATTATTGGTGCTGGTCTTTTGTTCGATTCTCGTTTGATCTTGGTCTTGCGAGTGGAGTCTCTCTCTGGGGCTGTTCCACAAAGATCTCGATTTCAATCAGAGAGACGAGAGTCTCATTCAATGTCGATGGCAGAAGTGAGGCTGTCCAGATTCTAGAGAGAAGATGTAGATGTAGGTGTAGCTGTCAATGTTGCTGCTGCAGGTGCAGGATATGCCGGCAAAAATTTGCTTTCGCCCTCTGAGAAATTCTGGACCGCTGTGTGGCAAAAGGGCGAGAAAGTGGATGAAAGGAGACAGATGCAGGTCAGGCTGCGAAGAGCTGCAGCGATGCGCACCTCGTCAGGTCTAGGCCGTGGGTTGTGTACTTATTATGACCCCACCCGAGCGGTTTCCTGTACTGTACGTGTAGCGGCAAACGGAGACAGGAACTCGGAATTGTTTATAGTGGTATGGAGACGAGAGAGATCCAGATCTAGGGGAGATCGCGAATCTCGTCAATCTACGAGAGGGGTTAGAAGAGAGTGACCCCTGGGAAAGTAAATGTCGGTGGCTGGGGGAGCGAATCGCACGTAAGCCCGTCTTAGTGGACTTTCATAGTAAGACCGTAGCACCCGCTAGTGTTCAGAACCCTACGGTTGGGTTTCGGGTGCCTCGACACCTGGACACCTGAATCTCGATCGTCACATGTCTGCGGGCTGCAAAGTTGGCCTGAGGCCATTGGGCTCGAACGACGTCACTGGCGTCGACCGTGGTTCTTATACTCGTGGCTGTTCCTTGGGGCTTGCGCGAAATCATTTGAACTCCTGCTTCATGCGCTTCACCTCAAGATGCCAAGTATGTAATTTTTCCAGTCACGGAGAACATAGTTGTGATAAACTAACCATCATTCACCCTACAGAAACCCCAGATTACTGTATGTCTACACTCGGCCCAGTTCCCCTCGCTCGTGCCTAACGACTTCTACAGACAAAATCCTCGGCGTGTCCAGCGATGCGACCCAGCCGCAGATTCGCAGTGCATACAAAAGGTGAGTAGGCCATAAGTCTTCGAGCATCAAAGATTACCAAAGACCCCCTCATATCCTCGAGCAAGACCGCCGGACTAACAAATTCGCAGAGAATCACTAAAATCCCACCCCGATCGAGTCCCCGCCGACTCCCCAGAGAGACCAGCTCGAACCCAAAAGTTCCAAGAAATCAACGACGCCTACTTCACCCTCTCCGACCCTACCCGCCGCCGCGAATACGACGAAACCCGCGCCTTCGAGCAAGCCGAAGAAGAAGTCGACGAGGAAATTCCCCAAGGCGGCCGCGGCTTCCCATGGTCCGCCTTTGGGTTTGGCAGTCGCGATGAGCGCGACTCTGAGCAATTCGGATCCGTCTTTGAGGAGATGCTCCGCGAGGAAGGGCTAGCTGAGGAAACTGGCGATAACGGTAACCGGCGCACTCGGCCCACGGGTCGGTTTTGGGCCATCGTTGGCGGAGTCAGCGGGGGTGCGCTGGGCTTTATCGTTGGTAATGTCCCAGGTGCGTTGGCCGGTGCTGTGGCTGGGAATCGGTTGGGTGCTGTTCGAGATGCCAAGGGGAAAAGTGTCTATGAGGTTTTCTTGGACCTTCCACAGCCAGATCGGACGCGGCTATTGAGTGAGTTGGCAGCCAAGGTGTTCCAGTCTACGATGGGTCGGTAGGGTCGTTCTTGGGGATCACCATTGATTGGATTTTGGCGTTGGTCTGGTATTTTGTGTTGTTTTCTATGGAGAAAGGGGATACAGTATACGCGATTCCTTCGGCGATCAATGTATCGGATATCTTCTAGCTAGATGAACTATGTAGATATGTGAATCCATAAGATCAAAAGATATGCTATGGTCCATGTAGACAGCGAGTACGCGTGGGGTCCATGCCAAGATCGCAGATCAAGTCTTATCGATAACGAGGGCTTATTTACAGTGCTACTTTCTGACAAGACACCTCAAGGACGGTACAGTCAGTTATTGCAAAGAGAACTGGCCGCCTCGCAACAAACCTATTTCTGATCTAGCTCACACATGACCATAGTTTAGACGCTAATGACAATCCCGATCTTCAATTCGAAATGGTCTAGGTGGCCCATTCCGATAGTTCTGGGCCATTGCCCACGCTAGCCAACACCCCCACCCGCGCTCACCGCTTGCGGTCAAAAAGGACACCCCTCAATCAAAGGTCTATATTTATCCCCGCCCTGGCCTCGCTGGGTTTTCTCCTATTCTTTGACTTGACATTGTCAATTCTGTCTCCAAAATGACTACTGCTACAGCCGTTTACCCCACCTTGGAGAACCGTCCGCTCAAGGACACCATTGTCCTCTTCGATGTCGACGAGACCCTGAGCAAGGCGCGGCGGGTATGTTGCGACAACACATTCTTCTACAGATCAATTGCTAATGACATGTCTTGGTATATTAGTCTGCCACCCCCGAGATGCACGAGCTGCTCTCTCGGTTGCGACACAAGTGCGCCATCGGATACGTTCGTGCCTTCCACCTTCTCTCTCGTCCTTTTACCTCCGTCGCAATCTAACAAAAAACTACTCTTCAGGTCGGCGGCTCCAACTACGTTAAGCAGCAGGAGCAGCTGGGCAATGCTACCACCGAAGTGACCACCCTTTTCGACTTCTGTTTCTCCGAGAACGGTCTCGTGGCCTGGCGCCTGGGCAAGCCCCTCGATAGCAACAGCTTCATCCAATGGCTCGGCGAGGAGAAGTACCAGAATCTCGCCGACTTCTGCCTTCGTTATATTTCCAACATCAAGCTGCCTAAGAAGCGTGGTACATTCATTGAGTTCCGCAATGGCATGATCAATGTCAGCCCCATTGGTCGTAATGCCAGTATTGAGGAGCGGAATGAGTTCGAAGCGTATGTTTACACGATCCCGGAGCAGCTATGCTCGATGACATGGCAGACTAGGGGAGAGCGTTCTTGGCTGACAATGGAAATAGCTATGACAAGATCCACAACATCCGTCGGGATTTGGTCGAGGCCCTGAAGAAGGAGTTCCCCGACTATGGTCTCACGTAAGTTCATGCAAAGCGCAGGAAGGTTTACCGTCAATGTATAAAGCTAACCATTGTTCCGCAAATCATAGCTACTCCGTCGGTGGCCAGATCTCCTTCGATGTCTTCCCCACTGGTTGGGACAAGACTTACTGCCTGCAGCACGTCGAGGCCGAGAAGAACATCTCCGGTGTCGAGTACAAGACCATCCACTTCTTCGGCGACAAGTGCTTCCCCGGTGGCAACGATTACGAGATCTACTCCGATCCTCGCACGATCGGTCACTCTGTCGATGGCCCGGATGACACCATGAAGCAGCTGAAGGAGATCTTCGACCTGTAAATCGTTGAATGAGTTGCAACGTGGGTTATCCGCGGAAGTGGCATGATGTTGCGAAATAGCGTATGCATATTGAAAAGCTTGAAAGTACCTATTAAAAGGCTTTATCGGTTTCTCTGAGAGATATTAGTCGAAAAACACTCGATAGAAATCAATCCTAATTTTATGAACTGTTATAATGAATGTCTGACCCTTGGTAAAGGGCGAGTTGGTTTTGGTGTTTTCCGGAAATTTGCGGGGCGCGTCGGGGAAAGCGTCGATCTTCCCAAGGTTTCCCGATCCGCTTTTAGTCATCCGTCTGATTCTCTGCCTGCGTCACAAATCGCAACCAACCTGAAAACCACGAGAAAAGCCTTTTCCTTTCCATCGTCTATGGAATAAACCAAATCACCGAGCTATGGCGTCCCAAAAACATGTCGCAGAGGTCCCGCGCAGCCTCCTCCCTCGCTTGACCTGGAACGGTACCTCCTCTCGGCCAAGCGTCACTCCCTCGCATTGTCCCGCACTCACAAAAAGACCGACAAACTACTCCCAGGGCTGGAGTCCTATCAACCGCCAAATCCACTCTCTCACCACTCGTCACCAGTCCTCCCGAGCCTTTTCCACTGCCATCCGCGATTCCCACTTCGCCATTCCCGTTTCCCCTCGCCCCTCCGCTCCAACTACGAGCCGCCCAACCGGGGAACAACCTCTCGCCAGTCCGGTCCGACACAATGGCGTTTACGTCGCGGCGTTCAAACCTGCGCAGCGCGCATTCCATGCCACACCCTCTCGACCTCGTGATCACCATTTTGACACCCTCCGCTTCGTCAAGAGGCTCCAGGCCGAGGGGTTCAGCGAGGAACAAGCCGTGGCCATGATGAGAGTGTTAAACGACATCATCCAAGAGTCGATCCAGAACTTGACGCGGACGATGGTCCTCCGTGAAGGTGAGTTCCACGGCACTTACCCTAGCCGCGTCTTTGCCTTGCACTTCACACCTCATATTTAACTAACGCGATTTCCTTAAGATTCGGAGAGATCAACGTACACCCAAAAAGTCGACTTCGCCAAGCTACGCTCCGAACTCCTAAACGCCGACTCCACCGAGGCACAGCTTACCCGCTCATCGCATGAGAAGATCGCAGCCGATCTCGCAAAGCTTAACTCCCGCCTGCGCGACGAGATTGGCCGTACGCAGGCGTCCGTCCGATTAGATCTGAATCTTGAAAAGGGCCGGATCCGCGAGGAGGCTAATGGTCAGGAGATGCGGATCAAGGAAACGGAGACGCGGATTGAGCAGGAAGTTGCCGGTCTGCGGGAGCGTGTCGAGGCTGTCAAGTTCTCGACGTTGCAGTGGCTGATGTATGGTTCCCGAACTCATTTATCCTTGGGTATATTGATACTGACTTATTTTTTCTTCTTTGCTATAGGGGTGTCTGCACCGGTACTGCTGCTTTGATTCTTGGTGCTTGGCGCCTTTTCATGTGATTTGCTGGTGTGTATAGATTTTTGGGTGTGCATGGCTATGGAGCGTGTTTTGTTTTTGTATACTAATCGTGAGACATGGTGTCTCGACTTGGTGTCTCCATGCCTGGACTTTTCTTTTGTATTATTATTTGGTTTCATCTCTCTCCACTCTGGCTCGTAGCCGAGATGGTTTAGACAGTGATAAAACTTGCTTTTTTCTCATTTATTGTTGTCTGCGACCCTCTCTTTCGCTTGACTAAAGAGTCCCAATGCCGTATATGAGGCAATTTGACAACATACAGACATGATAACACAACTTCTAGTATAATGATTAAACTAGACTGAAGTACGGAGGTCCATCCCAAAAGAAATGAGCAGCGCATTGACCACCCCCTTTCTATAATACTGTTTTGATCTGTTTTCTATCTTACAAATCTACCCAATCACCCTCTTCCTTCTTCTCTCTACCCTCTCTATATTCGTTTCCTCCTTCAAGCGCTATAATCTGCTTTATATGCCAAGGAATACGTTCAATCCAATGCTGAATCTTCTCCTGCGGTAGATCTTTCCAAGCAGCCTGCCAAGCAGTAAATGCTTCCTGCCGCGTCTTCGGTGCACCCTTACGTGTAGTTCTTCGCTTCATCCAAGGCCATGCAGGCTCAATCGCATTAAGATCTGGCGAATGAGGGCACCAGAGTAATCTTTGCACCTTCGCTGCGTCAAAAACACGCTGTTAAATATAATGATTATGCGCTGGCGCTTTATCTTCTTGAACAAGCGTTGCCGGTCGTTGAATAGCACATTCTTGCGCAAAAGGAAGAAGTTTTGGTAGTAGAATAAGATGCTGATATCGATACCAATCGATTCCACCTTTCTTTCCACGACCTAGTTTACCAGTTTTCGAGGTAAACTTCCAAGTAGGCTTTCTACCACTAGGATTTTGACGCATATTAAGACGGCGTATACCCGTCTCAATCTCCCATGAAGTACGTAGAGTAGGCTCAATTTCGTTATTTAAGCGCTCAACTTCCTTCTCTGCATCACGCTTTTCCTTAGCAGTTTCAGGAAGCCAACAGTGACAGGGTCCTTTCTTATTATAAGAAAAGCATCCCCAAAACATAAATTCAGAAGCTCCTTTCCAGCGTTCGCGAATACAAGATCGAAGAAAACGCTCATCTTTAGTTCGCCAGATACGATAACCACCACGTCGGTGTAAAAGAATCACTGACGTTTCGTCAGAGAAGATAACGTTTTTCCAATCTTCTATAGTCCAGTGCTTATGCTTAAGACACCAAGCTAGACGTTCAGTACGTATCTTCTTCGTCAATCCAGGCTTCCTGGTTGGCTTCGTCTTCCGAAAGCCGGCATTCTTTAGTATACGATAAATCGTTATACCAGAGATATTAATACCTAGCTTACTAAGATCACCAGCTAGATCAGCGCAGGTCTTCTCTCGGCCATATCGATCTAATCGCACCTTCGATAGGATAAGATCAATTGTAGTAGGATCTTGCTTGGTAGGCCTACCAGAGCGAGGTTTATCCTCAACATACTAGTTATCAACCATCGTACGATGTGGATCGAATCCTCGCTTGATTGCTTCTGCATAGATTCGATTGACTGAGGGAACAGATAGATCTGTCAGGGCAGCAATCTCAGCAGAAGATTTAGGAGTATAGGCTTTTAAAGCAACTACCGTTGCGCGCCTAGCGATTGTGGATTGCTTTGCCATCTTGCTGTTGATAGTAGTAGAAGAAGATGATAATGAAGCAGCAGAAAAGGTGGGGGGATCTGTGCGTATTCGCTTGGTAAGAAATCAGTGGTAAAATAGGATTGGTCAATGCGCTGCTCATTTCTTTTGGGATGGACCTCCGTACACATCTGTAATACATTTAGGCAGGAAGTTCTGCAAGACAAATTGGACTGTACCCGGACACCGTCGGGCTTAACTAAACGCTAGTCCGTCGACGTTATAGTAGCAGCCGACGCTCGGCAAACGCTATCGACACCAAGCTTTCACCACCAAAACACCCCGAAGAAACGCCTGCTGATTACGAATGACGAATCCTCACTTAATGATTGTGCACTCTTCACTCAAGCGAGGCACCAGGACCCCGTCGCAACTGCCGAATTCCCGGTTGGTGTACCTGGCGCCTTCCCCTGAAGCTTATCTTGCGGGGGGTCAACGCGGCCTGGCCTGCATGATCGGCCCTGAATGTTGCATCCTCGTGCGGAGCACACGATCTAGCCTGCACTAGTCTGGCACCGGCCTGCATTATAATTATGGCGTTGTTCAAGTCGTCATTAGCGTTGTGGTGCGCCCGGCTTGTTGATCTGAGAAGGATAAAGACGTCCTCTCCCATCGTGGATGGGCTTGCTCTGTTGCTAGTATTGCTCTTGCTTCTTTGGGAGGGCGCTATCTCTGTGTCGCTACAGTGGTCAATACTGAGGAATTTTGCGAGCCTTCACCCATCCTGGGCAGATCAACTTACAGTTGCAAAGGGCGGTTCGAAGCACGCCGGTGCAACATCTGGTGACTTTAGCCGATCCAGGTCGACTTATTGGGTAGATCTTTGTTTATTGAGGATCAATCTCGTTGCAACCATCTCGATGATGATCCTAGGCTTGCTGCTTGCCCTTGGGCAAGTTGAACGTATATACGCCGCATCCTCATCTACAGGCGTTCTCGATGTGTTCGAGGTCTACCAGCCCGTCACATTTGCTCCCAAAAGTGATAATTGGTGCAACACGGAGATGCTATTGATGGATCACGTCTTTGGGGAAAGCTATGGGGTGCCGTTCGTAGGTAAGACTTGCCATAATAGCTTGCATTCTTTGGGAGTGATTCTAACCCTGGTGGCCTCTAGGAAGCTACGAGCCTCCAAGTTGCAAGTTTGATACCGTGAGGATCAACATGACCGTCACTTCTAGCGGTCACCAGTATGACCGACTGGCTCTGATGTACCTGGGCGATGCAGAGGTCTTCCGCACCTCGACTGCTGAGCCGACGTCCACGGGGATTGTGTGGACATATATCAAGGAGATGTCGCAGTATAATGCTCTGTGGGCAGAACCACAAAAGCTGATTTTTGATCTGGGCAATATCATTACCGATGTGTATACGGGACCATTCAATGTCACGTTGACGGCGCACTTCTCCTATACGAAGAATGCGAGAAGCGCAGATATTATTCTTCCTATCTCGGCCAAGAACTCCGCTTCTAACTCCTCAAGTGCGTTCACGGTTCCCACTGACAACACGACCGTCTCTTACACCATCCCTGACACTGTATCTCGGGCTGTGGTTGCTATCTCCGCCTGTGGTCAATCCGAGGAGGAATTTTGGTGGTCGAATGTTTTCTCCCAGGATACGGATGATTTCACTACGACCGTTGGCGAGCTATACGGTTACTCTCCTTTCCGAGAGATCCAGCTATACATTGACGGTATCCTCGCTGGCGTCGTTTGGCCATTCCCCATCATTTTCACGGGTGGCGTGGCACCCGGATTCTGGCGACCAATTGTCGGCATTGACGCCTTTGATCTTCGCCAGCCGGAGATTGATATCTCGCCTTTCCTTCCACTGGTGCAAGATGGCCAAACACATTCGTTCGAGATTCGGGTCACGGGGCTGAGCATTACTGATGGAACTGCCTCCCTTGCTGACACCGTGGGCTCGTACTGGGTGGTCACTGGAAACATCTTCCTCTACACTGGGGACAAAGCTAGTTCGAAGAAGAACACCGTTCCTCTCGTGGAAGCCCCTGTGCCCAAATTCACCGTCACTCGACACGTAGTTCAGAACAGCACCGGGGGAAACGACACATTGTCATATTCAGTGACAGTAGAACGGACCTTTACTGCAGCATCCTCCGATTACTCGTGGTCTCAAAAGCTGTCCTTTTCCAACTACGGCTACCTTAATCAAGATGGATACAGCCAAATCAACAAACAACTTACTTCGGGAAAGAACACCATCTCCCAACTCGGAAGCAAATCAAGCTCCAATGAAACCACCTTCAGCTATCCCCTCCTCGTCAACACAACCTACGGCATCACAACAAACTCCCTCACGATCGATGCATGGATGGAGCGAGGGCTAGATATTGAATCATCTGGTGGTCCGGGAATATCGGTTTTTACCTTCGTCTCTGGGCCATCTCAGTTGCACACTACCCAATCCGGGAACGCAACATATCAGTCGGTAACGGGCTCAAGCTCAGTCTCGACTGGTAACACGGCCGATGAGTTCAACAGCGTTGCGAACGGACTCTCATATTCAAGATCTGTCAGTGCTGTGAACGGGAGTGTAGTCTCTGATACCCAGGCGGGCGCTAAGAAGGTGTCGAATGACATGACTGCGTTGGGTCGAGGTAGCGTGCGGAGTATACTGGGAAGAGGACCGGGTAGCCCGTCAACTTAGCAATTAGTCAAGTTAGGGATTCGTAAACTAGGTATCAACTTGCCTTGACTTTGTATACAATCGTGGGTCGGATTGCTCATACAGAAGATTCGTTGTGTCGCGTTGCATGAATAGGCTTTTACTGTTGAGTTCAACGCTCTATTGTATATTGAATCATGTTGAAGGTAGACGTTTGATGCCGCTTCAATATATATAGAATGACTTATGGCATTGAATAGGGATAACTTGGAAGATCGGAAGTCGATTCCATGTTCAGAAACCGTAGTGCAAACCCTAAGCAAATCCAGTAAGCAGATAAAGAGATCACAATAGGCATATCCCGCTACGAATCAAGTCCAATCTTGACATCAACCCCGAACGCTCTTTTTTCCCATATACTGCCGTCAAAAAATGCTTTTAGGCATAGGTTTTCTTCTTGTCCCTTGGCATAGCGCCACATAGAGCGTTCAACCTCACGATATATTACTATAATAGGTTGGTCTATCTGCTAGGCCATACTAGACGTATTCAGCGAGAGACAGGTGAACAAGATATATATCAGGCTGATTATTACCCGAGATGATTCTTGAAAGATCGCAACCACAAATGAATATTGTTACATGATGTTCCACCTTAACCTTCATAATGTTATATTCTCAGTCACAAATCTGATGTTTTGAGGATTATCAATTTTGAGCTATCGCCGAATTATGACGCGGGAAACATCTTGTACCGAAAGGCCAAGGCGGTAAAAGATGCCAAGAAGCGGTGAGAGCGTAAAGCATGGTCCTATTGCCAGTATCAACACGTGATTGTATCGATAAGATATTCCCCGGCTTTCGCATTTGTCAATCTTTCCTTTGTACTTCTCCGTGGTGTGGCGTCAAAAGACCTGTATCAGGCCTGTCTTCAGGATGAGCGTGGTCGCAGAGTGTGCTAGTATACCAGGTATGGTAATTTAACCATCCAATTGTCTTACTTGATATCTAAAACTTTCTGTTCCAGGCGCGGTCCCCGAGACCCTTATCACTGCGCTCGCGCAAGACCGTCGTCTTGATGCTGACGGACGCCCCAGCAAGCGGCGCAAGATTACAAAGTCTGGGCCTTATAATTTGAGGGATGAAATGGGTGTCTCCTCAAATGGAATTCCTCTAGGCTATATTCCACTGACCAGACTGTCTTTGCGACTGGTAAGTAATCAGTCGCATTTGCCTTAACATAGCATAGCTGACAATTTGCCACCATTTTCAACAGAACTACACCGAAGTATCTGGATCCGATGAAACTACCCTAAATGCCCCTTATGATCCGTCCCATCGATTATCTGTCCTCGTCGATATTCAAACTACAGACTCACGCTCCGATGCACCCGTTATTATTGACCATCCCGATGTTGACTGCGTTGCGTACACACTGGCCATTACCACGACTGCTGCAGACAAGAAGGAAATTTTCTCCTGTGTGATTGAGAATTTGCGGCTAGTCGGGTTTCTCGAACAGCTCAGACATGCCACTCGGCTTATTGCCGCCGATCGATACTATAATCGCCTACCAACGGCATGCTATCAAGCGACAATACAGCTCTCGACACGCGAAAACTCATTACTACTGGAAGTTGTGGGCCTTTGGAGAGATTCACTTGTAATCCCTGACCTCAATCATCTACCAGATCCTGCTTTGGAGTTTTTTGCAAAGTATGCGTTACAAGAAGATCATGTCAACAACCTCGAATATACACAGCGCGGACGCCGCGAGAAGCTTCTCGGAAATCATCGGAAGTGGTTGCCTCGTGAATTCTACGAGAGTGTCCACGTCCCACAGGATACTGAAAGTGCATCCGCAGATATAAAGTGTCCTGATCTGGAGTGTGACCTTTTCCCTTTCCAGAGACGAGCTGTTAGATGGCTTTTGTGTAGAGAAGGAACCCAGATTCAGGAGGACGGGACAGTCGCCACCATCGATAGGCCTTTACCAAATGGGCTTCCAGCCTCATTCAAGCAAATGCGCGACGCCGATGGAAATGTCTGCTACTTCAGCCATCTGTTCATGATGATTACCACCCAGATAACCCAATGGGGCGATGCCGCAAATCTCTTGCGGGGAGGCATTCTCGCGGAAGAGATGGGGCTGGGCAAGACCGTTGAGATGATTGCTCTCATGAGTTTGAATCGACGCTCCCCGCAAGAGTCATTAAAACCCGATCCCGATGGGTTGCGGGTGTCGGGTGCTACTTTGATTATTACACCACCAGCAATTCTTGAACAGTGGAAGCAAGAAATTGAACAACATGCCCCGAAACTACGGGTACATCACTACACGGGCATCAAGCGCGGACAAGAACGGTCGGATGACCTGATGATTGAAGAATTAGCAGATTTTGACGTTGTATTGACGACCTACAACGTTATATCCCGCGAGATACATTATGCTGGCGCCACGCCAGAGCGGAGTCTCCGTCATGAGAAGCGGTTTGAGCCGCGCAAAACACCATTAGTTCGGATATCATGGTGGCGTGTCTGTCTAGACGAAGCTCAGATGATTGAAAGTGGTGTCAGCAACGCAGCAAAAGTGGCCCGTCTGATTCCTCGTCAGAATGCCTGGGCTGTGACTGGTACACCGTTGCGAAAGAACATTGATGATCTATTCGGACTATTACTGTTCCTTCAGTATAGGCCGTTCTGTGACTCAAGCTCCTTGTGGAAACGTCTTTATTCCAGGTTCGGTCCGGTCCTGGTTAGTATCATCAACTCAATCGCTCTTCGGCATAGCAAAGACAGAGTACGTGATGAACTACGCTTGCCGCCTCAGAAGCGTATTGTAATCACCACTCCCTTTACTCCGATTGAGGAGCAGCATTATGGGCAGCTCTTCGAGGAGATGTGCGAACAATGTGGCCTCGACGCATTTGGCGCACCTCTTGCGGAAGACTGGAACCCCGAAGACCCGGTGATTGTGGAGAGAATGCGTACTTGGTTGACCCGCCTTCGCCAGACTTGTCTCCATCCCGAAGTCAGCGGTAGCAATCGTCGGGCGCTGGGCGCTGGAAATGGGCCGCTGCGTACGGTGGATGAGGTCCTTGAGGTCATGATTGAGACCACCGACACATCGATCCGTGCAGAGGAGCGAACCCTACTTCTTTCTCAGCTCCGCCGAGGCCAGCTCCTTGAAAATGCGAAGCGTAGGAAAGAATCACTAGCTCTTTGGCAGTTAGCCCTAGACCGTGCTACCGAGCTAGTCAACGACAGCAGAGAGCAGCTTCGATTACAGCGGCTTAAAAACAAAGGATTGGCTTTGAATGGCACCGTGGCTATGCCTGAAACCCCTGATTACACCACCGACGACGAAAACGAGGAAGAAGTAGACAAGAACAGCCGCATTGGCCAGTGTCGTCTGAAGCTTCGGGCTGCGCTGGAAGTGCAGCATATCGCGGTGTTTTTCACTGCAAATGCCTACTACCAAATCAAGAGTGATCCCAATTTGACCCAACCTGATTCTGAGGAATTCAAAGCCCTCGAGAAGAAGGAAGAGGAAGGGTATGAGGCAGCAAAATTGATTCGCAAGGAAATGTTGACGGACATTTCCCGCAAGGTCGAGCGGTACATGAAAAATATCAAGGAAAAGGCCCGAAAGAAGGAGGTTGTGCACATTCCGACAATGAAGCCGTATCTTTACAGCAGAGGACTGGAGTCTTATAGGCTACTCAACAAGTTTGAGGATCTGTGTGCTGCCCTCAACAAGCATGCTGAGCAATACAACCAGTGGCGAGAAGTCATGATCCGGCTAGTCTCCCAGTCACTCATTGACCAAGAAGAGGATGCTGAATTGGAAGGAAATGAGTATGAGCGATCTACCAAACATCAAGACGAAATGTACGTTTACATGGAGGCTCTTCGTGCTATGTATGCGGATCGTCATGATGCCCTTACTGGCCAGAAGAATATCCTCATTTCGCACGAGGCCAAGGCTGGCATCGCACAGGCAAAGAAAGGAGAAGGACCGTCCCCGGAACTATTTCTCTCGATCATGAACACTCGCAGTGAGCTGATGCCGGATCCTAATCTTGGATCACTGCGTGGCATCGTCAGTGAACTGCGCAGCTTAGTTGGCTCGCTCGAATGGCAAGCTTCAGGAGGAAGCTCGCGTGCCAGTGCCGAGCTTGAGATGGTCACCTTGGTCTTGAAGAATGCCGGCCAAATGATTGCTGAGCAGCTCAAAATATCCTCAAGTCTGGAGAGGGAAGTAGAAATGTTTCGAGACACTATGAATAACCGACTAGAATATTATCGCCATCTCCAGCAAATCTCAGATACAGTCGCGCCTTACGACGAGGAGAACGCGGGCAAGCCGATGGATGAGAATCTGTTTGCTTCCAAATTGAAACAGGAAGAAAAGATCGAGGCCAAAATATCCACCCTGAGGTCCAAGAGGCGATACCTTATCCATCTACGAGATGAGTCTGGCGAGGAAGATACCTCCCGCATATGCATCATATGCCAGTCAAGCTTTGAAACTGGTAAGTACTGCATACACGCCCCTAGTCGCTACAACAACCGATGACTGACTCTTGGTATTAGGTGTCTTGACTGTTTGCGGTCACAAATATTGCTCAGACTGTCTACGATTATGGTGGCGCCAACACCGAACCTGTCCAATGTGCAAGAAACCTCTCAAACTCAATGACTTCCATCAAATCACATACAATGCACAGGAACTTGTTGCCCAGGAGGAAATGACGCCTGTCAAATATGACCACGAAAGACATCCGAAAAATGCCATCTACAGCGATATTAGCTCGGGTGTTTTGAAGCAGATTGAAACCATTGAGCTAGGCGGTTCATTTGGCACAAAGGTCGATACACTTGCGCGTCATATCATATGGCTCCGCGAGCACGACCCAGGGTCCAAGGCAATCGTCTTTTCGCAGTACAGGAATTTTCTAGTCGTTCTGAAGCGGGCATTCGACCGATTTGGAATTGTCAATAGCAGTGTCGATGCCCCGGGAGGGATCGAGAAATTCAAACAAGATCCAGCAGTACGTGATCCCACATTCTACTAAGAGGAGGACGCTGTTATGCTAATGATTACTACAGATTGAATGCTTTTTGATGCATGGCAAAGCACAATCGTCTGGACTAACGTTGATCAATGCCACGCATGTCTTCCTTTGTGAGCCGCTCATCAACACTGCTATCGAAC